GGGGGGGGGGTTAGGTTTTCACAGCGACTTACCGATATAAATGTGCACTCTCGGGTGTAAGTTGAGTCTCATGGACCTTGTCGGGCTTTTGTTCACGTCCCTTGGGGGGAGGGTAATTGACGGTCGAGGGACCCTTGGGACCTCCCCATCCTCCTTGTCCGACGAAGAATCCCGAGCCGACAGCCCTCGTGTAAACTTCACCCGTGTCCTTGTCGACGATGGTCTGCTCGGTCTCGACCACGGTGCCGGGCTTGCCCTTGTCGTAGACCCCCAAAACCTTGGAGCGGAGTTCGAAGTTTCGCCCTTCGGAGCTCGTGGGCAAGGGTTTGAGGAATTGGATCAACCGTTGGCCATCGACGACCCGCCTGGAGTCGAGTTTCGGGATTCCCGGGATGGGGTTGGACTCTTGGGAGGCGTAGAAATCTATCACTTCTTGGGTCGTCTTTTTGAATGCTATTCCCTCGCCTCGTTAGCGCTTTTTTGTCATGTGTCTTCATGTGTCCTCTTGCCTTCAGATACAGAAGGATAGTAGGAGCTTCAGGGCTCGGGGGTTCACTCACGCAGAATGATCGAGTAGGTCGGGAAGACGGCAAAGTTGGGATGAAGTTCCTAAGGGGAATACTCGTCAGCTTTGTCGTCCGTCGAAACTAGAAAGTGGTTGCAAAAACCGTACGTAGATAAAGTGTAGTTCGTCGACCGTACAGCCGATGCTGACCGCGAACAGTAGCGCATCACGCTTCAACCATGATACAGCCGTCGAAGGGTACTCGTAACCAACACCTGGTCCAGACATATTGGTGGTAGTCGTGAGGTGGGGAGGGGAGAGAGAGAGAGAGAGGTGTGGGTTTCAAAACGATCGGCAGAAAGATGAACAAACAGAGTACCACAGTATGGGGATATTGAGTATATAAAAAAAAGTAACAACTAGAAATTCTTTGCACGCATATACAGACACCACAAGAGGTGAGAAAAGATGCGAAACCCCCGGTTTCGGATGCCCTGATTTTATGTATTCGTAGACGAGGCCAACGTGAGAAACTCGTTCTACGGCAACCTGTACCTTCGGCTGCACCAGCCCAGAGAAGAAATGCGGGGAGGAAGATGCCGAGGCAACAAAACGGCAATCTAACACCGAGAGAACTAAGGGAGTAAAGGGCACCATTATCCTCACGGAGTACGGAGAACCTGTACAGTAATCATTTATGTCCCTGTATGCATGGACCTTACGAAGCCAAGGGCATGACAACCTTGCCTACCTCAAGACCTGGAACCTCGGTCAAAGTTCTACTGGGCCTTTCGAAGACGACTTTATTCTAGTAGAGGCTTCGACGGGAAACTAAAAACTTCGAGATGGCAGACAACGAAAATAGAACAGAGCATTCTCACAATATATCCGGCATGATCAGACATGAAATTTTCAGCCTCAACTCGTGGGGTATCTAGATCAAATAACGAGGAGCTTGAAGTCCGTCTCGAAGATCATTTCAGTCGTAAAACCCTTTTTACATACAGTGGTAGGCTTCTACCACTCATTTCACCCATACCCACACACGCCTTTGTGCTATGCAGAAAGAACAAAAGGAAAAGAGTCCAAGCCCAAAGATCAGCACCTACAATGTAGGGTCAGCCATTGATGTAACGGGAACACGAGGGAGTGGGGTTCCCTACATTTTGTAATCATTCGATCCGCGAGCGAAACGAGTCCGATCGGCCGTCTCCAGTTCATAATCGATCTTGATGTCCAGGTCTCGCTTGTTCTTGTTATTGGGCTTGCTCGACAAGAATCCGGTCACGGTTTCACCCTCTTCCACAGTGAGGACCTCTCGGAGGTAGAAAACGGTCTGCTTCCAGTGGGTGTATTTCGTGTGTGGACCCGTGGAGAATCGGATAGGTTTGTGGCATGCGGTGAAGTCGATGTCGAACCAAGCAATGAGGGCGTGGATGAAGTCGTTTCGTTGACAACGCAGTTGGAATGGCTCCGAGAAGGCCAGCTGGGCTGTGGTCACGGTGTTGAGGTCGATGGTAAAGACAGGGCAAGGATCGGTGACGAGGGCCTTCATTTCGACCGTGTCGACCAGAGGCTCACTCAAGGCGCTCTCCTTCATTGGACTGTAATCGAAGCCATACACGTTGTCCCAGACTGTGTCCTGTCAGCCTGCGCCCGAAGCGAGCACTTTAAAATGAACTTACATCCAATCTTGTCATCCTTGTACTCGCCATCCTCAATCGCAGCCATGTAGATGGTGGCCTTGTCCGGGAAGATCTTGCCTCCTTGGTTCAGATATTTGTCTCGGGCGTACAGGACCGTATCGAGCATGCTTTCATAGAGCAGGAAGTAGCCCATCCATTCCGAAATGATGATGTCGACCTTGCCGTTGTTCAAGTGTTGCTGGGGCATTTCGACCTCTTCCATCTTTCCTTGTAACAGTGTGATCTTGTTGGAAAGACCATTCACTTCGACTATCTCTTTCGCCTTGTTGATGATACTGGACATATCGACTCCGATCACATGTCTCGCACCCGCCTTTGCGGCGAACCTTGTGATATGTGAGCGAGGAATAGGAATGTTCTAGAGACCAACGTACATGCTCAGGATACCGGTGCCGCAGCCTACATCGAGGACCACCTTGTCTTTGAAAATGTGGGCATTTTGGTAGATTGCGTCTCTGTAGGATCGAGTGCGCACTTCATCTTTCTGGGCTCGGGTTAGTTGAGAACAAAAGGTGAAGGTAGGCACATACCAGCATTTCCTCGTGAATTCCATGATGGTCGTAGCTGGAATTGGTCAATTACAATCCAAGCCAGTTATGAATGCGATTTCACCTTGTAAAGTAGCGAACTTCAGAATGTTCCATGCCGGCCATGCGTTCTTCAGTTGTCATTGCAGCCAGATCGGCCACTGTGGGCGTCGCTTTGGTACCATTCATGTTTGTTATTAGGGAGAGGTTTTGGGAAATAAAAATGGGAAGCGATCGTTGTCGCCCTTGTCGAACACTACCCTCGAGGCCAGACAAAAATGTGAAATTAGCGTCATCAGAAGAAATTTGCGGATAATTTGTTCCGCCGTAGGGACTCTGGTCTAGTCTACGGTGGGTTGCTTGGTCATTTCATGCTGTTCTTCAGAATTGACCAGTAGGCATGTGCTCGGACCAAAGGCCTCCCGGAAGATTAGCGGCAAAGGAAAAAAAAAGCACAGCAGGTTCAAAGGAGTGAGACCTAGCACGAATAGTCACAACCTGTGGTAGACCAAACGCGTTGATATGATAGAAGAATATATTGGTACTTTGCACGAACAGCAAAAAGAAGTTGGACTTCTGACAGAAGGATTGGACGTACGGGGATTTGAACCCCGGGCCTTTCGCAATTATTTAGGCAATGCAAAGCGAAAATCATACCCCTAGACCATGCGCCCTGAAAACTCTGTGCGAATTTGGTAGTTAAACCGGTGTCAAAAAATTATAATATTCGAAAATTTGATGTGGCGAAGTTGGATGACTTGGACCCTGAGATTCCAGCTACGCTAGGCAAATTCAGATTGATCCCCCATCGCAGCTCAACGCTGCGCTTCTCGTGTGTTGACAGTTGACCATCTCGACGTCCAGTAGGCACCCTTGTCGAGAAGTGGGGTTTCTTATCTGGCTTTTTGACAGGAAAACGTCCTAAAGCAGGAACCCGGATATTAAAAACATCTCCTTGATCTCAAGCCAGGATTGCACATGGTTTTCCGATAAAAACCCCGCCGGGCAAAAACCAAGATGTTTGCTTCGAAAAAAGATGTCTGTAAGAGTCTGTGTGACCTCTTCAAGAATCATTGAAAGTCAACCAATAAACAGTTCTGATTCGGAATGGATCGAGACAAAAAAAATACGTCGTTCTTCCAGAGAGACGATGGCATCCGCTGCAGATAAACATGAACCAAGCTTATCGCACCACGTCTCAGTCGACCTCACTAGGCATAGACCCTGAAACCTGGCGGTCGATTTGATAACCATCCGAGGCTAACTTCATCCCTAGTTGTGCCTATCATTTCGACATGGTCTGGCCACACCGCGCTTCTTTTGTGTCCTTACTCGTACGGTGCAAAGACAGAACGCACTTACGGATACAGCGTGCAATCTCCGCAGGCTTATGGCCTGTCGACCAGGACTGTATTGATGGATCCGTGGTTCCTGACCGAGTTGGGCGATGGCGTTATGCCATCACCCTTGGCCACCCCTTGCCGATGTACTCATCATATCGTTCCTAGCTTGGAAGATTCCCTCCCTTGTGTTGAAAATGATTCATGCCACCCTGCCAAATGAGGCTGGAATCTCACTTGGAATGTCCCTTGGGTCTGGCTCAAGAAAGAGTGCCCCAACGCGTCGCGAACCATGCCACACCTGAGACTACGCAGCCCACTTGATAAAGTGCTTTGCATCCGTCTCTGCTCGTGAGATCAACTGGGCGCAAACGGGAAAATGCCTCTGCCATTCTTTGACGGTGTTTCGGCTCCTGCAAAGGTGCAGAGGGCGAGCTTCTTCGCCTTGGCCACTATCTTGTTCATCTTCTTTTTCGAATCGTCATTTTTCCCTCATGTCCACGTACTGAAACTCCGAAACGCCAAGGTAAGAATACGGTTTTCCTTGGCTGGGGTGAGATCAAGGCTGATTCAATTCTCATGCAGGCTGAGCGAGCGCGGACGGAATACTATCTGCAATGGGGTGCATTTGAACCAATGCCAATAGCGGGGTTCGTGAATACTGGACTGCCCGGGAAGAGGTCATGCGACGCACTCAAACACAATTCGACAGTCGGTGTTCAAAAGAGCTTTTTCCTCAATGACAATGTGAAGCAGATTGCAATGTCCCTCGATGCTCACCCTGTTGTCGATTACCCGGACGACCTCATGCGCGACCCTAACCTGTCGGTCGAAGACGTTATCGACCGGACTTGGACACGAATGTCGGGTTCCAGTGTTTGGCTACCGGATCAAAACGTCTACCTGTCAGTGACCAGAGTCATCTTTTGTCCTAGTCAAACATGGTCGGTACCGAAGATGAGCTTCCTTCGGGGACAGTTATTCAATGAGGATTGGGAACACCTGGAGAACTACAACATTACTTGGGGTGGTAAGCAACTGAATTTCCCCATGGTATTCGACATTCCTGCGCAATGGGAGGAGGGTGGAGAGTTATACGGACCTGAAGATCCTCGTGTCATCCTTGAAGATGGCGTCGAGGGTGCCGAACCAGTTGTGACCTTCAACATGATTGCCAAACAATCGAATTGGAAGCGAGCTATCTACGTATTTCGACCTTTCAGTAATCACACTACCATCCTCACTATTCGAGACAGGGAGCGAGCCGACACCGAGAAGAATTGGGCGCCATTTTTTATACCTGAAGAGGAAGTGTTTCCTCCGAGCCTGGCCAGCAAACTCCACCTACCGCTGTCTACCACTGTTCGCAAGCCAAGTGAATATATTCACTTTATCTATTCGTTCAAGCCTCTGCATATCTTGAAGTGTCATTTGCGTTGCGGAGATTGTGAGCTTGTATTCACCCAAACTCTGCCCGAGACCTTTTCGAACCGACACAAGGAACATGGTGGCAGCTTGCGTGGGGGGACAAATTTTGTTCCTGTTCCCATTCCCGAAAGCATGGGCTTGGACCGAAAACTGCGCGTGTACGCAGCATTCCCACGAACGAACATCGAAGGTCATTGTGGTGGGAGTTTCTATCGTCCAGAATTCGTCATCCTGGTCAATATCAGAGCACATTTTCATCTTGCTTTTGCCAGCGAGTCGTTGGACTTTGGTACGTCTCTGGTCGAACTTGGACCTCAAGACGATCGGTGTAACAAAGGGAGAATCCTCATTCCGATGAGTATCGCACAGTGGGACACGAGTCATCGCCAGGATATCATGACCGTGACCTTCAGCATTGATGATTCAACGGTTCAGGTCGCTCGGGTCCAAGGTCTTCTAAAGTATATCTTACACCTCCCTCAGTTCAAGACATTATTCAAGAAGGACGGATTCCTTAAAGGTGAAGAAGCTGAGGTCATGAACATGCTGTCTTCCTGGGCAGGTGACGATGTTCGTGGATGTCTTGTCGAGGCTGCTCTGAATTACACAGAGGCCCAACATGAAATCACGCACCCGAAAGATCATAAAGATGAGCTCGACCCCTCGAAAGAACTCTTGCGCAAGATCTATGAAGAACAGCAAAGGGAAGAAAAAGGCGAAGCCCCGAACCAAGACAACGGGGACGAGGGTGAGGAGAGAGAGGAGAAAGAAGAAGAGAAGGAAGAGGATGTAAAGGATGAGAACAAAGATCATGACAAGGAAGAGGAGGAAAACCAAGATGAGCACCCAGAGGAAAACCAGGATGGCGATCCCGGCATTCCAGATCTCGAGCAAGGAACACTTGACCCCGACGTCATGGAGGCATTGGAGAGGGAGGGAGATAACAAGGAGAAGTCCCAAAACGAGGTTGAAGTTGATAAAGAATCCGAACCATCCGAGGAGGACAATGATCAGAAAAACGAAGAGCATGAAGATCCAACCGAGGAAAAGCATAAAGCAAGTAAGGAGACATCCGATCGAAAACGGCATCGACGTCGCCATCAACACCATAGTGACAGACTTGCGCGCTGAACCTTGGAGACAATCAATCTAAACAACATCCTCTTAGTTGGTGTGACAGGTGGATGGACAGTTGATGATGAATATTTTGCCCTGCACAGTCATCGACAGGGGCGTGTGTTTGTTTGTCAGATCTTTCTGGATTTGTTTCAGTCATCGCTATTTGACTCATATACGTGTGAGAGGCGTTGTTATTTACTGTACATCAGCTAACGGTTTTGAATTACGAAGCTACATGAGATCCTTGTCATGGATATCGCGATGGAGTTGAACATGTATCATGTATGGATTGTCAACAAAGATTGTATTACAATAGATGTGAAGTCTCTCCGTCGCCTCAGGCCTGGGTCCGAAGATCATCAAGATGAAAGCGTCTCGCGTAGTCATTTTGGCTCCGGAAGCAGCACCTGGTCTTCCGATCGGCTTCGTGATTGCATGGGTTCGCCAAATTTGACTCGAGGTGTTGACTGCACTCATATCGACTTCCGGCCGAAAGAGTACGAGCATTGTATGGATAAAAGTGCTTCTTCCCGGTCTCACCGTCCAAACTCCCCGCAAACTTGAACTTCCCGTGTCCTTCTACCGGGCGATGGTGGCGTTTCTGGGCACTGCTTGGCCTTTTCTGGGCATATCTTAAGGGTGTCCACGATGCCTGGATCCTCGTCGTGTTGTTGCTTGCATTCCAAGAAGAAGCCTGGCTTACAATCAATGCATGGTCCGTCAACCCCCAGATCTGCCTGTCCAAGATCCGGCTGTTATACACCAAAGCGGAAGCCTTATCCAGTGTCTGAGGCAATAGTTGGAGCAATCCAAGAATCAGGATTGACTTGAACACTTGAACATCTACCGACATTACTTCATCAACAGCGACAATTAACAGAGTACTGGATTACCATCTTGCACGACAAATAACAACATATTCGATGAGGCTGGCGGAAGTAAAAGACAGTAATCCTTTCCATCAAGGCGACAAGCCTCGGTAAGGCTCATCAAGTATCACCAACAACGCCTCGGCCAGTCTTTTTACAGGGATCTGTATCCTGGACGATCCGCACCATTTCAACCTATTGGGCCTACTCGTTGCCTTCCCTAGGTATCCCCGGGGCTTATTGTAATGAGCTGACAACGCTAAAATCCCCGTGCGCAAGTGAATAGTGCAAGGGTGTTTATCAATCCCACCTCTCACACCTCAGACAGAGGGCGCTATGATGCCAGTCCTTTGTATCCCTGTTACATTAGCCCGGCTCCTCCTCTCCAACGCCCCCGGAAAAGAAATGAAAGGTGCAGTATCCGGAGTACATGCAAGGGTTGACAACCCAAACGGTATCATTGGTTCTCTCGAGGCCCCGAAGCCAGCAGCCGACATCGAATTCTGAAGTCGCTTCGTATCACCTACTGTACCAAGACATGGTTCGCCAAGCGATCAACATCGTGCCAGCTTACTGTAACGGTGGTGCATAAAAGCAAAGGCCTTTCCTCTTCAGAGGATCGTGTTTGTCACCACAAATTTGAGCGTCTTCACCGCCTCGTCAGGATATCTTCACAATGGCCTCAAAGGATCACAATGCCGAGGAGAGTCGGGTGAATGCCACACCCCGACAACCTTCGCAAGATCCGATGGATGAAAAAGCTGCTGGTATGCACAATGAGATTGCTCACGAAGCGGCGGAAAGAGGTCACGTTGCCACCGACAAGTACGTTTCACTCGCTTCCCTTTGGTCCAGTGTTTTACATACAGTTTACTAACAACTTTTGGCAATTCAGATATGGACATGCGTTGGTGGAATTCGACCCAAAGGTCGAGAGGAAGCTGTGCTATAAGATCGATCTGTACATCGTTCCGACCGTGGCTCTTCTCTACTTGTTCTGCTTCATCGACCGGGCGAATATCGGTAAGCTAGCTTGTGTCTCTCTGCCTGACACCTGAGGGCAACGTCCACCAAATACTAACCGGTACTCGTACGCAGGCAATGCTAAACTGGCGGGCTTGGAGAAGGACCTTGGCCTCAAGGGATACGACTACAATATCGTCCTGACGGTGTTCTACATCAGCTACATCATCTTCGAAATCCCGGCGACGACTGCTTGCAAGTACTTCGGCCCCGGTTGGTTCATTCCCGCAACCTCTCTCGGCTTTGGCATCTGTTCCATCGGGACAGCCTTTGTCCATCACAGGGCAGCTGCGTGTGGTGTACGATTTCTACTTGGTATCTTTGAGGCGGGCATGCTTCCCGGTATTGCATATTACATGTCGAGGTAGGTATCGTCTTATCCTGGTCGGTTCGTCTTTCTGACGGCAAAAACTCTCAGATGGTATCGGAGGAGCGAATTGGCTTTCCGCCTGGCTCTCTACATCGTCATGGCACCGCTCGCGGGGGCCTTCGGCGGACTCCTGGCTTCGGCCATCCTCAAACTCGACCACTTCGGCGGCCTTCACCGGTGGCGCATGATCTTCGCCATCGAGGGGATCATCACGTGTGGTCTGGCCTTGATCTCTTTTTTCACATTGACCGACCGACCCGCGACGGCGCGGTGGCTCTCGCAAGAGGAAAAAGACCTGGCCATCGCCCGGGTCAAGTCCGAACGCGTCGCGACCACCGAGGTGCTCGACAAATTGGACGTCCCCAAGATGGTGCGAGGCATCTTCAGTCCCGTCACGCTCGCCGTCTCGTTCATCTTCTTGCTCAACAACATCACCGTCCAGGGCCTGGCCTTTTTCCTCCCGACCATCGTCAAGACCATCTACCCTGAAAATTCCGTGGTGTCTCAACAACTCCACACGGTGCCGCCTTACGTGGTGGGGGCCTTTTTCACCGTCCTGATCCCCTGGCTGTCGTGGCGCTACGACCGTCGGAACGTCTTTTTCATCGTCTCCGCCCCCCTCATCATGGCGGGCTACGTCATGTTCCTGGCCAGCGAGGCCCCTCACACCCGCTACGGCGCCACCTTTTTGATCACGACGGGGGCCTTTTCGTTCGGTGCGCTCTGCAACGCCCAGAGTTCGGCCAACGTCGTCTCCGACACGGCACGCTCCGCCGCCATCGGAACGACCGTCATGTTTGGCAACGTCGGCGGGCTGATCTCGACCTGGGGTTTCTTACCCTTTGACGGCCCCAATTATCACATCGGCAACGGATTGAACCTGGCCACTTCTTCCACCATCTTGATCTGCTCCATCGGTCTCTTGTTCTGGATGAAGGCCGACAACAGGAGACGTGAGAGGATGGACGTGGACTCCGAGTTGGATGGCTTGTCCACCAAGCAGGTGCAAGATTTGGACTGGCGTCATCCGGCTTTCAGGTGGAGGTCGTAAATTGGGTCGGAAGCAAGACTGATGGACAGGCCCAAATTGAGTGCAGAAAGGCACGGGATACGTTTTTGCCAAAGTCAAGTACGTAGTCAAGTGGTGACGGTATCTGCGGCAGACGTTTATTCTTACTTGGTCATACGTAAGCATTGTCTGCTGAAATTGGGAATCTGTCAATGTCTTTCACAAAGCTCTAGTATCATCACGAGACGTTTGAGGGCATTGAGAGCACACTGTTCACGGTCAAGGCGTAGAAAACGGGTCGTCATCATGTCACTGACACATACAAAGAAAACCCCTTCATCTCAACGAGTCTAATTTGAGTCCGGCACCGACCCTGCTTGTTTGATTGTTTCTAAGAGAAAAACAACGATTGGACCCTGTAGACCATCCACGACAACACCAGACACGACAGGACGGCCACCTTCCACCACCTTTTGAACAACAGCGGGAGGTTGCTTCCCCCGTTGAAAACCACCAGAGCTTTCACCGCCCTGGCATTGTCATCGTCGTTGGCATTGACGTTGGTCAAGTACCGGCAAGCCAACAGCAACAAGGGGCACCCCAGGATGTCCACCCAACGCCTCCAGTCCAATGCTTGTTCTCTTATCTGGCGGCCGCCCTCGACCGCCAGGGCCACGAGATGTCCAAAGACGAGGAGGGTTTTGGGCACAAAAGATTTTTGTTGGGTCGTCGTCGTCATCGGGTACCTCTTTCTTTTCTTCTCGAGACGCCGCCTGGCGAGGACGGCCGGGCAGGGTCCGGTGCCCCCGACGAAACACAGGTTGTTGCCCTTGCGTTGGCCGAGGCGCGTGCGGGCCAATTGACGAGCCGGGAGGAGGTCGGGACTCTGGGAGAGACACTCGCCGTGGTTCAGGCGGGCGGCCAGGATACGCTGGACCTCCCGGTTGGACAGGAAGAGGGCGTCGGTCTTGAAGCTGAGTCTGGTGTTGTTGGGGATCGGGAGGCCCAGGTAGGCTCGGGAGAGCACCCACGAGATCCGGTGGTGGGTGGTCGAGTGGCGGGAGAGGACGCCGGAGATGCCGACGTGGCTTTGTCGGAGGGAGAGGACGTCCGGGTAGTCGAGGTGGGAGGCTATCGTGAGGACAAGTTCCGCCGGGAGAGTGACGAGGGTCGGAGGACGAGAGCGACGACGACTTTTGAGGATGGCAGTGGTGGTGATGCTGGCTGTTGTGGAAAGTCGAGACCGAGACTGAGATTCAGATACATCTTCTTGGGCACGATTGGAAGGACGTGTGATGTCTTGTGTAAAGGTGTTATGAAAGAGGACTGTTTGTGGGTGAAATCCCGTGTCCATATCCGCGCCTGCGTCTGCATCTGCATCTCTCATTGTGCTGTCAATTGGCGAGTGATTTGGGAACATGTCCTGTTGCTTTGAGTCTGAGTCTGTCATCGTGCCGTTTGGTGTAGACATGTTTGATCCTTTTATCAGTTGTTGAATAGGTCGACCGTTGGACCGAGCCGGGATGGATTTCCTGTGATCAACAAATGACAACAAAGATGACAACCTGTAAGCTGTGCGGTTTCAGTAATGACAAAGATCAATGCGGATTGAAAGATGCGTTTGATTCAATGAAAGGGAAGAGATTTATTGCGCCGAGAGAAGGTCCTCAAGAGCAGTGGATGTGACCCGCGCCATATATGCTTTCTTTCTTTTCTGAAGGAAAGGATTCTTAGGTTCGTGCCTATTTGCCTTGACCCGCTTACAGAAAGATTCTGCCTAGCAAAGAAGGCTGCATTCAAACCATGTCGTTCCATACCCAACGCTATTGTCAACTTAGGCTCCGGGTGCTGCTCAGGCCAACTGCCCATCTGCTTAGGCTGGGGCTCAGTTCTTCAACCCTCGTGCTCATCAGTCCCAATCTTGGGTCCCTATCATAGCTGGTATAGCAGCCCGTGCATCACCGTACCGTGCCTTTCTTCGCGCAAAGATAGAAGCGAGGGTTGCTATATGTGTGAAGATTCCGATGGCTCTGCTTTGGGTTGTCGTATGTTCATTTGTCTGCTCGCTCCAAGTGTTGATGGACGTAGAAGTAGTAATTTTCTCGAAGCGGAATGTGCCTGCCAGCTGAATGATACTATATTTGGACATATCATGACTCGGTTGGAGCTTGATTTGAGTGTTTGTATCCCACATTTCCACATCAGATGATCCAAGGTATCCCGAGGGACAACTTGAAGTTAGGCACGATCCGGCCATACCTCGTCCATACCGACTGAGAAAAGATTGGACTTTGTTCATTGGACATAACGTCATACACGAAGAGTAAGTCTGTCTTTGTGGCCACTAATTACTCATTTGTGGTGTTCTGTATTTTGTCATCACGTAGCCAATGCTTCCAACTTTCGTCGCTTGACACTGAGTTCTGATCCTCATCGAGGGCGTTTTCTGCTTGAGGTCTTTTTTCATCGTCACGCATACTAACAGTAAGCTCCGAGATGCCTGGCTCCCAGGAAGTGCTCTCAGCATTTTCGCAAATCCTTGTATTGACTACCTCAAACCCCAAGTCTGGCGGGGTCTGAATTGTGCTAGGCCCTGTTGCCTCCGTTATCCAGCTATCTTGCGATGGTACATTCGAAGCCGACGGAACGTCGTCAGCCTGGGTTGGGCGGGTCTGTGTCAAAGACTCATCCGTAAGAAACGCAGTTGGCAGCGAATCTGGCGGCACCAGCGGAGTCGGGGTGGGTTCATCATTGACAGTATGGTTCGACGTCGAGTGAAGTGGCCCTGAGGGCTCTTCGTCGATGGATGGACGGATTTCGGGTGGGCCTTCTGGGTGCAGATTCGCTGTTGGGAGGCTTGGGTCATGTCGACGTATCGTTTCCGAGAGTTGTCCCAGGAAAAAGCCCACGAAAAATAGATTAGCGATAAACATAATTCGCTGGCCGTCTGACGCCAGTACATGGCAGCCAGGGTCATTTATCGAGGCAGTTGCGTCGCCACCATCACAACGCCTGTACTCGAGGAGTTGTAGCATCCGCATAACGTCATCGAAATCTTCTGGGAGAAGCGGTTCTCCTTGCCCTGTTCGCAGGATCAGTCATGTATCGAAAGTAACACAAAGCTGAGACACGTACATGGGTTCAACATTGCCCTGTACGGAATAAAGCTTGGGTAAGCCATGATGAATTTGTACCTCCAGATAAACACCTCGCGGTCCCCCCCAGACCTTTGAGCTTCGTTTCGCAGCTGCTCGTCACCCCAAGGGTCGAATTGATGGAGCTCCCGCAAGTTGTGATAACTTAAATGGCCGGCTTTAACATGCCAGAAGGACAGATGTTTGTGTTCCTGGACCAGAGTCAGTGCGACCGCTTTCGGAGCTCATGGTATGGCAATATGGGCATGGAAATCATCTGGACGTGAAGCTTACATCTCTTCTGAAGAGCTCCCGCGTAGTGGTGCTGCCCCTGCATGCACACTTCCAATACTTGACAGGGTCGAACTTGTAAAATATGTCCCCCAACCTCCTGGCAGCCGCCTTCCTCCTTTTGGAGCCAGAAGTGCTCGTAGCCAAGGATGAGGCCGAGTCGGCGGTCCATTGGCCTCCAGAAGGTTTCCCACGGCCAGGAGCAGGAGAGGACAAAGAATGATTGATCTGTGGCTGTGTATTTTGAGAGTCGCCGTACTTTCGCTTCGCGCCTTGAGATGCGTGCACCTGAGTGAGTATGATAAGTTGCACGCAACTCAGATAGGTAACGAGGAGGAAGACTGTAGCGGCGGTACGTTGAACTTGGAGCCAATCTTTCCCCGGGGAGGCAGTGCTATCACTTTTGACAGGAGCGAGACAGGAGACCAGTGGAGAAGAGTGTTTCTCAGCCCTAGCGAGAATCTCAGGGCGTTCCAACTCGGCGCCGTGCGGGGCATTCTCTGCGATGTTACTAGTCGCCGCTTGGTATCGACTTGCTTCGGATTGATCACTCCATATAGATTCCATCAAAGACAAATGGACGTCCATTTCGCTCTGAAGCTCTCGCGAGCGTCGTGACACAGTTTCGCCCGCGTAGAAGACGTCGGCACGGCAGCTCTGTCCTTGGAACCTTTTGATGGAGTATGTGCTGGATACACTGGACTGGCTTGCATTGCTCGTTGCTGAAGCCCCGGACCAGGTCGAGTTGTCGGAGCCATTTTCACTGGGGTCAGAGCCAGGAGAGCTAGTCATGATATACTGCGTGGCACACATCTTCGCCTAACAGTTATAACATCTACCAGCGACGTTTAAAAAGTACGTTTTCTTTGAAACTGCGTTCCAGGCGGCGCTTTCGATGAAAATAGAATGTTAATGCGGGCAACGCTGGTCTCAGTTCCTGTTGATGTTTCCAAACCGTTCTTGATAAAACCACGGTCTCTTTCTGAGGGTTGAACGCCCGTCACTGAGCAGAACAACGTTGTCAAGGATCGAGAGTATTTGCGCCCGCGGGACTCAATGACTCGATTGCTCTGATAACAGAGCTTCTGCCGTCGGGACAGAAGTAGCGGAGGAAGGCGGGAGAGACACAGAGCAATGGTGGTACTGTGACCAGGGGTTCTGGGTAGGCACTCACTCCTCAATTGGAGGTGGGTTGCTGGCTGTAGACTCCTGCTTTAAGTATGCCGCTTTGCGGCACGGTGTCAACGCAGATTCCTGACAGAAAACAATGGCAGAACCAAATGTATTGCCAGACTCACAATTGATATTGATCTCGAAGTCGTATAGAGGCCGCGGGGAACGCAGAAGCGCAGATGCACCTTGCGGTCATGCGCCAATGATGGAGGTGGAGGGAACAGCCCCCTGCATTCGATGACACCAAACGCGCCAAGCGGCGACCACAGCTGGTCACCACCAACAGACCAACTTCTCCCACTGTACTCTCCTCATTTGCAGTGTCGTTTTGTTCATGGAGAGCATGTGTTGTTATAGCATATTGCAAAGATGCAAATTCTTCTTGGTGTGCTTCTTGTATGTAGCTCACAATTTGCGTTGACTTCACTCGGTGACGTAGTCGCCGATGGAAGTGGTAAGCTATGCCGGTATTGCTGGTAGCCATCAACGCCGCAGGTTGGTGACCAGAACTCGTCGAGTGCGACGATTGGTGTGCGAGGACGGATTCCTCTGGCCGATGACCTCGTTGATTCACATCCATCTCTTGCGTCTGAACCACTCTCGTCCTCATCGCGCCATTATCAGAGACAAAGCAGGTGCTTGACCAACGTCCCCGACCTTATCGACTTTATGTCTGAGCCCCAGGAGCTCGCGGTTCTTCGATCAACAAGTCTGCGCAAGGAAGTTGCTGTTGCGCGGGCGCCGCCGGTAGCAGTGCACAAGCTTCGCACGGCAGTGGCCAGAAGAGATGGAAAGGGGAAACAATACCTCTTGAACATTAGGGATGGTCAGAGCGGTGGGGAGATTATGCAAATGTGGAATGATATGGAAGTCCATTCCAAATTTGTGGTTTGGTGGCACAAGATTCTGGCCATGAGACCGGCCATCTTCGAAGGTACCGTAACGATGGTAAGTGCCTGGCAAGATTGCTTGTAGCACCTTGCTGACTGTCATTTCTGTAAAGCAAAACGACTCAGATCTCGAGGCGGAACGTATTTCATGCTTCATTGCCATGGGTACCCTTCAAGAATTGCCGCAGCATACTTTCGCCTATTCAAAGCCGGGAGAGTTCCTCAGCTGGGCTGGTTTCGTCCATGACAACGCTCGCTTCTACCAGGCGGCCAATGGAGGCTTTGGCATGCAAAAGGCGCTGATTCTGGCATGGAAGACTGACAAGCTTCTTGTCGGCGTCATCACTGCCATCCTCACTCTAGTCAGCATCGCCATTGGGATCATCATCGGAATGGCGTGCCACAATGCTGGGTTGGGGATTGGCGTCAGCGCTACCATATTCACGCTGCTTGCTTTCCTGGCTTTCGTACTGAACAAGTCGATGAAGTATGCTATTACCCCGTTCTCCGCCGGCAGATCCATCTGACATTGTGATTAGGTATTGAAGTCTCAGGCAGATTTCATCGATGATGCTCGTTTGGGGGCGAATAGTTTTATGAACCAAAGGGAAAGGAAAGAAACTAGATATTTAGTTCTCACGAGGAAACAAATATGTGGGCATCATGTGAGACTTTACCCAGAGCATGATCTGTCATTGGGATCTCACCATGAACGGTTTGTAATCTTGATGTAGACGGTGGTGTTGTAAGCCTTTTATTGTAGACGAAGGATCTCTGTAGGTACTGTAGGCAATAGCTTCCAGGCTGTCAAGGCAATTAACCCCGGGCAATTCCGCATTTTTCCTGCGCCGACATTTTGTGCTGAAATGCTGAAATGAGGCTCCCTAAAAGGCAGACGCATAGGCGCAGCGAAGGCTCGTGCGTGACCACAACATCTTGCTGGTCCAAGTAAATCTTGATCACCAGACACTGGACCAACTTGTTGTGTACGGGAGTCCTTATGCCTGTATCGCACCCCGACAGTCTTTCCAGTCATCCAGACGAAAATTAAAGGTGGCCATGTTTCGCCTCTTCAAGAAATTTGACTGTCCAGGCAAACGCGGTTCATTGGCGATGTGGATCCCCAAGGAAAGACGACACGTTTCGCAAATTGCTACTGTATGTACAGTTGACAGACACTCCCGTCCACTTGAGCCTTGCACCACAGTGTCATGAACGAGGTCAGGCTTCCAGGGATTATTGTTGATCACGTTCATGTACAGCTGAAGGATCGTACTCGAACCCACCAATAAGGCTAACCTGTCGAGTCTTGTCATCTTATACGATGAAGCGGCTTAAAATAACGCCAACTTCTCATTCGAGACCCATGCTCTAAAAGGGAGAGCTTACCAACTATACCTAGTATAAACAGGTACCTAGGTATCCAGAGTACTGTTTTTAGGAGGTATTCTCGAATACTTCAACACTAATGTAACAAATAGGCTGCGAAGGAGATACGGAACAGTGGTTTTGTTCACGCGGAATAGATAGTAATCTGTTACTGAGTGGGAGCGATGGAAACGTCAGCCCTTGCGAGGGCTTGCTGGGAGTGTAAAAAGTTCTACAAGTAGTTCCTTTGTGTGCATAGTTGCAAGGTGCTCAACATGAAGAGAAGTGGCAGATCATGAAAGAGAGACTTGTTTATTTGGTCCACCTTGGAAAGCTCCATGTCTGACGTGTACATTCTGCCGCTTCCCCCCACATGTTGCTCCGTAGCTTCAGCCAGGTGCTTGTCAGACATTTGAATTTGACCAAGTACAAAGTCTAGGCTACAACCAATTTTTCTCTCTATGCTGTACATACACTCTCATAAGACATAGGAGTATGTAGATACTGATGAAGACGAATCATGGTAAGGCTCCATCGTCGAAATGACACTGTCAATGTTGCAAGCGAAATTATATACGTTCGGTGAAAAGCCAATGGCATTTTCAAGTAACTGCCTCGAGGCAGTGAGGTCAAGATGAGATACCAAAAAGTGAAGACCAGCCATATTCCCTCATAAAACCCTCCTTCACATCCCTCCTACTTCCACACGTCAAAATGGCCTAGGGCCATCCTCTTTCATCGCTCCAAATATCCTTGATTCTTTCACGCCACGACAAAACACAAGCAACACCCAGCCACATCCTCAAGAATTGCAGGTCATCATGGCTCAGCCTGGCGACCTGTCAATCTTGAAAAGTTTTCCAGAGCGGACTGCCACCGACTCAGATGATGGCTATCGTCAGAAAGTTGAGGAATTCGTAGCTCATTGCCTAAGACTGATTTTCAGGAGGACAGCGATCGTGGATGTTAATGTGGTTTAGTTCGAAGTACTGGACTACATGGCACGCCTCCCAGAAAGTTGGCGCGAGCACATAGAGAAAGGTCAGATGAAAGCGCGAGGAGAGCCTCACGACCTGACACTCCGATTCAGGACTCGGCATGATGCTGGGATAGCCTACAACCTTGACAACTTTCTTGGATTTGGTAAATTGAGAATGGAGATGAGAAATTAGACGACTGAAGTGACATCAGTTCATAGCCTGCACAGGCGATGCGAAACGGAATGATTGACCAATCCAATCTAAACGAGGATCAACACATTGCTCTTCAAAATCAATGAAGATGAAATCATTGACATAGCAATGAAACGAAATGAGCAAGAGAGAGACTTCATTGCGCTTTTGCCTTTTCGTTTCTTTTTACTTCTCTTTTGGGGATGTGACTTTCTCATAAATCATCGTACTATCTTCCTTAATTTCACCTCGGGAACATCCCACACAACGTCTCTGACACTCACACGCTGCCTCGCTGGTATCTTCATTGACAAATGTCCTGGACACCCAACCCATTCTTCGTTATGGATGAGTAGAAGCGGACCTTTGCATCCTTCCTCAAGTACCAGTCCTTGATTGTCTGAACTAGACTCATCCCCTCCACCACCACCCGTGTTGGTCAACCCAATCGCCCTCTTTGCTCTCGTACTGACACACTCGTATAACCGAGTCGCATCATCTTCAGTACCTGACTGATATATTCCCACTCCCATCGAAGCCAAAGATATCGGATCCCCGTTACCCCAAGGAGTGAAGGCGTTTCCTACATTATTCACCGACAGACAAGCGTCGATACCTTTTTGGATCATGTCTAGTACTTGTAAAGTCCCCCGGGGTCTTTTTGATGTATATCCGTCGTGACTATTTGTTGAAGGTCTCCCCATCATGAACAAATCACTCGTGGGTAAACCCACAAAATGAATGGGTAATTTTGGCTCCCTAATTTCTTCCGCGAGTCTCGACATTTCGGTGTTGGTAAACAGCGTTAGACGTGTACAATGACCCAAAACTATCGTCTTGTTTGGGTTCGCACGTTCCTTCCATTTCGCTTCTTTCAGGAGACGGATCACGTCCCATACCAAGGCAGGTTGATCTTGGTCGAGGTTATAATCGAGATGAAAATCTAGATTGAGAGAATATTTTATAGCCGTTTCGATTGCCCAAGTGATGTTTTCCAACGACGCTTCCCTCGAGGTTTCGACGTAAGGAGTCGTTCCTAATGCGCCGATGTGCCTTTTCGGCCCGTCGTGGTCCAACGCAGCTTCTAGGATCCTTAGATTTTCCGACCCGTACTCCGTACTGAATATAGGATCTTGTGCGAAGGCACAAATCTGTACATTCATCTGCTTTGCGAATGCCGTCTGAAGAGATATGGCCGCTTCCAGGCACAATGTTTTCGTGACGTGGTCTAGTTCGACAAAGGCTCGACATGAAGTGACACCTTGTGTGAGTGACGTTCCTAGTAGTTGTGAACCACGTAGATACAAATCTTCCGAGGTGTAACGTCTCTTGGCCTCGGACGTCTTTGTCAGTGCTTCACCGAATGAACCTGATTGAGGTGCTAGGTCGGTGTAGTCTGGCAACCCATTACCGCCCGAATCACTTTCAGCCGAAGAAAACGGTGGATTGTGTTGAACGTTACAGGTCAGAATGTATGCTTTGTCGAGATGAATGTGTGGATGACAGAGAGTTGGTAGAAGAAGTGATGCAGGTTCCGCCGACTCTGACTTGTTGGGTGGTTCGGTCGTCGGGTCTATGGATGTTATCGTGTTGTCGTTGTCGAAATCGATGGTGACAGTCCAACGAGATTTGGAATCTCTGCATGGAAGAATGACGTTTTCGAGTTTCATTGTAGTCGGTCTTCGACAAGCTTATCTGTCTGCGTCCAGTACTTTGTTGTGATGGTGGTGCTGTTGCTGCTGTGGAGGGCTCATTCGATAAAACCCTTTTGCAGCTATCGAAACAGACTCGTACATCTGGTGTACGACATTTCGGTAGCTTTCATCGATCAGTACATCTGTCGTAAGTTATCGACGGAACTTGGTGGAAATGGCTGTGATTGTGTCGTGATATCTATCAACTGATCCGGGGGGGCAATATGTTTAAGCGATGGTTTCGGCGTATCCCGCTTTCTGTGTAGATAATGACAAAAACGATCCTTTTATCATTGTGACAAGTCTCTCCCGGAGAACGAAGGCAAACAGTCAGTATGCTATACCAGAATTGCTTCAACCCCGATGGAATAAAAGCCCAAGGTGAGGCATGATATATGCTTATGGACAGAAGTAGGTAGTAGTTTGTCATGACTTTTCTGATGATGTCAGCATAGTGTGGTCTACTAAAGGCGATCCGGAGCCATGTTGCTGAACCGGAGAATGCTCGAAACATGAGCATGAGTCCAAGGACACCTAAATATTCTTTTTGGATCACCGTGCTAGTACGGAGTAGTAGTCACTATCCTAATCGACGACTCCCTTGGGCAATATAGCTATATAATCCAGCGGTGCCGGCTCAATTCCATCAGGAGTACCGACAATTATGAGGACATCCCCCTTTGCGATAGTGACGTTCCTGAACGTGATTCTGGTCGCCGAATGCGCATCCAAGTACACAGAAGCAGCGTGACCGAGCCTACCGGAGTCCACGTTGTCGCCCAGCCAGCTTCCAACGGTGTGATTGTTGATGGACACGGTCCACGATGAATTCCCTCCCATCATGTCAAAGTAGTTGACGGCCAGGTCGTATGTGCCGTTGGGGAAATTCAAAGTCGTCGAGGCGGTGCCGGTGGTGGAGTTTGAGCTCGTCACGATGCCAGTGGCGTTGCTGGCTGCTTCGAACGGAGAGACCGCGTACGGCACGTACCCGTCCAGCGTCATACTTTCGGCCTGGATGCGCCATGGGTGATTGCCAACACGGCCACCAGCGTCGGCGATGCCGGAGAGGTTGTGGTAGAAATTGGCAATGGCATCGCGCCACACGATCGAATGGCCAGCCTGGAAAGTCAACCGGAAGAGTGTCTCGTTGTACCGCTCCTCGTCAATCTTCCCCTGCAACCCTTCCCACTGTGTGACGAAAGTCTGGGCGACGTCGGCCCCTTCGTAATGTGCATCGTAAAAGTGTTGGATGACCGTCTTGCCAGAGTGCAGCTTATGGGTGTAGTTGACATGGTGAAACCACAGGACCAAATTGTCCGGGGTCGTGCTGATGTTTTCGTACATGGCGGCGACCTCGGCAGGGTATTGACCAGAGTAGCCGGTCCCGTTGCTCACAGTCCGGTCCATGCCAATGGTCTTGTGGTCAGCACGAGTCCATTGACCCCAACCATTGTTATCCTGTGACTGAGGGTTCGGTCCAAAGTGAGTATACAAGATGTCCGTCAACGTCTGAATACCAAGATTCCCACTGTAGTTCTCGTAGGTGGGCCATGATGCCATGGACAGACTTGTGATTGTTTTCATGACGGTCGGGTCTGGTCCAAAGGTCAATCGAATCCAGTCTTGGAGCATGGCTTCTGGATCATCAGCCGGGTTCCACGCCAGCCGACCGTACGCGTAGAGGTTGGACATGGAGAGGTGGCTGCCTAACCATGTCTGGTTCGTGCCAACATTCACGACAGCCGCAGAACCACCAAGAGGACGATTGAAACGTTTGCCGGTGATAATATCCCGGACAAGCGATGGCTTATGATCAACCCTCAGGTCGAAATCGAGTACCGTCTTCCACAAGGGTGGCAGATAGACGAGATGGCATTGTTGACCGAGATATTCTTGTGTCACTTCCAGTTCAATGGCGGTGCTTGTGTTTTGTAGATGTGCGAAAAGAGGGGAGGTCGGCTCACGGACCTGAAAATCGATCGGTCCATATTTGATCTGGACAATAACATTGTCGGCAAACTCCCCGTCGAGCCCTTTGAAGAAATCAACAGCTGCATTTGCCCGGTCGGCTTTCCAGTCGCTCTCATTGATCTGATCGTTGTACACAAATGCCCTGAACATCAGGATGCCTCCATGAGGTTTGAGGGCATTTGCGAATAGATTGGCGCCCTGAGCGAGTGTACGGTTGTACGTCAGGGGACCTGGTTGACCTTCGGAGTCTGCTTTCACCAGATATCCGGCCATGTCAGGAACTCTGCGGTAAATGGCATCTGTAACATTACTCCACCATGAGATGACGCCCTTATCCAGGGGGTCGAACGTGGTTAGGTTGCCATAGGTCAAGTTCGCTGCTGGCGAGGCGAAATTCAACGAAATGCCGACTTGAACACCATATGGTCGCATTGCATCGGCCAGCCTCCCGAGTCCCTCTAAGTTTGCAGGGCTCAAAAGCGATGCATTTGCGTTAACATTGTTTACAACGACCGCGTTAATCCGGATGGATGCCAACAGGCGAGCATATTCCGAAGCTCGGTCGAGATTGTCAACAACGAGGCCATTTTCAAAGAAGATCGAAGGTCCGCCATAACCTCGTTCAATGGAACCATCGAGATTGTCCCACTGATTGACCCATCGGACCGGTGCACTTGGGTTCGAAGCGTATGCGACTTTGGAAAAGTTTCCCTGGGCTAGCATCGACAGATACTCGAAAGCACCATAGAGTGCGCCTCGTTCATTTTGTCCAAGGATCTGCACGGTAGGGCCGGTAGTGTTGAGCCAGAAACCGTCGGCTTCGAGAGACGGAGTTTTTGCAGAGTGTCCATAGGCGTTGGAGTATTCAATGAGGGTGCCGACGACGATGGATGAATCACTGTCGGCTTCGTGACTGGTAATGCTCAGATTCTGACCGAGAATTCCGGAGATACCTTTTTGGAGTTCAACGCCAGCAATATGCACGGGGTCGTTCACCGACGTGTTGAGTGACACAATTCTGGAAGGTAGAGAAGGTATGGAGTTTGCCGAATGCAATGGGGCATACCGGAGCCAGGCATCGATGCCACTTTCGGCGGCAACGGAGCCAACATAGAGGAACAGGGAGAAAGATAACATGGCGACGCGCACAGTGTCTTCATTCTGGATGATATGGAGGTCCCTCCATATTTGTATCCTTTAGCGATCATCCGCCGATCCCTTTCGACAAGCTTTCCTCCGGTCAATCACTGGAGCTTGGATTTTATCCCCCAGACTCCAGGTCAAGCTTGTACCTCATCGGCATCTTTCCACGCCGCTGGTTGGCTGGCAGCTATAGCTTTCCCAGATGTTCAACCTGGAACGGAAGGGATTTTCTTCTCGGTAGATGCTTCGCCGACGTTGGGTATTCAGGCAATGTTCCGATGAAGGTGAATCTTCGGCTAAAGCCCCTCTGGGATAGAATTCAGGCTATATTTGCAAAACCTTTTGGAGCATGGAAGCCATTTCAGAGGGAGGAGAGAACGCATTCTTCTCCGATGTAATGGAACGAATTGAACGGCAAATGAATTTCGGGGAAGAAAGCGGTTCATATCGTGGAATCCTTCTATGTGCATGCGACCCAGAGTGGTCAGAGTCGAGGGAGTAATACAGGCTGCATCTGAGTTCCCAATGCCGCGCCGAAGAAATTCTACGGCACAGTATATGGCATGGTAATGACAACCATGGATCCCATGGTTGAGCTGCGGCCGCGTACACTGTAACATTGATCTCACGTCCACCGCTGTGGCATGTGAATGGGCGCACTGAAGAGAGTATGCCTTGGTGAGTCCTCGTAGGCATGTTGTGCTTGTAATCATGGCATGATCGAGCTGGCCAAGACTACAAGAAGAAAGTTCCAGCAGTGCAGGGACGATGGGCCCCTCTCCAGCTGGACCATGTTGTCTGCCTGGCCGTTTCTCGTCAAGCTGATTTGTTTTAAGGAAGAGATAATACGAGTACGAGATCCTTCATCGTTTCCATGGCCAGTCAACAGGGAGTAGGGAGGCTGTGTTGCATATCATGGCTCTTGGCTCTAGTGTAGTGGTAGGCCTCGAGAACAAGTCTGACGGAATATTGAGCACGGTGATATGCAAGACTCCTTGAAGAAGTTGATATGCCAGGATGATATGCCATCTAAAATCATCGTATCATTGAGACAGCTTTACCAATGCACACCTGGACATGACCTTTTGAAGCTGAGCCACGACAAACATGCATATTTGTTCTCCGCATATTCCCTGTCTTGATTGGCTGAGATCCCGAATACGAAGGGTTTCCTCTTTCAGCTCGGTCCACGAGGAGCTTCGCACCACTTTACTCCGTCCATCACACTCTTCTTTCACCCTTTCAGTATTCTGAAATGAAGCCGTATTCGTGATGCGATGGGTCTTCAAAGTCTTGGATTGACCTGCTCTGTAACGACATGGCCCTCGTGTGGGTTCAGAGACCCCATCGTTGTTGCGAATACGACGATAATCCAAAGCAGGCCGCAGGCTTGAAGATTTCAACATGAAATGAACATGACAGACTCGACGCGTATATATAGACCGTCTGATATCTTCATGGCTTCGTTGTCAACCCATTCATGTTTCGTTCCAACAATCTTCAAGGCACACAGTCCTTTCCAGTTTCTTTTTCGCCGCAGTTCTGAGCGGACACGGCTCATCCTTTACTGACAGCGCCTCCAAAGGACACGGGCTCGAGTATTTGGGATAGAACAATCTTACCTTGTGTTCAGGATCCATCTTTTAACCCTCGCCGTACCCAAGCGCCTTCACCTCGAAACAGTTCGACTTCTGAAAATCATTGGACAAGGTCCGACATGTCGAACTCCAACAATAATACTTCTTCGTCCACCGATGACCCTCACTTGTACTTTTATTCCCCTTCCACCGCTGCCGCTGTCGTCTTCTCAGTACTCTACCTCCTTCTGACCCTATGGCACTTTTACATCAACTTTATAGTTGCTCGGCGGCGGTTCGTCAAACACAAGTACACGATTCCGCTTTTCGTTGCGGCATTGATATCCACAGTTGGCTGGGTGGTACGCATTCTTTCCGTACGGAACGACACATCCATTCCCCTGTACGCGACCTCGGCATCTCTGATTGTCATAAGTCCGATCTTCGTCTGCGCCAGTCTGTATCTCCTTCTCACACGCCTCATTCGAGCCACACTTCCCAACGGTCCTGCCCAATCATTCTTTGGGATAAAGCCCTCCTGGATGGGAAGATTGTTCATCACGAGTGACGTTTTCAGCTTTTTGACACAGTGCAGCGGCTCCGGAATAGCGAGTTCAGGCAACTGGGAGGGCAATTTGAAGGATGTCGGAACCAACGTGCTGCTTGTGGGGTTGGCGTTGCAACTTGCCACCTTTACCGTATTCCTTACTGTCATGGTGCGATTTGTGCGCAGGGTGACCAGGAGTCGAGATACAGACTTCAGCCCGTGCGTGAAAAAGGTCGTTATCGGCGCAAACATTGCGAGTTGTTTTGTGCAGGTTCGATATCTCATCCCCCTGTCTGCGTTGTAAAAAGTCGGTGGTCTGGACTGACAAAGTTGTAATTAGATTCGTTCCATTTACCGTGTCGTCGAATTCGCCCTTGGTATCGACGGATACCCATTCAACCACGAGTGGTGCCTTTACGTCCTCGAAGCGGCGCCGATGTTTTGTGCCCTGGCCATCCTTGCATATTACCACCCTGTCCACTGGATGCAAGACATGCCTAGAGCCGAGGTTGGATTGGAACATATTGGCCGGAATGCCAAAAGACCAAACGCCGCTCTCAGCGGTGCATAGAAGTTAGAGTCAAAAGGAGGAATGAAAACCGTACATCATCATCATCATCCGATAAGCTGAGAAATTGTCAAAGCGCGAAGACACCGGAATAAGCAGTGAGAAGTGTTGTTGAAAGAATATGGGAAGCAACTGATCATCGAATGTTAATACTGGCTCGACATGACGAGTGTGATACTCGCCTGCGCCCGGGTCGCGATTGTTTGGCACGGGGCGGCCTGAAGCTCCGGAAGACAACTAATTGTTCTGCATGTACAAGGAGGCCATGGTCGTAAGGTCATATTATTCAATCGTTCTGAGATGAGAAAGTGTCTGGAAATCAATTTCGCTGCGTCAAGTTATCCAAATCGAGCTCCTTGAGCTAGAGGCCGATACTTCAGTTCCGTCTTGCTTGCAACAACATGCTATAGGCATGTCATTTCTTCATATCTTGCTATGGCGGGGCCAGGATTGTGTTCGGCGTTATATCTCTTTTGGTTAGATGTAATTGCAACACCGAGGGCAACTGTAAAATTCCGCCATTCAGTTCCGCAACCACCGTAGAGATAATATTCTGCGGCCAAGAGAGAAACTGAGCATACTCCGAATTTTCCAGCCGCAGGAAAATGCTCTCGGCCCACTCGGTGACACCATAAAGGACACGTATCCTCGATACATCTGCGCGATGCATGAACTCGTGCGTCGCAAGTGGAACGATGAGCAGTTGAACCCCCACAAAGTAGGAGAGGAGGAGCTGAGCCACAAGGTTGTTTGGGTCGAGGAATGTCTTGAACGAGTCGTGGCACAAATCGTACCATATTGTATATAGTTCGGTGAATTGCATATACCCTGATGCTGAACTGGTCTGCAACGCGCTTACCACATCTACCAGTCCAGCATGGAAGTTATAATGGGTATCGTCGCTCAACAAAGGACTGATTTCCTCAAGAGCGAGGTATGCGTCTTCGAGCAACGTTGGATCGACGGTTGGGAGATGTTCGAGCCGAGGCGCCATGAACTTCAAGTGCCAATCGGGTTGTAAATTGAACGCCGTAGGAGAGAGTTCTCGTTGAATCTTGTCCGTAGTCAACGCGCAGCCTCTGACCATGGTGATGAAGTCTGTCAAGCCGTCACCCATATACGATGCTTGGAAAGTCAAGGCATAACATGAAGCCAGCATGGCGTCAGATTCGCCGTAACAGCGGGACGCTTGACTCAGAGCCTGGTTGAGGCCTGCAAGCGCCTGGCCACGATGGACAAGGGACTCGCGGCGGTAGTCGATGCCCGTCAACCGACCGAGATGAGATGCGCCCAACGACAGGATCGCATGCATGAGATACTCGTGCTGTTCGGCAAATTGCGGTATCTCATGAACCCACACGTGGTCATTGCCCACGGGCAAGTGAGGATATGCGATAGTCAAGAAATGATGAAAGAAGCGCATATCCACCATGGAAAAGGTCACTCCTGCGAAAGATGGTGTCGCAGGTGGATTCCGTTTGATCAACGGCAGGTTGGACCTGCGCGCCGGGGTTTCTGTAGGATAGACACATGGGATGCCTTTGAGTAAGCAGCTCCCACATTCGGGCTTCTGCTCGCCACACTTGATCTTGCGGGCTTTACAACTGAAGCATCCCGCCCGCGACTTTTTGTGCGACCGGCGTGTCAGATTTGGTGCCAGGGTGCGGGATTTGGTGTGCTTCCGGCCATCGCCATCTTCGTGGGCGGAGAGAGAGGCGTCTGCAGAACAATCCCAAGGCGAGAGTGAGTTGGTGGGTGTCAAACTATCACCCGAAAGACTGGTACTGTTTGTCGGACTCATTTCTGAATGCTGCTGGGAAGAGGCAGAAATTCAGGCTGCGAGGGAAGCAGGCATGATGGAGTCCTGAATATTAGTTTTCTGGAACATTTTTTGGGGTCCGGAAGTTCTTCATGGCCAGTGCCAGGTGCCCCCTATCAATCAATGCAGGGCTCAAAGTACGGAGTAGGCGTAGGTCACTCTCCTAGTTTACACACGGTTAGAGTCAACAGGCGACCCAAGCAACAGACAGCATCAGATTTCCCCGACGGTTGAGCCACGAGCCACGATCGGGTATGGTCGGCCAGGCACGAGGCATAAACGAAATGAGATACTGCGAAGGGTCTTTCAGCTCTACGAGTCAAGTGCTCCGTCCTCGCAAGGGGAGGTCAGGCAGCGAAACGTTTCAGCCTGGCAGAACACGAGAATGTGACGCCAGAATGCAAAATGAGTCCAATAAGGAAGGACAGCAGTACAGAAGGACACTGCAGTAGGTTTAGGCGTGCGCCCTTTGCACTCCTTGGTATGGACAGGGGGTAAATGTCCATTGGAAGATATTGATTTTAGGGCCATATTGTCGCCATTGTCGACAGGCCTCAGCGGCTTGACACGGGCCTCCCAAGACTGTGTTTTAGGTGGAGATGAGGCTTCATGGGCGTGATTGATCCAGGGTTCGTGGGCCAAAAATAGGAGGATCGTCCTCTTCGCTTCCTGGGCGGAGAATTCCACTGTCTGTTAACGGCAATTCATCGTACGGCGGTCAATCCCAGTGGTCAATAAATGGTGCATGACTCCAAGGCGGAAACGGATGAAAGGAGCAAGTCCATCCCATGCCCACGAGGATTTCCAGGATTCGTTCCGCTCTTGGTTGCTATATTACTGTACTGTAGTCCCTGAACAAAAGTCACGAGGCTTGAGGAAAAACCGAGAATTACCGTTCATCGTGCCTCGGAGCGGGAGAAAATGGGGACCTCTTGAGGGAGCAGTGTGTATTGTATCAAGTAAATCGCGCAACAGCAAACCCAATATTGACCTCATGGTGGAAGCGCATTTCCCGATTGTTTCCATTGAGTCAAATGAGAGAAAAGAGGCTTCATGCTGACTCAAGGAATTTGGTCATTGTTATGTATGCCCATTATTGAGTCCCAGTTGGAGTATCGAAGTTTTGAATTCAGAGGATGCGAAAGAATGAGTAATCAATCATCTGCCTCCGTACGAGATACCCGCTACGAGTAGACGTCGGGGACTTATCCCATTTCCTCCCTGACCTCGCCCATCGGATTGATCCTAGAGGCGTCAACCTGCTCATCGTCCAGGCCAGTCGACTTGGTAGTTGACACGTTCTCCTTTCCGCTCAGAGGATCGATCTTTGCTCCCTGGATGGCTTCATCCCTACCAACAACACCTTGACTGTCTGCATGTGGAGCGGGATGTTGGTACTGGCCTAAGCCACAGTCGATTAACATGGGAGTCATGATCAGGCATTCTGGATCGAGGGAAGTCAAAACACAAGTATTATACGTACCTGCCCCTCCGAGAGGATCGATTCGAGTTTGATCAATGCTTCTATCAGTACCTGCAGCGCCTCTCGAGGATTGATCGTGAGGATAATCAGTCTTGGTGTCAGAAGCAAGAGGATCAATCTTTGTAGCAGAAATTTTCTCGTTACTTCCTGATGCGCCGCTGCCAGACTTGTCAATGTTGATGTTTGGGGCCGCCTTCAAAGACCGTACCTAGACATTGTTGTTGATGTGCCTGTGATCGTTCTGTGATTGATCGTGTGAGCTGTTGCTAACAATGGGTTAGGATGTAGGGAATGATATCTTGTCCAGGAATTCTTCTGCGATAAAGATAGGCGGGCAGTCACTTGATATCATACTGGCATCATCCTGCGAGTTCAGGCATCGCCAAAATCAAGGAAGTTTCTTCCGGGCTCTACAGTTCTGATATCAGACTGGTGATCAATGACTTCACATGTTGCAGCACTGTGGACAGGGATGACATTGAGCGGGGTGAGGCATTGTGAGCCTAGGCAGGCATGTGCCCATCCTCATACGAGTATCAGCGACTGGAGGCTCATCGGTGTGACATCAAAGCACTTCCAACTTCGTATCCAAGGAGAGGTCTTATTGATGGTTGCTCATCCGTTTCCAAAGTGAAGTAATGAAGGAGCGCAGGTGTTGGGAAATCAAACTAGAGTTATATAGGCCCCTTAACATCACTCCGGTGCCTTAGGTATGGTCGAAGAATTCATTCCATTGCTGTAACATCTGGACATTAACACGAGCAAGATTCGTCTGAATTAATGCCGAGGTATTTGAGACGCGATGATGTTGTTGGCGATCGATGACGGCGTCATTTGAATGCCAAACCTGCCTCCATCGCAGTGTTACTTCTTGATGGAAACTGTTAAATCTTGAGGGTCGTGATAAGACATGCTTGAGACCAGGTAATGTATCTTGCGCTGCAATTCTTCCTACTCCTTCGCTCTTTCATTCTCTTTGTCGCAAACTGTACAGGAGCGGATCTCAATACCCTCCAATACCTGCAGGTTCCCCTTCTCTGCGCCCATGGATGCTTCACCATCAGCCCTCATTCGACTGCTTCTTCCTCGCATACCACTCATCCTTAAGACTGCTCTTCTCAACATCCTGTCGCTATCCGAAAATTCGTCGAGACAAGATGCAAGGACTGAGATTACTGTTGCGCTCATACGGTCCATTACGCAGGTTAGAAAACCAATGCGATTCCTGCAGAGGGTCTCAACTCGAGACCCTGGCATAAAGGGTCCAGTGCTGGTCTCGAAGGACACAATTCCAGCTCCAATTGACCACACTATAAGAGATGCTCTTGACACAGCTATCAGGGAGCTTGGGGATGGTTCGGAAACATACACCCTTCCCGAAATTGTGGCTGTCGAGACAGAATGGATCACATATAAGGCCGGGGTACCGGCCAACGAACCTAGAGCTGATGTGACGGAGAGGGGCCACTATCAGACCATCATGGAGAATATTTCCTCGCCGACAACTATCTTATATTTCCATGGAGGTGCCTATTTTCTCATGGACCCGGCCACTCATCGGACTACTACTTCTCGACTCGCAAAGTTGACTGGTGGACGTTGTTATTCCGTTCGGTATCGTTTGGCACCGCAGCACCCATTCCCCTCGCAGCTTCTTGACGCTTTCATTGCATATCTTTCATTACTCTCGCCTCCTCAGGGAATGCATCACGAACCTGTCTCTGCCCGGCATATCGTCTTCGCAGGCGATTCAGCCGGGGGCAACCTTGCAATTGCACTGATGCTATTACTTTTGACGTTGAAGAGGAAGGGTATTCAAAGTATCAACTTTCACGGCGCTGAAGTTTCTATAGAGTTACCAGGAGGCGTCGCCATCAACTCTCCATGGGTTGACATTGGACTCGCTCTACCCTCGTTGCAACGCAATGCCCACTTCGACTACCTTGATCCGCCAAGTGCCGTCGGTTTGTCCAAGACAGAGCCACTTCCAGATGACCTATGGCCTACAAGTCCTCCGCGTGCAGAAATCTTCTGCAATGCTTCCATGATGATGCACCCTCTAGCCTCTCCGTTGGCTGCTCCTCCAAAGCTTTGGGAGGGAATGCCACCAATCTTCATGTGTCTAGGCAATGAGAGCCTCGAAGATGAGATCACCTTGATGGCACGCAAAATGCATCAAGGTGGCGGGATTGTGGACTTTGCGGGTTTTGAAGGCATGCCTCATTGTTTTGCCATGGTCTTCCCCGCATCGCCTATGGCAAGAGATTGCTTCGAGCGCTGGGCAAAATTTTGCTCAAATACCACTCAAGGCGAAAGGCGAAAGTCAAGTAGAGCTTGCTGGGCGAAAGCATTTTCCAATCCACCGGAACACGAAGACGTGGAACTGGACCAGATCAGTCAGATTAGCGACGAAGAGGCATTCAAGTTCATGAAGAAAAGACAAGAGCAATCCATGAATCGAGAGCAAGAAGCTGTAACTAAATGGCAAGAACAACAATCAAGAGCGAAATTATGAGCTGCCATCTGCAACAACAGTATGGGATCAACGCGCAGTTGTCAGCATCGAACAAATCATGGCGCCGTCTCGCTCCTTGTCTGTCCCTAATGCCCTCACAATTTGGGCTTGCTCGCAGGATCAATCCGCGGCCTAGAGCCAGTATCGACCTCGCTATACCACGGGTAGAACGGAGGTCCATCCCTTTCCAGGGTAGCCGCGAATCTTGGCTCACGCTTCTCAAGGAAACTCTTCACACCTTCTTGACAATCCCTACACTCTCATCAGCCAGGGCCTGTTCATGGAAGGGGACACATACCTGTTCGCAAACATATGATAAAGTACGGCACTGTCAAGAAGATGTGTTTCCTCAGCCGTGGATTTACCTCTCCACATCAATTCTCGATTCAGAAAGCTGGCCATGATACTTGTCTTGTCAGCAATGTTTGTTGCCAATTGCAACCCTCTCTTAAGCACATCTTCTTGTCTTTCAATGACCTCTTGAAACAAGCCGCCAAAATGCTTCGAGTCTCCTCGATAGACGTCACCTGTGGTCAAAAGGTATACGGCGTTGGAGTACCCAATGAGCCTGGGCAAGAAGAATGAGCTGTTCGATTCCATGGTGATGCCTCGCCTTGCAAACACAAAGCCGTACTTCGATGAGGCATGAGCGATCCTTATTGCCGCGGAAAGACCCATTGTCATGCCGAGACCCACAGCAGGACCATTCATGGCCATGATTGTTGGCTTGCGACAGCGGTATATGCACAGATTCAAGCGGCCGCCTCTGTACAAGCATCAGCATATACTCCGTTTCCATTGTGTGGGTATCAGTACGGATCACGCTTGTCAGTCAATCTCTCATTAGCACCATCACTTGGAAATCCGATATCAAGGTCTGCTCCAGCACAGAACATCTTCCCTGCCCCGGTGATAACGACGACTTTGACTCGTTCATCGAGATCTAGCATTGGGTAGACAAGCTCGAAGTCCTGCACCATTTGAAAGGTGAATGCATTGCCTTGTTTGGGGCGGTTGAGTGTGATGACTATTATCGGTGTAGCTTCACTAGCATTTTCAGGATAATGGGACACCTTGATGTCCTTGACCGGTAGGTTGGTGTAATCTCGTGGTATCCGTACTTGAACTGGGTCGGGAAGCATGACTGATTTCTTCGAGCCGTAACAAGAGGACTGTGGTATTTAGAGACGTTCAGGTAACTTGGAAACGATAGCAAGACTTGGAATGGAAGAGGTCTGATATAGCAGCATATAACAATGTAACTGCAGCTCGTAACCGTGTAAGGCCTCGGAACTGAATAAATGATTTGTGATCCTTCCACGCAAATGAGACTGATGCTGTGATTTTACCTCGGGTATACATCTATATCATTTACGTGGATACAGTCACGTCAGATTCAAACAAGCATGGCATTGACGATTTAACAACAGAAATAGATGTGTTTTGAAGAAGAAGAAGAAGAAGCAGCGTGAAGATGGGTGTGCGTTGAACACTGCATCTACTCGTAGCCGGGGACAATATTTCGGATGTCAAGTTATTCCGATCCGAGTCTCATTGGCATGAATTCGATCTGCGGAGTATCAAATGCCTTGGGACTGAGTCACTGCATCCAAGACACATCGCTCCCTAGAGAGAGGTTCATAATGACTACTATCATTTGGTTGCGAGTATGCCTTCACTATTGCTAACCTGTGTAAGCTACCTCGTGTTGCCGATCACCCTTGCTCGCTGAGGACAGACATCCCTTTCTAGATATATGTACCAGTCCCTGATAATCCCGTGGTCGCAAGAGCCAAATGAAGCTGAACGACAATATCGCGATGCTGGCCTTGTGAAGACCAAAGGCACAATGTTCCTGCTTCCTCCCTCCACCGATGTCTTACGCGAATCCTTCAATTCTCCCCCTCGACCCAAAACACGGATGTCGTCAGGTGCAGTGGCTCTTTGTAAACATTTCGAGCGCGGAGGTGCATCTTCTGAGCACGGCCGACATCATCCTTTCTGGTCTCTGCCTGCTGGGAGCAACGAGAACAAAACAAATACTGCGGGTCAGATATTGGAATCCATGTTGGCGCAGGCGGTCTGGAAAAACGTCATGCTGCTGCACCACGGAGTGGCTGTGTATGAAATCAGAAATGCCCTGGGGTTCGGTATGAGGTGGACTTTGGATCTCGAAGAGAAGCCATCTACTGTACAGTTCGGCGAGGAAAAGGCCGATCCGACAGAAGTCCAGGACGACCTGGACAAGGATTGGATCATCAACTGGACCACCTTTCGGGGTTTCTTAGAACCTATTGCTGGGATGGATCATGAACTGCCCAGGAACGAAACCGGCTAACAGTCCGAGTTCGGATTGAGTCCGTAGAGGCAGGCTCTCGAGCCTCAAGATAGAGTCTTCCGGACAGCCGAAAGTCATGACCGCTATACCTGGGCCTGTATTGGCTGACCACAGAGAATGGTACCTGCAGTAAGGCTCCCAAGACAACATCGACTTCCTCCGCGTTACTGGCACCTCAAGGTCATCTTTTACGAGAATGCCCGGGATCTCGACCGCCGGAGACCTGGATGAACGGATTGCATGCAGCAGTCTAGATGCAAGATTGGCACGTTGACTTACGGAGTGCCGCAACGGAGTCTTATAAACTTATATATACATACCTGAACCCGAACTCGCCAAATTTCTCTTCCTTACCTTATCCTATCCCTCTCTTTACTCTTCCCATGTTGCTGGTCCTCGTACACCAGAACCAAAACATTTTCGAGATAGAATGTCCTCCGCAATCCGATTTCCCACCCCGCTAAAACACGGACTGAGAACCGGCTCCCCGGCAATGCTACTCCACCCCCACGGAGGGGGGCTCATGGGTGGTGTTGGACAAGTCGGTTCTTCCCCTGGAGAAGAGCCATTTTCGCCATGGGGAAGTGCCAGTGATTGATTGACCCATGGCCAAGTTTGATGACCAGACACTGACTGGTGACGCCTCGATGCAACCATGCGCGAACGGCGCTTGCTTGTGCACAGTTTAGGCTCAAACGCGTGCCTGAGTCCTGCTGCTAAGTCGACTGTTCATGTGAGCATTATCGACTCACCTCGGCAGTCATTTCGGGGTTATGCCTCAGTGCAAGGAGCCTTCGGTCCTCCGATCTTCCTGTTTGCTCTGCTCAAGGCTTGTCCCGTGCCCTCTGCCACGTTGTCTCCTCAGTCCTATTCTATCGCAATTTCTTCATCCCATTCGTGTAACCTCCATCATTTCGGTGTCTGTTCAAGCCCTCATCTCAAAACCATGATATAGAATTCGGGTCATCGGGAGTACCAGGTTTTGACATGCGCGTTCTTGCATCAATCTGCAGCTCCAGTTCCGATCTTGCAAGGTTTACGGCGCCCCCTCGTCTGTCGGTGTGATTACGCCAATCATCCAGCATGGCTCACACTCTTTTCTCGACATGTTCGTTGAACCTATCGGCTAAACTATCTACCAAGGGATGCCTTGTGCGCCTCGATCAAGGTATATACCAATCCTTCCCTCGCAGGGACGTGCGATCTAATAAAACCCGAATCAGCCCTCAGGCCGAGCGTCGTTCATCTACGCGTGCGACAAAATCAACACGCAAAGCACCATGTTCATTCGCGGGCACGCGGCCTTGTTCCGCCCTGGGTCCAATCTAATGCCCTGACGCGAAGTTCACCAAAATCGGTTGTAGTATGGACGAGATCAAAGTCCGAGGTTCCCACCTCGTCGGTGCCGTATACAGAGCTGACCTTGGGTGTTCCAAAAGAAACCCATCCTGGGGAACGCCGCGTGGCTGTGGCTCCCCAAAACGTTCCCCTGCTTTTGAAGAAGGGATTCTCAAGGATCATTGTTGAAAGCGGCGCTGGCGCCGAATCTGAATACCCGGACGAACTTTATGAACATATGGGCGCCCAAGTGGTTGACCGTAAGACTGTCTTTTCCGAAAGCAACATTCTTCTAAAAGTTCGACCACCAAACGTGGAAAATGAGGTCCCCATCATTCGTCAGGGCGCGGCCTTGATCTCCTTCGTTCAACCGGCCCAAAACAAGAAACTGGTCGATGCTCTTGCTGAGCGTCACGTCACTACATTCGCGATGGACATGATTCCGAGAATCTCACGAGCACAGGCGTTCGATGCTCTCAGTTCTATGGCTAACATTGCTGGCTACAAGGCTGTTCTAGAGGCGTCTAATCATTTCGGTCGTTTCCTAACCGGTCAGGTCACAGCTGCTGGCAAGATTCCTCCCTCGAAAGTCTTGGTCATTGGTGCCGGTGTAGCAGGTCTCAGCGCTATTACCACGGCTCGTCGATTGGGAGCGATCGTGCGTGGCTTTGACACCCGTTCGGCTGCTCGTGAACAAGTTCAATCACTGGGTGCCGACTTTCTTGAGGTTACCGTCCAGGAGGAAGGTGCCGCAGCTGGCGGATACAGTAAAGAAATGTCCAAAGAGTTTATCGAAGCAGAAATGAAGCTGTTCATGGAACAATGCAAGGACGTTGACATTGTCATCACAACCGCCCAAATTCCTGGCAAGGCCTCTCCAAAACTCATCACGGAAAAAATGGTCAGCGCCATGAAACCCGGCTCTGTCATTGTCGACCTCGCTTCCGAGGGAGGAGGGAATTGCGAAGTCACGCAACCAGGAAAGTTGATTGTCCACAATCATGTCACCGTCATCGGGTACACAGACTTCCCATCGCGACTTCCAACGCAATCATCCAGTCTGTACTCGAATAATATCACGAAGTTCCTGCTATCTCTTGCACCCCAGGACAATGCATTTGGTATTGACATGGAAGATGAAGTCACCCGTGGTGCCATCGTAACGCACAATGGCCAAGTCATCCCTCCTGCGCCCCGACCTGCACCACCACCGCCATCGACACAACAGTCGCACGAACCTGAGACGAAACCGGTCGAGTTGACCCCATGGCAAAAACAGACTCGACAGGTCGCAACCGTGACTGGAGGTATGAGTGCTGCACTTGCGTTGGGAAAACTTACTAGTCCGTTGTTCATGGGTAGTATGTTCACTGCCGGTCTTGCTGGTTTAATCGGATACCGCTCCGTCTGGGGTGTGATCCCGGCTTTGCACTCGCCTCTCATGAGCGTGACCAACGCCATCTCTGGGATAGTCGGTGTTGGTGGATTCTTCATCATGGGGGGTGGTTATTTGCCCGAAACTGTGCCCCAAGCCCTGGGGGCGCTGTCCGTCTTGCTTGCATTTGTCAACGTCTCTGGAGGCTTTGTGATAACAAAGAGGATGCTGGATATGTTCAAACGACCTACTGATCCACCTGAATACCCGTGGCTGTATGCGGTCCCCGGTGTACTCTTTGGCGGTGGCTTTATCGCCGCGGCAAGCACTGGAATGGCTGGCCTTGTTCAGGCAGGGTATTTGGTGAGCAGTCTGCTTTGCATAGGTAAGGCTTTTCTCGATGATGTCGAGACACAATTTAAGTGACCGTACAGGTTCAATTTCGGGTCTTGCGTCACAGGCAACCGCTAGAACTGGAAACTTGCTTGGTATCCTAGGTGTATTATCGGGTATACTCGCATCGCTTGCGGCGGTTGGATTCTCGCCTGAAGTGATGACACAATTTGGTGGAATCGTAGCCGTCGGTGCTCTTGTTGGTATGTTCATTCGTCTCCTGCTATTTGCCACTTATTGATTGATTCTTGATAGGTGCTTTGATCGGCAGGCGTATCACACCTACCGAACTTCCACAAACTGTTGCAGCTTTGCATTCAGTGGTCGGTCTAGCCGCCGTTCTTACCAGCATAGGATCTGTCCTTGCCCATGTTTCTGACATTTCAACGCTGCATATGGTTACTGCATATCTGGGTGTTCTTATCGGTACGTATCTCGTCGTTTGCGGAGAAGATTCTAGGATTGACACAGAATTTTGCAGGCGGTATAACGTTCACGGGTTCTATCGTGGCTTTCCTCAAGCTTGCAGGAAGAATGTCCTCACGTCCGACCATCTTACCTGGTAGACATTTGATAAACTCAAGCCTTCTCGCCGCCAATGCTGGTACAATGGGCGCATTCGTCACTATGGCTCCTGGAGCACCGACTGTTGCTGCCATGTGTCTATCCGCCAATACTATCTTGAGTTTCGCCAAGGGATATACGACGACGGCGGCAATAGGAGGCGCAGATATGCGTACGTTTGAGTCCCTACCAACGGAGACGTTCTGCTGACAATTCTTTCAGCTGTTGTTATCACCGTGTTGAATGCATATTCCGGCTTCGCACTCGTCGCCGAAGGTTTCATGCTAGACAATCCACTTTTGTTGACCGTTGGATCATTGATTGGCGTGAGCGGTTCGATTTTGTCTTATGTTATGGTATGCCTTTTGACTTCGGATCCATTGTGCTCTTCCATGTTGACAATTTTTGATTCCAGTGCGTGGCGATGAACCGATCGCTAACAAACGTCTTATTTGGTGGCATCGCTCCTATCGTACAAACTCCAGGACAGGAGATTAAAGGTCAAGTTACAAAGACAACGGTAGAAGAGACTGTCGAATCAATGGCGAATGCAGAAAGTGTCATTATTGTACGTTTGAGGCTTTGCTCCCTCCCCCCTTGCTCTCCTAAAGAACACTTTCCACTGACCGAGCAATGTTTCTTTCAGGTCGTCGGTTACGGTATGGCTGTGGCCAAAGCACAATATGCAATCGCCGAAATCACGGCCCTACTCAGGTCCAAAGGAGTGAATGTTCGATTTGCGATCCACCCGGTCGCGGGACGTATGCCCGGACAGTGTAACGTCCTCCTGGCCGAAGCGAGCGTGCCATACGACATCGTACTCGAAATGGATGAGATCAATGACGATTTCCCGGACACCGACCTCACACTTGTCATTGGAGCCAATGACACGGTGAACCCGATCGCATTGGAACCCGGTAGTCCCATCGCGGGGATGCCAGTGTTGCATGCGTGGAAGAGTAAGAACGTCATTGTGATGAAACGAGGAATGAGTAGTGGTTACGGTAGGTTACACACATTCCTATCAGATGACCCATCCAGCAGGAGAATAGAATGTGCTGACGCAATACCTTAGCTGACGTGCCTAACCCAATGTTCTACATGCCTGGTACGAAGATGTTGTTTGGTGATGCGAAGAGTACTTGTGACGCTCTCAAGGCGGCATTGGAAACTAGATACAAGGCACAATTTCATGTGTAAATGTTGCAGTCGGCAAGAATTTGGAAACCGAAGAGCAGGAATGAGAACGAGAGGAGAGGAGAAAGGACTCGGGGCTTTGAATGATGAATATGTGAAGATGGTCATTGTGCTGAGCTTTTTGTTGTGTGTTCGCGCAGAAGAAATAAATAGTTTGCACAATGATTTTTGTTTTTGGTCAGAGACTTGAACATTATGATTCAGTGGTAGTGCTAGATGAGACACAGTAAAAACTCTTTGAATAGATTTCATCTTTGGAAAACCTTGAAGCAGATTACAACCTCAATCCTCAATCCTCAATCTTCAAACACGTGATATCTCTTGACTTGTAGTTGGTCTAGAAGAAGAACGAGAAGAAGAAGAGTCATTGTCGTTGCTACCTTTGGCGGTTACTGCCGTCGATGGTGGGCTGCTGTTTAGGACCTTTGTCTTTCCTTTTTCTTTTACAGCACTATTATTGGTGTCGGCATTTGTTGTTGCTGTCGTTGGGTGTCGTTGATCATGATCGCCGCCGGGGTAGGCGGCGTCCGGTCGCTGCTGCGCATCAGGCCGAGTACGTTCTCGTGGTCTGTCGAATTCCCACCAGACAATACTGACGGCCAAATAGATGATGAACACCAAAGTTGCAATGACTCCGTACGCGGCTTTGGGTCCCTTTGGCCATTGAAAAACAGGGAGGGTCGATGCAAATCGTAGTCCCAGACCACCATTGATCATACCCAATAGGATAAAAAATCGACCGAACCATGAATGGATCTGACCGAGACTGAGACTGCCGGGGAGGTCGAATGGTAACCGACGACCTCCAAGGAAAAAATGATTGATCAAGCCACTCATGAGTTGTAGGTTGATGAAACATAACAAAAGCAAACCAATGACGGGATGATAACCGTTGAGCTAGAGATTGAGTCAGTTAAATCCAAGGCACTTTTTGACAACCACCGCCGCCACCACCATCACGACGAGATGTGAAGAAATGGAAAGACTGCCCACTTACAGAATGAGACTTTTTGGCCATCCAAATACCAAACCCAGAAGCAATCATGAAGACCACGTAACCCAAAGATTGTACAGCTGCGTGAACCCAAACCGCGTTTGGATGTCGGGATACTCTCATGATGATACCTCCGACAGGGAAAAAAATCAAAAAGGCACTCGCCGCCAAAGCTGCGTGGACGATTCGAAATGTCTTGTAGTTTCGAGGACGAGTACCCCAACTAGTTGGCCACGGACGTACGTTGGCCCATTCACCACCACCGCCACCACCATAGTTTCCACTTCCACTTCCCCAATCTGATGAACCTGAACCTGACCATGAACCGGAACCAGAACCAGTGGGCCAAATTGTTGAGTCTGGATTCGTAAGCCATTTATAAGTGGCTGTGGCTGTGGCTGTGGCTGTGACTATTCCTGTACCCGTAGCTGTTGGCCACATCTTTGGCGAATCTGTGGGAGAAGGCCAGTTGGTAATTCCAGATGCTGTCGAAGGCCAGTCGGTAGGATATGGATTTGACCCATCCGCACGACCGACCAGGACAGATGGAGCTTGATTTGTATGTCCTGTTGGGAAAGCGACAGTCAAATCCGTCGGATCTGTCATCGCTCCATGGACTATGACAAAAGTGTCAGCTTGGTACGTAACAGCAACAAGTACTCGGATGAGTTGAACCCACCTGTCCATATGCTTAGTAGACAAAAAGTCATACGAAGTCTTGATTCAATCCCCATGATGCCAGAATCGAACAACAGCCAGCAAAAAGAAAAAGGTGTTAGATAGGTGTCGACGACAAACAAAAGATCCAAACAGAAAGGTCAAGGTGGACATTCGAGAGAAACCCGTCGATGTCTTTGTATGGTAGATTTTATCATAAATCATGCTCGAACTGTAACGTCTCGACTCGGCCCGAAAAGGAAATTCCAGGGAGGGCATTGGAATGTGAGATTCTTCTCGAGCAACCATCGTAGATACAACACATTCTTCCGGTCTTGGGTCAGACAAACGCCACCTCGGTAACCAACTAAAGAAGAAAAAAGAACTCATGGTGCAAATAGCTGGTGTTTGTATATTGCTAGGGTCATTTTCTCGTCAATCATTTCAACATGCATTCATTCATCAATCATAAAGTTGAGGTCCACATTCGTAATATCGGTACTGTCGATTCGAATCATGCCGTGATGGCTCTGTGCTTGTCAGACCAATCAGCCCAATGAAGAACCTTCTTCTCTCGCCTTGCTTCTTCTGCGGCAAAGACGACGTCGTGACTCCTAATGATTTCTTCGAGGTCACATCCGACAAGCTCTCGTTGAGCCTGAGCGACACTCATGGAACCTTCTTCAACATGTTGGACGGCTTGAACAAATGCCCCCGCGAGACCCCAGTCACCACCACCGTGACTCTTTTCGACTTCGGGTGCTTGTTTGGGGATTTCATGGACCACCGTCTGGCCGTCAGCGAATGTATGGACGGTGATCTTGTGTGAATCATAGTGCACTTCTCCCAGAGTACCATACACCCAACCACGTCTATCGCACTGTGCCAGTGTTGGATATGTCATGTGGAACAAAGCTCGCTTCGGGCCTCGACCGAGTTCGTGACCTGGAAGAGGATCCTCCTCCCACTCGATGGTGACAGTCTGATCGTCCGCGACATTGTTATCTGCCTCGTAGACGCAACGACCGTACCAACCTCTGCCAGCTATCACATCATCAGACATAGTTTCCTTGTCGTAATCATCCTCCAGCCGCTGCATGAGTCTCTTTTCACCCGCATCCCATCCTTCGGTCTTGACAATGTCCTCGATCTCTGGAACGACGATCTTCAGAGGCCAGCCATAATCCTTTTCCTTACGGAGCCATCTGTCACGATAGATCTTCTTTGCCGAGTAGATGCAATCTGGTTCCGCGGGACACGAGAGGCAGTTGGTCGATGCGCCAGCGGCCTTTGGCTTTCGTGCCTTGCGGAAGTGCGTGAGGCTTCCAGTGCTTGTGATTGTCGAGGGAAGATGAGGCTCAGTGCCGGTCAACGGACTCGGAGAAGACATGAGCCACATCAAGAAGTCAACGTCGTGGCACGATTTGGTCAGGAGTGACCCGACGCCTTCTGGTGTCGCTCTCCGCCAGTTCCCACGGACGTACGAGTGCGAGAAATGCCACCAACCTATAGGCTCTGTATGCTCAATCGACACCATCTCGCCAATGACTTGATCCGAGGTCAACAGCTTGCGGAGCATGATGTTGTGTGGAGAGTACCGCAGGACGTGTCCGATCGACACCACCTTGGGAGGGTAGTGCGACAGTGCCCAAGAGATGGAGCGGCAATCCGACAACGACAGTGCCAGAGGTTTCTCACACAGAATGTGGAGGTTGAACTTGGCAATGGCTTGGATGATGGGAGCGTGAGTTTCGTCCAATGTGCATATAAACACGCCGGTGATGGGCAAGTAGTTTGGTTCAGCACCTCCAGCTTGTTCCGCGACCTGCCTCCGCCGTGTTTCCCATTCTACCCACGCTTCCCAACCTTCAAATGATTGGTGGGCGGCAGGATTGTTGCCTTGTCCCCATATATATCGTTGGCCAAACTCTTGTCTCTTGAAAGTGTCTATTTCGGCCACGGCTGCAATGCATCCTGAGGTGGAGGCTTCGACGGCGCGGGCGTAGGAATGGCCTCGAGATCCCGCTCCGATAACGAGGAATTGAGGCGGGTTGGGAGGTGGTGCAATTGAACCCATGATTTCTTTTTTGGTTGGAGAGAGAAGGACCGTACTTCGTAGGGACTTGAAAAAAAGAGAGAACAATGACTGACAAAGGGTAGAGAGATACAGCGGTCTGGTAAAGACTGGACGACGGAGTTGCACGAATACCACCTTGTTGTACTCCGGACTTTGTACTGTTACAATTCAACTGCGGAGAAAGTGACACAGACTTGTTGATTGTTGTATCAGCCGAACTGTCGGTCCGATGATTGGTGGCCTTGTTTGAGGAGCTGTCACAGTACGAGTACAGCATTTGTATCGGCCGAACATTCAACAACTCACGATATTCTGGATTCCTGTTCTGTGCCTTGGGAATTGGTGCGGTGCTGATACATGCAAACAAATGTGCCCTCAAGTGTGCGTGATGGAATAAAAACACAATCATTGATATCGGGTGCTCAACCATGTTTCTAACCCCTCGATGGTCCAACACCTCAACGCTCGGTCATATACAAAAGTCGGTCCGAGTCTGCTTGGATCTTCTGTGGATGAATGACGGGCCTCAGGCGAGGAGAGCCATGTCTACGACAGCACCTTTTCAATATGCTGTCAAGGCCTCGTTCTGGCGAGGTGGGACGTCGAAGGGCGTTTTCTTCAAGCTTTCCGATTTACCAGAGTGGTTCCAATCAATCTTGAACTCGGAGAAGCAACCGGACGGTGCTCAATTTCAGCGGATGGAGAAATTCTTTGCCGCAGTGATGGGCTCTCCTGACTCGTACGGTCGACAACTGAATGGCATGGGTGGTGGTATCTCGTCACTCAGTAAAGCCATGGTCGTTCGACCTTCTGCTCAGGCCGATGTCGATGTCGACTATACCTTCTTCCAAATCGGAGTCAAAGATGGAAAGTTGGACATGGCTGGAAATTGTGGCAACTTGACTTCTGCCGTTGGGCCTTTTGCACTGAACGCTGGTCTATGGCGAGGGTGTCCGCAAAAGGTTGGCGAGGTAAACGGCTTCGAAACGGCGTCTGTCACCATGAAACTCAGAAATACCAACACCACAAAGGTGATCGAGTCGAAGTTCGACGCATTCAGGAACAACCACGGCAGCAGCACATGGCAGTATCTTGAGGTCGGAAAGTGTTCGATCGACGGTGTGCCCGGAACAGCCTCGACCATCACCCTGTCCTTTCTCGATCCAGAAGGATCCAAAACACCCAGAGCATTACCTACCGGAAATGCTGTAGACGAAGTTCAAATCGGTGACCGACAAATCATGCGAGCGTCCTTGATCGATGTCAGTAACCCCGGTATCTTCATTGACGGCCGTGATGTTGGTTGGAACCCCTCATCCACGCCAGACGAAATGAATGCGAATCAAGGCCTCTTGGATAAGCTGGAAATGATCCGCAAACAAGGCACGAAGATGATGGGTCTCGATCCGAATATCAGCAGCATACCGAAAATCGTTCTTCTCTTCCCTCCCAAGGCAGACGGCATGGACATATCCTGCCAGGCTTTGTCGATGGAACAAGCACACAAAGCGGTTCCAGTGACACTCGCCCTGAATCTAGGAGTGGCTTGTAAGATGGAGGGGACCATCCCGAACCAGCTGTCGAAACATTTACACGAATCCAATACCGTCATTGGCCATCCTTCTGGAAGTCTGGAGGTCGGAGCATCAATAGGCCCTGACGGCAAGATCGAGAGCGCCAAACTCATCAGGACGGCGAGATGTCATATGGACGGAGTTGTCAATATCACGAATGGAGAAGTTTCTGAGATATTATGAGTTCTACACATGTACCTAGGTAGGGTTCTTGAGCGGCAGCTTTCTTGAGCTTTGAAAAATTAAATCTCAAACCAATATCAGCTTATGCTGGGGCCGTTGACAGGGCTGATGTTGTAACTCTCTGCCCGGCAGAGGATGAGTGTAGCCGTATGAGACGGAGAGATGCCGTGCTAGATCTTCTCGTATTTGGTTGGCTCTTACACTATCTGAACATGGAAACTACGATGCATGTGATGAAGACTTGAATTGTTGATCACATAAACATATAAATATCACTACATGTGTCGGCTCGCAATCAGGTCACTCTGTTCTTGTTTGAAAACTTGCAATGTTATGGCTAATGGCACGTCCTTCAACCATATGTTCGGCCAGAAAGAGAGAGGCCGATCAACCCCCGCAGCATGAAACTCGGGTACGAAGATCATCACAATTTAGATACGTAACGACCCTGTAGATTTGAAACCGAGATGAGGTCACCTTTTCTTTTCCCACTGTCGGGAACACGAGAAATACGAGGTTTGTGGTTATGGTCTTGCTTGGCCTTGCATCATGAGTGTATATGATATAATCAATTGAGGGGTCCGAGCAGAGTCTACTTTTCTTCAAGCTCATAAACTGCATACAAGTACGGTAAGAGAGTGCCCAACTCACTATTCCTCCCTTTTCCTTGACCAATCTCTTTCTTGTCTTCAAGTCATTCTCCTTTTGACTCGAAACAAAAACAACAATGGCAACCTCAACAGGAATGTCTTCCTGCTGCCTTTCCGGGTCCGTACATGGCGGCACACCCAGAGGTCGTGAAGACACCGTCGGAGGACTCGATTGTTACGTCACGGAACCTCCTTCGTCAGACTCAAATACAAAAACAAAAGCGATTATATTCCTCGTCGACATTTTCGGTTGGAAATTCAAAAACGTCCGGCTCTTGGCGGACCAGTACGCCGACGCCGGGGGGTTCACATGTTACATCCCTGACGTCCACCAGGGGGACAGTCTGCCGATCGAGTTTCTGCAGTCGGTCGAACCTCCCCTCAAGAAAAAGGAGGAAGAAGGTATGCTAGACAAGGCCAAAGAGACTGTCGACGTCATGGCCACCCTGGGTCCGTGGCTCGTCAAGCACCGTGAGAGTGTTTCGGAACCTTTGATTTCCGGGTTCGTCAACACCGTCCGTACGATCCCAGGTACCGAAAAGATCGGAGCCGTCGGGTTCTGTTGGGGCGGGAGGTACGCCATCCTCCAAGCCCACAAGCGGGCGGCCGGTCAGGTGGGTGGTGTCGACGCCGCTTACGCTTGTCACCCTTCACTCTTGAGTATCCCGAGCGACATCGAAGCGGTGGCGGTACCTTTGAGTCTCGCGGTGGGAGAAAAGGACAGTCTTTTGGACCTGAAGTCGGTGGAACAGATACGTGAGACACTGAACAAAACCGGAGCGCCGACGGAGGTCAAGGTCTACAAGGACCAAATCCACGGGTTCGCCTTGAGGAGTGATTGGAGTTCCGACGAGGACAAAAAGGCAATGGACGATGCTGAGAAGCAGGGAATTGAATGGTTCGAGAAGTACCTTTCGTGATCTACCCTATATATGTATAGATATGCACTGCACAGAAAAAGGTCAGCATTAACACTCAATTTACATGGTCAGGTGGTTATCTTCTGTTGTAACAAATCCATTTTGTACAACACCTCGTAACTTGGTCACCTTGATGTCAAGTGCTCATAGACGTCTGTGACGTCGGCATTGTCCATAGATAAAAGTACGAGCGACATCAGATCATGCTTTCATACACCCTTTGCGACGAAAAGCCGAACAAATCTGTTGATGACCACCACCACTACTAAGCTGATTCCCGAAAAGGGGGGGGGGAACAGGGATTGACCGATCAGACCACTCTAAACCTACATAGCCAAGGAAAGATTACAAGTCCCGGACTGATCGCAAAGACCTTTGTATTTGTATTTGCATTTCTATTTACGTAGAACTCCTACATTGGCTCAAAGATAAAGAAAGTCCCCTTGTCGAGTTGTGGTGGGCGGTTGTGAATGGTCTCCGGTATCTGGCCCCCAGCCCAGACTGCTCACTCACAAAATCCCGTGGGGAAGAATTGATTGTAGCTTAGCCGAGTTTAACAGGCATTAAGCATCCAACTTTAACTTGTAGCCAAGTACTGATAAGCTTCTTCCCCAGGATTGGCCCATGGTCCACACTCCCCAGGACGCATTCGTATACATGCCTCGAGAGGCTTTCTGCTAACTCACCCCTTCAGCTTCTTCATGTGTCCAATCACGAGTGCTGATTTTGTCTTCAGCGATAAGGAACCGACTGGCTTCACCTTACCATTGGAGATGTGTAGGCGAACTCCCGTTGCCACGTTCGTGCCTGGATCGATGGAGAATGTGCCATGACCGTGGAGGCCCTGCTTGACCCGGAGACTCTCTGTGGCAGGCATCGGTCTGGCGAATGAGGACGGTGAGATACAGCAAACTGATATCGCTTGAACCCTTGTCAATCTTGCAGCTCGGGATGGTTGGTAAGGGTCTGTCTCGTCGCTACGCACGGGGAGAGCTCTCACTGCTCTCACTTTTCTTTTTCTGTCGCGTGTGTCGGTCGTTGCGCATACATAAGTCCTCCATCCCCCCGTGTCCGTTGGCGGACGCGTCTTTGTGCCCTTGTCGTACTTCAAAACTTCCTCCAAATATACCATTCCACTGTAACGCGAGTGTCGAGCAACTGGCTGTCTGAAAGATGCCTGGCAGACCAAATATTCCCGTCCGACGGTGGGATGCGGACACCCTTGTCAAACCTGACTGGCTCGACAATGGCGACAATGCCTGGCAGTTGACCGCTGCGACCCTCGTTGGCCTACAGTCGGTACCTGGACTCATGGTCATGTATGCTGGTCTGGTGAAAAAGAAGTGGGCTATAAATTCTGCCTTTATGGTGCTGTATGCCTTCGCCGCCGTGCTCATCTGCTGGGTGGTGTGGGCATACCGAGCAGCATTTGGCAAGAAGATGCTGCCTTTTGTTGGTGTTCCTGGACCAGCTGTGGAAATGAACTATGAGTTGAAACAAGCATACCTGCCTGCAGCCGACGTGTACGCAGCATATCCCATGAGTACCATGGTGTATTTCCAGTTTGTCTTCGCAGCAATCACGCTGGTTCTCATTGCGGGAGCTGGGCTGGCAAGAATGAATTTCTTGGCCTGGATGGTCTTTGTGCCTCTTTGGTTGACACTCAGCTATACCGTGGGAGCATTCAGCATCTGGGGAGGTGGATTCCTGTACACCATGGGCTGTTTGGACTACTCTGGTGGATATGTCATTCACGTCTCCTCCGGAACGGCAGGGTTTGTGATGGCATACTGGGTCGGACCACGACATCCACGAGATCGCACGGAGTTCCATCCAAACAACGTTCTTCTCGCGTTGGTTGGTGTCGGCCTCCTCTGGCTTGGCTGGAATGGCTTCAACGGTGGTGATCCATACACAGCCTCGCCTGATGCTGGTGCTGCTGTGTTGAACACCAATGTCTGCACTGCGATGAGCATGTTGACTTGGACCATGATGGATTTGGTATTTTTCAAGAAGCCAGCTGTGATTGGGGCAGTTCAGGGGATCATCACTGGTCTTGTAGCCATCACGCCGGCTGCTGGTTACGTTGCCGGCTGGGGTGCCATCATCATTGGAGTATGCTCTGGAAGCATCCCTTGGATTTCAATGAACATTCTGGGAAAACAGAGATGGTTCCTCGAGTTTTCTGATGATGTTGTCGGAGATTTCCACACGCATCTTGTTGGCGGTGTTGTAGGAGGATTTTTGACTGGCCTCTTCGCCACTAGCGAAGGTACAGCAGCTTTCGCTCTGGCTCCAACCGGCGGCGCCATTGATGGTAATGGTCGACAGGTCTGGGTACAGATTGTTGGATTTCTCTTCATCATCGGGTGGAACATCTTCTGGACAAGTGCAATTTGCTTGTTTATCAAATATGTGCTGCGGATTCCGTTGAGATACAACGAGGAGCAACTTCTCATCGGAGACGGAGAGGTTCATGGAGAGTTGCCATATGCATTCTTCCATGATGGCCGGCATGAGTACGAGTAAGTGCACAAGTCCTATACATCATATACTTGCTAATCAGTGCATTAGTGCCAAATATGGTCAGCCAGACCCGGAGAAAGCTCGAGGGGTTCTGGAAGGGATGGATGCTGGGAGGGATGGCAGTAGCGAAGAGGGCTCCAGTGGACAAGTGGGAGTCAATAAGAAATCTGACAAGCAAGCATAAGCAGCTGTATCTCTGGATGAACCATTGGATGGTGTTGAGGATTTGAAGTCACGGCATAATGGAAGAACGGCTGCTTTGGAGAGGTTTGTTGAACGAGATGGGACAGTTAATTTTTCTTAGAGTAGAGATTGAATAGGCTTACTCAGTCGGTTCATTCGAACTCATATAAGGAAGTAATCGAAACCTAGTACACGCCTTTGAGGTTTATCGAAATTTAGCAAACATCGAGTGAAACAGAGGCAGATTATGAGGCTGAGGCTGAGAGACGGTGATGTCAAGAGCTCCCAAATGTTCCACGGTCTGACAAAATATCTGGTAAGCATCCCCTGCGCAAGACACAAGATACGCCTCAGGAATAAAGTATTGTCAGACCAAGCTAATTCCACGCGAGGCAACAATCCATTCCCAAACGCGTTTGTTACTTCTTTTCGCTGCCAACGACCTCATACTTTGTCCCTTTCTCATCCCTCTAAAAGGGCTTTGCGGCAATCACCAAGCAAATAGTCACTTCTTTCGTTCTCCTGTTCATGGTCACTTCTTTTCTACCTCAAGTTGCTTCCTTCCGCCCGACCCTCGCTGTGTTCCAATTGTAGTATCTCATCAACAAACATCACCCAAACTTCGGCGTTTGACATACTATTATTGCCCAGCATGTCGAACGCGGTTTATCGCTTCGGTGAGTGTGTTCTACGATGCCATTTGCCTCGCCTGTTGTACGAGACGTGCTACATCATGCACGGGTTCATATGACTCACTGATGAGGCCAATATCTCAAGAGATATCAGGACAAAGCTAATTTATCATAGAAATGTCCCCGAACAATCGTGCAGGCTGCCAGAACTCCAAATGCAAACATGAAGGTGTGAAAATTATGAAAGGTGAATTTCGTTTCGGTACTCAAGTATTCATCCAAGAGCACTACAGCTGGCAGTGGAAGCATTGGTAAGGACATCGCAATCTCTCCCCTTGATTCCACCGCTCATAATGGTCAGGGGATGTGTCACACCAGTACAGATTGCAAACCTACAATCTCAAGTTGGCCCATTGGAAGATTTGGATCTGGACAGTGACCTTCCCTCGATTCTTGACGGCTATGATGAACTGAGCGTGGAAGCTCAAGAGAAGGTCAAGGAGGCGTTGGTTCATGGTCACGTTGCGGATGAAGACTGGAAAGGAGTAAGCAAGGTTTCCGCCTGCGTCTGTGTCTGTCGACTTTGGTGCTGACTTGAAACAACTAGGAGCCTGAGCTGAATCGTCCCGGAATGAAAGGCATCAACAAGCGTACCCCCAAGAAGAAGAAGGCACCAGATGCAGACGCAGACGGTGAGGCGGGAGCTCCTGGAGACGATCAATCACCAACAAAGCCCAAAGCCAAGAAGGGTAGGCCGAAGAAGGTCAAGGCTGAAGCGGCCGAAGACGACGAAGAGGTTCCGGCTCCGAAAAAGACACGTGGCCGCAAACGCAAGGCATCTGCTGAAGACGAGTTGGATGAGCCTGTTGAGAAACCGAAGAAATCTCGTGCCAAAAAGGTCAAGGCTGAAGAGCAAGAGTCGTTGGATTCTGATGTTCCACTGAACGCAGCACCAGAAAAACCAGCTAAGAAGAAGGCGGCGCGATCTAAGAAGGTCAAGAAAGAAGAGACGCCAGATGAGGACGATGATGTCCCTGTTGCACCCATAGCCACCAAGGCTGCAAAGTCAAAGGCAAAAGCAAAAAAGGTCAAGGCCGAAGAAGAAGAAGAAGAAGGGGACGACATGGATGATCTGGAGCCCGAAGAAGAGGACGCAGACGACGTACCAGAGCCGCCAAAGAAGAAGAGGGGAAGACCTGGCCGTACCAGGAAATGATTTTGTCAACCAAAGTTGTTGTGTACGCCGATTTCTACTACTACCTACCTAGGTATGTCTGCAGTGTCGAAGGTGGCAGGGGTTTGTGACGAGCTAGCTACAAAGGTGCTCCGTGAGATGCAAGCTGGCCCCCATCAGACTGATAAGAAGCCAAAATTCAGTGGACTGAGAGAGTGTGTTTTTATAGGCTTGAGATTCCCTGTACTATTAGTGTTTTCTACGTGCGTGGTGCCTCTTCATAGAAGTGGTCGAGGCGACTCATACTTTCTACTGCCATCAAAAGGTACATGGCGCCACGCAAATGAAAAAGCAGTTGTGCAAGAACAGTATCTTGGTACATCCAGTCCGGGCTTTGTTTACTAATTTCGTTTCCCATTTCAGGTCCTGGAAATGAGCCATCGGGAAGTGAAACTGTTGACAGAATCAAGTGTTTTCCAAATCCGTGCCAGCTTTTGACACAATGCGTTTCTTTCATCTACTACTCCACAACGCAGCCCGCGGTCGCGCTTTTGCTTGGGGAAGCTTCTATCTAGGTAATTAGGATATACAGACGATTTGCTCTCTTTACTCCGTACAAGGGTGTCTCCGTGATCGCGCAACGCCACACGCTCTGTTAAAATCGGGACTTCTCAAAACTCTCGGCTCTCGCCAATGTCACAGATGTCGAAAACACCAGTCTCAGGGATCGAGTGGTGGGCGAGGGCCTTTTTGAGCAGCTCTGGCGGCTCGAGGACATCCTCCTCCGTCAGGACCCAGGTTCCCCAGTGGATGCCCATGGCCCGTTTACATTTGGTGTCCCTGAAGATCTCGACGGCGTCCCTGGGGTCGGCGTGCATGGGGCTCATGATCCACCGGGGCATGTAGGCGCCGATGGGGATGAGGCCGAGGTCGAACGGCCCTTTGAGGTCCCCTATGTCTTTGAAAGCTGGACAGTGGGGGAGATTGGCGTATTCTTCGGCCCAGTCGTCTTTACCCTCACTTTCTTTGGGGACGGACCGGTACCCCGTATCGCCGCCAAAGTAGACGCTCCTCCCGCCCGAACTGACGGACCACGACGACCAGAGGGTCGCGGCGCGGTCGTGGATACTCCGTGACGAGATGTGTTGGCACGGTAGACATGATATTCTGCTGGTGATCGCGTCTGCGGCGGGTTTCGCAGACGGCGTGTCGGCGGAGGAGACGCTTGCTTTGTCGCTCTTTGCTGCCGAGGAAGACGGTGTCAGCGTAAAGTCCACCTCTTCCCACCAGTCGAGTTCGTGGCATTGTTTCTTGATCCCGCATGCTTCGAACCACTTTTTGTTTCCCAGAGGCACAAAAAACTGACATTCCGGGTGTAGTTTGTGGATTTCCATGATGGTCGGGTGAGAGAGGTGGTCGTAGTGGTTGTGAGAGATGACGACGGCGTCGATCGTGGGTATGTCACGGATCTGGCAGGGCATCTCGGTGTACCGCTTGGGGCCTAGCCATGAGAAGGGACTGCAGCGGTCTGTGAAGACGGGGTCGAAGAGCACACGCAGGCCCGAGGGGAATTCCACGTAGTAGCATGCGTGGCCCAGCCAGGTTGCGCGCAGTGAAGTACTTGAAGTGCGACAGGGTAGGAATGTTGGAGCGTGGACGGGGACAGTTGGAGGGGTGGTGTTTGGTTTATTTGCGCGGCCTGAGACCCGTCGCATGAGCATGCCACCGATGATCGCCGGCGCAGAGTGCATGTTCCATGAGGGCCACGGGTTGTCGAAGCCTCCCGACTTGACGTGCCAGCCTTTGGCCTTTGTGACGTCGTCGTCGGGACGGGCGGCGGCGATTGAAGGGACGGCTACGGTCGCGGCATACACCAGCGCTGATGTCGATGATGAGTAGGCCATTCTCGAGGAATTCAGTGGCGGAGGAGCAGTAGCAGTGGACGCTCTCTTGCTGAAGAAATGTCGAAGAAAGGAACGCATGGAGAGAAGAGGCGGAGGGAGGGACACGAGGACGATGTAGTAGTCCCGTGCCAATAGGTATGGATGGGAGAGAGTCTGGGCTCGCTTATTGCCAGAATTCCTGGCGCCTACTCCGTAGAATGGGAATACAATAGGAAAACACCCTACTCCGAACCAGGTAGTCGACTAATTATACAAGAGGCCCAGGGTATCTGTGTAGGTAGTATGCGAATGGCACTCGGGGTTGTCAGCGTCAGCATTTTTGTTGTTGGAGCGACGCGATGGTCCGTTATCTCCGAGATGATCAGCGAGTTTTGCGGATGAAAAATGTCCCGCAGGACTTTCAATACGGATTACTCTCAAATGAAATCATTCAAATCTTGTCCTTGACCCCGACCGCGCTTCGGATGTTCAACTGGACGGAGACATTCTGGTGATGCAGGGCGATAATGGAGTGGTCAACCTCGCCGCGGATCAATCATCTCTGAATGCCCATGATGTTAATGCGCAGAAAGCTGATCTCGTCCGCCAACTCGCGGGCGCTGGATCCAGCAGCAATGAGGGTGGGCTGATTGCGCAGTTGTCCAATAATGCTTTGTTTACGGGCGTATGTATGGCTTTTTGAGACTCCTTTACGCTGGTTCTAAGACCTCACTAGGGATTTGCGCTCGCCGGACTCGGTGCGCTCGCAGCAACAGCCCGTAGAGGGTTCAAGCAAGGAGCTCACCTCGTGCGACGACGCCTCCTGGTCGATGTCGAGATCAATGTTCGAGACGACTCCTACCCCTGGTTTCTAGACTGGATGACACATCATGAGCAAGGAAGGTTGGCAGCGAAAGAGTCTGGCGGCAAGAAAGGCATCTTCGAATCCATCCTCAGCCGGATAACACCGGGCATACACCATCTGTCTATCAAGACAGAAAAGCAAGAGTTGCCTAATGGTGCCCTCCACACGAATTTCTACCTCATTCCGGGTCCTGGTCGACACGTTCTCCGATACAGAAGTGCTTGGATATGGGTCAACAGACAAAGAGAAGCGAAGCAAGTCTCGATGGATGGGAAACCGTGGGAGACGGTGACATTGACGACCTTGTATGCACACCGACACGTCTTCGAGTCGATGTTCAAAGAGGCCGCCGATCTTGCGACACAGGCCGTTGAGGGCAAGACGGTCATATACACTGCATGGGGTACGAGATGGGATAAGTTTGGCCATCCTCGCAGCAAGAGACCTCTTGAATCTGTGATCTTAGACGAGGGAGTCAAGGAAAGAATTGTGGAGGATGTACAAGACTTCCTCTCCTCTGCAAAATGGTACTACGAACGAGGAATCCCCTATCGGCGAGGCTATCTCCTCTATGGCCCTCCAGGAACCGGCAAATCTTCCTTCATCCAAGCGTTGGCAGGGCATCTAAACTACGACATTGCCATGCTGAATCTGAGCGAACGTGGTCTCACTGATGATCGACTCAATCATCTACTGACCGTGATACCTCAAAGGACTCTGGTTTTGCTTGAAGATGTGGATGCGGCGTTTTCAAATCGCCGACAGGTCGAAACAGATGGCTATGCAGGTGCGAATGTCACCTTTTCCGGGCTTCTCAATGCTTTAGATGGTGTCGCAAGCGCAGAAGAGCGCATCATCTTCCTCACGACCAATCATGTGGATCGACTTGATGAAGCCCTGGTTCGACCCGGACGAGTGGATCTGACTGTTCGTCTCGGTGAGGCTACGACGTACCAAATTTCTCAGCTGTGGGAGCGCTTCTATGGTGAGGCCGACCCAGAAGGGAAATTGAAGCAGGAGTTCTTGAAACGCTTGCTTGACATCGGGGCTTTACCAGACGCCGAAGCCCGAGTCAGTCGAGTTAGCATGGCTGCATTGCAAGGATTATTTTTGTATAACAAGGGCGATGCTTCAGGTGCAGTCGAGATGGCGTGGCAATTGGCACCAGGAGAATTGCCCACTGTACTACCAAAGTCCACGACACACGGATCCTGAAGCTATCTGATGATTGCTGGATGAATATGGACCATGATACCCCCTCCGAATATGTATGTAGTTATTGTCATGTAGATGTAGAGTGTACAATATTTCAGATTTGCCCATCTGCATCGTACACAACCACATTATCGACTATTTGTGGTGTGAGTTTCCTCTTGTCCGGAATTGGGGCCAATATCAATGCCACGATTCATTGCGTGGCCAGGATTGTCATTTGACAGTGGACATGACTGCCTCAGAGCAACGGGACATTCATCATCCGATCTTCACTCTTTCAGCGTCGATATTGCCCAAGTAAGACAAATTGAGAGTAAGATGGACAAGACATTATCGACACCCTTGCGCCACGATCTCTCGCAATGACCGATCCGCTGTCGATTACGACCGGCGTTGCAGGCCTCCTTTCGCTTGCTGGTAGCGTTATAAGTCAATGCTATCAATATGGCTGTGGTGTTGCCGACGCTCCGGAAGAAGCAAAGAGGCTCGCTTTCGAGGTTACAAATTTGAGTGGACTGTTGGTAGGTGTTCAGAACCTGGCCAAACACCACCAATTCCCAACGCAAGACATTCAACCTATCTTGAAAGAATGCGATACTTCGCTACAAACTCTCTCGTCAAGACTTCGAGATCACGGTCCACATCCGAACAACAAGGCTTCTACCACCAGACGAACGATCAAGAGGTTACTATGGCCTTTGAGGAAAACTGACACCGAGAATCTGATAGCCTTGTTGGAAAGGCACAAGAGATCATTGTCGTTGGCCCTAGACACTTTTTCTGCGTACGTTGAGAAGTGGCCGCCACCATGAACCGTGGACGAGGCATTTTTAGCTGACTACCTATCTACCGTATGCATCTAGAGACACCATCCTACATCAAAGGGCAACATTGGACCATGTCTCGGACACTCTATCAGATTTGTCTCTCGAATATAGATCTAATCATACCAATCACCAGCGCCAGCAGATCCTAGACTGGCTTTCTGACTATCAACATGAGGCACAGTACCGTCAGGGGTTTCAACTCCACTGCTCGAAAACTTGTTTGTGGCTTCTGGAGGATCCAGAATTCATCAAGTGGTCTCAACGTAGGTCGTCTCTGTTATGGATGCATGGCCCGGCGGGATCTGGCAAGACCGTGGCGACCAGCTATCTGATCCATCACCTCACCCACCATCTCTCGGCGGAGGGTCATTTACTAGCCTATTTCTACTACGACGCCAGCACGATAGAAAGCCTCACGCCAGAGACGTTCTTTGGGGCATGCATCAAACAATTCTGTTCTCAACTCCCCGAGATCCCTGACAACATACGGGATGCATATAAAAGGGCCGCCGATAGGTTAGGGACACCCAGGCAAGCCAGTCTCAACGAACTCCAAAACTTCCTCACCCGACTTCTGGACAAGGCCAGGTCATGTATCATCCTCGTTGACGGTCTCGACGAGACCCCAGATTACGGGGTTGTGTGTGACTTCCTCACCTCAACAATCACATCGGGACACCACCCACTGCGCGTCTTCATCAGCAGTCGTCCTGATGTCGACCTCCGGCGCCGCCTGGGCGGGTTTCAAGAGATTCTCGTCCCCGAGACCGCCGTGGAAGATGACATTGGTCTTTATATTCGGTCACGGATCGGTCACGACACCAGACTTCGACACATGAGTGACAAGATGAAGCAAAAGGTCGAATTGAGTCTCCGTGTTGATTCACACGGGATGTAAGTACTCTTCTATCTCATCAACCTTGACCCGCGGCGTGAGTACTTCTCTCGCTGACATATGTATCTCGCTACCTAGGTTCCGATGGGTTCAATGTCAACTCGACGCGATATCACGTCTTCGAACCGACGCGGCGATAAAGCAGGCCCTGACCTCACTTCCATCCAGTCTCGAAGGCGCATACACTCGCATCTTGCGATCCATTCCGAACGAGGATATCATGTACGCACGCCGAGCTCTTTTGTGGCTCGCTCACGCTTCCTCTCCGCTCACTTTGCCCGAACTTGCCACCGTGGTCGCCCTTGAACCACCCAGTATTGTCCTCGAAACCGGTCATCTCGATCCCGACCTCGCCCTCAACGACCCTTCGGACGTCCTCGAGATCTGCGGCAGTCTCGTGTCTTACAACCCCATTTCTGGCACGACGAGGCTGGCGCATCATTCGGTCCGCGAGTTTCTGACTCAGAGACTCGATCGGACCAGTGAATTCCACATTCCACCCAAAGAGTCCCACCGTACGATGGCCGAGATTTGTTTGATGTACCTCCTACTCGACGATTTTGCGAAAGGTCCTCTATTCCCTCGAGAGTTTCAGGAAACCTGTGTCAAGTATCCTCTGTTGAGATACGCGGCTACGAATTGGACATTTCATCTCTCCATGGCAGATGAATCATCATCGTCAAGAAATTCTTCTCGTCCGAAGTGTGGTTCTAATACTACAAAGTCGTGGATTTCTGAGAAAGTGACTACCAGCAGTAGTACATATTACAGTAACGACGAAAAAGGGGCGAGTGACCTTGAAAAGAATAATGATACCGAACAAGTTCTCCTTCCATTGATATTACGACTCTTCACACCATCCTCCAACCCTCGGTTTTACTTCTGGCTCCAGACCATCCTCTCGGATAGTAGGCATGGGTACTTGCCTCCCAACTCTGACCTGGTCCGAGCGACGCCGTTGTACTACGCCGCGAGTTACGGACTCACCGAGACAGTACGTGCCTTGATTTCCGGTCTTGAGGACAACGACGACGACGACAACGGTGGTCGTCCCGACTTTTTGAATACTCGCGCAGGTCGATATGGCGGTACGGCGTTGCACGCCGCGGTATGGCGCAACAGGCCCGACATTTTGAAACTCTTACTCGACGCCGGTGCTGACCCTACCGTCGAGGACGACAATGGCATGACCCCTGTTCAACTGGCGTATTGGTAAGTTGAAATGTGAAATGTTTATGTGATCTGCTGGTGATTCATTCGACTCCTTCTGTCCATGCCTTTTTGCTGACCACGTCATGGCTTCATATAGGAGTAAAAAGGGAAATACCTTGATGGACTTGTTCCCCGAAAGTCTCAGACTAGGAGACAAGTTGGGCATGTAGTGAGCCGTCTCGACGTTATGGCACCATATGTATTGGTATTGGCGACCGTTGATTGGCGCCACCAGGGTACAATCCTAGGTGGATCACGGAGCCAGCCTTTTAGAGATAAGACTTGAAATAACCAACGCAGATGATATCTCAATCTTTGGCGGGACATAAATTGGATAGAAATCTGTATTTCCCAGCCCAACGCCTGGCGTACGGAGGCCACACACATATCGGTTTGCCGAGTACATAAGATACACACATCAGGCGTTGCCGGTGTCGATAACGACACCTCCGTCCTCGTCGTCATCAACATCATCATCCTTTGCCTCCTCAACCTCCGGTTCTGGCGAACTACTATTTCGTCTCCTTTGGTTCTGTTCCTCCTGACCCGTTGAGATACCATTTTGGGCGTCACTCGCCGCCCCTGCATCCGGCTTATTGCGCTCCTCGTTTTCAGCCTCCTTTTTCTCTGCGGCACTCTTGGTCCCGTTCTTCTGCCAACCCTTGCTGGCATTGACAAGGGGAGTGTCGTCGTTGAACAACCGCAGCAACATGGCCTTGCGGTCCTCCTTCGGCAACATCAGGTTCACGCTCTGTATAGACTTCCACAACGGAAACACCATGCGCTCGCTCAATCCGTCCGGGTCATCGTCAGTCGGCTCGACCACGAGCACACAACATCCCATCTTCAACCCCAGGATCTGCTCGCCAACTTCGCCCAGGTTCTTGTACTCTTCGCCGTTGAACCGGGGGAACATCTCGACCAGTAATCGTCGCAGCGTTTCCTTCCTGTGAAGTTTCACGATCCGCTCCGGGCCCACCCACGTTTCGAGGAGTCGTAGGCCGTCGGTCTGTATGCGCCACGGACACACTTCTGGAGACGGCGCGTCCTGCTTGACAAACATCTTCACGCCGGCGTGGACGAATTTGAGACCCTTGCCTTCGTTCTCGGTCAGGATGTCCTTGGCCAGGGCGCTCGTGTAGTACATGTTCTTGGCCGGAATGCCGTCCGCGTTACGAACCATGTATCGGTCTTGCGGGAACCGAGGGGAGAGATTGTAGAATTCTTTGATTTGCTTCAATTCAGGCAAATCGGGCGACAGATACTTGAAGGGTTCTTCAAATGGTTGCTCACGGTTCTTCTTCTTGGGGGTTTGACCCGGACGAGGTGTTGGGGCGGCAGGTACGGGAATACTCGTACCCGTACTGCCGTTTGGAACTGCTTCGTCTTGCTGGCTCTTAGCGCGCTTCAGGGGAGCCGCCTCGTCCGCGACGTCGTCGTCCTCTGAACGCTTCCTCTTGCCTGGAACATCTGCGTCAGGTGGAGCAGTGCCATTTACCGAATCGATCGTTCCGTCGGCGGCCGTCTCAAGCTGTACTGCTTCACCGGTGGTATCAGCTGCTTCGACCTTCTCAGGCTTTGGAGTTGGCGCCGTGGAACCTGTTGAGCTTGCTTTCGCTTCAGTGCGTGCCTTGATCTCAGACTTCTTCTCAAGTATGGCAATGAAGAATGCGCCCGTGTTCTGCGTATGAGGGAAAACTCGCATAGCACGTTCTAAATGTAGATCTTCTTTCGGTGGGAATACACTCTCGGAGAGTCTGCTCAACCCATCTTCACCCACGGTGGTTTTCTGCTCTAGGACAGCATCATAATCGCTCCATATGCGACCCGACTTGTCCATGACTTTCCAGCTCGTCATGCCAGGAGTCCGCTTGAGTCCAGGCAAGTAATCCTTGGTTTCCTGTAGTTCCACAAATTTGTCGCCGCCACAACGCAAGATCGCTTCAGCTAGTACTGCCTCATCTTCGACTGGGTTCATGCTGCACGTGGAATACACCACTCTTCCACCGACCTTCAACATTTGAAGCGCTCTGATCAGAATCCGCACTTGTGTAGAATGGAGACCGAGGCCATTGCTGGGAGTCCAGTTTTTCCAGATTTCCATGTTCTTCCGTACTGTGCCATCCCCAGAGCAAGGTACATCAGCCAGGATTCGGTCGAATTTTAGGTATCTGTTGTGTACCGGCTTGCCTGATGAGTCAGGAAGGGAAGGAATTTTGATAGAAGGAAAGATGGTGGCGTCGTGGTTTGTCACGATGATGTTGGGCGAGCTCAATCGCTTCACCTGATGGACTAACATGTGCGCTCGCTTGTAATCAACGTCATTTGCAATGAGGAGCCCAGTTGATCGTCCATCGTCTGAGAAGTCTTCACCTTGCGGCTTGTCAAGGCCGTTGGCAGTATTCGCTGCAACTTGCCTACTTCTCTCCTCTTCGCCGGCATGGAGCATCTCGATTAGCTGCGCAGACTTACTGCCAGGCGCCGCACATAGGTCAAGGACGGTCATTCCAGGTTTTATATCCATCAGTAACGGCGGAATCATGCTGACCACCTCCTGACGTGTGATATTCCCGACATCAGTCTCTGCGACCAAAAATTTCTGGAAGCTGGCGAATGGAGGAAAACGGCGGATGACATTCTTGGGCGTGGTCATGAACCATGCCAGCTGGTCAGGGTACCAGCTCACAGGTTGAGGAGTATCGACATAACGGCCCTCGTAGGTTATGGACGTGATTTCGGGGATGTAGTAATCTCGCAAGCGTTGCTGCACGGCGAGTGCGTGAGCCTTGGAGCCAGTGAACCGGAAGCTGTTGGGAAGGTCTCTTCTCATTGCGGCCCAGAAATCCTCCTTCTCTTCGTTCGGTATTACACCGAGTTCATTGTAGTATTCTTCGAACCTTTCGTTGTTTCGAATGATATCGGCCTTGTTGCCTCGATTGTCCTGGCGAGGACCACCGCCGCCACCGCCACGGTTGAAGCCACCCTATACCTTGTTAGTACTTCAATATGGAGATCTCAGGTTCAATTTACTTTTCTGCCACCTCTTCTACCCATGGCGACAACAAAATATCTATAATTAAAAAGTGGTTGTTCTCATGGGCAGTTGAGTCGCACTCTGTATCTAAACGTGGGGAAATTTTAAGATCCCGGCTAACTTTCCCTACGACGATCAAAGTAGACCCACAGTCGGAGTTCCGGAGGTTCAGCCTTGCATCGGCCCTTTGGCCTTCAGCCTCGTGTTGCTTCAGGGCGAGTCTCTTTTCTGGCAACGATGCGTATTTGGTAGGGATGCTGCTAGCAGACACAATGGTCAGAAATAAAGCAAGTTCAGCTTGAACACTTTAAATTGAACTCTAGTCTTACTCTATCATTTTATTCACTTTTGTTGCCGACGTCAAACATTGCCTAGATTCCTGGTTTTCCACTCTTTAACCAAACCTCGATAATCAGCTGGCATGTGTGGTCCGAAGATATTGTTCCATCTTCCACGTTTTCTTGTGATATCCAATCCCAAGTCCTGTAACAAGACGTCCACATACGGTATACTGTCAAAGACGAGGTCTGGATATCTTCCAGCAGCACCGCCGCATTCCTTTGGTCGTCTCAACATTCCATAAATACCATGTAAGATTGAATCATATCTGACAGCATTTGCATCAATCTGCCTGGGTTGTAGATGTTTCAACTTTCCATCGAGAAAGGCAGAGATCCATAGAGCCTGAGCTTGAGCAACCACAACTGCATGAATTGAAGAATGCGCTCCAATGAAGGCGAGATTTTTGTTTTCGAGGGAATATCCATCAGGTGGCACCATGAACCGATAGTAATGATTTGATGTAGGGAGAGATTTCGTGATGGGCTGCTCTTTCAGATGGGGTGCATTGCTAGTTCTCTTCCGCAGTGTTCGAAGATATCTCAATTCGGTCTCGATCTCAGCTTCAGCTTTCTCGGCCTCCAACATTGTTTCTTTAATACCATGGTCCTGGACAGGTAAGTCGAAGTGTACCGTTGACTTGGTCTTCCATCCGGTGCAGCAGACGAAAGCGTCGGCGTGTAATGTTTCGCTGTTCGAGAGGTGCACATCCTCTGAGGATAACAAAACAACGTCAGCGATATGAACAGTAATTTTCCCCTCTCGAACAAGGTCGAACCAGTTTGTCTCATAATTGTGGATACTTAATGAATTTCCCATCCAGAATGGAGTAGTCCATGGTTCTAGTTTTCTCAGTTCTGGATGAGTGTTGTAGCCATTCAGACGCTTGATGTGCTTATCCAAGCGGTTCCAGAAGAAGCCGCATATCTTGTTGCCGATGGATGTACAGTGCAGGAATCTATACCACCAAGACATACAGCCCCTTCGGCCGAAAAGAGTCGGATCAAATGCCATGAAGAATCTCGTCGCAGACATCCTAGCCAGGGATAACTTGAAGGGCCCATAGTTGAATGACTTTGGCCACACATAGCTCGGACCACCGCCAGATGGCCGAATAACCATACGCACACGGGCACCGGAGCGTGCAGCATCATAACACACATCCCATGCCGACTTGTTGCCTCCAAGTACAACCACATCCTTGCAAGCTGTTAGATCTGCGGCACGCTCCTTCAGCTGCTTTGAATGTATCAAGAGGCCGTGGAAATCGTCTGTTCCTGGTATGATCGGGAGGTACGGTTCGGAGGTCAATCCAGTCGCAATGACCATCTTTTCAGCAATGAGAAACTCTTCGGCCATGCCAGATGAATCTGATCTCCGTAGCTTGACCATCCATCGACGATCGTCCTGCAGTTTTGCTTGCTCCACAGTTGTTCTCGGCTGGAATGCAGCATCGATTCCATAATGAGTCGCAACATCACACAGATAGTTGTGAACTACTCTACCGGGTATGTGGGTGCCTGGCGTCGCCCCATACTTTTCAGGGATCATTGGGAAGTCACTGAATTCATATGATCCTAGGACATTGTTTGTCTTGAGCCTAGGATACAGTCTTTCTTCGGCCCATGATCCTCCAATAGATTCAGCCTTATCGACGACAAGGATATCAGCCCCAGGGTTGAGCTCAAGATACGTCTTAGCCATACAAAGACCGTGGAGGCCTGTCGAAGAAGTCAGTCACGTTATCACCATGCTTGAATGATTCACTTACCCGCACCCACAATGAGCAACTCGATTTCTCTGGCCATGCTTGAGCGATAGTATCGATACTCCTCAAGAACCCAAGCACATGGTACAAGAGAGCGACATGTGAACGCTTATATCGTTGTCAGGCCATACTTATTCACTGGTGAGCATTCTTGGCACTTAGAACGGTCCCATTTGTTCGATCGAAGGCAGAAGTTGCAGAGTCTGGGGTCAACTTGAGGCATTGTCGCAGCAGCACAGGCATGTGTCACCTATGTTAAGATACAGGCTTTTGTCGGACATGACAATGCAACCCGATAATGGCCAAAGTAAGTCGACCCCGCGCACTCGGATACGTACCGGTTAGAAAAGGTAGGCTGTGGGATAGTGTACCTCGCATTGTTGATTACACAACTTCGGATAGCAACTGACCTAGGAATCGTTGTCTTGTCAAACGGATAACACTGTGATCATAATCCATTCGCGCTGTCTCGCTTCGGCAAGTCGAGACAGTTGTTTGCTGGTTGCCAAACCGGGAGCGGCAAGTGGCTGCCCGTATCATGAGCTCGGTCCGTCAATTGGTTGAGGCCAGCATTATCAGCATATTTTGACGACTGATGCAGAGCCTTATTCGTTGATCAGCTAGAAGGACACTAACACGAATGGAAGTCGAGGTCACCGTAGAGAGAAGTGAAAAGAATCGTCTTACCAGGTAGTTGAGGCACTCGGTAGACCTTCCTGATTGCAATGCGGAGGGATCCATCCATATCAGTTGAACTCCCTCGATATGCATAGCCGTACATTTCTTTGTACCCACGATCATCACAATGCCATGTCTTCATGCCCCGTCCAAAGGTCACAGAAGAGCTACGAAGGCGCATCGCAAAGGCATGCTTGTATTGCCAGGCTACAAAGCAGAAATGTGATGGCCTAACGCCATGTTCCTCGTGCTCCAAAAGAGGCCAGTCGACATCCTGTGCTTACTCTTCACATGTCCGATCTTATGGTGCGCATCGTCGGCGACGTTCAAAGCCAGCTGAAGATCCTGGCCAATGTTCGGTAGACTTGTCTACGACGTCTTCCCCTCATGACGGGATACCTAGTCATTTGCAGCGTCCCCATGAGGAGCCTGCCCAGTTTACATCCGTCGAGGTCCCTATCCCAAAGTTATCTCACAAGGTATACGATACGAATGGCAGAGTCGGTATGTCACAAATCCGCTCCCTATCATCGCAGGCCACTTCTCTGTTCAGTAATATGCTTACGCCGAATAGTATACCTCGGAGACTGTGCCGCTCTATCTTTCCTTCGACATATCCAGGAAATCGTGGAGGGCGAGGGAGGATCCTCGACCGATGTCTCGAGTGTCTTAGCAATGGAAGAGCTGTCACCCCATTCCGATGTAGACTTAATGACTCAGCATCTATGGAACACTGCGGATTTAGAGGAGCTTATGAATGTCTTCTTCGCCTCGGTATGAAACAGAAATACTCCCGTGTGAAAGGCTGCTAATACTTGAGACAGACCTGTGGCATATTGGATATTATTGAGCGACACAAAATTGAAGGTCTTCTGAGACAGTTGGTGATCGATCCTGAGAGCATGAGAAATGAGGGCAAGGCAGTGGTTTCCCTCGTGCTTGCCTATGCAGCTCAAGCACGTAGCAGTAGCGCCTTGGACTATCAACTTGCACAGCACTTTTATCATCATGGCCGTCAAATAGCACTCCTGGAACTCACTGATGAGCCGCGTCTTGAGACAGTACAGGCGTTCCTGTTATTGTGTCTGTATATGCTGGCCTGTTCTCAGAGAAATGGTGCCTATCTTCAACTTGGAATTGCAATCAGTGCTGCCAAATCTCTCGGCATACACCGTGACATGTTGGCTGCTGATAGTGGCAATGAGGACAGTTTTTTGAGGTAAGCGGTCATTCGAGGAGAGATTGCGGATGACAGTGACAATTCATGTTGCAGGCGTCGGATTTGGAGGACTCTCTGCTATCACGATGTACACTTCTGTGCCATGATGGGCCGGACCCCCTCTACGATCACCACCGACTCGGCACCATTCGACAGCTTGATATTGCCGTCCAGTTCCTTGGAAAAAGATTCGGGCCAGCAACTTGCGCTTCTAGAATCTGCACGAGCCTTTACATTCATGCAAAGAACAGTGACCGACATTTACACAAAGCGGTCAGTGTCTTTGGGATTGCTACAACAATTGGCCCAGGAGCTGCAACAGGCAAGCTCCAAGATACCATCGACGCTACGCATCATTACATCCTCGGACGTTCCAAGTCAATTACGCATTATTCGTAACGCAACGGTGGCCTGCAACTATTACTTCAGCATGATGGTTTTGTCTAGGCCCTTTCTCATCACTTGTATCCACATCAAGCTCAACCGGACCAAGAATGCTGCTATGGATAGCACAGCTACTCGTAACTTGCAAGATGACGACAACAAGATCCACAACGACATAATGCAAGGAGCAATGACTTCTGTGGACGCAGCAACATTTACCGTTCAGTTACTACACGAACTCTTGATGGCTGGTATGCTTTTCAATAATATGCCTCTTCCAATGTGAGTATGATCATGGTTATCTGGAGCATGCTGATATGTTTAGTGCATGGGTGTTTGTTTCGGCCTTGACAATATGTTCCGCATACTTTGGCAGAATTGGAAATCTTTGTGAGATGGAAAAGTCCATCCAGCAAGCCGACGAGATATTGGCCCATTTCTCCAAACATAGCAGACAAGGCAAGCGATATGGACTAATTCTGAAGCAGCTATCAAAAGCAGCAGCAGGACATCTGCAGTCTATGAAGCAGAGAGAGCGACAAGCCCGTAGTATCATGATGCCCGAGCTGTTCAGACTGAACCTGCCAGCCTCGAAAGGCGCGCCTTACACGAGTACGCGGACATTCGGCCAGAGCCACGAAAGGATGGCGTCTAATCTGGAAGAGCAACAAGCCCTGCGGAGCTCTTCTTTCCCCTCCAGCATTGAAGGCATGGCAACTAGGCAAGGTCCATCGCTAGATGACTCGCCGTCAGCACTCAACAACACCTCTTTACTAAACTTGGTCCAATCTTATACGGACTCTGACAATTTCTTTGCAACCGGCTACAATCCCGACAGCTATCCGAACAATCTCGACTTCAATCTTGATGAGGCAGCAGACATTTGGGATCTTAATTGGGGAGGATCTCTTCTCTAGATCGATCATCTTTCTTTGAGCAAATGAGATCTCTAGCATAGCAATGATACACACCTGCATTCCCGGCTCAAGGTGACATAATATCATGAGGGTACATCTCACCTATCACCTGGTAATAGGATTTCGGGTCGAATGACGTGAAGACTAATGCAGGACCTTGATCTGACCCCCCGGATAGATTCCTCCGCCCGGATACGTACTTGACCCCGACTTTCCATGTCCCCGTAACACAGCCATCACTGCAAACAAAGACGGCATTACCAACGGCAGATATCAAATCAACTCAAGAATCGAGAGACAAAGCCATCGTCACATTTGGAACATCTGGCTCAGAAAAAGACGCGACGCCTCTGCTGATAGAAATGCTCTGAGACAGCCGAAGCTCAGACTTCAGATATTCGTTCCCATTTTCAACATCCATCAAATCAGTCTTCGCAATGGAACCAACAAAAGTCGGGGTAGCACCCCTTCTCGATCTGTCAAAGTATCCTCAGGCACAAGCATTTGTCGCCAGATGTTGCGAGTTCTTTGATGAGGTGAAAGATTTGTAAGTCACCACTTCTTCTCAGCATACATTTTCTTCATCGATACTTTGTCACATTGCACGACTGACAATGAAATTAGAACGCCCGGCGCCCCCCTCGAGGCACGACTCAATCGTGACTATGGCCCCGGCAACCCTTACTACGAAGACTTTTGCAAATTCATCAGGGCCGGGTTGGGTGAAGGTTGGGCCGCGACCGCCGAACTCGACGGGCCCAAGTACCGTCGGTCGCGGATCGTCGCACCGTCGGCGGAGACGCACTTTATCTCCATCACCACGGTGTACATGGACTCACAAGAAGAATACCGGGGTCAGTACCACGCTCACCCTTACGGGGAGATCAATTGCGTGGTGCAGATTGACGAAAGCGCCGAGCTCAAGGGCATGCAAGGCTGGCAGGGCGCGGGATGGACGTGTCCGGGTCCAGGGACTCACCATTACCCAGAAGTCAGAGGGGGAGCGTTGGTGGCCTTGTTCTTTCTCCCCGCGGGACGCATCAGTTATGCCGCGAAGCCCGGGGATCCACAGCCTCATTGTTTGTGAGGCAGCACCTAAGAAGTGGAGGACATGTTTCTGTTCGGCCTTTTGGAATCACGGATAGGGAGTCGATCTATATGTACCATTCTAGAATGGCTCAATCAAATCATCATTTGGGAGTTTAGTGTGCAGTACATGAACATCACCTAAGCTTCACATTATTGTTCGTGCTGTACTGTCGGCCTCCGTGTGAAATAGTGGAAACACGGGCTTCGTAGCGAGTTTTGCCGTGCGAACATCGGAGTTGACCACTGTGAATACGGGATTGCTAAAGTGGTTACTTTTCATTATTCTGTACTCTTGTGTATTTGTACTAATACAACGATTAAATAAATCATTTTGTAGAGAGATCTCGTAAGAGATTGTTTTATTGATTGGAGCATATACAGATCTTCCTCTTTTTCTCGGTTCTTCTCTTCATTCTTTTCTACACTTCTCGAGAACCTCGGCATCGATTGACAAACACACACACACACACAGCCTCGCATCAGTCATTCACCATGACCACCACCAATTCTATACCGACTTATACCATCATACAGGCCGACGGTCTATATCCGGTACGCTTTGCTCTCCTTCTACTCTCTTTTCATTCGTCTCCCCCATGGCCTTTCATGGTCTTTCCATCGCCGACAAAAACCACTGACACACAATGGTACGTCCAGGACGACGTGGTCGAACAGGACATTTTCAACGAGACCCCCACGCACGATTACAATCTCAGATACGTCCAGACCGACCTGTGGCCTCCGGGGACGGTCGAGGCCAAACCATGGTCGGCCGTCGACAAGGCCCTACGAGACGAGGTGGATGGAATCATGGTCTTGAAGATGAGATTTACGGCCGAAGACCTTGCCTTGTTTCCAAAGTTGAAAGTGTAAGTTTTTCTAATACGAGTTGAAGAGCATCATTATACGCCAGCTGTTCAAAGTGCTACGAACCAGAAGCAAAGCATAAACTCATTGTTACTGACCTGTTACCTCTACCTACCTAGGATCGTGCGAATGGGCGTCGGTTATGACAGATTGGATAGAGTGGCATTGGCGGCTCGAGGGGTCACCGTATGCAATGTTCCAGGTAAGTTCTTGACTGTCACTCTCGTAAATCTTTCATCCTTTGTACTTTCTTCTCCGTACTTCTATGTTGCATTACATACATCGTGCCCCGACTTGTTTCTCAACCCCCCACGCTTCATCCTCCTATATTGCTTGAACCCCCACTTTCACTCGTTATCACACTTCCACCGACGGAGTTACACACGGGACGGTTCACTGCTCTCGCCGCTGCTCACACTAATTCATGTTCATATCGGCATTCATACTAAAAGGTATTTGTCTTCCCAGATTACGGTACGGCAGAGATCGCCGACCACGCAATCGCCCTGGCCCTGTCACTCCGGAGAGGCGTCTTGCTTCACCACGACCACCAACGGGGACCATCCCCATCCCCTTGGGCCTACATCGAGTCCCCTCTCGTCGAACGCATCCAGGGGGCCACCTTCGGCGTGCTGGGTCTGGGGAGGATCGGGACGGCGGCCGCCCTCCGGGCCAAAGCCTTCGGCTGGAAGGTCTTGTTCTATGACCCTTACAAGCCCAACGGCACCGACAAGTCCCTCGACATCGAGCGGACCAAGGACATCAGGGAACTCTTCCGCAGGTCGACCACGCTGAGCATCCACTGCCCCTGCACCCGCGAGACCCGGGGGATGATCGGCTACGACCTGCTCAGCCTCCTGCCCCGGGGCGCCGTCCTGGTCAACACCGCCCGGGGCGAGGTCATGGACCTGGACGCCGTGGAGCGGTGTCTGAAAGAAAACATCCTCTCCGGAGCGGGACTCGACGTTCTCCCCGAGGAACCCATCCCTGACCCGGCACACCCATTGATCCAGGCCTACCGGAACAAGGAGGGCTGGTTGACAGGACGTAAGTTGCCCTTTTCCCGCCTCGACTCGCCGAACAGCACTCTTTTCCCCCCGGTTTGAAGAGTCCCCTCCCCCCTCTCCAGTTTGTTGGTTAGCCCCAGAATTTCCAGAACCAGAACAAAAAGACAGCGAAACGGAAAACTCATGGCTGACACTCTGATTCATAATAACAACAGGAATGACGTTGACTTGCCACACCGCATTTTACAGCCCGGGTAGCTTCGTCGACATCCGGGTCAAATCGTGCCAGACCATGAGAGATGTCTTGATAGACAAGCTTGACAGCAATGTCATCACCCCAGATATGGATTAGAAAAAATAGGACTACTTGATCAGAAAATGACTACATATTCTCTCAGGACTTCACTCTGTATGTTGCCCATCTCGACAGACTAGATATCCAGAATCATCGAGCACAATGTTGATCCACGTACCAGCTTGCATGTACTTGTTCTTCGCTACTCGTGCAACCCCAGTCGACGAGATAGTTCTTCTCCGGGACACACTAACTCTCCACCGACCGCCGACCTAAAAGTTTTTGTGTCGCTCTGTACAGGCGGGATTTCGGTCGAGATCTCGCATTCAAAAGCTTGACAAGCTCGTCACCATCAGGGCCGGGAAAGGCCAAGTGAAGGAGGTTTCCGCACGATTCCCCAGCTGAAGTTTTGGACGCTGCTCCATGCTCGATGAAGGATCGTGCTGCCAATAATGCCTCTTGTTCAAATCCTGGTTGTGGATGTCCGGGCGTCTCTCGAAATCGTCTGGCCGCACCGTACATGCTTTGTTCCCACGCTAGGAACTTCTCCCACGAGGTACCGCAATGCCTGTCCTGTAGGTATTCTCTCGTATTCGAGTTGGCGCCTTGTTGGAGTAGAGCAACAATAATGCGACAACGAGAAGTTAGACCACTGCTTCCGTTAAGGTGTAATACAATGTAGAAAAGAAGACCTGAAAGATCTAGATTATATTCTTCGTGCTTAGAAATAAGGCCGAGTATGTGGCTCTCGTGCACTAGGGTCACTGAGTCGACCACAAATTTGTCAAACAATCCGTAAACCCCTGATGGGCGAGGGCGCGCATGATCTCTGAACATAGAAACCATCGACTGGAAAATTGTACTCTGTAATTGTCCAGATTTGTCCTCCCAGTCTTTGAGGAGAAAAATCAGAGAACGAGAAAAGCTCCCGTTTAAAGAATCGTCCCATACATCAACAGACGTCGTGTCCTTTTGCCGAAAGGGCATAAGAAAAGTCATCTTGAGCTGAGTTAATGTAGCCTGACACAGATACTGGACTACATCAAGGTTTGGGTGCAAGTAACTGGAGAGCAGCTTCTGTGCTGGTTGAGATAAAAGGAAGTCACTGACACTTCGGTGCAAATAATCCACGGTGTACTCTGCTGGCGTGTCATGGAAGTTTGCCCGACTCGTTCGTTGAATCTCAAGTAAGCCTCCGCAGCGACCCTCCAGCCGCCTGGTGAGCATAAGGTGTCGACTTCTGAGGACTTCTTTCGCTAGAGGTTCCACGGGAGTCGTTCCCAGGAAGTCAGGTCCCCCTTCTTCCACAAACCAAAATGTCAAAAGGGAAAGCGGTCCGACGACGCTTTGGGCGACCATTTGGAAATAAGCTGCCGCATAATGACGCTGATGGATAGGTATGCGTTGGAGAATACTATAGAAGACTTCATCCAGATCAGGCGGAAGCTCTCGTAAGCGGGCAACAAGGGCCGCCATGGAATCGCCTTCGACTAATCCTAGTTTGAGTGATCGAACGACTAGGTATACCCAAAGAAAGACCCCTTTGGCTTTATCGACTATCTCTTCGATCAAATTACTGCATGTGGTTGGGTAAGCGGCCTTCAAAGTACCGAATTCTTTGATTTCCTCAAGTCGATCAATCGTATACGTTTCGATGTCATTTCGCGTTAAGAGCTCCATCCGTAGTTTGGGGAAATCTTCAAACCCACTTTTGAAAGCTGGATACGGCCGACTCGAAACGCAGAGCTTGACGCCTTTGCAAGAGGAGACCTTGACCAAGAAATCTACAAGGTCTGAATGGCAACGGTGATCCCCTTCAAATTCATCGAGACCATCGACAAATATACAGAATCGATAGTCTCTGCTTCCGTTTCCGAGAAGTTCAAGCAGCGTGTTCTCTAGTTCTGTATTGGTCCAAGGCTGTTGATGAGATCCCAATATGGCTGCACGCCAGCGAGATGGGGTTGAAATTGGCACCAAGCACGGAGCCTGTCGCAGTAGGTTGTGAATTAGCGATCGGAGGAGACCATTCCGCGACTTCTGAGTCTCCGTGCCTGCTAGCCAGAAAAAGCAACTTGCTGTTAGTAAAGGTAGATTTTGTGACCATACCTGTGCTGCGAGCGTAGTCTCTTGAGACTCATAAATGAATCGCATAAGTCTGACATTGTCAGTCACGAGCAATTCTGACTTGGACTTTGTAATCATACGTTGACTTTCCACTTCCAATCTTCCCCGATACCCAGTAGAGGCCTGATGATTCAAGCGGATCTTCGAGCCATGTTCTAAAGTTGTCCTCCGTATCCACGCCCTCGTCCGGCTTGTTGAAGACCCATCGACAAGTATTTTGATGAGCCGGATGAACCTGTAGCCTTCGTTCCTCAATCTGTTGAAAGTAGAGGCTGTTGAGAATGAGATTTCTTGCGTGCTCCTCATCATCAATTCGGATGCGAGAAGTAATGTCGGCGGAGACAGCAGATAGTGCGTTCTGCTTCTTCGTTGATGATGTTTGTAACTTCTTTCGAGCCGCATCATTTCGATCCCATGCAGTATGCTTCTGAAGAGAAGTTTTCAATCCGGCATTGGCGTCGCGAATTGCTTGGAGTATGCTCAATTCAACCCGTTGGCTTTCTGCCAACAAGCTAGCAACATCTCTTTTCTTGTTTCCGCTATGCAAATCAGTAACATGCTCCCCCCCCTCAAATGCAGAGCAGTTCATTACCTTATGACCACTACTATGTGAAGAATAAGCTGCGATCGCTGCTGGTCCAATCTGCGCTGCATCGTCTCTATCCCGTCCTTGTGCCAGACAATTTTGAACGCCTGTCGAAAGGATTTGTACGAGGACTGGCCAGGACGACCCGAGAGTCCTTCAAGCACCTGACGGAATTCTGCAGCAAGATTCTTGCATTCCTCAGAGACTTTCATCAAAGCTAAATCGGCTTGTGTTGTTTTCGTCGTATTCTCAAAAGAGATGCCACGCTGTTGTATCTGGCCATTGAGTTCATCGAGGCGGCGAGTTACTGCGACCAACTCTTCGTGTTCGATCAAAGTGCCTCGAGTACTTTGGGCAATCTCGCGTTGTTTCGACAATAACCTGCCTGCAAAGTCCAGGAATTGGATGATAGCGGCGGCAGTTCCCAGCGCGCTCACTGGATCAAGCACCATGCTGTCGAAATCAGTTGATGTGTATGAAAGGGTGAGATATTTCCTATGTCAGTTCATGTTGGAAGTGTTGCCTACAGGTAGGCTGAAAACTGATCAACTCAGCCGCGGGGATGGCCAGGTCTGTCTCGTACCAAGCGAACCAAGGATATTGAAGCAGCCAGTGGTGCTAGGGTCTCACGAGTCAATCGATTCGTATTTACGTTAGCTTCTCGCAAGACTAGGAGATCAGCTGTCAACTGCGCCTGCTTCGCAAAACAGGAGACTATTTCGTCCTCATAACACAAACAACAAACAACTCATCGTCGGATGGCACAATATCATCAAATCTTACGTTAGCAATAGCCTTGCGGCCTTTTCAACTCGTAACCATACTTTCACATCTGCCAAAGCCACGATTGAGTAGACGGTCTGCCCAACCAAGGCTGTATTTCCACATAGTCGACTCCTAGCAATGCAAATATTTTCAACCCCAACGCCTCGCTGCAAATCAAACCATGGCCTTAGAAGACCCACCGGTAGCTGGCATACCGACCAGCTGTCTCACTCTTCCGGATGATCTTGACCACGTTCCCTCTTTTCAAGCCTAGATACCTGGCCACAGGATCGCTATATTGAATCCGCGGCAGCTGAGTCTCTTTCAACCGGTATCGGTCCAACAGAACCTTCTTCTCTTCCGCGCTAAGCAAGACATGCTTGGGGACCAGTTCGTGTCTCGTGATATTGACAAGCAGATCCTGCTCTTGAAACCACTCTGCCGTAATCCCACGTTCTGTCAAAGGCTCGAAGGCTCGAAGGGCAGCACCAGTGACGGGTCCGATGGTAATGAAAATGCCAGTAGTAAATTTATGTTGATCAAGATGCTGAGCAAATGCGCGCAGGTGCTTAATACCGATTGTGGTCTCTGGACTGAACTCGACCCAGATTGTGCCTGCCGTGGTTGAAGGGTTTGGGTTTTTGGCAGTCGCTCTGGGGGTATCGCGCTTGATCATCTCTTCCGTAGGAGTAGCCTGTAATCTCATCATTCTCCGGCTATGGCAAACAAAGTCAGCAGGATAATAATGTGGCACTGTCAAAGAACTCACTCTGCGGTTCCGGTTTGTCTGTCACAGTAATCCCGCTGGAATTTGTCTCGAGAGATGGTCAGCTCTTCTTGGGAGATGGCATATCCCTGTTTCAGTGTGTCAGTAATCAGAGGAAGGTCCAAATCATTTGTCCACTACATACGCGGTCGACAAGCATCTCTAATACTGTCTTCCATGTTCGCCATAATCGAGTGATTTCTTTCTCGGCATCTACCGACAGCTTTGGTCGGTCTTCGTAATCCATGCTTGATATGAGACTGAGGCGAGGACGTATTACGCGGAATGAAGAGAAAGGACTTATGGCCTGACTGTCTTTGTTCTCACGGCGCAGGCACTTCACCAGCATTCAGAAAAAGTGACGAGGCTTGGCGGGAATAGAAAAAGTACGCGCTAACAGATATTCGGGGTTTCGCTAACGATTCACCCGATCAACGCCGCTTTTCCTATCCCTCAAGTTATTCTTTTGACCGAGACACGACCAAACATGGCCAGAATAAAGGCAGCGTCATACTCAACCGAAAGAAGAACCCAAACCTTGGCGCGACTTTTCCTGGGAATTTTCTCCACACCGAAACGGATGAATCGACTGACTGAGCGACAACTCGCAAAGGTCCCTCACCGGCTCAACCTGTATTTGGGTCTCAACTGAGGTATCTGTCGCTCTCCTAAGTACCTTTCTTCGTATCGTATCAGTCAAATCCTTTTTCTAAGCCACGCGATCTTAGTATGGATTAGTCATTGTTATATCGCCTACTCCGCTCTCGATTCTTGTCCAGCTGTCGTTCACTTCTCACAAACATGGCTGATTCTGAAACCACCCCTCCCGCCACTAACGGCGCACAAAAGGCTCGTCCAGAAAAGCCCGACGAGGCCAAGTTCAAGGCTGATGTAGCAAAAGCCGAGAAGGAGCACGAAGCGGCTCAAGCCAGATTTGTATGTGTCCGATCTACTCTTTTCATCGAATTCCACTCTAATAATTCATCAGCAAGCTGCCAAGAGCAAGTTCGACACTGCTCGGCCTGGAAAGTCTTCTCCTGCGAACGATCGATTTCGAGAACTTGTCGAGGAACAAAAGGTCATTCGCCAGAAGCAGCAGGAGCATAAGGTAGGCAAGGCTGGGCTTCAAGAGAAATACAACAAGAATGAGTCCGAGATCAAGAAATGGATCGCCGAGCAGAAGGATGTCCGCTCTCGAGCTGGCTTCAAGAGCGCCGATGAGATCGATGCAAAGGTTGCCAGTCTCACTAAACAAGTTGACTCGGGCAACATGAAGTTGGTGGACGAAAAGAAGGCTCTCGCCGAGATCTCCTCCCTCAAGCGACAGAAGAAGACCTTCTCCGGTCTGGATGACTTGCAGAAGAAGATTGACGAGAAGAAGGCCGAGAATGCCGAGCTCCGAAAATCGTTCGACAACCAGGAAACTCGGGAGCTGTCGCAGAAGTATGAGAACAACCAAAAGGAACTTGACGACATCAAGGCTACTCGAGAAGATGCCAACAAGAACATTGACAACCTTAGGGCAGAGAAGGACCAACGCTACCAGGAGCAAACAGTTACCTGGGAAGCGATCAAATCGGTCAAGGACGCCTACCATGCTCAACGCAAGGCCTACAAGGAGTACGAAGATCAACTCTACCAACAGCGACGTGAACGCCAGAAGGCTGAACGTGAGGCCTACGAGAAGGAAAAGCGCCGTCGTGTTGCCGAGCAGAAACTGGAGGAGGCTAGTGAACCCGCCTTCTTGGACGAAATCCGTACCGCGGAAGGACTTATCCGCCATTTCGATCACTCATACGCTGCCGAGGGTGGCGAGAAAGGACCAGGTCAATTTGCAGCCACTGCTCAACGCACTGTCGACGAGTCTGGTTTCAAGGGTATGAAAGTGATGAAGAAGGACGACGAAGACTTCTTTGTTGGCGGTGGAGGTAAAAAGAAGGGCAAGGGTAAGAAGGGCGGTGCGACATCATCTACCGAGGGACCTTTGAACTTGAACGTTGGCATCTTTGAGGAGCTTGCCAAGGTCGGCGTTGACCCACCAAGCAGCCAAGCAGACGTTCCTGGAGTTGTCGACAAATTGAAGGCAAAAGTGGCTACTTGGAAGGAGGGTCAAAAGGCCCAGACGGAAAAGAACATTGAGAAAGCCCGCAAGGAAATCGAGAAACTTGAAGTGGACGGCACTGAAGCCCCAGCTGCTGCCGCATGAATTCTATATAGCACGGGAACAGAAAAAACCTGAGAGCCTTCTACTAGCTACATCCTAAAGAATCCCGATGTTCACAGCATTGGACACCGGAGATATCATTCATAATGGAAGATTGAAACCGTACTTTGATTGCTCATCAAGATGCCGACTCCAATTTGGAGAATTATGCTCCGTACTACGTATTGTACCTATCTGACCCGAGTCATAGCGTGTTATTTACCTGCCGTCCTGATTCGGATTGTTTATCTCCATTATCTCCGTCCATCTCGACGTCATTTAGCAAGACTTCAACATCTTACGACTCCGTCTGAGTTCGAGCGGAGAATTGCCGATGAATTGTGATTCTTTCAATCCCTTCTATCCCCGAGGTACCTCTGTTGATTCTTCGTCTATTGTATTTCATCAGCCTCTCCTTCGCTCAAGGCATCGTGTGCACGGATCGATACGTAAGCCAACGTTTCCTGGTGCTGCAACGCATACCTGTCTCCTTTAACAGAACACGATGGCATCCGTATTCCGACCCGGCTCTCTCGCTTTGATCACAGGCTCTGCCTCGGGGGTGGGGTTCGCATTCGCCCAACACTGTCGTCGACAGGGCATGCACCTCGCGTTGATCGACAACAACGGCAGTGCCTTGCAGAAGGCATCCCAGGTTCTTCAAACGACCAGCAGCACATCCAAAGGCTCCGAAACACTCCAAACGCTCACTTACGAAATGGACGTCTCTGACTCATCGGCCTGGTCCAAGGTGAAATCTGACCTGTCTCAGAAATTCACGGCCATCGACCTCCTCATGCTCAACGCCGGCATGTCCATCCGCACGACCCAACCTTGGTCGGACGCCGACTACTTCCACAAGACGTTTGGGGTCAACTTCTTCGGCATCGTCCACGGCCTGACCACGTTCCTCCCCATGGTCCAAAAGGCTTCGGGCCCGTCGGCCGTCGTCCTCACGGGTTCCAAGCAGGGCATCACCAACCCTCCCTCGAACCCGGCCTACAACGCGACCAAGTCGGCCGTCAAGACCGTCGCGGAGCAACTCGCCTACGACCTGCGGACGGAGTCGTCGTCGATCTACAACCCCCGAGTGTCGGTCCACCTGCTCGTGCCCGGGTGGACGTTTACCGGACTCAGCGGGAACCAAGGTCCTGTGCCGGATGAAGAGGCGCTGAGTAAGAAGCCCCGCGGCGCGTGGTTGGCGAGTCAGGTGTGCGAGTACGGGGTCAAGAAGATGGCCGAGGGGAAGTTCTACATCATCTGCCCGGACACGGACGTCGACGAGGCCCTCGACCAGGCCAGGATGACGTGGGGTGCCGGTGACGTGGTCGAGGGACGAAGTCCGCTCAGTAGGTGGGACGACAAGTACAAGAACGAGGCGGCGGACTGGATTGCCAAGGAAGCCAGTAGGAGGAGAGGGCAGTAGGGAGCAGAAAGTCACAATAGTCGGAAACAACATATTTGTGACCGGAGACTGTCCCTCTCAAACACCACACTGCAAACGTTTGGTCAAGAAACTGCAGTCTACTCCATAGACAAGTAAGCATCTCCTTTCCGAATGTGCTTGACCGGCATCATTCCGTCAACCTCAGAAAAACCAAGGCTCTATCGTATAGGCTTTTCCAGCCTTGACAGAAATATCATGAGAGCTCTTTAGCCCTCCTTCACAACGCTCTGCTCAACCTCCCTCCTACGCCTCAGTTACGTGTAAAGCGCCGTCCTCCGGCTTATCTTTAGCTTCTTCCGTCGCTGGGCGTGACGAGCATGGAAGAATCGCTAGCTCACGTCTTTCGTCATCGTCACTCTTAAGCCGGGGATTCTCACGGTGACGGCGTCAACGATTGAGTCGACCTGGAAAATGAATTCATCGAGAGCTTGCCCACCATAAGTCAACTGGTCGACGTTGTCCCACGCTTCGGTAGCTTGTCCAAAGAGCTGGGGGACACCACCCATTTGAGCGACTGTGAGACCGGACTTTGGACTGTGATCCGTCAAGAACACCGCTCGTAGCCTCAGCTCCCTGCCATCCTCTGAGAGAATGGCCGGGTAAAGCCGTACAGATAGGAGACTCCCGCTGCCGGTAGAACGTGAGTAGTCGTCCGCCACCTGCAGAAAATCAACCCCGTTGCTGAACCATCTTCGAACCTCGAGGCCTGGCCCTTCTGATGGAACGACCAGTTGAAGGCTGTCAGACTCGACGCTGGTGGTGGCGGCGCTGCGCCTGTGATACCACCCCACAAGTCGCTGCATTCGCGCTTGCCGGTCAGCGATGACTTGCAGAGTCCTTGTCGTTACAATATCGGCCAAACGAGGCGGCAGCTGAAGATCTCCGGACGAAGCGACCAATTCCGAGATGACGATGCCATAATCCGGGACCAAGATCAACCAGGAATTGTAAGTTCCAATGCTGCCGGATTTACAGTAGAGATCTACAACCCGGCCCGATATGTTGGTGCGGTAGATCTCCCAAGGCATGCCGATGGAAAGAAACAGGGACGATGTGTGCGCCGAAGGTTTCAGCCAGCGCCTCGTGTCCAGGCGTGAGAGCCGACGGCTGCTCAGGATCGCTTCCCCGAGGGAGCACAGGTCCTTGACTGTCGAGTAGAGGCCACCAGAGCTGTCTTACCGTCAGGACAAGCACTCAAAGTCTGGTTGGGCAAAAAAAAGGAGAAACCTTCCAAACACTTACGGTGTCTCATCGCCAATGTCGTCTGACCAGCCAGAGTCGGTTGCATTTGTCAAAATGGCGCCGAGAATATCCTGTGGCTTACTTGCATATGTGTAGTTCAAGCCCAGCGGTTCCAGTACCAGACTGCGCAGCGAGGCAGAATAGTTCTTGTTGGTGATTTTCTCCACGACATATCCTAGAAGTCGGAAGGCATTATTTGAGTATGCCGGGGTTTGGAAAGCCTCAAAGACTGCGTCACGCTTTTGTATTGCCGCGAGGAAGTCTGTTTCATACCCATTAGTATAACTTTGCTACCCGACAATCTGTCGAAGTGGAATCAGAATCTAACCTGAGCGAGAGCAAGTTGGTGCACTGTTCTCGTCGGTGCAGCCTGGGAAGACGGAGTGCGTAAGGTTAGGAAGGCCAGGCGTATGCGGGAGATTTGCCAGATCCCCTAGATTGTCTACGGCAATATCAGCACCCAAGGGGGAAAAAATGAGATATCCTGGAAAGAAGGCTTACAATCCCTTGCGATGCCGGCCATGTGTGAACCCAAAGCACCAATAGTGATCTCCGACCAGTTGGCGGTAAGTCGTTCGAAACTGTTGGTAGTGTTGAGGATTGGTGCTGCCTCCGTGGGAGCTACCAATTCGGGTATAAAGTCTCCAATCCATCGCGAAAAGATGTCATAGCTTTCAGAGATCAAGAGTGTGTATATGGTGAAAAGTTTAGAGACACTGCCGATGCGGAAAACTGTACCTTCGTCGACATTCTTGTTTTGATCCGTCGAATAATAGAAGGAGAATAATGGCTCGTCGGCGTAGATCGACGTGACTCGAGCGGCGATCATCAGCGACGTGTTTGTGATGTTCTCGCAGTATGTAGAGAGCTCGCGGGTGATGTCGTCGCCGCCAAATGGTGAGAAGACATTTGTACTGGAGTGGATATCGAAGACTGGCCCGAGAAAAGTGTCAAAGCCTTGGGTTGCGCTACTGAGGCCCGTAAAAACAAGCGGTGCTACCAGCTTGACGAAATGCATTCTTGATAAAGGGTCTCAACAACTAAGTGGTAGGCAGTTGCTACACTGATTCAACTGGCCGCCAGAACACAAATACGATTGAAAGGTGAGATATAGCTTGCAGAGTGCCAGGGGGGTTGGGAGACTTATGACTCCCGTTCAAGTTTGATCGAGAATGTAGCTTCTACGAGATGTCATGCGAAACTAACTTCCAAAGGTAGAGGAGCGATGTGCTCGAGGCTCTTCGTCTCATTCGCCGTGTCGTCTACTTCATACCAGATTGGAATTATGGAGCCCGTACCATCAATATCCACCCTTGGTTTCGCCAAAATTGGCAAAAGAACTAAGATCCAGGCAGCAAGAATGCAGAAGTGATCAATTTAGATCCCAGCGGACATTCAATCTTTTCAACCTCCAGCATCACCAACTGACCTGGAAGAATCGATCATCCCAAGCGTCTTTTGTGTCCTGAGACCGAAGCGAACAGCATACCTCTGAGTAATGCTTGCGTGGTTCTATATCGGTACCCACTGAGTGCACTCTTTTAAACTCGGGAACTCGGTGGTGTTTTAGAAAAGTTTCGTCGAGACCACTCTCTTCGAGCTCTTTGACTGTAAGTGCTATTTTGGCCATGGCAGCACCGTTCCATACACCTTCTGTACCTTTAGCTTCAGACAGTAGTTCTATCGCTTCAGCCCGGATTGATCGCTCTCGGCATCGTGTGGCGGTGAAAAAGAGTGGTTGTATTATCCCAAGTCCCAGAGAAAACAGCGGGCCGTCCGCGTTTGCTAGGTGGCCGCGTAACACTGACCTAGACATAGTGACAATGGATCTGAAAGGGTCGTCGTATTCGTCGTAGCAGAGTTGATTTGGACAAAGGGCAGTTTGTAAGAGAATCTCAGCCGTTCTATGATGAATTAGGAGCAATCTCGACTTAATTTGACATTCCATATTTCGGTAGCCAACGCTATCGAGCAATGAATAAAACAATTGCTTCCACCGGTGGGACTCGTCTTTCAGCAGCCGCGTCTGAACTGTTACGAATGAAGGTCTCTCTTCTGGGTCTAAATAGCAGAACCCCTGGGTGGTGGGTGCTCTTAAAAATGCCCAGAGTTTGCTCAGGTGTGAATAAAGGTGACGTTGGGCGGTTTGAAGTGAGTCAAAACCAACTTCTTCGGATGGGAAACCAAGGTTGAGTCGCGGCACCCAGCCTTCGACGAAAGTTGATCCTTGGACATCAAGACGCATAAAAGTGTCCGTAATGTTGGTGTCCACTAAACCAGAGAAGACGAATCAGTAGATGGCGCAGGCTCCTATGCTTAGGCTCTCACCTTCACAGGAAGAACAAACTCGCAAGCTGCTCTCCAAATGCAGTCGTGCCCCGCCGTAGTCACCCTGCATGAGCTCATAGCAAATACCGAGAAGGGAGCAAACCAAAGCTATTTCAATCGCCAATTTGTCTGGTCGAAGTAACATCATCTGTAGAGCTCGGATGAACTTTCCATAGGACTCGAGAGAAAACGTTGTGGCAGCAGAGCGCCCTGGCCACTGGGACATATTCTGGAGCTGAAGCGCAGTGAAAGCAACCGCAGCATGCCGCACGCAAGATTCCTGATGGAGGCACTGTAGGATCAAACGTTCGAGGCGTCGAGACGTATCATCAGAAACAGAAGCAACCATCTTGTGACGAAAAGCATCGAGACAGTGGATTTCAAGGCTTCGTTTCGCATGGTCTCTGTAGGATAACATCGCGATACTCAGGGCTGTGGCGGGGGCTGTCCACTTGGCGATTGGACGCCGTGAGCTGGGCGTCACATAGCCATCACACTTGCGTCCTGTCAGGGTGCATTGCCGGCAGGCCGGTTTGATTTCATCACATTTGACTCGCCGTATTCTATCAAGCATAAGCAGATGAGTACGGAGCACGAGGGATGCCGGCGATTAAGGATGGTGCGACACCATCCGAGCTGCTTACCTGCAGGTGACACATCCAAGACGAGATCGAGACGAGCCTCTTCTGATCTGTCCCATGCTAGCAACGATGCCACGTCGAAGACGCAATGGTGGCAGGAAATATCTCACGGGGGTCCAAAGTCAGGACCTCTTTAATCGTGAGGAGAATAGGCAGCCGGGAAGATTTTGGCGGTGGAGATACATAGCCTCGATTCGAAGAAATCCACTTGGCCCACCAAATATCTTCCTCCGACTGGCCGCTTCGTCTAATATTGTCCAAAATAGTCCTAGCCTTGTCGTCAGGCAACTGGCCTTTCCCCTTACTACCTGACCCGATCAGGACTGAGGCCGTTGACTTGAGATCCTGATACTTGCCCAGGCTAAGACTATTAAAACGCATGTCGACTCTCCATGTTGGGGCTATGCAAGCCGCTCTTTAAACCTCCTACGGGCGCATATGGAAGTCACGGGCAGTGGAAAGCTGACGCGAGAAGTCTCCTATGAATCCCTACCACCCTTTGACGGTGAGAAGCCGCATTGAACGCAGAGTATCGATTCATGAGCTGACAGACGTCTAGAGACAGGCAGACTTGACCTCGATGCATACGCAGGCGATGAGATCGATAGGCTGTTCAGATTATTCTTGCCCAGTCGTAGCAAGGGATCGGAGAGTTCACCATTTTCTGATGTAGCTGAGGCCAGTGCTCCTCCTCGCCATTCAGAAATTCCTCCTCCACCTTTGAATGTGGTGATACAACTTATTGGCTCGCGAGGTGATATTCAACCTTTCATTGCCTACGGGATACACCTGAAACGCTACTACGGACATCGAGTTCGACTCGCGACTCATGGTGTCTTTCAGAATCTTGTTGAAGGGAACGGGCTACTTTTCTTCGATATTGGAGGTAACCCTGAGCAACTCATGAGCTTCATGGTTCGTAGTCCCGGATTGTTGCCGAGTTACAAAGCTCTACGTGCTGGAGAGATCAAGCACCACCGTGAGGCTTTGTACAAGATGTGGAAAATGATTTGGAAATCATGCTTCGAGAATGGTCAGGATACGTTGCCCTCTGTGCCGAGCAGTAATACACTGACTCTCCAGGGCCTGATGGTGTCCCATTTGTCGCAGACATCATAATCGCCAATCCGCCAAGTTTCGCGCACATTCATTGTGCTGAGAAACTCGGGATCCCACTGCATTTGATGTTCACGTGAGTTTCACTCCATCAGGTACGACGAACTCGAGCTGAACATGTCAAGAATGCCCTACAGCCCCAGCGGTGCTTTTCCTCATCCACTCACCAGAATCAGCAATGAACGGATGAACAACATGTCCATAAACCGCTTATCGTATTATATTGTAGAGCGGCTGATATGGTTGGGACTAGGGGAGGGTCTCAATCGGTTTCGACAGAATGTGCTTCATTTGGAACCGGTCAACCTTGCACGAGCTCCAAGTATAGTGACAAAGTTAAAGATACCTCACACTTATTGCTGGTGAGCCCATGCCCGATGGTTGCAACCCTGAACGCTCTGACACCGATATGAGGTCTTCCTCCTTATTACCAAAGCCGAGTGACTGGGGAGAACACATCTCAGTGGCAGGCTATTTCCTTCAAGATAATGAAAACACTTCGTTCAACCCACCAACAAGTCTCTGCGAATTCCTCGCAGCTGGAAAGCCTCCGATTTACATCGGCTTCGGCTCTATTGTTGTTGACAACCCGGAAATTTTGACAGAGCTTGTCCTCGGGGCCGTGAAGCTCACTGGTGTGAGAGCCTTGATTTCCAAAGGCTGGCTCGGACTGGGCGAGGGCCAGTCCTCCACTAAAAACGTCTTCTATGTAGGCGATGTGCCGCACAGCTGGCTCTTTGAGCGTGTTTCTGCGGTAGTGCATCACGGGGGTGCTGGCACAACCGCGGCCAGCTTGCGCGCTGGGAAGCCAAGTGTCGTGGTCCCGTTCTTCGGCGACGTGAGTTTGCTTTCGAGCAAGACACATGACATGATAAAGTTCAGCTAATTCGTTCTTGCAGCAATATTTCTGGGGTAAAGTGGTCTACACTGCCGGTTGCGGTCCACGGCCAATACCGTTTCTTCATCTCACAGCTGAGAAGCTTGCCAGTCAGATCCAAGAAGCCCTGGAGGCCGTCATTATACGGAAGGCCGCAGAAATTGGTGCCACCGTTCAGACCGAGAATGGCTGTGATAATGGTGCGGCAGTACTACACCGTTTTATGAACCTCGACGCATCGAGATGTCACCTTATTCGAGACCGCATCGCCGTGTGGAAGATAAAACACTCCGAAGTTCAGATTAGCGCCCTAGCTGCCGCGGCCTTGGTGGAAAGTGGATGCTTACGGTACAGCCAATTGAGGATGTATGTCGGAGATGTCGCGCCTACCTTCCACTCTACGAAACTGACGCAGCCTTGGCTTAGATTGAGACACTGTGAGTATGAAATGGAAGATAGGCCAATCGACCCATTGTCGGGAGGGGCACTAGCTTTCCTTGGATCGTTCCAAGACATTGTTGAGGAGAGCTACAACCTGTCCAAGAACATCGTCAAAGCAGCCTCACCCCGGAGAGCTCCGACCGAAAACAAAGGCGTGAAGGAACTTGGGCACGATGAGAGGAACTCCAACTCTACCTCTGGACGGCATGCGTCGGGATGTAGCAACTACACCGATGCTAAGGTCATAGAGGGCGCTGAAGCTGTCGGCTCATCTGAGATACTGAAAAGTGCAGGGTCCTTGAGTAAGGCTATCGCGTCAACCCCCATGAATTTCTGTCTTGGTATTGCAAAGGGGTTCCAAAGTATTCCAATCGCGTATGGAGACAGAAGCGAACGACCGAGGACGAAAGTATCTGGAATAGTGACTGGGGTTACAGTTGGTATCAAGGTCAGCCACTGATCCTGACCATAGTCTTTAGTCTCACGAACGTTGACACGGTAGACAGGAATTGGCTTTCGGCTTCTACGACGGTATAACAGGAGTGGCAACGCATCCATTTCAAGGATACAGGAAGAATAACATAGGCGGTCTAGTATCTGGCATAGGCAGGGGGGTCGGAGGATTGGTCTTGAAACCTGGAGCAGGTAAGTCCTTCTTATGTTCTGCAATGCTTGGGAATTGTTAAGTTTCCAGTTGTCTATGTTTTCTGACCAACGCCAGGCATATTTGGTCTTCCGGGCTACATTCTACAGGGCTTGTCTCAGGAGATTCATAAGACTTTTGGTGAGAATCTCGAAAGCCGGATTGCTCTCGGTCGGGCGCTACAAGGAAGAGGCGAGCTTCAATCTTGCTCTGCCATCGACAGGGACAACATTGTGAGGGAATGGAGAAAGATGAGTGGTTTACACCAAGGGCTTGTTAAGAGTTGAAGTCAAACGCAAAGGTATGAAGAGCCTATGGCACAGTAGTGACAGTAAGAAGTCGCCTTTGTGGTTGTGAGGTTGAGACTTGCTGCGCATCAGCATGGTAGCCTCATGTGAGATAGTAGCGACAATACGGATTTTAGAACCTCGTGTCGAAGTCTGAGAAGCAGAACAAACCTCCTAGTACCAGCAGAGAGACCTAAGTTCAGGTGCAATCTTCCCATGGGTTGAGATGCTATTACTACACCGCTTGTATTTCTCTAGTCCGTGAACAGGAAGGATAGTTGTTCCCGGTCTTGACCTTCTCGAACAGTACCACCAGGACACTTTCAAACAAGGGCCATCCAGGACACCTGGGACGATTGCGGGTAATCGGCTGAGGTACAAATGAAATCCAAGGCAACAACTGAGTTCCCTTGTAGAGGCTTTGACCATGGCCGGTGAGCACCTGGCTCAAGCCTACAGTGCTATCCCTGATGAGGGTTCGGATAGACGACGTATCGAATCAGATTGCCCTGCGACACACAAGGTGGGGACAGATTATCCAGTCGAGACGTCCATGCAGCTCGGTCCTACTCACTTTCAAGCAGTTATAAACCGCGGATTTTCCAGCTCGTGAAGGCCCCGGAAATTTCATTTTTTTCCAAGGAGCGACCTATTGTTCATATATCTTCGAGATACTGGTACTCTTCACAGTCTATTCACCTTGACTTTGGATCACTCCGGAACTATCATTATAGTTCCAAAACAATGGATCGAGGGGATAGCAATTGGAACTCGTGCAAGGACAATGAGGTTGAAGGATTCGAGTCTTTGAGCAGTCAGTACATCCTTGCATCCAACAACAGGAGTATAAATAACGTGCTGTGTACTCAGATCAACAAGATCAGGTCCTACCGCCAAGTTATCAATCTCAGCAAGTTTATACGTCCATGCAATCCCGCGGGCATACCGGCTCTGGCGGTGACACTTTTCGCTCGCTCGTTCCTCTAAACCAGCTACGGGATGGCCCTGCTCCCATTGAATGTCCTGCCTGTGGATCTCGAGAGGTTACAAGAATCGAGTATTCCTCGGGTCGAAGAACCAGGTACGTCTGCCATGATGTGTGACTCGGGAGCGCCCGCTTTATACCTAAGCCAACTTTTTCTGCTTAGAAAATCAGCTAGGCTGTTGTTTGCAGCAACAGTCATACTCGCACCGGTACCTTACTTGACCAATGGAACTAAAGACGTCCGTCACTTTTGCGGAAGCTGTGGGACCTTGGTCGCGGTATGGCTAAACAAGAGGAACTCTCCAGGCGAGACTCGCGTGGTGGCCCAAACCACCCTGAGCAAAGTTGCTGTCACAGACCGGCCCTACCGGACTTCATATTGACGAGCGATGCGCAATTATAGGCCCTCCTGTTGATGGGCCAGTATACGTACAGTATGTGCATTCTTACCAAGGGACACATACAAGACAGATGCGGGCTTTCGCCTTGAGGCTTCAGGACAAGAGTCCTGTGCGACACACGAGGTATGATAGGAGGGATTTTTGTCGGGCCTTGAGCTGTTATGGGCATGGTTGCTTAGGACATACTGTCTCAGAGGAAGGCACCAGACGAGTACATGAGTAGCATAAATCAATTGATCAAGACATTCGTGGATTGCATCAAAGGTGTGGAAAGGAGTTTGTGGTGCCGACCGTTCCACCCTTGCCGGTGTATATGTTTACTGTCATTGATTTTGGGACCCCTGATACCGGCCTCTGGCACAGTTCATGGGCTCCCCCTCGTTCCCTATCTCGGATCCCATCAATCTGCGCGCGAAAATCTTGCCACCAACAATCAGTACATCTCATAACGCCAGCCGAGATCCACCATTTCCTGTGTCACACCACCCTTCATGGCCTTTGCGATCTGCAGTGGATTGCCCGAGTCGAGGCGTTTGTTCTCACGCAAAATCAGGAAGCGATAGAAGGTGAGAGTGGCTGCAAAGAGGAACGCACAGCCCATCAATGTTCCAAAGGCGGCGTAAAAGTGCGGAGCCGAATAATACAGATACGAAGCCCAGATGTTTGAAGTGCCTCCAATGGCGTTGACCAGAGCAGAAGCCGCCGCCCGTTTTGAGATTGGTCGCGCGAGATGGAGGTTGATGGTCTTGTAGAGGAGTATCTGCGGTCCCACTGAGGAGAAGGGCAAAATCATCATCGAAAAGTAGCGCGCACCGACATTGGTGGTGGCCATGGGTATGATGTACATGCATATGGCGATCGAAATGCAGTACAAGATGATGGGGTAGACCGTGTTCTTGCGATCCGACCAATACGTGATACCGTAGTAGACGATCCCGGCCAGAACGTAGGGCGGTGCTGTCAGAAGCAAGCTATCCGTCGATCCATAGCCAAGGGAGTCGACGAGGGTCGGAAAATAGTTGGCGATCGAGCCCTGGGCTTGTGAAAGCAGGTTGCAAAGGATCAAGAGCAGCAGCTTGGGGTCCGACAAGGCATTCGCGAAGCCTCTTCTTACACTCTCCCTTTCCGTACCCTCTGCCGCCCCTGCTTCGGACTCAATTCGCCACACTGCCAGGTCACGCTCCACCTGTGATAGTATGCGACTGTTGTGTGGGAACTCCGGCATGAGACAGGCGCAGATGATCCCAATGCCGACCGTGGCGCTTCCTTCGATGATGAACAGCCATCTCCAACCAGCAATGCCGTGGGTCCCATCCAGCTTACCGATCCCGGCCGCAAACAAACCGCCAAACGCATTCCCAACCTGCTGCGCAATGTACAGGCCAGCAATGCGCTTCCCGAGCTCTGTCTTGGTGTACCAAGCCGAGAGGAAGTATATTGCTCCGGGAAAAAATATCGCCTCGACCACACCAAGAATGATGCGCACTGCGAGGAGTTGGCCATAGGTTTTGACAGACGCTGTGGCAGCGGAAATACCACCCCAAACAACCACGGCACCGCAAATGTACATCCCAGGCCGGGAGATCTTCGTGATGAGGAGGTTGCTGGGAATCTGGAACGGCAAGTACCCCACGAACAGAATTGAAATTGAAGTGGCAAACTGTTCTGTGGTCATGTTTAGGTCTTCGGTGATCCCTTGTAGCTTGGCCGCTGCCAGGTTCTGGCGGTCGATATAGTTCAAAATGTACAAGATACCAATTGTCGGGAGGATAAACAGGTCGATTTTGCGGACGAGTTTCTGACTGAGGAGTCTGAATTCATCATCGTTGACACTCTGGAGAGTGACTGGTCTCGGTCTGACAGCCATGGCCTGAAGCTCGAGTTGCCCCTCCCGGCAGGATGCAGCGTCAGTGACACCCGCGGTCGTCCCTTTCTCGGGTTCCATAGCATGTCCCGCAGTAGTCTCAGGAATGGTTCCGGTAGTTGGCGTGGGCGCCATATTCACAGTCACAGCCAGCGAGGCACTGCGATGCCTCTGTTGAGACTGCAGTAGGCCACGCTGAAGGAACGGGCCTTCTTGGTAGCTGGAGGTGCAACAACGGTTTAGGGTCGTCGTCAGCTCTGATGGCGGGAATGTTCTGCACAGCTCAGGTGGTGCTGCATGCAGCGATGGGGCAGAATACAGCTGAGCAACTGATTAAACGGCTCCATAGCATCGAGAGAAGCAAGTATCTCTTATAGATGAAGCCATATGTCCTGGCGGAGGAGCTCAACCAGCTCTTATCAATGACTGAAATTCGGCTGCACAGATGGGGAAAGCCTCAGTTTGTGTGGGGGGGTCGGAGGGGCTCCAGCCTAGTGGATCTGCGGCTAAAGTTGCAATCATCAAGAGGTCGAGATATCATCGTCCTTGCACGTATCTGCACTGAAATCTTTCTGTTCACCTGCTCTCTCTCTCTGTGTCACGTCGCTCATGTTTCGAAATATCGTCTTATCAATCGCCGTCAAGTCTGTGGCGCTCCTCGCTCTCTCACGACAGCAATTCTGTAGTGACTCATGATTAGTGACCCCGTTGAACGCGTTGCTCCCTCCCGATGGCTTGGAGGGAGCTCCTCCGGCGAGGAAAAATGCGACTCCGCTTTCGCCTAGATCCTGACCTTAGCGGTGCCAGCACTCCTCGCCAAAGGAGAAGACCGATTGGATTACAAAGTCGACTCAGGATGCATTGTCGCGATTTCATGAAGCACATTTTTATTTTATAAAAGCTAAATCACTGCTTTCGATCGTCTCCTTAGAAGGATTTCGTCGGGTTCACACATTTGGGATCAAGGCATATCGAGCACCTACGACCACCACAACATGGCAAAGGACTCGATCAACTATACCACCGCCCATGCGACCAAGATTCAGAATCCTCGGCTGAGGATTCTAAACAAACTCAAGAATGGAGAATACCCTCTCTTGACCTTCATGGCTCTGCCGTCTGTGCGCATGGCTCAGATAGTCGCCCTGACCGGAGTCGACGGTATCATTATCGATTGCGAGCATGGCAATATTGGAGACGATGCAATGCACAACGCGGTGGCGGCCATCTCGGCTCTGGGAGTGTCGCCCATCATTCGCATTCGCGGTCCGGCCCACGACATCATCAAACGTGCTCTCGACACTGGTGCGCACGGAATCATGGTGCCCCAGATCAACACCGCTGAAGAGGCCCGACAGGTGGTAGCATCTTGCAAGTTCCCTCCCCAGGGCGTGCGCGGTCAGGGGTCCGCGTTCCCTGCCATCGCCCACGGCCTCAGCACCCCCGAGTACATGAAATCCGCCAACGAGACCATCTTGACCATGGTTCAGATCGAGACACGCTCCGGCGTCGAGAACGTCGACGACATTGCAGCCGTGCATGGTGTGGATTTGGTCTTTGTCGGCCCCAACGACCTCGCGCAAGCCGTCCTCGGGTATGTACCTGCGCGAGGTGACGAGGCAGAGTTCAACGACGCCATTGATAAAATTATCGCAGCAGGCCGCGCACATGGCAAGTGGGTTGGTCGAATGGTGAATGACGGCGCGCTCGCAAAGGAGGCTAAAAAGAGGTATGACATGGTCGCCATGACGGGGGACACAAAAGCGATCCAAAATTGGTACATGGCTGAGCTTAGGATCGCTCGGTCATGATTGCAAAGGGGTTTTTGCGGAATGTGAAGGGAGCTTCTCTACTAAAATGGCCAAACTAGTGTTACTTTAGAAAGCCGTGTCCGGACCCAATTTCAGCACTTTTCTGTCGCGATGCCTTATGACTTACCGTAAGTATGTAAAGAACTTCTCAGGCGAACACAATCCTGACATTCTATGTCTACTTGTGGCATCATTACGTGATTTGGGTCTTTCAATTTAAAAATATAAGTCTCGGTTCGGAATACTTCCTGATTGATGACAGAGCGTCTATGAAATAGAAGACTACCATTATTCTATCCGACTGGCAGCCCTATAGTTCTATCTATCGTGCGGATTTATATCCCTTCGCCCCAAATATCATCAAAAAGCTCCTGCAGAATGAATGGAAGACCCATGGGACTTCCTTCTAGTGAAAGGAAAGGCACTCCGAAGTCACAATAGAACCAGGAATTGAGTGACAAATGGTATTCGTCCAATTGGACTCTTTTATGCTTGTGCAATGCACTCAATCTCAATCACTGTGCCATTTCCGGGAGGAACTGCCTGGAGGCATGATCGTGATGGCATTGGCTGAGGCAAAAACTCGATATATGCCTCGTTCATTGCCGCAAAATCCTTCATGTCGGCCAGGTAGACATTGTACTTGACAACTTTTTCAAGGGAAGATCCCGATAGCTCAAGAACTTCCTTCAAGTTCTGGAGCGCCGTTCTCTGGTAGTACAGGACTGATCAGTATTTCAAAATAACATGAGTTTGCCAATCCAAACAAGGGCGAGCTCACCGTTGCCTGTTTGATCTCTCCTATAGCTGTTTGACCTGCACAAAATACCAGGCCAGGAACCTTGACAGCGGGACCTTGAGAAAATGTATGAGAGGAAAACCGAAAATCTTTACACATAAGGGGGAGAGACCTTACAATTATGCGGCTTAGGAGGGAACTTCTCGCTGGATATCAGTTGTCGTGACATGGTAGGCCGGCGGTCGCAGGTGCGATAGTTCGTGGGTTGAAAATGTGTTGTAGGTAGCAAGAGTTGTGGATGAAACAATATGGAGGAATATGGGTTGACGGTTGGTGCGAAAGCAGTGCGAGTCTGTTATCGGACTAAGCAAGTGCTCATGTTTTGTAGCCGACTGTTCTTGTGCCCTTTAACGCTCCCATCAAAACCAACGTCCACTGTACCCCCGCTGAACAACAATTCCCGATGAGCAACGACGCGGGAGGAGCTCCTCTCGTGGTGGATGAGAGGAGCTCCTCCCGCTAGTCCCACTTTACCTTTTCTTCACATACTTTTTGAGATAGAGATATGCCCCACCCATCTCAGCACGCGGTCGGAGTTGAGGAGCAGTTTCAAGAAGAGGAGGAGTAGTAGTACTCCATTCCGACCTAGAGGGAAACCACTGGTCAAGATCCGAGCAGGTCCCTTCTCAGCATGGCTCTATGCATTCCCCAGGGGCCAAAGATGGCCTGTCAGAACACCCACCTCTGGTATGCTTCGGCACCTCTCTTCCTGACTGAGGAGCTCAATCGACAATTCCACTCTCACCCACAGCTTGGTACTCCACGTGTGCTAGATAGAGGTATATAATACGGTCATGTGTGAGCACCAAGACGCACGACACCAATACGCAACTACATATCTCTCTACATCGCCAAAGCATGGCACCTACAGCCCCCTTCAACCCACCTGCTGCGGATCTCCCAGGCAAACCATTTGTTCCAGAATGGATACCCCCTCCAGTCACTGAGGAGAAACACAATTTTGCTGAGCTCACGTCGATTGATCTTTCTTTGCTCGACTCAGTTGACCCTGCCGTTGTGGACAACCTGGTGAATCAAGTCAAGCGGGCCATCCGTGAAGACGGCTTTCTCTTTCTCGAGAACTATGGTGTCTCTTTAGAACAGGTTAGGGCTAAATTCAACATTTGAGCAGAGACTATGGGGGGCACTGACAAGTCGATCCTCGAAAACAGCTACACCGTCAATTTGCTCTTGCTCAGTTTCTATACCACAACATTAGCGAAGAGGACAGACAGCGCCTACTTTTCGATCCAGACACTGGCAAGTGGTCTGGTTACAAACATCCGTTTGGATTCAAGGTGAGTTTGGTTCAGACCAAAGCCAAGCATCCCAGTCCTTTTACTGACCAGTCTTTTTCCCCCGCCGCCGCAGCGCCACCGCGGTCCTCCGGATGGCATTGAGCAGTTCAACTGGTACCCACGTGAATGGGAAGACATCGATCGAGTCCCACGGTGCCTGCACCCATTCATGGACGAGATTGAGGAGTTTTGCAACTATCTTACCAAATCGGTCAACCGCCGGTTGCTCACCCTTTTCTCCCGCGTTCTCGAGCTTCCCGACGATTACTTGTGGGACAATGTGCAATCCCACGGGAGCCCGACAGGAGAAGGCTACTTTCGCCACGCTCTGTTCCGACCTGTGCAGAAAGAGACACAAGAGGCGTCCAAGGGCCTTCGTATGCACGGCCACACAGACTTTGGCTTGACAACCCTGCTCTTTTCCGTTCCAATCTCGTGTCTACAAATTTGGGGGCGTGACGAGAAGTGGTATTACGTGCCTTACAAGCCTGGAGCGCTCGTCGTCAACATTGGCGACACCCTAGAAATCGTCTCCGGCGGACACTTCAAGGCAACTCGCCACCGAGTCTTCAAGCCACCAGCCGATCAGGCCCAGTCAGAGCGGCTTTCCTTGGTGCTATTCAATAGCTCTGTCGGCGACTTGCGCATGGAACCTGTTAAATGTGCGTGTTATCTCATCTTCTTGTCTGATGCAAGGTATACATAAGTACTGACATAAGTCGCGCGCCTAGCTTCGCCCCTACTCCAACGAGAAGGCTGTGTGGAAGATCAAGGCGTTTACAGCGAGTTCAAAAGGCGAACCCTCCAGGGGCAACTCGTGCCTACGAACCGTGAATGGCGAGAGATTCAGATTGCCACAGCAACGGATCCGACGGACATGGTGCGCAATCGGATTGGCGCCGACCAAGTCCTCATCGACGGCAAGCTTATGCAGCAACGGGAGTACATGGGCGTTAAAGTCGTCCTTCCCGTGTAAAATACAAGAAGAGTGAATTCCGCTGGGGTGTGGTGATCCTTTTCGGCAAATTCAATTCAGTCCTCAAGATAGACATGATTTTGGACCCTGGTGGTGTGAACTGCTTCACAGTCGCTGTTGAGGCGAAGGTCACCCCCCTGAGAGGATGGAGCAGTGTGTACAGTGATCCTCTGTAAGCTATTCCGTAGCCTCAATTTTGAATTCTCATTATCGCCAACAACTGTGCTGGTAGCGTGATCATATATTGAGCCCTGGAATGTTGGTCGAACTCGTGGGGGAAGGGCGCAGCTTCCAGCTTCTTTTCCAGCAGATTAAAGACCATCGCTTGCTTATCGTTCAGTAACCGAAGCCAATCTATTGGTCTTTTTCAATTGCCGCTTATCACAGGATTGCCTCGGGCCTTATCAGTGGAGAGTCACTTGCAAACGCCCTTGTTGCATGCAGCCGCATTGATGTTCACAGCTGTCTATCTTATTGACATCGAGCGACACGGAACAGATAGACACGCGGTCGTGGTGATGTCCCCGTGTATATCATCGCTCGGCAATTGAGGCACCGCGGGGGATCTTCGTATTAAATATCGGATCGAGAGCCGAAACGTTCGTTGTTCGAAGCTGGACGGCTACCTCGGCGCCTTCGACCAGCAGCCCTTCTCTTTACCGTAAAGTATCTCGCAGAGGCAGAGAGGACCAGAATCCATCCCTGACCATAACGAATCACCGTTGTCAGATTGCAGTCAGTCAGCATGAGCCAACAACGACAACAGCCCTTTCAATGTCATGTGTGTCACAGCCGATTTACACGAAATGAGAACCTCAAGAGGCACTCGGCGCTACACTCGCGCTCACAAGCGAGTCCTCCCTCGCATGTGTGTGATTATTGCACCGCTACATTCTCGAGGGCCGATCTGCAACGTCGCCATGTGAAGAAGATGCACCTAGAGCGACAAGACTTCCGACGATCCACCACAAAGAGACTTCGGCAAGACACGACATCAACGGCACTCATCAGACGACGCGGCGAGCCGGATAATGCACAGCGGAGAAGATCTTGCCCCAGGCAGCAGCAGACATTATCTGCATCATTGTCCCCATCAGAAAGCCCATGCAGCAAGTTGACCCGGAGGACACAGTCGAACGATGATTATGGCTCACTACCTCAGGTGGACTACTACTCTGCCCGGGAGAGGCCTCACCTACCGCAGGACGAGCAACTTGGAATATTCCACCACGGTATTATTCACCAGTATAACGGCGAAGACGGTCTGAATGCAGTCGCAACCGTGGCCAGCCCTACAAGCGTTGGAGGCGACGACTCTTCTTCGATCGACACGGGCGGCTCGGCAGTAATGTTATTAGCAGAACCGACACACATCAGTCAACCAGTTTTCCATGCGACTGACGATGTGGAACAAAGTTTGCGGTTAGGCTCCTTGTCCTCGACGTCCAGTCCTAGTCAATTCCAGAACAACAATCTTAACTCTCATCATGCCACTAGCACTTCACCGCCGGCGAGTATTTCACAAAGCCAACAGCAGGAGGAAGATTGGTCTCCCTCGCCGGCGCAGATCGGCCGAGGCGTACACCAATACTTTAAACACATCTCCAACTTTTTCCCGTTCTTGCACCAACCCACGTTCGACATCGGTCGGACCCCTGACTTTTTGATTCTCAGCATGCTCAGTCTGGCCTATCAGTATGACGAGGACCCGGATTATTGTGGCGGTGACGCCGCATTCGGTTCAGGCGCGAGGCTCTCTGCACGCTGCTTCCACCGCGCGCGTGTGCTGCTCCTTGAATCCTCCAACGAAAGCACGAAGTTTAGCTGGTCGAGCAGCCTGACCATGATCCAGGCATACCTGTTGCTTCAAGTTTGTGCCATGATGTACCTCTGTGGCGAAGACTCGGCACACGGCTTACAGATGCACTCCAAGATGATTTTCCTCGCACGCTCCGGGGGCCTGATGCTACCATGCCCGACCCCTGCTGGGGCGAGTGAAGATCTGGGTTCCTTGTGGCGAGAGTTCGTCACGGCCGAGTCTCACAAGCGGACATTGTTTGCCCTTCACCAGGTAGACGCGTTGTGGTACCAATTCCTCTCAATCCCCCGGTCGCTCTCACACCTGGAAATCAAACACGACCTGCCTTGTCCCGAAGACTGCTGGGCGGCTACCTCGTCCGCGCAGTGGGCGCACCGAAGATTGCTGCTCGTTGCAAGACACACCACCGGTGGCCAGCCGATGCAGTATGGAGATGCCGTTCGACGCTTTCTCTCCGCCGACCACCCAGACATCGATTCGATTCCGGATTTTGACGCGTACGGGGCCGTCAACGTCGCCCAGTTCTTGATCTCCAGCGTCCGCGAAATTTCGGGTTGGCTGACGATGACCGGGAGGCTTTCCATCGAGAGGTTGGAACCTCTGAGGTCGTCGCTCGAGGCCTTTCGCCCACTACTCATTCGACAAAATCAGGTTGCTGATGCGGCAGGCGGTGGTGGGTCCAAGGGTTCGACGTTGTGCGAGGCGACGTGGCAAATGGCCATGATCGAATTGCAGACGTGGTCTCCAGCCCACACCGGCGGCATCGTGGGAGGAAGCGTGGATGCGTTGTTGCAAGAGTCCACCCACCTCGCACCGTCTTGCGAGTTCCTGGTGGAAACCGACACGGCCAGGTCCATTCAGCCACACATCGACTGGTTCTTGTGTCAGCTCGACAACACCACCCCGGTCCCCGGCTCGGAACCGCCATGGGTGCTTCTGTACGCCTACAAGGCCTTTTTGATCGCTTGGCGGTTGGTTTGCGGCGCCTCTGTGGGTGCAATGCAAGTTGTGGGAGTGGCGGATGGCGACGTCGAGGGAGCCATGAGGTGGGCGCGTAAGGTTTTCGAACATAGACAGCGCTGGCGGCTCGGTAGAATGATCTTGACGTGCTTGGACGGCCTAGCAAATTAGTTCAAAGCAATTCTTCCTATTTGAACTTTTCTGGGACCAGCTCGAAGCGGACTATGTTGTTGGCATCCACATTTAAAATACCTTGAGTATGATCTTTCATCCTATCTTATTGTCAGCAACTTGCTGGTGTCACACTCTAGATGACAAGCAGTCTAGTCATGAGGTAATATATCCTGCGCTGGGATACGAGACTGAACTTCACTCAGGGAAGGCATATTTATGATTCATTTATTCGTTCTTCTGGCAATATTCAAATCTAACAATGTTGGAATCTCTGCAGGTGTAAATATCAACCGCCCAGCAGTACTCGCTGTATTTGAGATATATCCCAACTTTATTGGCTTTCTGTCCGCCAGGATGGTTTGTTGTAACTTGGGTTCAAGCAAGGTATATTTCGTGGGCTGGGTATTTGGCATGTTGAAATTGTAAGGATGATTTCCACAGACGAGATGTCGCTCAACGTGGTCTTCCTGTTCATTTCATAATGACCGTGTCGACAAATGAGCCGGTCTTGGGATCTGTGGGTCAGAGAGTCGCGATGGTGCCATTCTTTTCAGGTCCTTTCTACTACAATAGAAGTTAGGATTGCAGATTGTAGATGGTATGTTGCGAGGTGGGGGCAATATTCATTACCATATCGGACATGTACCAGACACCCTTAGCAACCACGGATCGATACATCGAGGGTGATATATGTGGCCACAATGTAGAATTCGTACCTCCTGGGAAGGAGTAAAAGTGTCGACGCAAACAGGACACTCATCTATATCTGATAGTTAGTCAATACATGCTCAGGACCCAGGGGTCCTAGCAAAGGACATGTATCTCGTACTTCTCTTTGCAGTATCCACGGTGACTTTCTTTCCCTTGACACAGATATTGGCTTCTTCATCCGTCATGTTTTCCATTTGAGCTACTCGTATCACCGTCCCATATTTGACCAGAGGCATCGAATCGACAAAGGACTTCGACATGCCAGTCTTTCTTTTTTCCTTGATAATCTGTCGGTATACGACGGGCATTGGTGCAGGTGGCTGGGGTTGCCTTTTCCCGCTGGTCCACCAAACCAGCATAATGATGATGAAAAGCACTCCCAATAGCACCGAGATGGTGACGATGGTCCTGCTCTTGGCGGTGCCGGTGGTGGCATTGGGAGGCGCAGGGGCGGTAGCCATGGCATCTTGCCCGTGCCTGGTGGCAGTGGGAGATGCCATGCTGTTATACCAACCTCAGCCCTCGGTCATCAGACCAGCCACCTGTCTATTATCAAACTGTTTGATCATAAATATCTCGTACTCGAAATGAGCATGCTCTCTACACCGTTCAATTACACCGGCAGACAGCTTCCTGTATATGAGGCATTTATTGAGATGGGATGTGGAGTTGACCCTGCCCCCGATCAACAGGACAAGCGTAGGGTAAGTGTGGGATGGACAAGTACGTACAGTGTTTGGTTGTGTAATTAAGCAGGTAAGTGGACCTTTCTTAACTACGGGAGCCAATCGCGGGGCGTGTCCGGTATAGGCTACGACGCCTAAGAAGCCCCTAATAATTGCTTGGCTTCGTGCCATTTCTGACCTTCTTACGGAGTACAGGACTTCATACTTCATACTCGTGTTCTGTAACCCAGAGACTGCGTATTCGGCAGGCCAGCCTAATTTTTCATGTCTTGTTTTCGCCTCATGGAGCTAGGCTCATCAAAGGTAAAGCAGGAGGGGCATTGGCCACCAAAGTCAGTATGGGTGAGATGAGTGGACAAAGTCCCCCCTAAGGCACGAGTAACAAAACTGGCTCTCTCCCCGACACCTCGAAGCGAATTCAAGCTGCAAGTTGTCAGAAGAGAGAACTGGCACTCGCAGCAACATCCAATGGCGATCGAATGCATGTCGGCGTACAACCCAGCATGGGACGAATAAATGGCTCATACTGTGCGCCCACATTCCTGGAGCAATCTTTGGTGTAGGCCACGCCCACGGTAAGACGGAACGTACCCGGCAAGACGGGATTTCCACTCTCGTTCAGTGTTCCCTGCCACAAGGCCATTTCGTGCGGCTGATTCACATGCCTGATCCGTTCGCCATTGATTGCACCAGCTCTACTCGAACGTGGTTCGTGTTCGTTACCCTTTGTTGTGCTATCTTTTTGTCATTTCCATCTCTTTCTTGTCCCACTCCTTATCAGTGGGGTGATGGATTTTTTTTTCACTGCCTCGTCAACCCTTTTCGCAGGGGATAAATTCCGCTCGAACCCCAAGCCGATCTTGGTTACCTTTGAGCAGGCTCCGAGGACAGCAGTGGTGACAGAGCGGTTAAGATTTGCTGTTACGGTCCAGCTATCATAGTCAGAATCAACATGGCGACTACAATCCGCATCGCAGATGAAGTTCACCCAAAGACGGGCATCGAGTTCACTAGAACAGATACCCAGTCATCACGGAACCTACGAAAAGGAAGCATCGGTGACGATGGAATCTACAACATCCGTTCGAGGTCCCGGCAACCATCGCGCGCGCCATCTGAGTACAAACCTGATGGCGATCCTGGGTTGCGCAAAGAAGGCGACTTCAAGCAGGCGCAGGTATGCAGATCCCCAGCTGTTTGCCCCCTTCTAATGCAAAGTCTAACACACGTTGACAAGGTCTTCAATGGTAAAATGCTTCTATGGCTGGCGTATCAAGCAACCGGCGTCATCTATGGCGATATCGGCACCAGTCCTCTCTATGTCTACTCTTCCACTTTCACATCTGCGCCCTCCCACCAGGATCTCATCGGCGTCTTATCCCTCATCATCTGGTCGCTTACAATGATGGTGACGGTGAAGTATGTTTTGATCGTCGTGCGGGCCGATAACGACGGCGAAGGGGGAACTTTCAGCACGTATTCGTTGTTGAGTCGCTATGTATGATGGCCAACAACCTATACCATTTGATGGGAAAAGATTGCTGATACATTGCCAAAGTTGAACATCACAAACCGCGATCCGAGAGAGGCTTCTCTGGTTCGCATGCGCCGTTACGCCTCCGGTGACCTCGAATCTGCGGGGCGCGCCATGCGTCAGGGTATCGAGTCGCACAAATTCTTCCGCGGCTTGCTCAAGGTGATGGGCGTGCTCGCTGTTGCCATGGTCATCGCCGACGGTGTCTTAACTCCTGCTCAGTCCGTACTTGGGGCTGTCCAGGGTGCAAAAGTTGTCAACCCCGGTCTCTCAAAGGGCGCGATCATCGGCATCACCGATGCTATTCTGGTCGTGCTATTCCTGGTCCAACCATTTGGTATCACGAAGATTACCCTCGCATTCTCACCCATTGTGCTCATCTGGCTCGCCTTCAATGCCGTGTTTGGTATTTACAACCTGGCCAAGTTCGACGCATCCGTCTTCAAGGCATTCAACCCTGGGTACGGATTTGAATTCCTGATACGCAATGGAGAGCATGGCTGGAGACAGCTCGGCGGTATCTTGCTTGCTTTCACCGGTGTTGAAGCACTTTTTGCAGACCTTGGTGCTTTCAGCAGACGTGCCGTTCAATTGAGTTGGTTGTGCTACGCCTTTCCGTGTCTACTTTTGGCATATATTGGTCAAGCCGCCTACATCAGCGAGCATCCTGACGCTTATGACAACCCTTTCTTCAACGCTGCTCCACCAGGAACCATATACCCGGCACTTATTATCGCCATTCTTGCGGCTATCGTGGCTTCCCAAGCTATTGTTACCGCAACATTCCAGGTACGAACCATCTTACACTTCTTGGAATAAAGGTTCTCCCACTGACTGCTCACAGCTCCTGCATCAAGTTATGAAACTGTCTTACTTTCCACAACTTAAAGTCATTCATACTTCCAAAATCTTCCATGGTCAGCTCTACATACCTCTAGCAAACTGGCTACTTATGATTGGCACCATTCTCATCGCTTCCATTTACAACAATGTAAGCCCCCAAATTGAAAGATTCTGTCCACTGCTGACTTTTGTTTATAGACGACATCCTTGGGTAATGCCTACGGTGTTTGCGTCATGTTTGTCACATTCTTTGATACGTGCATGGTCTCTCTGACGGCCATATTCGTCTGGCGATTTTCGCCCTTTCTTGTTTTTTTCCCATGGCTCATCATCGCCTGCATGGACGGCACATTCCTCTCTTCTGCCCTCACAAAGGTTCCGGATGGTGCATGGTTCACCATCACTCTGGCCATCATCCTAGCGAGTGTCTTTCTCCTGTGGCGGTTCGGTAAAGAACAACAATGGCTCGCCGAAGCCGAAGACCGCTTCCCCACAAGCCACTTTGTCCAAGTAGGACTTGACAAACAGTTACAACTGAGTAAGCGGTTCGAAAGTGACCGACTTAGCACGATCAAAGGATTTGGCGTGTTCTTCGACAAGGCCGGAGAGACTACACCGATCATCTTCAGTCAGTTCGCACTGAAACTCACAGCCGTACCTGAAGTCATGGTTTTCTTCCACCTGCGACCACTGGAAACTCCGTCAGTGCCTCCATCCGAGCGTCACACCATTTCCAGGTTAGCAATCCCCCACTGTTACAGGCTGGTCGTGCGGTACGGCTACAACGACGAAGTCATCACTCCCGACCTCGCGGGTGTAATTTATGAACAGATCAGGCTGTTTTTGATGAGTCGAGATCCCAAGTCGATCCTCAATCTTGCCAAGGAGGAGAAATCTAGCGAGGACTCTGGACCAGAAACCGAGCAGCAACAAGATGACAGTGGTGTTGGTGGTGGTGGGGAGTCGTACGGTGCCGAACTTGCTCGTCTCGATGCCGCGTACGCACACAAAGTCATGTACATCATGGGTAAAGAACAGATGAAGATCAAGCCCAAGACAAATTATTTCCGGAAGGCATTGCTCTGGGCGTTCCTGTGGATCAGGGACAACACCAGAACGAAGATGGCCAACCTGAATGTTCCCATGGATCGAGTGATCGAAGTTGGTTTCTTGAAACAGATTTGAAGAGGCTCTTCTTCGGTTGAGATTGGCAAGAACACACCTGCCTTGGGGGATATCTTACTTAAGACGACCGGCTCATGTTGGGAAACACAAGACCACGTCACGTCATACCTTGGATCATTTACAAGCAAGAATATCTATGCTCTGATATGTCTCTTCTCAGTGCAAATCCCTCAAGGTTCGCCGCCGGTGTAAGCCAGATTCAGGCTGAGATGGACATGACTGTCGGAAAACAGATGACCACAAATAGATCACATAGAGAAACACGGCTTTCACGATTACTGAAATGAATGCGAGGTACCCGTATCTTGGGAGCTGAACATTTTTACCGTCATCATATCTCTCAACTCCGGAGTCCGTAAAGCACAAAGCAACGACATGATGATGATCCAGTAAGAATGAATCTCGAATGCGAAATGTGGTTAGCGTGACTGTACCTGTATTCAGGCCTCCCAAAAAGTGACAAACAAATCTTTCCATACGAGATCTCTCTCATAACGGAATGTTATGGCTCTCTCTCCCTCTCTCCATCTACGACCTTTGGTATGACATGATTCGCTGATTCTCGCCGACTTCGAACCCTCACCTCGTATCGACCAGACTCGGGGGGTGCTGTTACCAGTAAAGAAATGGGGGGCTGTGTGACGACTGCACGAAGTATGCTTTACGAACGGCGTGACATGCCGTTCTCTTGTTTCTTTTCAAGGAGATATAAGAACCCCAGGGGGGGGTAAGAAGGAGACATGAAAAGAAGAAGAGGCTAGGACCTGAAGACTTGTGTCATTTGCAAAATCACCACCCTCAGAACACCATTTCCCATTGCTTTTTGAACGTCGACAACGATAACCCTTTTCGAATCCCCCATCATATATGTTCACATCGCCTGGTTTCTCACTTTCCTCATTTACTCATTACCTCTTCCTCTTCTGGTTTTCCGTTCCTCTTCTTTGATATACTCCGTCACTTTCTTCACGAGCATGAGAGTCATCATCATCGGTGCTGGGTTCGGAGGTTTGTGTCTGGCCAACGGTCTCCTCCAGAGGCACCGTTCGGATGACGACGACATGAACATGGATATCCAAGTGTTTGAACGTCACTCCGGACCCGACCACGACCTGGCAGGGTACGGGCTCCACGTCGATGGGGGCGGGAAAAAGGCACTGCGTCATTGCCTCGACGGAGACACATACCGACGGTTCCTCGCCGCCAGCACTCCAGCAGGCAGCAAATGGGCATTCCGTGGTACGAGAGACCTCAGAACCATCGCCATGAGGGACGACTCGAAGATCTCGGGAAAACCAGAAGAAGAGGTAGAGAGACGTGCCGTACACAGGTTCGAGTTTCGTGACATCCTACTCAAGGGGCTACGCAAGCAAGGGGATGAGGCTGCAATCGGCGTCAAGGTCCAAGTTCATTGGGGCAAATCATTTGTTAGGTATGAGGAGATATCAAGAGCGGACGCGAATGCAAATGGGAACGAGTTTGTTAATGGAAGTGTCAGAGCATATTTCCAGGACGGTACAAGTGCCGAAGGAGATATTCTCGTCGGTGCTGACGGGAGTAAGAGTCTAGTCAGGCAACAAAGGTTTCCTGATTTGAAAAGGGAGGATTTGGGTATCGCCATCATTTGTGGAAGATATCAATTGACTCCCGACAGAGTGAAAAAGTTGCCCGATTTCATGACGGATGGAAGTTTGAACAACATCGTCCCTCGTGGTAAAGGTTGGCTTTTCTTAGCTAGTTTTCCGCATACCGAGTTTGAGAATGTCAGAGAAAGCTATACGCTTTGGGCTTACGTGGTACCCAAGGGAGACGTCGACATGAACACCATCAAACAGATGACCCCTGAGAAAATGAGGGATTTGGTACTGGATGGAGTCAAGGGTTGGAAATCGACCGAGTTTGGACTTGGTCGAGTCATCAAGGACGTGGATTTGACAACGATCTCCCCAATCATCTTGAAAAGTATGCCAGTTTTACCAAAAGACTGGAACGGCAGCAGTAAGGTCGTGTTATTGGGTGACAGCATACACAACATGACACCAATGGCGGGAGTCGGTGCCAACGTCGCCTTGAGGGACGCTCACCTGTTGACCGACACGTTGGTGGAGGTGCAAAACGGGAAGACGAACATGACAGAGGCAATCACCAAGTACGAGGTAGAGATGAAAGGGTACGCCAATGCGGCAGTGGCTCTGTCCAGACAGATCGCTCAAGGGGCCAGTTCGACTTCGACCGTCCAGAGGTGGGCGTTTCACGGCTTGTTGAGGCTCGCACAGGCTTGTCCACTGGTCATGAGGCATACGATCGGAAGAGGAGCCTTGGAGGATTGACAGACACTTGCAATGAATGCAGGGAGAGATGGGTATGTTGTCCAACAGTCAGGCAAAACCGCCTCTGGCGTGCTGTGAATGGTTCGCAAACATACTGTATACCTTGGGTATTGAATACAATGCGTTCCATATCGATCTAAAACACCACACAAAGACATTGATATTGATATCTTGTCATCTTGTAACAACCGAGGATAATATTTGCACATCTGATTGTAATCTGCTGTGTCTGTTTGTTCTGCACCCTGTTTGTTCTTTCCCCCCTGCTTCAACAATGGTCGCTGAGTTATTCAAACATACGAGGTAGAGCAATTCATGGCGTTTGCTTTGGTGGAATATCTTATCTTTATCTTCATGCAGTAGTATTGCAGTAGTAACAACAAGAGCACAATTCAAATAGTGTCTGGCTTTGAGGTATAGTGTTTGCTGCGCTGCCAGACAAGGTATAATAATGTTCTGAAATTCCCAACACAGCATTTTGTATCGTCGACAACACTTGTACCCAGGTTCACAGGCGCACCCACCCAGGCGCATCAATCACAGATACAAGTAGATTTGAAACCTCGTCGACTCCAGCAATCGGACTTTTCAATTCTTCACATGGAAGGATCAACGACCCAACGTGGTACGAGCCACGCATGCACACCTCTCGAGTTTCTGATCGCCTTCGCAAATTGCATCGTCTGGCTTGTGGCGGGATATGCTCTGTACGCCAAACGACAAGAGAAGAAACATCTTGTAAGACAAGCGGTCACCGACAAACACAATGTCTAGTTCGAAAGAGCGCCCGCCATGGCATCGTGTGAAGCGAACGCAAAAAGGTGCATGGAAGTCGCCGAGTTTGGGAGGTAGATGTCGACCTTGGCTATTGTCCCCCCAATGGTGGTGGAGTATGCGTGAAGTCGGCTTGGAGCGAGACAGTCGTTTTGATCGGATGGAGGTCGTCAATTTATGGAGCTGAGAGGGGAGATTTGTTGGTACAAGAAGTGGCTGTCGTTCATAACGGCGGTCGTCCGGCTGGGAACGGCGAGGGCGCGTGGCCGCATGTCGCTTTTATTCCGAGGAGTCAACGATGGGTCTGAGGGCATCGCGTGTGCAACAAACTCTGGCACAGCCCAAATCTTGGAACTCAGGATCCGGCTCGTTGTCCGTGATATACAAAAAAAGCCGAAACGAAAAAGGTCACCGCCACCAAGACCCTCCGCTCTTTTTCTCCTGTTTATTCTTCTCTTGTTGTTCTGCGAGCTTCTTTTTTTCCATCTCGATCCGCTCCTTTTCTTCTTGTCTCTTGGTCATCTCGATGACTTCTATTCTCCTTTTTTCGACGGCGGCAAGCTCTTCCTCGCGTTTCCGTTTCCGTTCCAGCACACCGGCGAACCATTCTTCTCGGGCGGCATCTTCTTCGGCTTTCGTCGCCCATTGGATCATACAGCTGTTCATCGCACGGTGTTCGGTTCGACAGGTCCAAGCCACGCTGAACGTTTTTCCTCGTGCGCAGTCGGCGAATTCTGTAGTAGTAGCATCTCACTTGTCAGAATGATGGCCCTGGAGCTGTCCGTGTAGAAAAGAGACTCACGTTTAATCTCGTCTGCACATCTTGCCCTCACACGAGCATAGTAAAGTTTCCGCACTTCGGATTCTTGAGATGCCGACAAGGGAAGAGGGTTATGAAGGTTATTTTCTGTTCTGGTGGTGGAAGATGGACGATGTGGTTCGGGAATGATGGACGGAGCCATGTCCATTGTTATTGTTGAGGCACTTTAACAGGTATGATGGACTGTTTTATCGTAACCAAGTCTATACCATCTGTCTCTACGAAGTTCAAAGGTGTGATCTGCAAGGGGGTTGCTGAAATGTTTAGGTAGTCAGTGATCATGTACAAATGATCTACGAGCTTGTGAAGTCGGAGGAAACGCACCACTTTCTCATTACTTGGTGGAGAAAGTCACGCCAGCCAGAGACTCAGAACTCGACTTTTGGTTTCTCCAATTAATCATTTTTCTGGTCTCTACGGAAAGGTCAAAATAACGAGTTTGCGCAACAACAAAACAAAAAACAATTTTCCTAAATCTCTTCGAATCACACAATCACCCGGACAGCAGTACTCCTGCGCATATTTATCTTCTGTGTCTGGCCTCTTTTTGAAAACAAAAAAAAAACAAAAAAGAAGATGTCCTCAATGCGCAACGCCGTCGCTCGGCGGCCTCATCGAGAACGTGCGCAGCCTGGGAACCGTGAGAAATGGGGCATCCTCGAAAAACACAAGGACTACTCCCTCCGAGCACAAGATTACAACCTCAAGAAGAAAAAACTGTCGCAACTCTCGCAGAAAGCGCGAGAGCGGAACCCAGATGAATTCGCCTTTGGCATGTTGAGCCAGGGCAAGGCCGGACTGGGGAAACACAAGGCTTCGGCCAGAAGTGGTGACGGGACTTCCACCGCCGGAGCACCATTGAGTCACGACGCGGTCAAGCTGTTAAAGACGCAGGATGCAGGGTATTTGAGAACGGTCGCGGCCAAGGGAAGGAGAGAAATTGAGAGACTAAAGGAAGAAGTTGGGTTGGATGCGGTCACGCTGAGTTCGAAGGGTGGCAAGCACAAGAGGTTTGACACGGAGGAGCAGCAACAGGACATCATGTCTACGACTACTACTACGAAAGGGAAGAAACGTACATCGAGTGGCGAGGTTGTTGTCACCCGTGATGTCTTGTCAGGTTTCCCCGTGGTCGAAGAAACGAATGCTGTGTTGGTGGAGGTGAAGTCCGCACCGGAAGAAGAAGACGACGACGAACGGCAGATTCAGATCGAACAAACAAGAACAAAACCAAAGTCCAAGAAAGCCCTCTTGGCAGAACAAGACGCTGCGGCACGTCTACGGACAGCGCGCAAGAAGAGGCAACGACTGCAAGAGATGAGGGCGGCCAAGCTGGAGGCGTTGAAGAAGAGGCAGCGCGAGGTCCTCGCTGCGGCGGACCAGTTGGATCTACAACGTGCCAAAATGGCCAGGACGGTGGGGGGAGTCAACAAGAATGGTCTCAAGTTCAAGATTCGGGAGCGGAAAAAGTAATGCTGTGCCGGGGTACCTAGGTATAGGTGGAAGCCTACCTACTAGTCAAGGATGCCGGTGCAGTACTCGTCCTCGTGCCATGATGATGGAAATGATCTTCAACGACCAATGACCGATGTTTCTGTCTTTTTCTTTGGCATGCTCTCTTGGCTATTTCTACTTCTACCCCTACCTCTACTCTAACTTGTAAGTATGGTTTCCACTGCCAACAGTCGCTCGCAGCTATGTACACCGTCCATGTTGGACCGACTCAAACACCTGCCGCGACGGCTTTGGTGACCACTTTGCTGAAATCAGGCTCCTTGCCCAGAAGGAAGCCCATGCCCTCGACTTGTTCCTTTCGGAATGTCTCACTGGCCTTCAAGAATGGGAAGAATCCCCAGTGGCCGTGAGGCAGACCTGGGTACACGTTCATTTTGGTCTTGATGCCGTACTCCTCCCTCAGGACGCGCTCATAAACGATCCCGTCGTCCCGCAGTGGGTCCATCCCGTCAATCTGGAAGAAAGCCGGAGGTAAATTGGCGTGGCCCTTTGGATGGTTGAATGCAGCATACCAGACGCCGTCATCGTCGTCAGGTTGGTAGCCCCTCATGAACATGTCAATGGCCGCCACGGGCAGTACAGGCGCATCTTTGTTTTGCTTGTACGACAAAAAGTACTTTTTGTATTTCTCTGGGACCCTGGTGTCGGGGACGAGAGCCGGGATGGCCAGATATTCGCCCGTCAGTGGAGGTGATAGTTTCTCGTCTCGAGCAACATGTGCCAGCACAGCCGTGATGTTGCCGCCAGCCGACGTACCACCTATGACAAACCCAACAGAGGGATCGGCACCCCAAGATTTGGCTTTTTCGGCCGCCCATCTCAAACAGTCCCACGAGTCCTTGACGGCATAGGGAAACTTCCACTCCGGTCCCAGGCGGTAGGTGGCCGAGATGCAGACGGCCCCGAAGGCTTGCACAAAGTTCCGGCACGTCTGTTCTTCGCCTTCGGGAGCACCGATGCAAAAACCGCCGCCATGGTACATGACGATCAGGGGACTACCTCCCTTGGGAGGCGTAGTCGGCTGATAGAGCTTTGCGCGGATCTTGGAACCATCGCTGGTAGGGTAGTGGAGCTCGGTTTGCTTGATTTCCGGCGGTGGTTGCCCCAGGGCTTCCATCGCAGCGGCATTGCGCTTCTCAACCATGACCTTGAAGTCGTCCAGGTCGTCATAATTGACTGGTGGAAGATTGGCTTTCTCCAAGAACTATATACTTCATTAAACCACGGTGTGAGGACTCGGAGGGGGGGTAATACGTACAGCTTTGAGTTCTGGGTCAATGTCCGCCAGCGCAAGCAAGTATTTTTCATCCGTATATGAAGCCATTGTCGCCGATAAATAGTGTGAACTATCAATGAATAACAGAAGGGAAGAGGTACGTGGAAGACCGGTCGTTCAGAGGGACTCAGGTTTCTCTTATCCCCGGGCGGATTATTACAACGGCAGATTTTGAGTTGTGCTCAACGAATATATGACCAATATGATGATGGGCTGTCCTCGATCATCAGTGTGGGGTTGAGTCCTTGCCACGGAAGCATTGATGTCCGCAAAAACGGGGGCGGTACAAATTCGTGCATAGCCGTGGAAGCAAATCAATTGTACCGTCTGTCTGATGGTGTTTAGCATTGATGACAATCCTTCTTACCGGGTTGTTCACGATATTTCAGTAGTCAGACACGGCATTGACCTTATACCCGCGGGGCGAAGGTCTCCGAACCAACCTCGGTACTTCATTCAGAACCAACAGTTTACTTGTACCTGACTCGAATGACTCGGCCGTACTCCGTATGAGTATCAAAGAATCTCTGCTCGGACGAGGCTACCGAGATGACTAATGACCAGTACGGGATCTTCAGTGATGTCTGGGTCGCCTCATTGGCGAGATCTCGGTAGCGGGCAGCTCCTCGTGGTACTCACGAACGATGCAATACTCGTGCCAGAGGGGAGGAAGGGGTGGAGGGGGGGCGGCCCGATTATGCGGCTCCCCTTCTCACTGGTAGCAGTACATAATGAGGTAGATATACGGAGTACATCGTTGATGACAGGACGACAAAGTTCGAACTCTCAGGTTTCGGGTGACATCCAAGGTCCTGGGACTTTCATATAGGGGCACTTGAATTGTACTAGTACTCGTACTCATATTGACTCGAGGAGTTTTCCGGAAATAACAACCAGCCGGGTCATCGAAGGAGTACGAATGCACAGGTCACCTTCAAGGTCGGCGGCAACATGATCGGAGAATTTGTTGCAGACTCAAGCTAGTGTTTGAGGCCTGCTAGGCACATGCTCCTTCTGTTGCTCACCAAAGGCTACATGGTTGCTCTTTTTGGCGTGCTGAAACAAGAGCGAGCCCCATGCCAGGATGTGCCAGGGTTATGGATGATGGCTGACATGGGTCGCTCAACGTGGCATGATCTGCACAGGTTTTAGACATGGATGGTCCGTTGCTTACAGGGACCACTGTCGGCGACCTTCCTAATTGCATCTGGGACAGGTCCATTAGGACTAGCAGTGTGAACAACAACATGGGTTTAGTTGTGATTGTAATTTCAATGTGCACAAGTGATTTCATATCGGCCCAGGGAGCTGGGAAACCCTGCTGATGAATTTCAACAAGAGCTGGTTAGGCGTCTTGAGTACCGCAAAGCACCGGGATGTTTGGCGGGAACCAGCTAAACCGAAGCAGTAAGGGTGGTGAAGCCTTGGATATCCGGCCCAAAGATCAAACGTTCGGGGAAGAGAATGGTGGAAGAAGAAGTTCCCCGCTAGGAAGACTCTACCATCGCTGGGGTCTGATCCAGTGTTTGAAAGCATTGGGGATAGGTCGGTTGGTGTATTCTAATGGACCTAGAGAAGCTCTTTGGGTACGGGACCAGCGTGCTGGCTGCAACATGATGGCGGCGGCGCCAGCCCGCGGGACCGGGTGAAGGACGAAATGGAGTGTTCGAAATGTTTCCCACTCTTCTAGTCCAAGTCACAGGCGACAAGGGTGTCGTCGGACTAGGGCTCCATTGAGATCGATGATGAAGGTGAGGAATGAAACGATGAAGGCAGGATGGGGTGGAAAAAGAGAAGAAATAGCAGCACAGGAAGTTAGACCTAGAGATACAGTAAGGAAATGATGGGGAGTGTGTGTGATTGAGAACATGTGAAGCACTGGTGTTGGTTAGATAATAAATCACAATAAAATAGCACTATTCATGGAGCACAGTACGGAGTATCTGTGTGATGGTTGTTGTGTACTGTGACTCGAAAGGTGGTGGTGGTACCCCTAATAATATGGTACATAGTCACCTGTATTTGAAACATGGGCATCCCCATTCACGCCTAAACCTCCTTCAGCTAGGGACCAAGGGAAAGGTATCCAGGTATCCCGGTTGCCCTTCCTCGGGCCCTAAAAGAATGCTCCATACGGATATTTTAGGCAGAGTTCCTTAGTCCTCCCTCCACCTCGCCTCCCTGGACCAACGAGTACCTGGGCTAGAACTACAGACAGTACGGAGTAATCCCAAAGCAGGAGAGAAGATCGCTCCATCTCAGAATTTCCAGCGCAAGTCACTCTGTTGTGTGTGTGTGTGTCTGTGTTTCCCTCATCACAGTCGCAGCCTCTTCCACTCCCTGAACTCCATCCTCCGTATCTCTTCCTCCAAAGGAAACGAGCACACAAATCACCCTCTGTCTACACCATTGTCGTCCTCCATTGGCTTGTCCTCGACCGTACTATCGACCTTGAGAAGATCCCTTTGGGGGCTGTCCTCTCATTTTCCTCCTCTTCGCGCTCTCATCCCTCACCTCATACCACTGATTGGCTCTCTTCGCACCCTCTCGACCAACCACACAACTTCGGTGCGAGACAAGTGAATCCAAACACCATCCTACCCTCGTCCTTGTCATCAGTTCCAACAATAGCAATCACAGACAGCCTTGCATCCCGTTCTCCTTCAAGTTTTGTTATCGCCGCCCGTCTATCTTTCTGTGGAACCTGGGGAAGAGGAATTGTCAATCTACGCTGTTGTGGTACGCCTGTCCCATTGTCCCCTTCCTTTGCTGCCCATCCCACGTCCGACGAGTGCGACTCTGTCTTCCAGCTTCTTCTCTTGCTACTTTTCTCTGACTCCAGTGTTTTAGAAATTTGTCTTTGTTGCCTGCCTGCGCTGGTTCGCTTTTTGCCGCTCCTTCATCTACCGCCGAAGCAAATCTACGATCCTTACCGACTTTAGTTGTGTCAATATACCAGGACTCTGTGACCTGCCCTGTGCTAATACGACAACAACCCCTTGGAAACGACAGACTCTCTCGGTCGCATCTCGCCGCCTCCTCTCTTCACCAATGCGACGATAAAGTTATCATCCTATTTACAAGCCTACGACCCACACGAAGCGAACTTGGCCTTTAAGCCAATATGCTGGCGTCCCCACCAGCGATGAATGGCGATCATGGACCTATGTTGGATAGAAACAACATTATCAATGTAAGAGATGGAGAATCCCTCTACCAGATATGTATCAAACTACGCCGCCGCCTATCGGGCGTGCCTGGATTTCGCCCGTACCTGGAAGAGATGGAGGAGCGCGAGGCCGAAGGATCTGATCCTGTGTCCTCGCTCTGGCAGTGCTTCCGGAGTGGCCTGCCGTTGCTGACCATATACAATGCTTCCAACCCGGAGGAAGGTGACCTCCGGGTAGACACCAAACGACCTGAAAGAGTAGGAAAAGAGGCTGCCTTCCTCTTCATCAAGGCCTGTATGCAACAAATGGAAATCCCTGCCGCCGACACTTTCACCGTCACAGATCTTTACAGCGACAACACGACCGGGTTCGTGAAAGTCACCAAACTAATCAATAGAGTGCTGGACATATTGAAGCTGAGCGGGAAGTTACATCCATCGACGGATAGCGAAGGTTCTCGCGATGGTGCCGACAGCGCTCTGAACGTTGCTGATCAGGCACCCAAGACGTTGACGAGGAGGCAACACATTCTCAAAGAATTAGTAGAGACAGAGCGGCAATATGTGCACCATTTGCAAAATTTGCAAACCTTGAAAAAGGAAATGGAAGAAGTGGGCGCCTTGACTGGTGATGCTATCCATAATATATTCCTCAACCTGAACAACCTTCTGGATTTCGCGCAGCGGTTTTTGATCCGAATAGAGCAACAGAACGAGACTCCCGAGGAGCAACAGAACTGGGGTCGACTCTTCGTCCATTACAAGGATCCCTTCAGACAGTATGAGCCATTCATTGCAAACCAGAGAAGATGTGAAACCACATGTCAACAGGAGTGGGATAGAATGGTTGAAAGAGCAAAGTCGCCATTGGCGCAGCAAATGTTGGCAAATCCGACCATCTTGAATGGTTTCCTCCTGAAGCCATTCCAGCGCCTGACCAAGTACCCGTTGCTATTGAAGGTTTGTACCGCTCGAGTCCCAGATGATATTCACGCTGACATTTCAGGATCTGCAAAACCAAACCTCTGACAACCTGCTCAAGTCCGATATCTCAGACGCAATAGCAATCATCCAGGATGTATTGATGCAAGCAGATGCCTCGATCGACAAAGAGACTAGAGATGATGCTCTTCAAGATTTAACAGAGCGCGTCGACGATTGGAAGCAAATGAACATCGCCAGCTTCGGCGAGCTTCTACTGCTCGGCACGTTCAATGTCACCAAAGAGAGCGCCATCCGATCGGACGAGAAGGAATACCACATCTACCTTTTCAGCCGCATTCTCATCATGTGCAAAGATGTCAATGCTAACAAACCCAAAAACAGGTTGGCAAACAATAAGCCCTCATTAAGTCGGAATGGAAAGCCCAAGATGAATCTCAAAGGACGCATTTATTTCACAAATGTCATCAGCGTCACATCGCACACAAGCCCTGGAAGTTACTCGCTGCAAATTACGTGGAAAACCGAAGCCAATTCCCCGGATATATTCAACATCAAGTACAAGAATGATGAAACGCTGCAAAAATGGCATACTATGATTGAGACGCAACGTTCGTCGTGTATGCTGGAATCGAGAACCACCGGCACTACCTCCGATACTCAGCTTTTATCACTACAGGGAATGAATATGGAGAATCCGTACATTGGCAAAGATGACGACGACGATGATTATAGCAGAATCTCCGGGACCACTTATGGGGGCACTGATGCAACAGGATATTCCGAGTTCAACATGAGCAGAAATGCTTCAAGCACGAGTTTGCGCTCCCGGTCTGCCACCGGAGGCAGCGGAGGAAGTAATCCCCATTTGTCCGCCGGCCGTATGCGGGTGCCAACGAGTGAGTTGGGAGGGTTGTCGTTGAATACGCGTGGTTTGCCAATTCAGTCTCCCCAAGATTCTTACGGTAGTTCATATTTCTCTCCCATTGAACGAGATTCGACACCACAATCGACAATATCAGCCCGCTCAAGTTCGCAATCTGCCTTTTCTGGCTATCATCGAGGAGCGACTCCGGTCAGCGGTGGCGGCCAGCGACCTGAGGAATCGTACAGGAACACTGCCCCAGCCATGGCCCGAAATCCCAACGGCCAGCCGAGTGGCAATCCTTATCTGGTGAATGGTCGACGGGGTCCTCCACCGGGTCCTGGACAGCCGCGCATGCGCTCTGCAAGTAGCCCTGATGTACACCCTCTGGTGCAGCAAAGCCGCAAATACGTGTCGGGTGAGCATGCCCCAAGTGTTCCTCCGATTCCAGCGCATGTGGCCAAACAGATGGCACCTCCAGCCAGGAGCCAGAACAATTCCCCAAACAATGGTCCACCGTCCCGGCAAGGCACGCCCCAACAATATGGCCTACCTCAGGCACCACGCCCGGGCATGCCGAATTCAAACTATACCTATGACAATAGCTATGGGAACGATCCGAGACGCCCCGGCCATGCCCCATCATTGTCACAGAGTCAAACATTCTCTCCCCCAGTGTCATCTCCTTCTAGTGACGGAGACGGCTATATACCGAGTCAGCTGAAAGCCAAAGTATGCTTTGACGAAAACTACGTCTCTATGATCATTGCCACCAATATCCAATTCCGGTCGTTGGCTGATCGCATTGATGCTAAATTGGCGAGGTTCACCAATCATTCGATTGCGTCCGGGTCGGTACGACTGCATTATCGTGATGAGGACGATGATCTCATCTTGATCGACAGTGATGAAGCTGTACATGAAGCATTGTTGGATTGGCGTGAAACACACGCTTCAAACGCAGCTAACCCGCAGAATGCAGAATTATTGTTGTATGCGCATGCAGTCAACCGCGATGGGGTTGCAGGTTGAACAGAGCGTGCTATGATGTCGCATAACTACTGTAGCACTACAGCGCCTAGTGCAAATCAACCGTCGAGACCCGTGTCGCATCACTAGTCGTCCAAGCGTGGACGTCAAACAGAAGACCTTGTGCTGTCGATATGGCTACACAGATTCGCCATGACAAGGTCAAAAGATGCGGGTGGTTCGACGGCTCAATTACTTTGAAACGAGATACGAAGTGACGGATTACGAAGTTGGATATGGATAAGTACATGGGATATGGTTAAGTTTAGAACAGCAGGACATTGTGAAGAGGGCGTGTTCATGCGTGAGAAAATCACGTAAGAGTCCGCGTATAGAGAAAGACAAGAACTGTTGGCTGTTATACACCACGTAGGAGCTCAAGCATGTTGATGTTGACGATGTCGAGAGTCGACAGTTATACGCAGAAACTACAAGTCGGTTGCAGTGGATAGCAACGAGGAGGTATACTATTTTGCATCAAAGAACAAAAAACTCTGGAAGTTTCCTGCCCAATGATTAGGGATGATGGTGACTTTGGTATCCGTATCTACATTGTGCCAACCTGTATATCAAGGAGAAGTATCCGTGGTACCGAGGAATATAAGTTAGGTATCTAGATATTGTACCTAGGTACATCATTTAACATGCTCTTGGCGTGCTTTTTCAACAACTCCGATACCGCTGTTTCACGATTTCACATGTACGGCTTTTGGAAATTCAGTATCTCTTTTCCGAACATTAGAGACAGTATCTTCACGGGGATACCTAAGTAATCATCCCACAAAGCTTGGAGTCCTTTGAGAGAAAAAAGACACGAGGTCGAATTTTTCCCCCTGCTGGTGCAGGTACTGTTACCAGAGTACGGATAGTTCACGACGACAACACAACCACCGCTCCCAACCTTCATCAATCATCAACCGTCCACTACTGCGGACATGTCTACGACTCCTTTGGCCACCCCGGCGGCGGCATCACCTCGCGGCTCTTCCAACGCCGCCTCTTCAGGTATTGCGGCAATGAAGGATCGAATCATGACGCACATGAACGCGGACCACGCCTTGTCTCTGAGGCTGTACCTGATGAGGTACTCTCACGTTCCGATGGGGGGGACGACGACAGCGGAGATGCTCGACATTTCTCAAGACCACATGATCCTTCGATCGGGCTACGGGAGGCACGTGGTGGACATGGTCCCTCCCATGAAGTCACTCACGGACGCCAGAGAGAGACTCGTCGAGATGCACAATTCTTGTCTCGAAGAATTGGGTTTGAGTGACGTGGTGGTGGACCGGTACACGCCACCCAACCGTGCCTGGCAGATTGGCCTGAGTGCGCTGTGCGTCTTGATCTTTACGACTTTTCCTTTTCGGCAGTCCCTGCTCGATCAAAATACCCTGCCGGGTCGGATCTGGAGCCTGGGAGGGGCCGCACCTTGGTTGGCCCGACTGAGTTTCGGTCTGCAACCTCTGGTGTTGACAGTCATGGTCGTCGTACATCTGGGAGAGGCCGCATGGATGGCAAATACGCGCCTGAAAAAACATTGGATAGAGGTGGGAAGTTGGGTGTGGTGGTTCTGGGTCTTGGATTGCGCCGTCGAAGGGTTCGGCTCTTGGACGAGGTTCGACGAGATGGTGGCCGACGTCGAGGGAAAGAAAAACACAAACAACAAGAAGCACTGAAGCAGCACTACACCACACAAGCCTAAAGAGCTCTGGGGATTGGAAAAGACAGGCATCCTAGGCAGATTTGGAAGGAAAAATTCAGAGTCAAAAACCAAACAGATTTCATTCCCTTCATGCGGTAATAACAATTACATATATATTTATACAGTACTTGGAAAAACAACCATTCTGAACAGATTCACACAAACACGTCATGTTCTTGTCTTTGGTCATTCATTCAAGGTTGATGATTGAGCGCCTTTCAAATGCTTTGCGTTGCTTTGCTTTAGTTTCTTTAAAAGCAGGTCGTTTCTGGCAAAGTACCAGGTTGGTGAGTTCCTGTCCATGTCTGCATCACCACCAAACAACAATACCTGAGGTGTGTAATCGTTGACGTCGCTCTCATAATCCGCGCCCGTACACGCATAATCACAATACTAAAGAGGTTCCACTCAGAAGCCCGCTCGACCTCAAGGTGATCTATCTTCTTGGAGATCTTGGAGTCGGTGTCTGCGAAGCTACATGTCGAGGCTGTTGTGAGGCGTCTTCGCCAATGTAGTCGTCTGCGAAATCACCTTCTCTTTCATCGTCGGCATCGTCGGCAACGTCGTCGTCAGCGCCGTCGTCAAGGTAAGACTCTCCGAGGGTGTCGGCTGCGTCGTCCACTTCGATAGACTGACGAACAGGCTCGCTCATCAGAGAATCGTCCAGGCTGTCTCTCGAGATGAAACTATCACCCAACCCATTGTCGGATTCAACCTCGGCCTCTTCTTCCTCCTCTTCGTCTGTTTCGTCGTCGTCATCCACTTCGTCGTCCTCTTCGGAGTCGGTGGGGGTAAACTCATCGAGATCCTGCGGTAAATCTCGCCAGTATGTGAAGTCGGTGTACTCTTCCCCACCCTCCTTGACGAGCGTCGATACGGGAGGGAAGAAATGATCAACGACCTCACGCATCGAGACATAACTGCTTCGGTACTTGTTCAAGGTCAAAAGATCCAACGAAACTTCTGCGTTGGTGTTGATGGTGAAGATTCGACTCGAAGGGATGTGCACGCTTCGATAACTCAATGCGTCGGTAAAGCGATTGCCAAACCCGGCATAGAACGGGTTCGTTCTTCCAGGAAAAAGACCCAGAATGTCCCGAAGACACGCCATCTTGAACATTTCGGGTTTCCGAAGATATACCTCTCTCCGTAACGCCGCTATGGTCCGATCGGGGCTCAAAATCACCGGCCCTTCAGGTATTCTCCAACCGTCCTGGACGATGCCGTTCAGGTATGCGCGAGTGGTATCAGCTTGTCCAACGGAGCGACTCGTCAGGTACAAGATGTTGTACCCGTTTGCCACAATGTCAGAATATAACTTGGCAACTCCGGCGTGTGTCCAATCTCTACCGACCATGTTGAGCAGCTGACCCAAAGCATCAGACTTGGTGATTGTTCCGTCAATATCAGAGATGACAATGGGCACATCCGAGGTCCAGTAGTACATGTATGCTGTACAAGTGGCGCGGTTGACGGTAAACGAGATTTGATTCCTGCCTGGTTTGAGGTCGAGCGCTTTCAGCTGATCACTCGTGAGGCGAAGGGTTTTGGCAAAATTCCGGCTTTGCTCGCTCGACATGCGGGGGGTTTCGGTGATGTCTTCGGACTGGGCCCTTTGGTGGCGGCTTAATTGTTGGCCTTTGTCGAGCAGTTCTGGGGACGGGCTTCGCTCACTATCGCTGTGATAGCCAGGGTCGGAAGCATTGTCAGGAGAGACCGGAGAGGCTCCCTCTAGCACGGTACCTGCGGCTTTTCGAAGGGCCGCATCACGAGCTTCTTCACTGCTGTAAATCCACAAATTGCCGTTCTCATCTGTACCGATGAGAGAGCCAATGTCATAGTTGCCCTCTAGTTCTTCTGACAAAAGTTTGCGTGCAACTGCTTCAGCACGAAGGGCTTCATCTTCACTAGATTTGTAGCCAGTCATGTCCAGCATCAGGTCTCCGGACTCGGTGACCTGCGAGCGAATATTGGAGATTGAGAGCTTCTTGGACAACGTCAAAGCACGATCATATACTTGTCTAGGTTGCAACGCGGGCGGGCTGGCCGAGGCCTTGGGTGTGTTCGAGCCTTCTAGATTGTACCTTGGGGACAATGGTATGCCGTTATGAAGGAATGCATCGCTGACAGAGTCGAGCTCTTCTCGTGCGGAGACGGGGAGTATTTCCTCGGAAGCAGAACGTACCAGCGCCAGAGGAGGGTCCAACGCATTTTCATCCAGCGAACCCGCAGCAAGATCGAGCTTGGAAGATGGCATCGACTGGGCAAGGGTCTGGTCGGCCAAATCTGTTCCTTGGCGTCTGATCAGAGGAACCGTCCGACCGGGTACGGGATCGGGAGTCTGACTACGTTTCCCAGATTCCGTAATGTCGAGGTACGTAGGTTCCAACAAGCTAGGTGAGGGTGGTCGATCTTCAGCGGTAGCCGAGGGACTGCTGGCTGGAGATACCAAAGGGGAGGTCTGCAAGGCTTCGGGAATGTCGTTTGACGTCTCAAAGACAAAGAAGGCTTCCCCACCATCCCCGAGTTTCATGGCATAATTCTGTTTGTTGCCGTTGACTTTGAATTCGACCTTTTTGTCCGACGGCCGTAGAAGAGAAAATTTGCCGAAGCGGACATGAAAGGGCGAACATGCCAGCGTGCCATCTTCTTGTTCGACAACAATGACATCGATGGCACCAGACAGCGTGGCAGGATTGATGGAATTCCAGGTCTTGGAGACGCCACTCCCCAAGCTCCGAACGTACTGCATCGTGGATGAGTTATTGTGGTCGGAATGTCGGCGTTGGCGAGTATATGGCTATAAAGGTGGCATAATCGGGTTGCCTGATGTGTGTGATGACGGTGGAACGTCAGAAGCTCGGAGCAAGATTTGAGGAATACACAACGCCGGATCCTACGCAATGCCAGTCAAAGTACAAAAAAAGAGTGTCTCGTTTGAAGCAAAATATCACATGTCAGGGATATGGGTAGAAGTTCATGCAAAGATTGAGAATGTCGGGAGAAATAATGATGGGGGGAAGAATGAAGTTGAAGATGAGCGAGGCAAAGATGATGCATGTGTTGAATGCTCAACCAACTTGTTAGTATGACCACATGCGCTAACATGGTTAACCTCGGCTCGCTAATCTACTTATGGCATGATCATAATATCTCTATTGCCCTAGATACTAAATTCATCTAATAGCTTCCCCAGATTCGCTACGCTGCAATTCTAACATGGATATTCAAGTGCGATCTCACCTGTCCAACACATCCTCTTCTTCAACCTTCAATCGCGTCTTTTGTTCTTTACAGTCTTCCAAGGCTGGGCACTATATTTTGGCCATCAAATCGATTGAACGCGCAATGTTTTCCTGGGCAACGTGAATCTTCACCTCGACTTTGCGACAAGCCGTTCCCTCACCTAATCTCCCAATCTACCCTACTATCTGGACATTACTACGGGCGCCGCCTCAATCATCGACGCCATGAGTTCTCCAGCGAACCCTCCAGGCCCTCTCACACCTCCCGCAGAGCCAGCCTCTCAAGGACCACAGCCTTCACAACCTTCCGGCACAACTCAAGCACCAGTCGAGGCGCTCCTTTCCCAGCCTCTGACCTCATTAACAGACGATGGCAAGTCTAAGAGACCTCGAGACCATCGATTAATACATCTTCTTCTCGTATCTCATGGTATTTCTGCATATCAACAACGCGTCCCTCTCCAGCTGATGGATTTTGCCTATCGATACACTAGTTCAGTGTTGAGCGACGCACTACACATTCAAAATGAAGCCTACGATCAGGCCGATACAAGTACCCAGGGCAAGGGACGGGGTGCGAAACACAATCAGAACAAGTTGGAGGAAGGGGACGTCAGTTTAGCCGCACTGCGCATGTCGATAGGGTCACGAATGGGGTACCAGTTCCAAGGAAGTTTACCCAAAGAATTTCTCAAGAATTTGGCAGACGAGCGGAACAGAATATCACTAAATGCGCAGTCACGGGACGGCGACAAGAGTGGTCCGATAATTGGAGGTGTACGGTTACCGCACGAGAAATATTGCCTGACTGGAGTTGGCTGGGGCCTGAAGGACGAATGGGACAGTGAGGGTGAGGAGAGCGTTGAACAGGGAGAAGGCGAGGAAAAACCTGAGCCTGAAGATGTCATGCAGATGGACGACAAAATTGACGAAGATGAAGAAGGTCTGGGAACGATGGAGGACGTCTTTGGTGATGATGATGCTGGGGATGATGATGGGGGCGGCGGCGGCGGCGATGCTGACGGTGATGCCGAGATGCAGGGATGAACGACTGGAGCGTCAGGCTCTGCGAGTATTCTGAGTCCTCGTGCATTTTGATACCCAGGATAGATGAAGGCTATGTAGCATTGTATTGTATTTCTATTGGCATGAGGTGTATCTGAGTTGTCAATGGTGCCTGGCTCTTCGGTTTCGAATCCTCCGGTTGACTCGTGTGATATCTGAGACTGCCTCTATACGTTTCCAGAAAAATGGTGTTGACTCACAGCGCTGACGGTCTCGAGATACCATATTTCCCACTGTCTTCATACGCAGAGTATCTTGGTATGCTTACCTAAGGCGCCATGGATTTGGAGGGGAGGAGCGGATGCCAAGAAAAAGTGAGAGGAGAGCAAGTACTGACTTCCCCAAGATCCGATCCCGACCATTTGCAGCCGGCGGAACAAAAGCCACCACCAACAACTTTGCACATACAACAGAGTGGCCTTGACACCGGTCAGGCATCCTCCTAGTCTGTCATAACACTTACTTGATATTCGCATGTCTTCTGCCATTTACTGTTATTCCTTTTTTGACCCTGTATGTTTATCTCTAGAAGCATATGCCTGCCCTACCGCTCTTATGGATGGATCCTTCCAAATGGCATACTGGGTCACTACACTGGGCTGCCAATACTTACCTTCTGCTCGCTCCTAAAATCAACGTGAAAGGTCGCATGGCTCTCCTCATGCTGGTGGCCGTTGTATGGGCCTTCACATGGTACGTCTAAAGAGATCACTTTGACGATCAACGCTGACCATTTTCCAGGCTTCTATGGCGTGCCTACTCGGTCCTGACCACTCCCAACGATATTCTTGTCGAAAAACTCGGTCTCGATATCCCTCCCACTCCGCTTATAACCCTTGAAGAGATCTCGGAGCACGAATTACAAATTACGTGGAAGTATTCGGAACCGTCCACTTCTGTCCAAGAGCATCATGTTGAGGTAAACGGGAGACTGATCGGGACAACAAAAAAACATGATATGGGCGCGGCTATTTACGATCTTGTTCCGGGCAGCAGATATGATATTCGCGTCTTTTGTGTCAGCTCCACAGATTTCCAAACACCCAGCCAACCTCTTCACGTCCGCTTGCCTGGCTCAACGCCTGCCGCCTCGCAAGATGAAGCCTTTGAATCTATGCCCAAAGTCCGGGCCATTGCTATCCGAAACGCTGCTTCGCTCGCTCCTGCGCCGGCGCCTACTATAGCGCGGGAGTTCAGTGGTGGACAACCAACAACGCGAAGGGGAACGACTGGCCGGAGACCGTCGCCCGCGAATCACGGGGTCGATTCGCAGCAGGCTCAGGATATTGCATCACGAGCCATGGATGAAGAGGAGGATGGCGACCTTGCGGAACTATCTCAAAAATTCCAAAAGGCCCAACAAGACATAGACGCGGTTGAGCAGCAAATCCAAGACGAGGACAGAGACTTCCAAGCGTCGCTCAAGGAGTTAGAGGCACGCCGAGACGAGTTGAAACAACTTCTGAAGGATCGAGATGAAGCAAGCAGCGATTTGCGCAAGCAAGTGCACAAGGCCGAAACCGCGAGCAGGACGGCTTTGAATGAAAAGACGAAGAAAGAACGCCTGCTGCAACAGCGCGAGAACCAGAGGCGAAAACGTCGAGACGACATCGCCAAATGGGAAGAGCAGACTGCCTGGATGAAAGAAGAAATTGCGGGTATCGAGACACAGAAGGCTGCGATCGAGCAGAGAGCGAAGTCCGATCTAAGGGAGATCCGCAGGAAAATTGAAGAGGAGCAGAAAGAGGTGCAAATGCTAGAAGAAGACAACAAAGAAAAGGCCATGCAGATAAAGGCCATGGAAGAAGAGCGACAGCAGGTGAACGTTGAGGATGAGACAGACGAGACCCGAGAGGCCGATCGACTCGATCACGAACGCGACATGAGGTGGAGGGCAAGATACGAGGCTCTTCGTCAAACACATACAAACCTGTGGCACGAGCTGAAAAACATTCAACAACAGGTCAATCTCTCACAAGAGCAGATCAATGTCGCCCGTGCCAATAGAGTCACTGCTATCTCGTTTGCACCGATACCTCCATTCGATCCCGAGATGTATCGACCCAACATTCGGCAAATTCGACGGCCGCGCCACACCAGTTCCCATGGGAGTAGTATTTCCTCACCCCGGGGCCCTTTCAATGGCCCTGAGCCTATGCCGTCGGTTTTGCAATACAATTCGGTTGCAAACATGTCGCCCACGTCCTTGTTGCCCAGCTTTTTCAACCCGCAGAATGGGATGACCTTCATCCCATCGGGCATTAATACTTCTACCGCTGACGATGTCGAGCCTATCGCCAATGTCCCGATGAGTCCACGGGCAGACCTACTGCTCCCGGCGGACCTCCTTGGAGATGAATCCGCGGATGAGCTTCCAGATGCAGAGCTTACAGCTGATCCGAAGCGCTCCTCGGAACCTGGCACAATGCCATTTCCCAAAATTGGCTCTCCTGCGTTGCAAGAAGCTCGTCGTACACAGACGCCATCTTCAGGATCTTCTTCAGGGCGGTCTTTTTCAAGTCCGATGCAAACTTCAGCACCTGCTGTTGAAACAGAGAAATCATCAGATTCGGGACACAAGTCGGACGAGAAACCCCTGGAAAATATCGAGGAAGATGCGCCTCAGCAATCCGCCAAACCCAGGTACATGTCGATGTCCTCTATGTTCGGCCTCAACAGGCAGCGTGGGAAAACACTGGCTGACCAGCCCCCTCTACTTGGATCTCTCAAGTCAGGCCAGAGTCAGTCATTCCCGAGAGAAGTGGACGAGTTTGACCCAAGCTCACAACCCAGAAGACGCCTTAGTTATGGTGGGAATTGGGCTTTCCCTGGGACTTTGTTAAAGGGTCACGGTGCTGACGAGAAGGACCCAGAGTCCTCACGTTTAGCTTCTGCCCGCCGCTTTGGTATCCCTGGGTTTGGGAAATCTGCTACGCCGTCCGGCACGTATGATCCTTTTGGGATCCGTTCAAGCTCGTTTGATCCTGGTCTTCGGGGCGACACTTCTTCGCCTCGACCGTCTTCTACCTATTCGTTCGACAAAATGCCCCGTCCTTCGTTGGAAGCCCAATTTAATGCATGGAATTTAGACAAGGCACCGATCAGGAACAGCCCACTGGCGCCGGACTGGAAGTCCTTCCAGTCGTTCTCTCGCAATCACTCTCGTCGGCCGTCAGTCGTTCACGGATCCACAAGCAATTTGTCGCTACCACAGAATGAGCAGGTAGTCATCGAACCTGATCGGAAACCAATGCGACCGTTACAGGCGCCCATTGGCACTCGGCCGAAGTCATCCCAACAAGCCTCGACTCCCAAGCTCAATCCTGCAGCACCGTCTTTCACCACGATATTCGGCAGAAGAGGCGACAAGACCAAGGAGAAGGCAAAGACGAAAGAATCCAAAGAGAAGCTGACTGATCAAGAGGCCGCGTCGCCTCCTGAATCAAGGAAATCGCGTGGAGACACTGGTTCCCTTGCGGCCACCATTTCGACACTGGATTCTGATACTCTCGATCGGACAGTATCTGCGACCAGTGCCAATCTGTCGGTGGAAAGTACTGCTTTTAGCAAACCGACTTTCATCTCCAAGATCACAAGAAAGGCCAGCAGCAATAAGTTTGGAAGCTGGAAAGAAAAAGGTGGAGGTCTATTCTCTAGAAAAGAAACGTCACTCCCCAATGGTGAAAACGAGGAAGAACAAGGATCCAGCGAGTATCTCCACCTCGGAAGAAGCTTGGAGAGTACATCAACTACTCCCAGCGCTGAAGAAAAGAAGACCAGCAGGAGTAGCCTAAGCAACTGGAACTTTATGCGCAAGAGCAAGAAGGGAAAAGAAGACTTGACTGCGAGCGAGATCAGTGAGAGTAGTGAACGTGCTAGCGACTTGGGAGATGAAATGGAGGAGGAAGAGGTATGATGAGATGAGATTTTATTGATTCTAAGTAGAGAGTAAGAAGAGTCTTTGCTTTGCTGGTACTGTCGGGAACGTCGTGGTTTTAGCTGCTTTGTAGATGATCAATATTAAATTTCAAGATACTTTGTGCTTATCAATTGCAAGTTTATTCCTTGTGAAATCCTGAATTTATCATTTGTGATGGCCGTATGGCCCATGATTATCCATGTTGATGTGTAGTTGTGTGTAAAGGAGTGTGGTTCGGTTCGTGCTGTGATATTTATATTTGTATGAGACTTTGGCGGAGAGCCGTCAACCGTGCCCTCTTTTAAACACAATCATTGACTCACGCAATCTTTCTTTGTCTGTTCTTCCACACTTTATGCCGACAAGAACAACATTATGAGCAGCTTTTAATTTTGTGAGAGAGAGAGAGAGAGAGAAAAGACTGTGTCCATGATGATGGTCAGATTTCTCACCATTGGACATATCGGTACGGCGCAATTCGAAAAATGGCAAATTCCAAGTATGATTTCCCTTGGATTTAGTTGGTTTGGGGGTTTTCCGGATCGCGTCACTAAAAATGTGTTTTGTTAAATGTCACACGAATACAGATATGAATACGTTCGCAACTTTGAACGAGACGAACATTTATTGCCAAACACTTGGATCGTGGTCAGGATTGACGGTAGAGGATTTCACCGGTATGTTTGTCCCTTCCGACCCTTTTTTTTCCACAAAGCGATTTTTGGATCAATCGGTTCTCTGACCCAATGGGGGCGGAATGTATCAATGTGACAGATTCTCGGATCATTATGGTTTCCAAAAACCCAACGACGTCCGAGCCCTCGACGTGATGAACTCGGCGGCTCGACACGTGGTCAAGACCCTGCCGGACATCGTGATGGCCTACGGAGTCAGTGACGAGTACAGTTTCGTTTTCCACAAGTCGACCACGTTGTTCGAGAGGAGGAACGCCAAACTCGTGAGTACCGTGGTGAGTACCTTCACGGCGGCGTACGTCATGTTTTGGCCCCGTGGTTTTTTTGTTTCCGCTGTAGAAACGGAAACGGAAAGGGAAAAGGGGGAGACCAAAGGAAAAAAGAAGGAGATGGAACAACAACAAGAACAACAAGAACGTGACCTCGATGTCGAAATGATTCCCACTTTTGATGCGAGGGCGGTTTGTTACCCTTCATGGGAGAATTTGAGAGACTACCTAAGTTGGAGACAGGTTGATTGTATGTGATGAATTGATTCCCTCCCCGTCCCTGAGCCCTCGACCTCTCCCCCCTGATATGTGTTTGTGTGTGTGTGTGTGACGAGCTCGCTCTTTGATGAAAACCAAGAGAGTGATTTCTCAAAAGTGCGAGTGACGGGAGAACAAGGCTAAAATCTTGGGTTTGACAGGTCATATCAACAACCTTTACAACACCACCTTTTGGGCTTTGGTTCAACGAGGTGGAATGTCACAGACGGCGGCCGAGGAATCCCTCAAGGGTACATTGGCAAGTGATAAGAATGAGATTCTTTGGTCCAGGTTTGGTATCAACTACAACAATGAACCAGAAATGTTTCGTAAAGGGTCGGTGGTGTTTAGGGAGTACGCGTTAGAGACGACGACGACGAAAACAAACGCAGGAAAGACCGAGAATGAGAATCTACCAGAGGACGAGAAACCCGTGTCAGTGTCCAAGACACAATTTGAAAAGATGAGAAAAGCGAGACAAAAGGCCAAAATTGTCACGGCTCACCTGGACATCATCAAGGATGATTTTTGGTTGGTAAGACCATGGTTGAGGTCGGGGAAACCTGGAAGACCTGTTGAATGAATCGACGTCGATGTCGGGCCTGTAGAGGAAGAGAGAGAGAGATGAATGTTGAAGAAATTCAGACTTGCAAGAACCACAAAACATGAAGAAATACAGGTGGTGTTGGTGTTGTAAAGGGGTCATTCCGATTCATTAAACTATCCCTGCCCACAAAAAGAAAATGGTAACAACCTGGGCAGGATCATTTGCGTCAACGCTCCAAATGTCGTCATGTAACCAATCAAACAAGACAGTAGATATCCAGAGTGTAGAGAGTCATGAGAGAAGAGACCCAAGTATCCTCAACTCTTTGCAACTTTGCCAGCCTTTTCAGCAGCTTTTCGCCTTTTGCGCTCTGCTCGTCTCGCTTCCTTTGCGGCGGCGTCTTCACTGGAAATCTCGACGTCTTCTGATCGACCACCACCTCCTTGACCGTCCATTTGTCTCTTCTGTCGGCGCTCTTTCTCCTCCTTTCGTTTCCGCCGTCGTTCACGTCTCTCTTCTTGCGTCTCGGTCCGTTCATCCTGCTCTGGAAGGAGAGCCGGCGTACTCGCGCCGGATCCCTCGTTCTCTTGTGACTCGAGTTTGTCCTTGTTTTTCCTTTTCTTGTCGGTCCGCGCGGCCAGGTACTCGCCCACCTGTCTGAATTCCTCCACGGGACCGGGTCTCTCGGTACGTTTGCGGCGTTTGCCGTCCTGGTCGCGCAGGGCGAGGTACTCGCCGACCTGTTCGAACTCGGCGGCTGCCGACCTCTTTTGTCTTTTGTTCTTCACCGTCGAGTCTCCCTGGCCGTCGACGTCCCCGTCGGTGGTCGCGCCACTCCAAAAGTGGTCGCTCTTCCTCTTCTTTCTGTCGTCCGTCCGACTTGACGACGGGGCGTCTCCTTCCTCTTCGAGTCCGATCGTACCTTGCATCTGTTGACCCTTGACGAAGAAACTGTACAGGCCGCCGTGTTTGCCTCCGGTGTTGTCGAGGGCGGGCGCGGGGGTCGATGCGCCACTGCTCCTCTCGCTCTCGCTCTTGCCGATGTTCCCCAGGGCACTCTCGAAACCCTTGAGCCACCATTCGTTCCCGGCCTGCGGTTCGTGGGATTTCTTGCCCACCCCCAGTCGACCTTTCCGCTGGGACACCAGCAGTGGTTTGACGAGGCCGGTGCCGTTGTTGCCGACTTTGGCAGGGTCGTACGCCAGGCCGCGGTGGCCTTTTTGCTTGTACGGCCTCGAATCGAGGGAGTGGCCTGGCCCTGCCCAACCGAGGGAGAGGAGGTGGGCGTGGGCGTCCATCGATACCTCGTGGCGTGGGAAGGGGACTTGATTCGACTCGCTAGACGGATATCGCAGTGACCATTTCTAAAATTATGACATTGTCGCCGACCGACCCTTGTGGTGTTGCGAGGATATGGGAATCGCTGCGCTCGGCTTGGCTGTTCAGATGATTCTGTCTGGTCTGCAACACTTTTTTTTTTCCATCCCAAATCTTTTGCGGGGACCAAAATAATAATTTCTCGACGAATCCGCAGATCACGCCGTAGCAACGAGCGATGATGACATAAGCATGGTACTACTATCATATGAGTACCAGCCGAGAGAGCTGGGAGTTCACTATTAAATCGCTGTTTTTTGTTTGAGAAACCACCTAATTACACCTGTTTTCAGATCTAGATACTCCCCGTACATCATATACAAGTCATATTGCCCAGGTGTCGCCGCCAGAGACATCGCCGTCACTCGATCCCGGAAACAATGGAATGTCGTGCTGCATCTCGGGAAACTGCTTGAAGAAGGCGGGTTTCATGGTCCAATTCCTGATCTCGTACGCATGTCTGAGGAACATCGGGGAGATCTCGTACCCATCGTTGGCAGGATCGTAGACAAAAATGTCCCGATCCGGGTAGGGCCAGTAGAAGTTGAAGTTTTCTACGAAGGCTTTGGAAAAGGCTCCGGTCGAGGTGTATTTCTGATATTCGAAGACGAGACGATCACGAAGGGCAGGCCTTGATATGGATTTAGTAAGTATCAGAAGTCTTTCTTTTTCCCCCTCCCTGGATGTTGAAAGGTCGGAATGAGAAATGACATACCAGATTAAAAAGTCGATCACCGCAGGGTGTTGTATCTTTTCCTGTGACGGTCTGTGGGAAAACCCGGGGGTATCAGTTGGTGAATTTGCAAGTAGACCGAGGTTACAACAACGCCAGTTCCGGGCAAGAAGGAAGACCTTACCTTGGTCGAAGAAATTCAGGTACCCGAGCGAGATTGTCCGGTGTGGGATTCTCACGGTACTGCATCAACGTCTGGCAGACGTACATCAGGGCGATCCTTTGCGCCTTCGACTTCCACGTCCCAAACACCCTCTGGTCGACCTGGCGCAGCGCGAGCCACACCGGGTGCTGTGCTTCGGGGCCGACGTTGTTCCAACCCCAGATGGCGGCCTTGAACGGCACGTGCAGGTCCAGTTCCTGGTCCGACGGGTTGCGGTTCTTGATCTCGGTGAGGGCGTTGATGAAGGCGCCGTTGGAGACGTGCCACTTGTCGACGTCGGGGGCGATGTTGACGATCTCGGGCGTCGGGATGCGGAAGTCGAATAGAGACGAGGACGACGTCGGGCCCCAGGTGGAGGAGGATGAGGAGGTGTTGTTGTTGTTGAGGTTGTTCACCGGGACCGCCGCCTCGAACATCTGAAGGAGTGTGTCGGGACTGAATTCGAAAGAGGTGGTGTCGAATCGTTGTTCTTCTTCTTCTTCCACCAATGGAGCACCTGCTTCTCCATCTTCAGGTGGAGGAGGACACCTTTGCTGCTGCTGTGACGGATAATCATGGGCGTTGTCGTTCCCTCCTATGGCGGCGAGTTCAACCACCACTTCAGAAGCAGCTTCGGTCGACATGGAATCGTGCCGTCTGAGAAAATGGGTTGTCGGTGCGGCGGCGGTGGTTGTTAGTGTCGCGCCCCCAAAGACCGGCGAGGTCGAAGAACAATTCCCACTCGTGGCGGTGATGGTTTCGTCAATGGTGGAGCGCATTTTGAGCAAGGCATCTCGCAGACGGTGGTTCTCATTGCGAAGGTCGTCGATGATGCGAGTCAGGCTGACAATCTCCCCTTGTCGGTCCTGAGCTTCCAAGCTCTTGAGGCGTTGTTCGAGGAATGCGATGCGACTCTTGGTCCGTTCTCGAGTCGCCCTTTGCGCGAGACGGTCCTGTACCCGTTTCCTCTCGGCTCGGCTACTCTCGTTTTTGACGGCTCCCCGTTTGTTGTTGTGAGGAGGTTTCGCTGACTTTGATGATGATGAGGACGAGCCCTCCATGTCTCACGGGAAGACCATCCGTTCAAGAATTGAAGTGCAAATTCATTCCCATGGGCTGCGTGCTAACCGAAGGCGTACCTTTTCTGCGGAGGTACCATGTTCTGATTTCTTGGCTTGGTCACCATCATTCGCTTCGCTTCTTTCGTATTGTATGCTAAATAGTGCGAGTGAGTAGTCAGTAAATGGGGCTGAGAAGGCGGTCTCGGTAAACAGGTGCAAATGTGGAGGGGTCGTGGGTGACCGAGCCCAGACATCCGAGGTTCAATTTGAAGATCTACGACCAGCAAAGGGACCACAAGGGTTTTTAAGCCTGTAGTCATTGGCCCTTTGTTTGTGCATGCATCGAGACAGAAATCAAACCTTTTGACATGGAGAATGCTTGCGAGATCAATGAATGAGTGGTCTTAGGGTTGAATCGTGATAAACAACGACCGACACATGTGATGAGACGGTGTTAGAACAGGACGGGGTACCCTACCATCCGCCGTAAGGATAGTACATGTACCTGAGTAAGCCTCAAATATGGCTTGAGAAAGGGGACCATACAGTACCCATGATGTATCATCATATTCATATGAAGCCTTGAGAGGCATCTAGGTAGGTACCTGAGGTGTGAGGTTGTACATTACAGTATGTACTCTGTAGTGCCAGTTTCGATAAGGCGGGGGCTGTAGCCTCACACTCTCTTCTTACCTGGGCCGTTTAGATTCCGCCAATCGTCTTCTTCGTATAGCGGGCATCTCTCGACTTCTACTCCGATACATGGTACTGCGGTAGTATTCAACGTGGTACTCTCTTCATCAATTTTCAAAACACTTGACATCTACCCACAACGTAGCACGAGGAGTATCTGTTATAATATACTACTCGATGCCATCTATACCAGGTCCTACCACCGAAGGGTCCAAAACATGGTCACCTGAACATCTTGTTGGTGATGACAACAATTCATCAGAAACGTGGAAGAAGATCCATACACATCTCAACTCGAATGAATTCCGTTCAGCCATCACGACTGCCTTTGAATTACCACCTGGGGACAATTTCACATACCACGCCACGGCTTCGGTGAATCTAGGTCAGGTCGATGCGGCCATCCACGCCGGTAGAGCGAACGGTTTACATGCGTGGTACGTCAAGTCGGCGCCGGCGTCGGTGTCTACGTCTACGTCCACATCAGACAGTCTTCCAGAGGACGGCGGCAACAAAAAACAACAGGAAGAGACAGATCGAGAGTCGTCGACTATCCCTGGATTTCCATCTCTACGGATTGCTGGGTACCCTCCCACCAACGACATACAAGCGTACATTTCAATCTTCGACCCCACGAAATCCGCCGCGAACAGTCTCAAATCTTTGTCGGCAAACGCAAAAAAGGGGTCTTTGAGGGCAACGGTCGCCGAGTATTTATCGAGCAAAAGATATTTGGATCCTTCGATCGTGGTGCCGAAATTGAAAGTACCTGCGTCTTCTCCAAAGTCTTCCGGCGGTGGCCAGCAAAATCCGGCTTTGGATTTCTGGGCGTACTCTTGTCTCGCGTTGGAATACGCCGGTCCCAACGCCGACACGGCACTCGTCCCTGCCTCGCATCACATGTTGCCGGTTTACATGCACCATTTCGGTTGCGTGGTACCTTCGTACGAGGCTTTACAAATCATCAAGAACCTCTCGACCAGCATCAGCACGAGCAGGAGTAACAACAACAACAACAACAATAGCAACAACAGCAGCAGCAGCAACATCAGCAACAGTGTACTCGACATGGGTAGTGGAAACGGTTATTGGACATTGATGTTACGAAAACTAGGTGTCGACGCAGTGGCCGTCGACAGCGGTCAGTCGAGGTGGCGCACCACCTGGATCCCCGACACCGTCGTCGCGGACGGGGTGCAGTACCTGCGCCGGAGGTCCGGTTGCCCCGACGTGGCCGTCCTGTTGCTCGTCTACCCCATCGTCGGGGGCGAATTCACACGAAAGGTCATCGAGGCGTACGCCGGCAGCGTGATCGTCGTCGCCGGCACCCAGAACGGCAACGGCTACACCGGGTTCAGGGACATGATGATAGACGAGTACATGGCCAGGGAGAAACCGGACTGGGAGAAGGTGGCTTCGGTGGCCCTGCCGAGTTTCGCGGGCAAGGACGATGCCTTGTTTGCGTTTCGGAGAAAGAAAAGAGACGACGTAGATAAAAGCATAAAATGAGTTGTGCCATTGATTTTTGTTGGTACATGATCCCCGTTTATCTAAATAAGAAAAAAGGGCAAGAAAGTGGCTTTTCGTGCTGCAAGAAACGACCTCTTGCAATGCCTCGTGCAGATCTGTCTGGTTCCGCAAAAAGGCTCAATTCTATAAACATGCGCATACCGGAAATCCGTCGTCGTCCCGCATGATGATCTCCATGTCCACCATCAGCCGCTGCTGCTGCTGCTGCAGCATCTATTCAAATAATGAACAAAAAGCTCCAGATCGTGTTCGCCCCCGGCTCTTCTTGTTCTATGCTCGAAAGTTGCGCCCAATTACATGCAAATAAAGAGGAGTGGTGGCTTGGAAATCGTCCGAGGAGAAGGAGGGACAAATCGGTCAAATTCATCTTCGAATCGTTTATTTGGCAATCTCAACACCACCGGTCTGGAAAAATATGTCAGTACAAGTCTGCCAGAAAATGGGGGAAAGGGATATCACTAACGGCTCCAAGGACACGCTGCGTTCAATCGTTAGCTATTGTTCTGATCAATTTGGATGTCGGGGAGAAGAAAACTCACCTTGATGTCACCGTAGATGGCGAATTGACCAGCGGTCAAAGTACCAACCATGAACAGACGAGCACCAATACCACCGTAGCTACCACGGAGACCGAGTTCCTTGGCGATCTTGATCAGTCGGCTAGTGGTGCTCTCACCGGGGAGACCCTTGGTCTTGTTGATCTTGGACAGCATAGTATCGGCGGGCTGAGAGACAATGGCGGCAGCGAAACCGGCAATCAAACCAGAACCCAAGTTGATGATAGTCTTGGTTCCATCCGAGGCAGTGTTCTTGTCGACAGATCGGTAGATGGTCTCGGCGACCTTCTCGTAGACGACGAACTTGGCCATGGTGTAAGGGACCTGCTTGAACAAGATGGGACCGAAACCGCTGTAGAAAGCACCGAAACCTTCCGTCTTCGCGATCTTGCTGAAACCAGAGACGAGACCGGAGGCGAAGGTAGGCTCGGACACGAGACGGATACGGGTGGCTTCGAGGGGGCAGAGGGCAATGTCGGCGAAGAATTCAGCGGCAGCGGAGGAGGCGAGGTAGACGGCGGTTCGGTTGTTGGCGGCGGTTTCGTAACCGAGCTGGTTGATACATTGTTGCTTGAAGAACTCGTATCCACCAAACTTGAAAGCACCTTGCAGGAAGTAACCAGCGAAGGTAGGGCCGACACCGGTCAACAGAGCGCCTGCGCCCTCGTTGGCAATGACTTTTCGGAAACCTCCGATCATGCCATTGTTGTACGTGACGGGGTCGAGCTGGATTCTGGTCTTGACGCTGAAGAGGAGAAGATTGTTAGGTCTCGCATGGTCGTGGAAGAAGGGTTTCGCGCTGGCAACTTACACATCGACGGGAGTGAGGCCACCGTGGGTGACGGCGCAACAGACAGCACCAGCGAAGGCCTGGAGAGAGATATCAGTGATGGTATCGACGACGAGGTGAAGCTAGCTTACGAATCTGCTGTAGAGGCCGAGACCAGAGAGCTTCTGAGGCTCGTTGGCCTTTGCGACCTGAACTGCGGCATCGAGCTTGGTCGAGCCGGTCGAGGATGGAGGAAGAGTGGCAGCCATTGCGAATGAGTGGAGATGAAGTGCAATGAAAGAAGACAGTAAAAGAGATCTAGCCTTTTTTTTCTATTCTAGAGACAAACAAATGTCTAGAGTTTGCAGCGACGGTGACGGTGACGGTGACAATGATGTACAGACAAAAATCTTTTTGAAAAAGGGATTTTGAACGAGTTTGAGGCGGCGACGGGCAAATTCGGACGCTGGAGCTGCTTTAGTCGCGCAACCGAGACTCGGCACGGCAACGGACCTTTTTGCAGCCAATGATTGTTCCACGATTCCGAGCATTTGCCGGGCATTGGTTTACAAACATATGTACACCTTGAGCCTCGATTTCCTCTGCGCCGACGTCAATGGATATACTCCGTATGCCTCATGTACGGAGTTCACCACAGCAACCTGATCTTCGATGATGCTGAGTCGTCGACTGCAGAACCTCTTCCAACGGCGACTCCTGAATAGATTCCAACCTCAGAAGACTCGACTTGCGATGGCGAGCGTTGTGGTCAACACGTCTCGATAGTCAGGCCAGGGCAATCATCATTCACTGAAGACCTTTCCTCTTGACTGCTCTTCGCTCCCGGTCGAAGTGGAAAAAAGAAGAAGGAACATGAAGATGGGGGGATAACAAAGATGGAACAGATGGATGGCTAGAGAAAGAGACGGACAGCATCATGCGCAGACACGACCGGAAGAGAACTGCTTTTTTTCCTGGCATTACTGGCCACTTTCAATCAACAATTCAAATACCTACCACAAATGCCAAGCTAGACCATCCCCAAGACTCTTCATCAGTTGGGACACATGACAAGAGCCAGCTGCGTCTCGAAAAGCACTCTTGGTAGGTGAACAACCCTTTGGGCAACAAGCAACCCAAGACATACCAGGATGTTCTTCTTTGACAGTAATCTGCGTCCAAGAGATCAACAAACAAGGGCTTTGTTGACCATGTCGAGCAGGCAGGGATGAGAAAACGTGGTAAGAAGATCTGAAAGGGTCCCTTTTTTCGATCATCACTTTCTCGTATTCCCAAAATAACAGTTCAGAGTTCATCGGCCCAGAGCGCGGCAGTTCATCACATCACAGATTGCCAGTGCAAAAAGGCGAACTCATCCACCCCCCAGAAAAACAATCAATAATGATCATCACCCGAGACAGCGGGAGTTTGCAAACTCTACTCGTGCTTGTCTTGAGGGAAGGGGGCTTTGGCCACATACCTGCCTTACCTAGCTTTGGTGGAAGATGCCTTGACCACGAGGTGATTTGATTAAACTTTTACTCGGACAGCAGAGCAATCTGAGGCACCGTTGGACATCGACAGCGAGATTGGGCACTGGGGTTGTTTACACCGCAGGGTCGTCTTTGCTCGGTTGATATTACTATGCCTGTGTTGTCAGTCAGATCTTGATCGTTGTGGGTTTTGGATGTTTGTGGTCCATGATGTGTTTGTTGTTGTTGCCGTTCCAAACTCACGCACAGATTCATATGATGAGCATTTCGCAATTTGGGTCTTTTTGTATAGCGTAAGAGATCCGAGATTAGTAGATGATGCAGTGCAGATCTTCCCACGAGCTCGTCATGTACTGAATCTGACTGGGCAGAGTATGATAAGAAAAACAACAACAATTCGGTCACGGTAATGAGTTTGGAGGACGGAATAGGGAGAAATAGCGAATGAACCACACACCTGGTAGTGTAGAGCCATGTAACGAGGTGTCTTGATCATGGAGGTTTAGGGTAATTGATCCTCAATCACATGTGAATTGCAGTACCAAAATGGGGGGGGGGATTACCTGGATCAGGGGACTCTGATAGTTGTCAGTACCGAGTTTTCTGTTGTGTTGTACCAAGGTAGGTTACGCAGGTACTTTGGGCTTTGGTGCCTCTGGTATCTGAGTTGGTACGAGTACGGAGTACGAGGGAGCACATACTGTACGAGTACCTTGTTCCCACTTCTTCGCCCGTATGTACTGTGTATGTATGTGGCTGAACGTCAATGGCACGAAAAGAACGCGACCTCGGGCTGTCAAGTCCATCACCACCCAACGAAATTTTCGGTGGTTGGCCTTGTCAGGGGACCATCTTTTTGACAGGTCGAGGCCAAAGACACGAGCCAACCACGATTTTCGGGGGGGTTTGTGCGCGTGCGAGAGTAGGTTGGGCCACTCTGAGAATGATGATGATGATGACAACGATAATAACAGTACTGAGAAAAACAACAACGAGACAGAAAATCGATGGGGTCGTAGAATTGTCAGTTGTGTCGAAACAAAACCATCATTGTGCTGCTGCAACTTGTCTGGCCATGATATCTGTGTGCAAACAGGTGATCGCATCGACCGAGACCCGTAAATGCCGGCGGTGCTCGATCTCTCTCGGCTCTTTTTTCCCTTTGAGATGTGGAAAAGAAAAGAAACCCCCACATCCAGGGGTCCAGGTCCATGTGTCGTGTACTCCGTACCAAGAGGCACACAGATACAAGTACCCATACATGAGTGTATCCATTGTACCCATCGTGCTCGAACCGTGGGTACTCGTACTGTGCTGGTACACTGACCAACATAGAGAGGATAGGGGCGAACCGAATGGTCGAGCTTCTTCTAGGTCAAAAACTAACAATACTAGCGGATACACAGGAATCCGGACTTCAAATGACACGTCTCTGATTCGACAAATCCAAGATGTTCCCATATTTACCCAAGGTACAGTACTGTACAGAGCACGGCCGTTGAGGGTACGAGAAACAGACGTTGAAGTTGACGTCCAGTCCGTCGAACGCCTTGACAGGCCCCTCCGCGACCTCCTCCTGGATCTCTTCTTGTCCTGCCCTGTGCTGTTGGGGGGCTGTCCACGTCTGGGACCGAAATTATGGTATGTAGGGTCGCAAAGAGAAGACAGGTCACCTGGCCGCCGGCATTTTCAGGGGTTGACCGTGGACCACCTGCCTACCTCCCCCCTCCCCCCAACCACTTACCCCCCTTTGCCCTGAGCAAGAAACAAACAAGAAAGAAGGCTGGGGGAACGAGAGAGAACAAGTTCGGGTGCGCAACAAATTCTTGTCATTTGGGCGGTGTGTTGTGGGTTGGTATCCCCTCAAACAACTGCAGAAGCCTATCTCGGGTGAAAATTGCCATGGGAGAGATGGCTCTGCTGTGTGTTCTCTCTCCCTCAGTCACCCTCTCCCAAAAGACCACAGAAAAAACCCATCTATAAAGTTTGTGTCCATATGAAGAATGATAAATTTTCCATTGTTGCTGTCGATAATAAATGTTCCCGCCTGTAGTAGCTCAGAGATGCTTCACCGCTGAAACATCCAAAAAGCCCCGTCCGGCGCCATACTAGAGAAAAGAAAAGAAGCACACGTTTGCAGTGACATAAGAAAAAAAGCCCACGCCGGCTCCAAATTTCCGTGGGACTACATCACATCATCATTATCACCTCGGTTCATCATAGTCCTCCCAAAGAGACAAGAAACTCCCGGGTCTAATGGCGGCGTTGATGGTAGTACTTGCGACCACCGTATTGGATACCACGGCGGATCGGGGTAGGAGCTACCTGATCAGCGGAAAGATCGCCCGATGGGTCGAACGACGTCGTCGTGGTCGTGGTCGTGGGTGGCTCGGCGGTCGTGGTGGGTGGCGCCGTGGTCGTGGGTCCCTCGGTGGTGGTGGTCGTGGTGGTCGTGGGTTCCTCGGTGGTGGTGGTCGTGGTGGTCGTGGGTCCCTCGGTGGTGGTGGTCGTGGTGGTCGTGGGTTCCTCGGTGGTGGTGGTCGTGGTGGTCGTGGGTCCCTCGGTGGTGGTGGTTGTGGTGGTCGTGGGTTGCTGCTCAGTCGTCGTCGTCGTCGTCACCACCGGAGGTGTGGTGGTCGAGGTCATGAACGTGGTAGACGTAGCCACGGACGTAGTCGAGCTGGTGGTAGCAACAGCCGGGACAACTTGGAAAACCAGAGGAATCGCACATCCGTTGAAGTCGGTGTCGACGACAAGGATGGTGTTTGATTGAGTCAAACAGAACTTGCGCTCGTCAAGGGTGATAAATCCAGAGGCGTCCATCAACCAGAAGCTCAAGGCAGGTGGGGTAGCGAAAGCCTCGAGAAGCTGATCGTTGTTGTTCGAGTCGGCGGCACCGATAAATCTGACATCAACCATGAGGTGAGAGTCATCATCGATGGAGAAGTTGTCGGCATCTGCCTGATCGCCGAGTTCACCGAAACCACCGTTCTTGAAGTTAAGGTATTGGACAGCACGCTTCTGGTTACCAGGGGTTGAAGCAGAGACCGAGAAACCGGTCATCTCTGGGGCGGCAGTGAAGCTACCAGAGGTGCTGGAAGATGAGGCAGATGATGTAGTAGAGCTGCTAGAAGAAGCGCTGCTTGCTGCGGACGAGGTCGACGAAGCGCTAGAAGCTGACGAGCTGCTGGACGAAGCAGCCGAGCTAGTGGAAGCGGCCGAGCTGGACGACGAGGCGGCTGAGCTAGAGGAGGCTGCCGAGCTGCTTGATGAAGCCGCTGAGCTTGTTGAGGCTGCCGAGCTGCTAGAGGCAGCAGAGCTCGAGGACGCTGCTGAGCTTGACGATGAGGCGGCTGAGCTAGTTGAAGCAGCTGAGCTAGTTGAAGCAGCCGAGCTGGACGAAGCCGCCGAGCTAGACGACGCTGCAGAGCTAGATGAAGCCGCAGAGCTAGATGAAGCTGCCGAGCTAGATGATGCTGCCGAGCTGCTGGATGAAGCCGCCGAGCTAGATGATGCTGCGGAGCTTGACGTTGCTGCTGCGCTGCTGGATGAGGCTGCTGAGCTAGACGAGGCCGCGGAGCTGCTTGACGAGGCTGCGGAGCTAGATGAGGCCGCAGAACTGCTGGTGGACGAGATCATGCTTGATGTCGACGAAGGCGCGGCAGTGGTGCTGGTCATCATGCTGCTGGAAGATGTGCTCATCATGCTAGTGGTGGTCGTGGTCGCTGAGAATCAGTCAGTAAAGGAAAAAATGTAGCGGATAAAACGACTTACATGGCAGGGTAAAGACAACAGTAAGGATGATAGGGTTGCAGAAGAATGGAGTCTCTTGGGCGCTGAAAAGGATAAAGATGTTGCTAGAGTCGGTAACACAGAATCCATTGTTCTCAACGTCAATGACCAGAGTGTTGTCAGACGCGATCGAGAAGGTCGCGAGTGTGGTGGGTGGCGTGGGGGTAAGCTGGAATGCAATGTAGGAGAAGGTGTAGTCCGAGTCAACAAACTGTCCTCCAGAGGTCAAGAAACCATTGGTATCGATGTAGAACTGAGCGGCAAGGTCCTGGTCGCTAACAAGGACAGCATCCTCGCCGGCAAAGGCAACATAAGTGATTGCTCGCTTTCGGTACTTGGCATTGGTGTTGGAGATCAGGTAGAAAGGTCCAATGGCAGGAGTGCTGACGGCACTGGTGCTGGATGACGAAGCCGAGCTGGTGGTGCTGCTAGAGCTAGATGCGCTGCTAGCACTGCTGGCCGAGCTGCTGGAGCTACTTGCCGAGCTGGCCGAGCTGCTAGAACTGCTCGAGCTGCTTGCTGAGGACGCAGAGCTGGAGCTGGAGCTGCTAGAGCTGCTCGCAGATGAGGCAGAGCTGGAAGAGCTAGAGCTGCTAGAGCTGCTCGCAGATGAGGCAGAGCTGGAAGAGCTAGAGCTTGACGAGCTGCTGGCAGACGAAGCAGAGCTGGAAGAGCTGGAGGAGCTTGAGGAGCTGCTGGCGCCAGTGGAGGTCGAGCCGCCGATTGGTCCGCCAGTGCTCGTGGCCGAGGAGATGCTTGAGGTCGAGGTTGCAGTGGTTGAACCACCAACTGGGCCACCAGTGCTGGTGATCGTGTTCGTGACAGTCTCGGTGACGGTGAACCAATCTTGCCACTCCTTGGTGTTGGTGTTGCTCGGGTTACCCCAGTCTTGCCACGCAAAAGGATCACCGCCATCTGAAGGACCCGATCCATGGCCTGGCTTAGGGAACCATCCCCAGTTAGGGCCGGTAGGCATTGGCACGGGGCTGGCTGTGGTGGGTGCTTGTCGGCTGCAGGGCACAGTGTAGTAGATGGTCTTCGTGATGGTAGTCGTGAAGTCGATGATCTCACGAGGTCTGTGGCAACCACGGGTGACATACGCATACCATGGCTGAGGAGCGATGGTGATGGTCTCGGCAGCAGCAGTGATCACACGAGCCGGCTGGGTCATGGTGAAGGTGAAAGTGTAGGTACCAGCGGTGGGAGCAACCCATCTGGTGGAGAGAGGAGCAACAGTGGTCGATGTAACGGGCGGTGCAGGGAGCGAGATCCAGGTCTCTTCGTATCCCAAGCACTTAGCTCCGAAAGGACCAGCACGGCATTCGGTAACGTCGACGACCTGTCTGCGGCTGCCATCCTTCTGGACACCACAAGTGTTGCAAAGACCGCTACCGTCATAACCTGGGATGGCCAACGGACCAAGCTGGTTGTATGGGGCGTAGAAGTCTTTTGCGATGGTGAGGTAAACAGGAGTGGGTGCTGGAACGTAAACAGTGCCGTTGATGGTGGCAGTGGGTGCTGGAGTAACATATTTCGTGAAGGTCGTAGACCAGACTGACACGGTAACTTCCTGCTGGGTGGAGGTGACCAGTGTGCTGGAGGCGGTCTTTCCATCCCAGGCGTCGGGGATGGTGGTGCTAACAAAGGCCCATGTGTTGTATGGGTACTTCGTAATGCAAGAGCCACGGAAGCAAGCTGTGGTGGGCTCGCAAGTCGAGACAGACTGATACTGGCTGGTCACAGTGATGGGTGACACCGTGCTGCTGCCGGTGGCTTGCGGGCAAGGAGTGATGGTAGCGAGTGGTTCAGCGAGTGCAACGCCGGCCATCAAAGCGGCCGCGCCAAACGAGAAAAGCATGTTGAAAGAGTGTAACGAATGACTTCTTGGTAAAGAATGGATGAAGGAAAAATCCTTCGGATTATAACGAGGGAATGGATGACCTGTGCTGATGCAAGTGGTGGTGAAGAAGAGGCTGGGAGGAAGGAGCGCGCGTTCATGGCTATATACCAAGGACGTCCATGCTCATTTCGTGTTGTCCTAACCAGACGAACATAAAGGAGGCCTTCGAGTGGGTTTGTTGTGGGGTGGCCCTCATGGGAAGGCCACGCCGTGATCAGACACTGGACATCATCCCTACCAACACTCGAAGCATGGCTCATCAGGTCCACCAGCGGAGCGCAGACACACTGATCCCAGGCGCCGACGCCAGCCCGGGCATGGACCATCTGCTAAACTCTCCCGTGGCTGGATTTACCGGACTCAAGCACTGAGCAACCAGTGCATCAACCACTCGTAAGGCGCGTTCGACGCCCGTACCTGAAAACGACAGCGGCACTGAGACCGACATTGGCATATCTGGCAGTGCTGTCCAATTTCCCGCTGGTGTTGATGACGGATAGGCCTGTCCGAGAGGCATCTCCGCCCAATCCCATAGCATCAGTGAAATCTTTAAGGAGGGAATGATGTGTATGACAGGAAGTGGGGAACAACATGTTAGTGTCTTTCCAATGAGACCTACCTTTGACGGAAAAACACCCTCTGTCGTACCCATACCTTTTGCCAGCAGATATGCCTTATCGACGATCACAAGGAAAAGAGGCAGGGAACTCCTCACAGGCCTAGAGACTGTGTGTTGAGTCCGAAGATTATCATCCTCACCTCGGAGATCTTTCTTCATGAGGAGTGACCCGGCCCGCTCCGCCACAGCGCAGATATATACGAGTGCAGTCGCGAATTTTACGCCTTGGGACCAAAACCTGCCAGACCATTGCCCACCAGCACTTCACACATCGTCAATTCGATAGATTGCTGCTTTCCCATCTGGCAAACAATCCTATTGTGGGCGATTCCATTTGACGTGTAACCGTAGATTGGAATGGAAGATTGGAATCGAGTATTGTGGTGATAGATTGGGATCTCAGATCTGACGACAAATGATGAACTGGTTAGGGAAGTGGCGGAACTGAGAATTGACACGGGCCTGGCCGACCACTTTGAAGCTGTCAGTTTCGAATGGCCAAGGACTCGGGCACAAATGTCCCGCGTATGAAATTGCCAGATGGTACGGAATACCGTACAATCTCACAACGCTTCAGGGCACGGTGTGCAGATTGGTGTAGCTGCCAGTGTCACACGAAGAAACTTTTATCCTCCTTGAGGTTGGAAGAAAGACTCTTGGCAGGTCTCCAGCCCAGTCTATTCTGGGCTTAGCGGTCACGACGCGTCAGGAAAAATTACCAGCGGCCCATTACAATACGCGGTATCAAACACTCACTACACAGGAGAGCATGGACTGGTGTTCACCACTGCCATGTGTCAGGACCGCCAGTGCCTCCTTTTCTGGGGACTTCCAGCCTCTGATACGTCCAGCAGACGCGACGAGGCTCCTGCTGCCTCTCCTGGCTCATGTCGAAAGTGGACATTCTCCTTACTCTGTCTATGCGTCAGGGACGACTTCAATCATTCTTCACGCGATGTGTCTGTTGTTATCTGTTCCCTACCTACCGTAGTACGCACGGCAGCCACACTATGTCTTGATACGACCTTTTGACCTCCACCTCAGACGCCTCACGTCCTCGGTGATGGTTGTGGCGACCGGCGATCGGCTTCAAGCGTGAGAACAGACGAGTCTGGTCTCAGCAATCAAGCTCTCCTCCAAAGGTGAGTCCTCTCTGTCTGGGACAGTGTGGGTTTGAACGACCTAGCTGCGTGTGGCACATGCTTGATTTCCTCATCGAGCATTTTGAAGCCATCAGCTATGAGATCTTCCTCCCTTCTCCCATCTTGGCGATGCCCTGCCAGCCTCCCTGCTTCCCTCTGGTGGTCGTCTGTCAAGGCTGTTGGGGACTACATTGACGCTCGGTCATGCCTTATAAGCCCTTGAGTCGTCCTTCGAAGCGAGTGTCATTGTATGGCCACAAACTCAAATTGCAAACAGCCACCACAAACTCTGCCCCCTTTCAATTACAGAACAGCCTTCTCAAGTCTCCTTCTGCGACTATACATTGGCTCAATCTGCTTTGCGAGTCCAAGCTTTTGTTGACCCCTCCCAAACTGCAAACGAGTGGTTCGTCTCTGACATCGCTGCTGTTATTATAGCAAACACCGGTTTGATCACCGACAGCTACTATCGTGATTGCCAATTACCTTGCCTCGTGGTGCGGTGATATGCCGATATTCCAGATCTAGCTTGGTTGGAAATCGTGAGACCAATCTCCAGCATGTCGACTTTACCTCTCGAAACCCACAGCCGCCGGTGGGAGCGCAAAAACTCACAAAGCTGGCGGCAACCTCGTTGTTCCCAACGATCACACCGACCCATACTCATTGCCATAGCCTGCATCTTGTGTATAGGAATATGGCACCAGAGTCGCTCCACTGGCTCCTCATTGTCTCCGAACAGACATGACCTCACCGAGGACGACTTAGAATCTTTGACTTGGAATGGGCGCAGGTCATTGCCGGAAGATGCAGACTGGCCTCTCAGAGCGCCATCCGTGGATAGGGCACATCCAAAGAACTTCAGGCCAGATATTGAGCATGTTGTTGCGGGCGCTGCAGATCCAGATGAGAATCAGAATGTCATCATCGAAGACAAACCTGAAGGCCGCCTTTATCCTGAGGGCATCGAAATTGAGCAAGCTCCAGTTGCTGAGTCGGTCCCCGACAGCCTCACCAATGAGCCAGAAATCGTGGTCATAACGGGAGATGGCTCCCCCGATGGGATAGTCGAGCAACAAGATGCAGAGGAGCCGATGGAATTGTTGCAAAAGGGTCCGGTGGCCGTGCAAGCAAATCTTGACCCCGAGACTGAAAAGTCACCATTGATTTCATCGCCAGACCAGCCCGTGAAGGAGAAAGTCATCGAAGCAGAACCGCTCGACCACCTGACACTTGAGGAGAAGGCCGATAGTCTGCCGGAGGTAGTGCACATACCTTTCGAGGACGCCGTCAAGGACGAGGTCTTGCAAGGGTGGGAGGACGATTGGGTGGCGCATGCCTCTTACGACCCCAGTAAATGGGGGAAACTTGAAGAGCCCAAAATTGACATAGTATATCTCTGTAAGCGATTGGTGAACGCCGACCTTTCGTGATCATGACTGACATGCATAGGGGTCAACGGATCTGAGGAGGCCTTTCAGAAAACAAAACGTCCGTATGAAGAAAATTCCGTCCTCAATGACGAAGAGGGGAAATGGATCAATTCTCACGGAATCAATCGGTATCGAGATTGGGACGAACTTCGATACTCCCTTCGCAGTGTTGAACGATACGCCGCGCAGTTCCGGAATAAAATTCAGATTGTCGTGAACTCTGTCGATGGAAGCGTAGCGGGCAAGCAGGTCCCCAGCTGGCTCAACGACGAGCCAATAACGAAGGATGTGGTACAAATCATGGCACAGGAAGAATTCTTCGACCGCGAAAAACATGCTTGCCTGCCGACATTCAATTCCCTGACAATCGAAAATCAACTCTTCAACACCCCCTCGGAAACAGATTTTGTAAGTCTTTTGCCGGATATACCAGTTCCTTGCTAATAGTATATAGCTGTATGCCCTGTCTGATGATATGCTGCTCGGCAAGGAGCATGCAGCTTCCGATATCTACTCTCCATTATTTGGTCCGGTGATGGGCTTCAAGAGCAACGCTTACAGTACAACACAGCCACCGAACGAAGTCGACGCGCACCGGTTTGGCGAAAAGCCATATCTCATCTACACATCGTGGTTACTCAACCGAAGATTTGGCATTCGGAAGCGGAAGGGTCAGGGGCACTTTGGACACGCTTTGTCTCGAAACATCATGCGGGAGGCCATATCTTCATTCCCAGGTCCCGAATTGCAGAGCGCTTGCAAACGATTTCGAGGGGAGCCCGGCTTTCAACTGTACTCCTGGTACGCCACGTTCCATTATCTCATCGAAAGACACCGAGAAGCATTACTCTGGAGTTATATCATGCTACGGAATGACGTCGACGACGATGGCAACCTATCGTGGGAAGAAAGACAGACAATTATGCAGGATCTGGAAGCCGGCATGGTCAACGAAGGTCGAAACACATTCCGCAAGCGAAACTATTACCATGTGAATCAACTCCTACAGAAGGCCGGCCTAGAATCTCCCAAAGTCAACACAGACATCCTCTGGACTTCGTTGGACGGACCAGCTGCAATCCAAAACGCGAATTGTATCGAGTTCGACGTGAACGAGTGTCTGGCCCCAGGGTTTTCGGTGTCATCGACAGACGCCCGCACGAAAAACCCGGTCTTTTCAACAGCGACTATATTCGATCGTCTTGCAAGACAAGAACCCAAGTGTGGAGATTGCTTGCTGAAACTGATATTGAACAAAAAACCAAAGGGTCTGGCGCCTCTACTTCCCCGAGCCAATACTCAAGCCAAGCAGAGGGAACTGGTAATCAAAGCCGTCATGCGCTACCGATTTTCCATCATCCACCCGGACGCATTGTTTGTCATGGTGACAGACGCCGAACAAGTCGATAGCACTTTGGTAAGCCGATATGTTCGAGGAAAGAAAGAGCTGGCAGGCCAATTGTGTTTGAACGATGATGTTACCACGACCGACAACCAGGAGCTGAACGATGTCAAACAAGCCATGACTGAGCTGTACCAGGGACTCTTTCCAGACAAAAGCCCATATGAGAAGTGACGGCCACGCGATCGTCACTTGACGAGGTTATGACATGAATTGCTTTTTTTGATTAGCGAGGAGTCTGGCCATTAGAATGTGATACCATGGCATCTATATAGATAGACATAGACAGAAAATTCCTTGAAATAAATGTTGATGACTACTTGGGGGCAGGAAGGAGTAACAGCCCCAACGACACCCCTCGTCCGGGACGAGAAGCAGCCAATATTCGGACCCGTGTTCCTGGTCTATACTGGTTGTTTCCTAGTGTTTCCGGGTTAGTCCCTCCCGGCGGGTGTCTTTTCCACCTTATACAATAGGAGCCTACTGTAAGGAGCATGCAGAGGTCGGAGGAGTCTTACCTACAATCCTTCCTCCTCAGAGAGACTAAAACAAGGTACTGTGGATCAGGCGTTCGCGTAGTCTCTCGCGCACATTAGCCGTAGCCATATCTTTGGGCCAGGCAGGCCCATGTCTTTCCTGCCATACATGAACAAACAACAAAGCATGAACACAGCAGGCCCAACGGCCTGACGACCTTTACTTCCTCTAAATGACCAGGTTTGACCCAAGCAGCCAACCGCGTTTCATCCTTCGTTGACCTTCGCCCCTTTGTGACAAGTTTACTATTTCATTATTAGGAGGGCATTATAACTTCAATTGATCCGAGCCTCTTCGCCTATATCAAATCGTCATCCCCTCCTCCCTCATTACGGCCATACTGCAAGCCTTGGGCCACCCGGCAATATGGAAGAAAACCACAAGGAAACACCAACAGAGGTCAAGGCGATCATGAAGCAATATCGGGAATACAAGCAAAGAATTACGGAACAGGATGCATTTGTGGATGTAATAAATATCAAGGACTAATCGTTGGTCTTGTGCTCACAATGCTGATGTTGGTGCAGGAACTCGTCAAGGCGGTCACACGCAAGGAGCAAGAATATCATGACCTCAAGGCCGACCTCCTGGATCAGACAGAGAGCCGCCGGAGATGGCAGAAGCGTGCCTTGGACGTCGAAGACCGCATAGCAAGCGACCCTGTTACCATTGTCTCGCGAAGGGCATTCGTGCTGACGGAAAGAACCAGACCAGTGTACAGTATGTCCTCGTACTCATCGACGGAAACCAGCACTTCTTCCAACCACATTTCCTTCGGATGGGGGCCGCAGGCGCCGATGAGGCTGTCAAGAGATTCGTGGCCGAGGTGAAGGACTTTGCGAGAGCGCAACACAAGAGCGACTTGCCGGAGGGCATAGACACGGTAACGCATGTTTTCGCTGACATTGGTCAGTTGGCGCATGACCTCTCAGTGGCGAAACTCCTCCCGGAGCCGGACACGCTATGGACATTCATCCAGGAAGTCTCCAAGGTCGACCCCGGCATGACAATCACCGACTGTGGTTCCGGGCACGGGGCGGTAGATACCAAGCTGAAATGTGTGAACCAGTTGCCCAGTGCTCTATCGTCAATCAATCCTTTGTTTTGCTGATTCTTCTTTCTCTAGACTACTACGAGCTTTTCTTGGAAAACTGCCACTGTAGGCACGTTTTCCTGGCTCTGGGCCAACGATCAGAGTACTACAAAGTCCTGGAGCTGTACGGCGACGACGATTATACCAAACTTAAGACAACACTCATCCGTCCAGCGCATGGATTTGCCGAGAATTACAACATCCCATTCCATACCATCGAGCTTTCCATGCTCAACACTGTACAAAACAACACCGAGGGAATACCCCCGAATGACAAAACTTACCCCGTCCGATCAGCTCAATGGAATGATACCAGCAGTCTGCACGCTCCAGTGAACACATCTAATCCCACGTCCAATAGAGCAGACAGGCAAGCGCCGTCCCGCCATGATAAAGCACCACTTCTAAACTCGACCACCACCACCACCACCACCCCCCAAACACGACCAGAAGTGAAGGCCACCCCGAAAGGGTCGCCAGCAAATGGCACTTTGGTGGTCAACGGCGTCAATGGTAGCCTCCCGGAAGAACTTGACAATGAGAGTCTACTCGGCGTTGTCAAGCTGGATTCGGCACATCCTTCATCGCAAACCAGGAAAGCTGCCGGTGAGCAGAGTTGGGAGGCGAACATCACTGAGAACAACTACACTCCGGCACCGATACAAGAGCCATGGGGCGAGACCACGAATGGTACCACCAATGGCTCCTACGACGAAGAAGACACCAACACGGAAGACATTCCAAGAAGTCGAGCACACACCCGAAGAGGCGAGAGGGGTGGTGCTGGCAAACGATGGCCACAGCCACTTCTGAGCCAGGAACGTCGACTTGCAAACAACAGCAACTTCCAACGGCCTGGAGTCCAATCTCCGAAACAACAATTCGAGGGATCTTGGGACGACATGTTGAAGGAAGACGAGAAACGGGGCGTGTCACAGGCCCTGTCGGACCAGCAGCGGCCAGGCTCCAGCGCGAGCAGTCTCGCCGCTTCCGCATTCACGAAAAAGGTCCCCAGCACGCCGGAGCCTAACCCGGAGCGACGACCGATCTGTGCACCAATTGCGTTGAACAGATTCGACCAGAGGATCGACATGAAACTGCCAAAGCCTTCCTCCGAGGACCAAGAACTATGCGACCTTCGAACGCGGAACAAAAAATTGTGTAACGAACATCATCTGCGTTCGGCCTGCGCCGATGAAAATTGTAAGTACGATCATGCGTCCATCACAGAAGGGGTCTATCTCGCACTGAGAATCAAGGCTCGCAGGCTTGCTTGCAGCATTGGTTCTGGCTGCCGACGTCACGACTGTTTCGCGAGCCACCATTGTCCAAATGTGTCACACTCGTCTACGTGCGGAAGACACAACTGTAACTTTGCAGGCAAAGGCATGCATGAAGTGACGGACCTTCAAATCGTAAGACTGATTGAGCCAAAAAGTACAAATGGGTCTTGAAGATACCACCAAAAACATGATCATCGAATTATCTCAAAGCAGGGCCGGACATTCCCTCCACAATCATTTCTGGGTCTTTTCCCCCGGGCGGAGGGCGTCGTGTTCCGTAATGAATAAAAGTCTTTTCTCTTGAGGGAGTGGGCCTATTGGTCGAGGCATGAGCTGGCCACGAGGCTGAGATATTCTGTGCCTCACTTGTCATCTCTTAGGAAGATGGCGGAACCCAGCCTGAGGGCCAGCTTGGTGTTTTGCTTGATGGGATTCACGGCCTGAGACCTTTCATAAATAAATCTGTGAGCATAGGGCGGCCTGTTTCTGCTGGAAGGCTTTAGGGCCTTGACAAAGAAATGTCGATCAAAAATACCCACCAGCTTCACGAGCGCCCAAAAAGCAACTTTGTCCGAATCCAATGGAGCGAAGGAGTGGTCAATTAAGACCACGCATGGCAGCTGAATTCACAATGTGAGAATGCAGACTTTTTGGTTCGAAGACTAAAAGCGAATGTTAGTTTCTTGATTGTCGAGACGGCCAGATCAGAGTGAAACGTACCAGGTTCTGTCTCTCGCTATGTAGCCGTCAACAAAGCCCTTTTTTTGTGGCATCCGAGTGACGGCCCTGGCTGGCTAACCAAGCGCAAATAATTGAGTGAGTCTAGGAGTCTCTTGTCGTGGGTCTCGTGCCAGCAAAAAATATCTGGTTGATTTCCATGCAGCCGGGCACGGTGGATTGCCACGCTCGAAAAAACGGCTTGATGCGACGCTTGACCAGCGTGATGAGCATCGATCGTAGCGCAACGAAGACCAGTGACTTCAATCCGGTCGCGTCCTGTGTGCTTCTCTCGCCCGGTCTCATTGTGTTCATTCGCATCAATCTCTGTCCATCTTGTCTCCGTCTCCGTCTCCTTTTCGGTGCCTGTCGACGCTTCGGCTCCTACTCCTCGACTTGCTCCGGCTGCGGCTCCTCGCACCACCACGAGCACCACCGCCGCCGCCGCGACGTTCGTTCCCCTTGCCTCCTCCTCCTCCTCCTCCGGGGCCACCTCGGCCGCCCTTGTTGTCTTTGGGCGGTGGTCTCACGAACGCGTAGTCGACCGAGATGGTCTGATCGAGAAGTTTTGCCCCGTTGAGTGCCTTGATGGCAGCCGCGGCTTCGACTTGTGTGGGATACTCGATGAGTACGTAGCCCTGAAAAATGGAAAAATGTCAGTGTGTGTTTGTGTCTCTTTGGCTGCGAGGCGTCTGGACACCTCCAGCACATGGTCATACCTTGACGTATCCTGTCCTTCGATCCAAGTTGAGATGTAGGTTCTTGATGTCACCGTACTCGGCGAACAAGTCGGTAATGTCCTCCTCGGTGGCTTCTTCGTGGATGTTTGTCGCGATCACGATCCAACCCTCGATGCTGCGGACCGCCACGGCGTTCTGGACGGTGCGCGCCTCGGACCCCGCGTTGCTGTTGGCTTTCGTGGTCTCTTCGGTCGTCGGCGACGATGTGCCGCCGACGGTCTTGGGGTCATCTGATACTGCCGGGGGCGCGGCATCAATCTCCATTTCTGTAGACATGGGTGAGGTGCGCGGCGCAAGAAGGAGAATGGGAAATCGTTGTCTGGTTGGTACGAGGAGGTCGAGTAGGGCGGGGAGAGGTATCGCGCGCGAGACGAAAGAAAAGTTCCCAAAAAGGAGGTGGGGAGGACAACGCGTATTGAGGAGGGCGGAAGGGGTGGTCACTGTATGTCGTCGTGGCAGTGGTGTTGGCGACGCACCGGCATGTGGTTGTTCGTAGTTGGCGGGCGCCCAAAAAGGTGAAGTCTGCGTGTCTGCGTGCCAAGGTTTAGTTGAATCTGCTCACAGCTCACCCCGGATAGGGAAGGAGGGTGATGCCTCCCTATATATGCTCACCCACCCAGATCTTAGTAAGTTTATAGCCGTGTCAGGCAAGTTCGCCGAGACGAGCGTTTATGGCAAGCTGTGCCTCAGTCAGGTCGCCATACTCATTCTCTAAAGGCTTGAGGACCCCTGCTGCCTTTCTTTTCTTCTGCAAAGAGAATCTCCAAAGATGTTCGTCACAAGATTACTAAGCTTCAGACCTCGGCGCGGGTACCCAAGGAATCTAAAGCGCAACATCGCCAGCATATCGATTCTGACACGGGTTCCCGCAACTATATATCGTCTCCAGCAAGGACCACGCTCAAATCTTCTTGCTCCTCATCCAGAGGGCGAGGGTATACCGATCGACGAAGTTCAGTTAGACCGGGATGGACTTGTCAAGACTGGATTGTCTCTGAAAGAACCTTGTTGGTATCTCTAGACTCGATGCGTGGGGGCCTCTCCAACCCACTGACCCCATTACGAATTGCAGTGTTCAATGGAGCGATCTTTATGCCCAACACTCATCTGATGCAGGAATTGACCAGAGATGCTTTCGATGCTTATTTTGAACAAGACGAATCGTGCAAGCCCGTTCTTGTTCGATTGGCTAAAGGTAAAGCAAGAAGAGTAAAATCAGCAAGATACGGGTTTGGATCGCTCACAACACTTAGGGACCATGGTTCCAGAGTCACTTCAACTCCTTCAACAAGACTCGCAATTCGCGCTACAACCCATCCCTCCTCGGAGGTTGGCCGGTCAGAATCTTCCCCCTATCCATTCGCAATTACGATGCATTTGGGCGCTGACAACCCAGTCCAGAGCTGAACGAATGCCTTGACGAATTCTACAGTGCCTATGCAACAATTATTGATGCTGGGGACTGGTATCAGAAGAATGCTTTCGCCGATGCCACTCCTGATGAAGAGCCCCATATTTGGACTGAGCTCTAAGGTGACACAGATCTACGTGCAGTTGCACGCGTCGCTTCCGTGGTAGGCAGAGTATTGGTTCATAGGGTTCTTACCAGGGTCTCTAATAGAGTGTTGACTGAAGCAGTCGACAATATCGGCCGTTTTCAGGTGGGACGAGCCAGTGACTGATCATATCTCCCAGAAGACCTTGTTCTCGTCCACGAATTTGGTGGACAATACTCCTTGCAACCCAAGGTCGAGATGACCTTGCCGGGTGGGCATGGCCGAGCTCCCGAAAAGTCACGGAAGCTAATGTGGGTAGAATTGAACGCCAAACTCACTGCATTCTATCCTAGTCAGGCGAGTGCCTTGACAAAGGAGGATTGGCAGAAGCAATACCCCGAGGCCACTGAATAGTGGCAGATGCCTCCATGGAGAGGATGCAGGAGATGAGAGACTGGCAGTATATAGTTAGCATTTTGGTCGACAACATGAGCTTCCAAGTATCCGTACTGAAAGATGCTACACTTCCGCAACCATGTCGTCTCTCTCTCCTCTTACTGGTCCGTCCTGGTAGGAAATTTGGCATGCCATTCTTTTTTAGTCATGCGGATGGCCTCGTCATTCAAAAAGGAAGTAACTTCCGAATTTAGTTCTACCAAGGGTGAGATTTTGCGATGGCACGCAGTTCTGAAGGTTCTTACCGTCCAAGGTCATTTCACGACTGGCTTGTAAAGAATAATGTTCGCCTCGCTCATGTATGAGAATGAGATCCTCAGGGAGAGTTGTGCCTATAGCTTGTTAGTACTTGTGCACAAGTGACGTCCAGTAGTAAATGACCTTGAAGAATATGGTATATCAATACTACAGGAGCCCGAAAGCTGCGTACCAGGGATTGCTGAGTTTTCGTATTCGGTCGCAAAGATGCACCATTGGGCCCTGGTCACCCTGTAAGTATGTTGAAACATCTGAAATGAATGCGGAATCCTACTTTGATACCAGTCACTGGTCATTCCCAGTGGTTGAACCTTTCCATCGATGGTCATAACATCCCAAGAAGGAGCCCCAGGCCGCAACGATTTGTCACGCAGTTTGGTCAGTGATCCGGCGCTTATCCGAAACAGGTCCCGAGGGACAACTGTATAGCGGCCGAGCAGTCTTACACCCATCGTGTTGCAAACCGCAGAACAATCGATGTGTTGTCTTTTTTTGAACTTGTTGGGACACTTTGTGTACGACGTGAGCGAGCTCTAAAGTGGCGCCGTCTGGGTGAGCGCGCCGGGAGCGGCCGAGCAGATTTACCATTGGCCCGAGTCGCCAAGGTTCCCATCTTCAGCCTCGTTTGCATTGATTCCGAGGGAGAAAGCCCTGTCAGACGCTCACCACCGTCCTACATGTCGGCAGGATAACAGTGAGTTCGGGTATTGTCATTACATTTAGATTACCACTGACTTGTACGTTCAATCTCGGTCATGACGTTAAATACGGCCTTCTTCGTGACGCAAGACGGAGCCAAAACAATCAGAATATATTTCGACTGACGGCCGATTTTCCGTGCTTCCAAACGACCATGAATCGAATTCAAAATTCCAGCTCTACGGCTACATGCGTTCTGGGAAACACGTTCAAAGCCGTGGAAGACACTCGGAGGGCTGGAGCAAAGGTTTTTATGCAGCTTTTTTCCTGCTCGGAAACTGTTGTGGCGGTCTTATGGCCGAAACTTGTTTTGAAGCAGATCTTGTTCAGGATGCTGGAATATATTTATTGGTTTCGCATCACATCTCCAAGCATCAATCATGTCTACCGCAAAAACCACCAACAACAACTCAAATACTATCCAAATAGCACCAACCCCCCCATGGATTATATTGCTACTTCGATAGGCGCCAAAGTTTATCCTTCTATGACCCAAAAGACGGCGTGGGTGCTCAAGATCTCACATCGGGACAGGGAATACTTCGTCGGACGAGTTCGTGGGAGGGCGAACACCACGAACACAACAACAATGAGAAATGCACGGACACGGACATAATATATGCATATTAACGATACCAAGTGCTCAAATCCATCAATATCGGCCTGGAACTCAATATTGCTTCTTATTTTGATCTACGCTTACATAGAAGATCGCGTGGAAAGCACGATAACAAAAACAAACACCCCTTATCCAACGTACACACTGAACACTCTTCGACATTCAGCTTCATAATGTGGGCATGAATGCAAGCCAGCCTGATGAGCCACAACAGCACAGTCGACCTCAACCAAGTAAGTATGCATTGACTTCTTTATATTCTGGAGTTGCCATAGAACCGTCACACCTTTTTCTCCTCATCTGGAGCCTCATCCCCCAGCGGCGGCACAATCCACTTTATAATGCAGACCAACTGAGTCATATCTGCTAGCCCATACTCCGTACGGGTGGTGGACTAGGCGCACGCTGGCCGGGCCCGGTTGCTTAGAAGAAGAGATATGCTATCAAAAAGCTAAGTAGGCAAAGACCTGCAACAATTTGCAAGGGTACTCCGGACTCGTTGCTCTGTTGCACCACTGTCTGGACTTTGTCACTTGCTTCTTGTACCTTTCTCTGCCGGAACTGTGGGTCTTGGACCTGGTCGCTCAGTTTCTTAATCTGAGCACGGGCGGCTGCTAGTTGTTCTTGTAGTTCCTGGGTGGAGGTTGGTACAGCGCTCGCTACAGTGGAAGCGGCGGCGGCTAGGCCGGTGGCTTCAGCCGCGTTCGCCATCGACGACTTGGCCGATTCGGCTGTAGACACACCCCCAACCGATGAGCGAGGAGCTGGGGAGTCAAATTGCGGAGAGGGCGACGAGTAAGCTGGTGGCTGTTCTTCATGGGAGGAAACGCCATTGGGTGTCCCTCCTGTCGCAGGCAGGAAATTGACTCTGATCTTCTTCTCCTGGATTGTGTTCTTGGCCGTCTTCTCGACTGTTTGCCAGAGGGTGGTGACGTTGGGGTCCTGATCGGCAGATGTGAGGACGGATTGTACGAGGAACTTGTCGCGGCATTTGGCGTCGAGGGGTGGTTCTTCTTTCATGGCCTGTAGAAGAACTACAACTGTTAGTGGATTCATCGGTATGATATGATATGGTCCTACCTTGCACTTCGACTTCTCCATTTGGTGGAATCATGCCCGAGTTCGGCCGTACACAATATCTGTTCAAAGGTTAATGGTTGAGAGGGAGTGATGGTGGATGATGTTACGCACTGCTTGGGTGCAGTAGTTTTGACCTGCGTTGCACACGATTAGAGACATGCGCAACTGCGATGTGGCGGGTGGACATACTTTGAATGCAACGGGGGCACTGTTTGAGTTGCTGAGCTTGAGAACCTCAGTGACCTCTCGGTTGAAAGGGCCTGGACTCAACGTTAATCACAGAAAGACGCCATGTTGGGAGGTACTGACGTCTGAAGCCAAGTTCGGCCGGTAGTAGATCAACAGACATGATGGCGGTCGGGTAAGTTGGCGCGATGTCTAGGGAAAGGAAAGGGTAGTCGATTCAATGGGTGGTCGTGGCGAAGTACTCGAAGAAGTGATTTCGCGATGCTGGTTTGAATCGGATTAAGAGTGAAGTGTGGCCTGGCCGATCCGGGATTGTTCAGCAAACAAGCAGATTATGATGACAGAGGTGTGTGTTATGGATAAACGAGGAGTTCGAATCAAGCTGGGGGGAAGAGGCTGGGGTGGTGGTTAAGACACGTTCCCTAGGGGAGGCTATTGCCCCTAAAAGTGGTTCTGCCAGAGCTTGTTAGGCACCTAACCAACCCTATCCAGGTGCCTGCCTTGCCTAAAGGAACAGTTATTGTACCGTAGCTTCTTGGCAGCAAATGACGAACAGCCCGGCGAGCCTTTTTAGCCTCACAGTTTAATGAGCCACTCACAACTGTCTTTACCCAAGCCTCGTCACTCCCTCTTGCCTTGTGGCGCATCACCATAACTGTCACTCTTCTCTCTTCTGCAAGCAAAGCCTCAAGTGACCTTTTGTTCCAGCATTTACACCACGAGACTCTAGTAAACCTTGTCTAAATATTCATAAATTCATCGAGTTCCCTTTTCATCTGCCTCAATCAGAATCCTCGGTGTATCAGTTCCACCGCCGCTCTTCATCTCCGCCCACCACCCCGCAATCCTTCCTTCTCTTAGAGCCTCAAGACACACCACTCTGCTCTCCAACCTTAGACTGTGTTCACAATGGCGTCGTCAGATCTCGACCAGTTGGTCATGATGGGCTTCGACAAGGAGAAAAGTGAAATGGCCATCAAAGCGACCGGTGGCTGTAAGTAAAGAGTGCCCGCTTGGCCGGCGACCTTCAAGGCTAACCTTTGCCTCCGCAGTGGCCGATGCCATCGACTGGCTAGACCAGAACTCCTCAAAATCCATAGAAGAGTTGAGAAGTGAGAAGGAAGCCACGGACAAAGCAAAAGCCGAAGAAGCAGCAGAGGAAGCCCGGAGTCTGGTTTGCAACGAGTGTGGGAAGAAGTTCAGAGGTACTGCACAAGCCGAATTCCATGCGAGCAAGTCTGGACACACCGATTTTGCAGAGTCCACGGAAGAGATCAAGGCCTTGACTGAAGAAGAAAAGAAAGCCAAGTTGGCAGACCTGAGAGAGAAGCTAGCGGCCAAGCGCGCTGTGCAGGCGGAGCAAGACAAGGTCGATCAAAAACGAAACGAGCAGATCAATCGCAAGAAGACCAAAGAGACAGAGGACGCGAAGGAACAACTGCGGGTAAAAGAACAGATCAAGGAAGCCGAGAAGAAGCGGCAAGAGAAGCAAGCCGATATTGAGGCAAAGAAGCGAATACAGGCCAAAATCGCTGCCGACAAAGAGGAAAGACGATTAAAAGCCGAGAGAGAAAAAGCGGCTCGGTCAGGTGCTGCTGTGCCTGTCGTTGAGACACCTGCCGCACCGCCAGCAGCACCAAAACCAGCCTCGGACTACAAGGAGACGCGCCTCCGGTTACAGACTTCTGCCGGCAATATCATGAAGACCTTCCCGGTCGAGACGACGCTGTTTGAGGTTGCTGCTGCGGTGGGCGAGGAGACAGGACGGGACGTTGAAAGCTTCACCCAGAACTTCCCTAGGAAAGTGTTCGGGCATGAGTACTTTGGAGAGTCGCTGAAGGATTTGAAGCTAGTGCCCAGTGCAAGCTTGATCGTGACGTAGGTGTTCTCATATTGTCCCTTGGCCTTGAGCTTGAACAGTCTTCACGGCGAACCATCTCGTGTGGGATCTCAGAATGGCAAGCATAATTCGTGCTCTGTTGCCACCAATTGATCCAGGCGATGCTGACCATGAATGAAGGGATTATCCATTGCCTTGGTAGCTGACGCGTGGAGGATCGTGGATCTGAGGGTCATGATAGAATTAGATTAATCAAAACCCACCGAGCAGAATCAGGGAAGGTTGAGAATATCGATTGATTGCCTGTGCTGTACAATAGGAGTCCAGCCGCGTAAATTGTCCTCCATATCGATATTAGAACTCCGTCCGTACTCCGTACTCGTACCCGTTAAAAACGCGTCGAGGTCGATTAATGCACGTGCGGGGTGCTGAGGATCACGCCGCCCGGTATTTTTTTATCCACCACCGCTTCTCAACGTCTCCTGATCTTCGCACTCTTCTGATATTTACAGCGTTCCTAATGCTTCTCGCACCAAGGACAGCCATTCTTTCTGTCGGTCCTTCCCTTATCCATTTATCCTAGACCTAGAATTACCGCAGACTGTTCAACTTGTTATGTCCACCGCAACCGAAACGCAGTCTCCTCGGAGGCTGCAACGCAATCAGACTACTCCGAAATCCGAGGTACAGGATCAAATCAGAAGAGAAGATTCAAGTCATGGACAGCGAACAATGGAGGATAAGTTCTTCTGGACATACACCGAAGAACCCCATCGAACTCGGAGACAGGCAATAATCAAAGCGCACAAGGAAGTCTTACAGCTGTGCGGGCCAGAACCACTCACCAAATACCTTGTCCTAGCGGTCGTCCTGTTACAGGTGACCTGTGCCAGCTTGCTCAGAAACAGTCCCATATTCTCGTGGCCGTTCTTTTTGACAGCCTACATCGTCGGTGCCACGGCAAACCAGAACCTCTTCCTGGCAATCCATGAAATCAGCCACAACCTTGCCTTCCGAACTCCGAACTACAACAGGCTCTTTGCAATATTCGCAAACCTGCCTATTGGCCTACCTTACTCTGCTGGGTTCCGACAATATCATTTGACTCACCATAAGTCACTGGGTGTCGACGGCGTCGATACCGACCTTCCCACAGCGCTTGAGGCTATTTTCCTGGACTCGGTGCTGGGCAAAGCCTTCTTCTGCACCTTCCAGCTCATCTTCTACGCTATAAGACCGATGATGGTCTATAAAATCCCTTTTGGCCCAGTACATTACACCAATATTGTTGCACAGATTGTCTTCGACGCCCTCATCCTTCGTTACTTGGGGACCAAGGCGTTTGTCTACCTACTAATGAGCTCGTTCCTTGCTGGCTCTCTACATCCCTGTGCTGCTCACTTTATCTCTGAGCACTACGTCTTCTCCAAATCCCGCACGGTGAATGGAAAGATGCCAAAAGATGTTCCGATTCCTGAAACGTTCTCGTATTACGGGCCTCTAAATGTGCTCACCTACAATGTTGGCTATCATAACGAACACCACGATTTCCCTGCGATTCCATGGACTCGACTACCTAAGGTTTATGAAATAGCGCGGGAGTTCTATGACCCATTGCCTTGTCATGAAAGTTGGCCTTTGGTGCTGTGGCAATTCATAACCGATAAAGAAGTGGGTATGTGGTGTCGTGTGAAAAGAGCAGAAGGTGGACGCATCGTTGGTGGCTGGACGGATGGTGAAATTCAGAGTTGATCTTCTCAGTACTACCTGAGGCATAAAAGACGAGGACATGACCCGATAGACATGAACTAATTGTACATGACAAATGAATGACGAAGGAGTATAGGTCCTTTCCAAACGCGTGAAAGCTATGTCGTTCTTGCTTTTTGATGAAGGTGAGTGGTCGAGATGGCCTTGCGTCGCCCACAGTGATCTGTTTTGCTTTTTTCCCTTTCTTATCGTTCGAGACATTCCTTCCATCCTCTCGATTCGATTACAATTGCCCTTTTGCGGAAATCCCATACCGAAAGATGCCGTCCACGGGCCAAGCTAGGCAGAGGCATCGAAATCACCATCAGAGCCCATTCAGACCTTTTCGCAGCACTGGAGGCCTTCAATCTCCACATCGCCGACGTCGACCAATTGGTCTTGCGAGATCCTTGCATAGACCCTCGGTCACGCCCTCGTCAGCAACAGCGACTCCCCGGCATGCATTTACTACACCTCGTACTCTGTCGCAGATGCAATCAGCCGAAGACCTTGGATTACCACAACCGAATGATGACGATTCCGAGCATATTATCATGGCCGTCAACATTGGTCCGAAGAGCATCGTTGGCTGTGCATACTACATAGCTGGAGAAGAAAGGCTTCTATGCATGGAGGAGATTGGTGGCGGAGATCATGACTTTGTCGAGAGATGTGAGGAAACGTTGCAAGCGACTGGCAGATGATACTGACCTGGATCAGTGAAGATTGATATACAACCCACCACTGTTATTCTGTCTCCTCGAGCTGACAGTCTGGCCCAAATCACTACATCGCGGTCACAGCGACCGACATCTTTTGTTGCTAGCGGTGAGTTTTGGGTTTTTGACAAGTTACGAGCAAAATCTTACGACATATTCAGCCGATGATGAATTGCCTCTTCCTTACGAAACGGAAATCCGACCACTCGCGGACTTCAACTATGAAGGAGCCTTGAATAAGATTATTGCCCTTGCTTCTTCGGGGCTCTTCTGTGATTCCAATGGCCAATTCTTCGTCCCTGATGACCCAGACTTCTACGAAGAAGAGAATACCACCGAGATTGGTTTCACCCAACGAAGAGGAAGGCTGCTTCAGCTCTCGACACGTCTTAATCTAGATGACAGAATGAGTATTGGCTGTGCCGGAGCTGTTCTCGGCTACCTGCAACGCAAGAGGGCTTCGACATATCTGCCTGTCGATCCTAGAGGTGGGCACGTCTTCCGAGTTGCACTATACGAGATGTTCAGTCTCCGGCACACTATGTAGGTCCACATGTGTGTGCTCTTCTGTGGAGGCTGACTCATCGCCAGGCTTGTCAATGCGGATACACTCGCATCTCTGCAAGTTATTGAGCCACGAGTGGCCGGCTCGGCACCGACCACAGGCCCAACGAAAAGCAAAGAAGCTCCTTTGTCCATACATGCTCTCTTCCACGTTCACGCCAAAAGCCCACAAGGAAAGTCCCGTCTCCGTCAAGCCTTTCTCCGGCCTTCACTTGATGTTGACCACATCAACTCCAGGCTCGACTTCGTGTCCGTCTTAATCCGATCGGAAAATCAGCAGGCACGACAGGAACTTAGCAAATGCTTGGGCAAAATCAAGGACATGAGGAACACGACCACTCTTCTTCGCAAGGGTATCGAACGTGGGAAGCAGCAGCCTAATGCGTTCAAAGGGAGCGTGTGGTTGGCGCTTTGGGAGTTCTGTCGACATTCCATTGCTGTTGCAGAATCCCTTCACGGAGTCATCGGGGCAGATCGTCTTTGTCTGTGGTCTCGTGCCGTTGGAGTGCTTGACCGCGGTAGCCTACAAAAGATAAGTGAAATGGTGCATGAGACTGTTGACTTTGATGGGTCGGCAGAGGCGCAAAGGACAGTGATTAACTGTGATATCTATCCACGACTCGACGAGCTCAAGCGCAAACATGACAAACTGGATGAGGTCCTGACGGAAACAGCCAGGGAGATCGACAGGTCTCTTGGCCTGAACATCGAACTCAACGTCATCTACCTTCCTCATCTAGGCTATCACATCTCAATCCCTGTGGATCCAAATACTCATGAGCCAGAGATCAATTGGCGTGCATTGGACTGGGAGCAGATGTTCACGGCCGACAGCCGCGTATACTTCAAGGACGCTACGATGCGAGTGTTGGACGAGGACATAGGCGATATCTACGCCAATATATGCGACTATGAAATTGAAATTGCCCATGACTTGGCGCAGAAGGTTCTCGAGCACGAGAAATTTCTCATAGAAGCATCTGACATCTGTGGTGAGCTGGATTGCAACCTGGCATTTGTTCATTCTGCATATGAGCACAGGTTGACTCGCCCAAAGATCATAGAGCACAATGTCATAAACATTGAAAAAGGAAGACACCTGCTACAGGAGAAGAGCGTTCCGTCTTTCGTCCCTAACGACACCTTCATATTGGGCGGCGGCGGCGAGGATGAACACGCTCCGGTCGGACCAAGTATGCTGCTGCTGACGGGCCCAAACTATTCTGGAAAGTCGGTCTATCAGAAGCAGGTGGCATTGGCAGTCTACATGGCTCACATCGGGTCTTTTGTCCCAGCAGAGTCCGCGACTATCGGCATCACCGATAAGATCTTCACGCGCCTCACCACCAGGGAGACGGTTTCCAAGGTCCAGTCTGCGTTTATGATTGATATGCAGCAGATTGCTATGGCCCTGAATTCGTGTACGAGGAAGAGTTTGATAGTGATTGACGAATTTGGGAAAGGCACCGACACGTGCGATGGTGCTGGTTTAGCCGCCGGTGTCTTTCTACATCTCTTGTCTCTCAACACCCAGGCTCCAAAGGCTCTGGTCGCAACGCATTTTCACGAGATCTTCGAAACAAATTTGTTCGGAACCTTGAAGAATATCTCCTTTGCACATATGGAAGTACGGGTTGAGAACGCGGACGAAAGAGTGACTGAGCAACAAAGCAGAGTCTCTTATTTGTACAATCTCCAACTCGGTTGTAGCGATCTCTCCTATGGTACACAATGTGCAGCAATGAATGGTATCCCCGAAGAAGTTGTTGAACGAGCCTTGGATCTTTCTCGGCGGGCGAGGAGGGGGGAGGATCTGGTCTCACAATGTTCTGCGTTGACCGTGAGCGAGGCAGCGGAACTCGAAGCGGCTGAAGTTGCCGCGGAGCTCTTTTTGGATCAAAACTTTGACCAACAGATGACAGAAAACGAGCTGCAGGCTTTGCTGGATGCCATGATAGAGCCGGCCTCGAACGCGACTGAAGAGCTGGACATTTGAAGGGGTGGTGTACAGTATGTTCAACTTGAAGGAGCAGGTCCAGTCGCCGCCAATCCTCTCTGTTTGCCCCAATTTTGGCATTTCGAAATGAGGTCAGGAGCGACGAAGATAATGACAAGAGACCCCACCCAGTTCCAGAAAACATCCATGAGGTTCTTCCTCACACTGCTGGCCATGCCTATGCCCCTCATCAAATGTCCCAGTAACAACGTGCTGATCATGAAGTCGCCAGCATCGAGTCGGTTGAGCACAATCTTCGCAATCTCGTCTGGTAGTTGTGGCTTGTCATCTTTCTCAAGCATGACGGTGAGCTCCGGTTTGATCTTGTTCTCGTTCTCGAAGCCGGGGGAAATGATGCCACAAGGAAATACGATATGGACCGCAACGTCTGCGTCAGGAGCAGGACCAGAACCCAACCGAGAACCATTGTAGACTGCCACTTCTTGATTTAGACCGTCGGCCATGGCCTTCATTGCGGCCTTTGCAGGAGAATAAGGCGAGTAGCCGGCGACTGGGAGGAAAGCGAGCGTGCTGCATGTGAAGACGATATGTCGCGTGGGCGGGTTAACGCGTAGCTTGTTCTCTGGGACTGAAGGTCGCTTCCACAGATTCAAGGTTGCGTGCGCCATGTATACCGAGGACCAGTAGATTGTGTCCATTTGTCCTCGCAGTGTCTCGACGCTCGCATCCGCGAGGAAAGCGGGCTGGCAGTTGCCTGCACAGCAGAAGACCATGTCCGGTGCTTGTCCATTGTTCCATTGCGTGACTTGTTCGATGATCCTAGGCGCAGACTCGGGCGATCGCAGGTCAAAGGAGAGGTCGAGGAACTTTTGCTGTGGTTTGAGTGCCTTTGCGCGAATCGTGTCGACGGCCCTTGCCAGTTTGCCCTTGTCCTGCGCGACGATCACCACGTTTGCGCCTCTGCTGGAGAGTTCTTCCGCTATAGAAAGGCCCATGCCTTGCGAGCCACCTGTGACAATGGCCGTGAGGCCATCAGTAGGGAATTGATTCTTCCTTGAGAACAGCATTTTGAAGACGACGAAGCTCAGCGCGGCCACTGCGAGAGTGCTCAGGGACGTATATGTGAGACTAGTACTCATTTCTGGGAGCGAAGGGAGGATCAGGAGGAGGGAGGAGAGAGGATCAAAGCCTTGCCGAGTTTAAGGCGCACCGTTCGTCAGGGGAAGCAACTCGCATCTCACGTATTCGTACTGCGTGTGTATTAGGGAATGTAGAAGTACGTCGAGAGGTTCTATAGATGATCGGGCCAATTGAACATCTGGCTATCTGTAAGTAATACTGCAGTACTCTGTATCGTAGTGCGTAGCTGATCAAGACTCCGCAGGTACTCTACACTGTCCCTCATGTTAAAGAATTACGGAGCCAGAGAATCTAGCACCGAGCCCTCCAGTGTATCCCCAAGTTAGTGAAGCCTAAGTAAAGGATTAGTGCGCTCCAGGCCGGAGGTTATTGGTGACTGAAGCCCCTCACAAGTCGTTAACATGACGCCAAGCCCGTGACTCCAAAAAAAAGTTTCTGGCCTGCGCATCCGCGAAGTATTTGGATGGTAATGCGCAGGCTCAGTACTTGACTTCTTACTCAGTACTCTGAAACCAGCAATGGCCAAGAAGAGAAAGGCTGGACGAGCAAGCCAGCAGGCTGTTCCTGACAGGACAGAGCGATACGATGTCGACGAAAGATTCGATGATTCCGAGGACGAGTTTTTCGCCGGACGAGACAAGGTATTACTCGACGAAGCGCCAGCCGCAAAGAGAGTACGAAGACTAGAAGAGCAGGAGGAACAATTACAGTCCTCGGATGAAGAAGTCTACCAAGACGCTCACGCCGATGTTGAGGACGATCTGGAAGACGATGATGATGGTGATGTAGACTTCGACGCTGATGCTGGTGATCAACGGGATGGATACGAGGATGAAGAGTTGGAAGAGAACTGGGGTACGACCAAGGCCGACTATTACAATGCCGATGTGATCGAGACCGAGGCCGACGCCCTCGAAGAAGAAGCCGAAGCGCGCAGACTGCAGCAGAAACAACTCAAGTCCATGACCGAGGCCGACTTTGGCTTCGACGAAAGCGCATGGATGGATACTGAGACCCAGAAGACACAAGGCAAGCGTTCTGCGGTCGAAAAGCTGCCGGAACTTCAAATACCTCCAAATGCGACGGCCAAGGAACGCACGCAGATCCTGAAATATAGGTACCCCGAGTTCGAACCCTTGGCACAAGACTTCATCTCGTTACAAGACGAATACCGTGAGCTGAAGAAGAAGATCGAGATATCTGGTGTACCAAGTGGACAGACTGTTGAGCGCAATATATCTCTGACGAGGTTCTGGGCGCTTTCGTCATATCTGGGTGCCGTTGCAATGTACTTGGCTGTTCTCACATCCTCGAAAAGCGGCACGGCACTAGCTCCTGGTGAACTGCGAGAACATCCCATCATGAGTAATCTTGTGCGCTGTCGGGATCTGTGGCAGGAAGCGCAAGACTTGAAGTCTGTTGAAGTTCCCGCGGCCGAGGAGGAAGTTGTGTCAGTCCAGCCACCTGAGGTTAGGCTGCCTGAGCAATCTAAGTATAAAATTGAAGCGAAGAAGCCCGAAAAGAGCAAGAAGTCGAAGAAAACGACAACATCAGCAACAATGACAGGAGATGTCCTCCCCGAACCAGCTCCATCACCCAAGAAGACTAAGAAACCCAAGAAATCTAAGCGGGATGACCTGAAGGAACTCCTTGCCTCGTCGCTGCAGACGCCCGAGGATGACGAGTCCGATTTTGGGGACGAAGTGCCCTTGACTGCGGAGGAGGCCGCAGAGAAGGCAAAGAGAAAGAAGTCTCTGCGATTCTACACGTCGCAAATCGCACAAAAGGCCAACAAGAGAGGCGCGGCTTCACGTAACGCCGGCGGCGATGACGATGTACCGCACAAGGAGCGTCTTCGTGATAGACAAGACCGTTTGATGCGTGAGGCAGAGATGAGAGGAAGAGAGGCTGCTCATGGCGATGAAGAAGTGTTCGACTCGGGAGATGACGATACCGGAATGGGCCGAGAATTGAACGACGATGCCAACGAATATTACGACATGTTGATTTCGAGCAAGAAAGCAAAGAAGGCCGACAAGCAAGCTAGAGCAGAAGCGTACGCCGAGGCCGCTAGACAGGGAGCCCAAGTGTATGAGGAAGAACAGGTCGGGGCGGATGGCAAGCGGAAGATCACGTACGCCATCGAAAAGAACAAGGGCCTTGCGCCTAAACGAAAGAAGGACGTGCGCAATCCTCGTGTCAAGAAGAGGAAGAAGTTTGACGAGAAGATGAAGAAACTCGGCTCCATCCGACAGGTATACAAGGGTGGCGAGGGCCGAGGAGGGTATGGTGGTGAAGCCACAGGTATCAAGACCAATGTGATCAAGAGTATCAAATTGTGAATAATGGAATTTGATTCAACGTCCTCGTTTATACTATAACTGGGGACCGGATCGCCTTTTTTCTTTTCCCAAAAAGCAAAACGCTTCCAAATATATACCATCCCTTGCTTTCCATCCGAACCATTGTCTTATTCCGGTCCCATACCAGGACAGAACGCCCAACACGCTGAAAAGAACTGTCTGAACACGTGTAAACATGGTCGTCAGTCGCCAAGGTCATCTCACTTTTCACAAAGTGGACGAAACTATTCCAGCTCTGTCCTGGACGTCGCGCCCGTCTCCACTTGTTGGCCTGAGTCGATCTCGTGCACCTCGGAACCCCCGATCTGCTGAATATACTGACCATCCGGCATGTGCTGCTGCTGATGATATGGGCTCGCCATGTACGATCGTTTGGGGTCAACGAAATCGGATGACGCCGCCATGGCACGGCGGGACCGGCGTCGACGGATGACGAACACTCCCAGCGCCCCGACCGACGCTATCGCGGCCAAGCCACAGCCGACACCAATGCCGGCGGCGGCACCACCACTGAGGCCTGTTGAGGAGCTGCTCGACGGGGACGGCGATGCTGGTGTGGTGCCGCCGCTCGTGGGGTCCGCGCCGTTCCCTGACGCGGAGCCGCTGCTCCCAGATGCACCCGTGGCGCTGGACGAGGGTGAGCTCGATATCGATGCGATCCCCGCGGATATCGTCGGAGGTAGAGTTCCCGCCGCCGTGTCGAAGAGGTCTCGTTGGAGAGAAATCGTCTGGCCCAATGTTGCGTTGGGCTTGGTGTCACAGCCGGCCTTCATCGCATTCAGGTCTAACGGAGCACAAATTTGTCAATGTCCAACGCTTTCGCGACGCTTCGGGGGCTTGTGTTTGTGTTGGGCTTACAATTGCCAAGAATCACTGAACCAGAACGTGCTTGCAAACAAGAGGCGCATTCGTCCACGTAGGTTGGAAAAGCAGTATTGTTGATGGAGCAATAGTCATATTGCTCTGCCGGTGTTGGAGTGAACCACGAACTCGCGAGCACCGGGTAAAGTCCAGCGCAGTCGGATTGACATTGAGGCAGATTCGGTGTGCTACCGTTGCCCTGGAACATGCAGTACTCGAGAGTATATTTCATGTTGACTGGGACCTTCAGCGTCAGCATGAAGCATTCTCTCCGGGTCCTCGGATCGGGCCCGAGTCATCAGAGGAATCACGAAAGATGTAAATGTACTCACACAAAAACCAATAGATGTCGTTGTTCTGCGGATTACTGTTGTTCCCCGCCGTGGCCGTACTCTTGCTTTCGCACACGAGGCAGTCGTGCATGGTGTCACCGTTGGCTGTGTTGAAGTAGCCATCATCGTCGCATGTCAGGTCGTCGCTGTACGTCAAGGTCGGGCCCTCGCAAATGTCGGCGCACGTCGATCCGCTGGTCACTTCGAGGGCCTGGACGTGGACGCGCAGTCCCAGCGAGAGTATGGATAACAGTAGTGAGATCAACATTTTGGACATTTGTGTTGGTGGCTCAAAGAGAGGCAGGAAGAATATCAGTCTGGGCGGCCACCCGGTTCTGACTGTATCTTTCAACAGAAAAGAGGTAGATCACCAACTCCTAGAGGTGTACAAAGATTGTAGGCACAGATCATCCAAGGTGAATTGGGCAACAGACAAGATCAAAAAGCCGGAATCACTGAAAACGTGACAAGTCAATACTCCGGTAACGGGTACTCTGTCGTCCGTACTGCCGCAATGCGACCCGATGGGGGTCGGTCGCGTTCTTCGAAAAGCCCATGGCTGCCATCGCCATGTTTACCCTTGTTAGTGGCAGCCCTCTATGGTCGATTTTGGTGTCGAAGGGGGAGTCTCATTCGTGCTTCGTGGGCGTCTGGAGCTGGCGCCAGACAGAATTCAGCAGGGAAGGTGCGAGCCTAGCCACTGTGATAGTCTCAAAATTGTGCCCCAATGAGTTGGGTTAGATTGCCAGTGTCGCAAGGGAGGCTCTGCTAGACTTGTCGTGGCTTGTCATGCCCCTGATGGCCTGTAAGGCTGAGGAAGGCACTAAAAAAAAGACATGGCATGGAGTTTCACAGGGGGGCCTTGCAGAGCCAACCTCAACCTAGTCCTCAGACTCCCTAGGTAAAAAGATGGGGACACAAAGCCTGGTGATCAATTGAGATTGAGGGACTTTTATAAGGCGCCCTGCCGTAGTACGGATACAAGACTTGGAGTTTGTGGTTCCAATTTCGCGAGCGATCTTCTCACCTAGGCGCAAACATGGAGGTTTGATCAGAGATTCCTTTGAGGAAGATACATTCCGTATCACAGATATGTCGAAGAGGAGTACTCCGTACTCCGTACAATAAAGATTTGAGAAAGTAGATACCTACCTAATCTTCTGTCTTGTGTAAGAAGTTACATAATTTGCGTATTCGTACTCGTACTCGTAGCAGTCCTTCACTCTTGATGATGTCAGCAGTTCCAAGGCTGTCAACGACTTACGATGATTACAAACGCCATATGATTAACGACTGCAAAGTGTTACGGAATGTGACGCTTTCAGTGAAGGTTCATTGTATCTGGAAACAATTGACCACCGATAGTCCGGGGTATCCGCGTTCTCGGACATCGATCAATCATGGGCTCCATGGTATGGAATCGCATGGTTTTGCGACTCCCGCCAATTCTTCGTCCTCGCTGGACGTGGAGGTATCTTTTGTCCTTCAGCATTGCCACTTATGCTGTCTATAATTTACTATTCGCGCGACCCTTGCTTTCGTCCAATCTACCCGCATACACTGGGCCATATCAAGTTGGAACCATCGATCTCGAAGCACCTTGCGACCCGAGGAGGATCAACGATGCCACGCTCAAGGAAGGACACCATCCTGCTTTCCAGGTTAGTCAGGGCAAACTCAAGATCCATCGTCCTGTATTCTTGAAGGAAAGCTGAATATGTTATAGGTTGAAACTGTGCTTTTCACCCTCTACTACCCGTCGGTAGAAGGTGCGAGATCGTCGAAGCCGCACCATCTCTGGATTCCCCGGCCACTGGGCATCGTCGGAGCTGGATATGCTCGCTTTGCTAGGATCAGTAACTTCGTCACCAACTCGATCATGACGTTTGGTCTATGGGCCTTGGCCGGCAGTGTCAAGATCCCAGCACACGTCGATGTCCCGCTCCACCATGGCCCTGCCGTCCTTCAGACTCCGGCGGGCACTTCTTCAGTCGAAGTCGATGACGGGTTTCCTGTGCTGGTGTTCTCTCATGGCATGGCTAGCTCGCGGACCCAGTATACGCAATACTGTGGAGAGCTTGCCAGTCGAGGACATGTCGTGGCCGCGATCGAACATCGAGACGGCAGTGGACCAGGAACGGTGATCATGAATCCGGCAGGTCGTCACAGAACCTTGCTTCACTTCAGCCACCGCGACCTGCAGTGAGTTTTACTCTGGCTAAGCTTTTCCATCGACACACATGTGCTGACATTGTGTTCGCTTAGCCATGACGCCGGGCTCGACGCCGATACTTTCAAGCAAGCGCAGCTTGATTTCCGTCAAGCCGAGGTCGAGGAGACCGTGCGAGTGCTGAAGCACATCAACGCCGGCCATGGAGATCAAGTCTTTGGCCAAAACTCTCGCGGTGAGGGCCAGCACCTCAAGCACTGGCGAGATCGCCTGGCGATCAATAATGCCACAATTGGTGGTCATTCTTTCGGAGCCACATTGGCGGTGAGTTGAGATGATCTCAATCGAAAAGCAACTGTCTGCGCTGTGCTGACACCCATTTCTGTAGTTGCAAACCTTGAAAGACGGACCCTCGAAACATCTTCCGTTTCAGAGCGCCGTCGTCCTTGATCCGTAGGCAGAAGCTTTCATATCTTGAGATATTGGGTACTTGGCATACTGACTATCTTGCAGTGGCAAACAAAGCGGACCTTTGAATCACGACGTCAATGTCTCAACACTGGTCATCCACTCCAACTCGTGGTCTAGCAGGCATTCGATATTCTACGGCCGAGCACACTTTGACGTAGTCAAGGATGTGGTTCTAGGTGTTTTGGAAAGGGGCAAAGCGGCATGGTTTATGACTTCACGTGCGTGGACGAGATTTTACATCCGACTCCTCCCTCTACCCCGTGCCACCACCACTCGTAAATACTATGCTAACTTTTTGCACAGTCGGCACAAGCCACCCTTCGGTCACGGACGCTCCTTTGATCGAGCCTCTCCTTCTCAACTGGGCGACGGGGTCGAGCATCGATGCCCACGAGGGTGTACGACAGTATGTCAAAGTCTCGGAAATGTTTCTGCAGTATCAAATGTCTGGGGTGAAAAAGGGCATCTTGTCTGAATGTGTCACCCACCCCGAGTACAACTTGCCAGAGGGAGGAAGGTCTGAAAAGGGAAAGCCTTCGAATGACATGTGGAAGTATTGGCAAATACATGCTGCTCCTTGCGGCCCCGAAGACAGCGAGGAAGGTTTGTATCCGGAGACTAATCCGCTACTGGATGGTTAGGCCAGGCATTGCCTTGCTAAATAGAAAAATGACATTCGGTATTTTCTCACAAACAATTCAGGTACATTCGCAATTCTCATGGTTGCCTGGCCTCCAACCCTTGAAACCTATCAACGAATGACCATGTGCTGCCGCCCCCTAATGACCCATTTCCACTGTCGACAAATGGCGTTCGCCCTTGTGGTCGACAATTTCTCGCCGTCGGACAAGAACCTGCTTTGTACTTGCTTTGCGCGGGTTTGTCGCCTCAAAGACTTCGTCCAGCTCTTCCAGAGTCCTACCCTTGGTCTCCACGAAGAAGAAGTAGATGATCAAAAACTCAAAGCAGTCCCAGAAGACAAAGAAGACGTAGAACCAGTACCTGATATTCTTCAGAGCGACCGGAGCAGCAAAGGTGTTTACAAAGGAAGCTAGACCGGCGGTGATCTGGAACAGAAACATCCCCTTGGCTCTCATCTCGTTCGACATGACCTCGGCCGGGTAGATTGGCTGCATGCTCGTGTAGGCAAAGGCGAAGGTGACTCCAAAGATGTAGATGAAGGCGATGCTGGCCTTGGAGGACGCCTGGGACCCGGTGTTGACGTAGCCCGCTGCCGTGCCGGCTGTGATGGCGAGACAAATGACCATGCCGAAGGTCGAGCCGAGCATCATCTTTCGCCGACCGATGATGTCGTGGAACCGGGCACCTGTTGCCGCCGCGATCCATCCCGTCAGCGCGTAGATTGCGTTGAGCAGGAGGACCGTGTTGGTGTCGGTGATACCGACGTTGGTGAGAAGTAGAGGAAGGTAGTACGAGATAACACTGCGAGGTGATCTATCAGTCGGGCATCCATGGGGGCAAGACACAAGGCGCAAGGGAGTTAAAGTGCATTTCTTACTTGTTGCCAGAAAATTGGCCAAACCAACTCCATGCAAAGTTCAACATGCTGCGGTATCGCCGTGACCGAGACTTGACCAAGATACGTATATCGAAGAAGTTGCTCCACGATATCAAGGGCACGTCTCTCAGGTTCGCCTGGATCTCATTGAGCTCGAAATTGATGATAGGGTGGGAAGGGTCTCCATTTGCATGGTACTTGATGATGAACTGCCTCGCTTCGTCCACGCGATCGTTGGCTACGAGGAACCGAGGCGATTCTGGAATGAGCCAGACCGTCATGCAGACGATCCCAGGGCAAAGCATTTGTAGCCACAAGGGTAAACGCCAGCTGAGGTTCGAGGTAAAGTGGATGTGCGTGCCGTACACGGCTAATTCAATGTCAGTATGCTTCCGGCTTGCAATTCCCAGAGGGGCGAGGATGCCCACCGAATGTCGCAATAATCGAGCCCATGTACCATAGAGTGTTGTACAGACCTGACACGGTGCCGCGGTACAATGGTGGTGCGATCTCCACCACGTACATGGGTGCAGCGGTGGTTGCCCATGTACAAAAGAAAGAGAGCAGGAACCTGCCGCCGATGAAGACGGACACTGATGGTGGTCAGTATTTTTTGGGGAGTGAGAGGGAGAAAGAGAGAACTCACTCGACTTCGCTGTTGCTGTGACAATTGTGCCAACAATGACTCCTAGGCATCCTAGGAATATTGGGAGTTTTCTGCCCTTCCAGTCCGCCAACCAAACGAAGAATGCTCCTGTCATTTGACCGACCTGGAAAATGGCAAATACAATTCCAGTCCCGGCTTGTTCATTTTCCGACACGTTGTAGTAAGAGAGGTATTTCGGGACCGAGTTGATACTGCCCATGAGCGAGCCATCGTATCCTGTCAATGTCAGGGAAAAAGTCACCGTAGACTTCGTATGTGAGACGAGGACTCACCGTTCATGGTGGAACATAGATAAACAATGAGGCAGCACCCATAAAGGGCAAGGTGGCCTCGACCCCATGGGTTAGGCGGGTTCTCCGCAAGTGCCGTTGCGAAATCGACGTTGGCGACATTGATCTCTTTTTCCTGGATCACGGCTGGAGGGTCCGTGACTTCGCGAGCATCGCCTTTCTCCTGGGAACAAAAGTCAGCCGGGTCACATGACACATGAGGGACATACGTACATCAAAATCCATCGTTTTGGTCTGGTTCGGTAGAAATAGTGCCTGCAACGGAGTGAAATGGTGCTACAAGGACTTGGAAAACAGGTGTCGGAAGGAATCTTGGAGTTATATTGTCCAAGAGCTCTGTGTTCAAAAGCTCATTTTGAGATCCGCCTTGGATCAGAGCGGTTATTCGCCTGATCTGGGTCGGATGGCAGCTCTCCGGGACTGTTCAGGTAAAGCGTAGCCTGATTATGATCGGGCCAGAAGGGTAGGTAGACATTGCCAGGTGGCATGCAAAGATTTCCAAGGGTCTGCGCGTATGTGGGGAGATCGAAGCCACTATACTAGAGCCCCAACAGAGATACTGCTGACTGCCGCATGATTGCAATTCGAAGAAAGGCCTTTTGTCTTGAGGCTGAGGAGCGGATCGTCACAGCGGCTCCATTTGTGGGCGGATTTTGCAAGTACCTACGGGTCAATGCCCATCTACCTGTAGTACAAACAGTGCGCTGAATCAGGCTTGACCAATGACTATATAAACATTCCGATGAAAATGACCCTGCAATTGAATAGGACCGGGATGATACTCTGCAGACACTGTCAATATTTCATCAGCTCCATGTCCTGCACTCACAGCATAACTGGATCTCGGAGGTAGGACTTCTTGGTACTCTTCAAGGAGTTTCTTGTAGCCCCAAGGGGTTATTCTGTTAGTCAGAAGCCACTTCCTAGGTGAGTAGGGTCATATGCATTGACTGACTCCAGATGGGCGCGTGACGATCTCGCTAGACAGTCTGAGATGTTCGAGGTGATAAGACCCGAAGCGGTGCGGACAATCATGCTCCGCACTGAAACCGCAGACTGCATATCTTTATCATGGATCTCTGGCGAGGCTGGGGCACAGATCTTGCCCGATCAAGGCCAAATTCCATCGGCCATCCGGAAAGAAACTGGAAGTGGCCTGGTGCTTTGCGGGTGGGAGACCTGAGGTTGCAGTACGGATTACGAGAGCGAAAACGAGAACGAGTTCCCCGGAAAGTTGCAATGCGGGGAGAGTGCCCTACCTCCATATGCTCCACTGTACTGACAAACGGTGAAGCACTATTATGGGAGAGGTCAAAAGGACCAAGGACACGGTCAACTTTGGCCAGAACAAGGTTGATGTTTGCGAGAAGTCGTACGATCTGGACGGAGTACTTTCTCATATTCATGCTCATACAGATATGAGATCATTACACCAGCGCTATTGTATGGCTGTCTGCACGGAGTGAACGGCCAATAAATTATCCGACGTAGTTTGATCAGTTAAGTTTTAAGCCTGGAGAGCCTGGACGTCTGCTCAGTTTTAGCGGTGGGATCGGGTGAGCTATGGCGGGTGATCAAGCCTACGACACCTAGAAAATAGTTAATTCGGGCCTAGTCAGCCCCGTAAGCTCCCCAGAGACAGTGGCCAGGCTGCTTAGGTCAGTGGCCGGCCGCTTAAAATGCCGCTTACCTTTTCTAACATTTTGAACCTGGAAGCTATTGCATTCGTGCTGAGTACATCAAACAAGAGTTCTTTACGCCCTCTCAAACCTCACCTTGTAATGCGAGCACTTTACAGAAATCTTTGTCTCGCAGCATGAAGTCTCTCATCTGGCCCCAATGCCTTCCAAATCTATTGCGCCAATCGAGATTGGGTCTTTCACAGCATCATCACCGCAAAAGACTGAATTTATCGGTAGTGCAAGTGGCGTGTTTTTCGTAAACACCGTCTTTCGTGCATTTGCCCAGTCAGCCTCCAGCTCAAACGATGCCGAATCTCAGACATTGCATCATGATCCAGGATCGGTGGACAGCCGTCTTGTCGATCCCGAAACTCCATTGCAGACGGAGGATGAGAATGTTGCCATGAAAATCCACCTCGAACGCGAGAATACGGAAGCTCCAGCAAGATCCTATGGTATCAAGGGTCACAGATTGGGTGTTGCCCCAAGCCAGCAAACCGCCAAAGAGCTACTGATGCTGTATCTGCGCAACTGGCACCCTTTGTTCCCATTCCTTCACGGTCCAACACTCCTTGAATCGATTTCGGCCTTATACGAAATCGACGAGCCACGTTCTTCCACCAAAGACAGCCTGAGAGCTCGTTTGTGCAAAGCCATCATATGCCAATGCGTTTTCAACATAGCTGACCTTGATAACCGGGGTCAGTATCTACCGTCCGAGTCTCGGATCGAGTCCTCGAGCAAACTACTTTCTCTCCTGGGCTATGTCGCCAACAATCACGACATTCAAACAATTCAAGCTTTGCTCGCTGCGCAGCTATACCTTGTCTCCACCATGGCCCTCCGAACTGCATCAACCGTAGGTGGAACACTGGCTAGGATTATGTATCATGCCGGCCTGCATCGTTGCCCGTATCGCTATCCACAGCTCGACCCCCAGGAATGTGATTTGCGAAAACGAGTTTTCTGGAGTGCTTATGTACTGGACAGGTATCTCAGTCAAGCCCTGGGTCACCCGCTAGGATTTCAAGATTCGGATCTCGATGTCTGTATTCCTGGCACAGCAGAACTGCACCAACCTGTCAAGTCAAATCAACAAAAAATGCCTTCGGGAGGCCATGCTGAGGAGAACGAAGTTTTGGCTCACCTTCCCAGAGAACAGTCGGCCGGACCGGCCAACGCAACAGATGTCACCTCTTCAGCAAGGGCAACTACTAGAACCGCCGAACCAGCTAGATTTCATGGGCCACGAGAGCACGCTGGTGACGAAGAACGAAATACTAGTTCGGAGATTTTGGCTAGTTACGTTCTTTACTGTCGATTGACCGGACAGGCATTGGAACTATTCCACAAATCACTTCAAAACCGCAAGATTCAAAGCGAAGACATGGTGGAACTACAGTCCGAAGTGCATTCCTGGTGGAACGGGTTGCCTGCCAGCTTACAGGACGAATATACAGGAGGAAAGATGGAGCTTTCTTCAACATTCACCTTCTTTTTCATCACCCTCTACAACCAATTGCTGCTCCTTATCAATCGCCCTTTTCTGTCGCTCTCCCCCAGGACTTTAGAATTCAGGTCGAGCCTACAAACCTGTGTCACGGCTAGCCGCCAGATAATTACCACCCTGCGCCATCAAGCTGAACGGAATCTGTCAGTGTCTTGGCCTGGGATGCTATCTGTAAGCTGGATGGCTGGGCTGGTGCTGTCGTTTGCGTGCACGTTGAGACTCTACCCGTTCAACAAGGCACAAAGGTGAGATAATCACACATGGCTCGTCATCCCACCGCAGCTAATGACTTCACATAGGGAGATTGAAGATTGCATTGAGCAGATTGCGGCCATGGACAGAAGGTGGAACAATGCAAGACATTGCGCAGAGGCATTAAGAAGCATGCTGGCAACTCTGAAACAGCAGTATACCGACGGTGTTCTGGGCCGATCCCAGGGCGGCCTAACAGCAAAATTCTTTGCTAAACCTCCGACCACCACGAAGGACAACATGTCCGTTGTTGATGAAAATAGTCCTTCCGACGCAGCTGCACATTCCCGTAAACGGAAAAGAGCAGATTTCCAAGGAGACGACCTCGAGTATCCTTCGGGCGGCCGTCAAGGCGATGCGAATGCTCCTTCAACCCAGAGAGCTGACCAAACGCACGACTTCAATCCAGATTTGGGAGGATGGCCTGTATTTGACGACGGAGTCTCTCTTACAAATTTAGAGTACATGGCACCTCAATTCACTGCTGGAACCCCCACGCTCGCAAACTTCGAAAATCCGGAGCTATTTCGCTTGCCAATACTGGATGACTTATATGTCAATCCAGGTGCATTTGGCAACATTGGTTGGGAGGCAATGGCTAATGGGACCGGGTACGTAAACGACCTGGGTGCCTCGAGCAGTCAAAGGCACCAGCAGAGAGGGGACTATGAAATGCCGTGAACATGCCCTCCGATCTGAAAAGCGCACTGGCTTGAGGGAGTCCAAAGTAGGTTGCAATTACCACAGAAATGTATCCTCAAATTCTTGAGACAAGCCAAATTTTGCGGCTGTGCTGTTTCGATGTGGCCTCGATGAGGAGCGACGCAATATGTCTCCTACAGTTTCTGGAGCCTGTGAAGTGGCAGACCGACCGACCGACCGGTTTTCTGGAGCCAACGGCATACCATCACGGCCTGGGATGGTTTCTGCGGCTTCATGGCGTGCGTCTTGGATCGGTGACGGGTCGCCGCTAAAGCTGTCCCCAAACGGACTCGGATCACTCGGGGATGCTACCTCTAGCCGCTCAAATGAAGCGCTATCTACCACAGTACTCGAGCCTGTGGCTGCGACCCCAGAAAGCGAATCCAAATCTTGCTTCCACAAGATCACGTCTTCCGGAGTTTGCAGAGGAAATTGTTCCCAGTAGGAGATGGCAGACTTTTTCTCCTCTGTCGTACTTAGGGTGCTGATCGTAAGGCTTGCTGGAATTCGGTGATCGAGTTCTGCGGTGAATGCCTCTGACAATTTTTCGAGATTGGCGTTGGAGGTCGAGAGCATTCGCCACAGCAAGCGCTCTGTCTCCTTCAGACGGGTTTCGAGTGCTTCAATGTAGCCCTTGGCAGGACCTCTGTCGATGACTTGTCAGAGCCCAAACAAGTGGCTACTCAACGCAGGATACCGAGACACGTAAACAGCTCTGGGTACAACAGCACCGGATGCATCTGGGACGACGGACCTCTTTTGTTTCCTCGGCCATACACATGTTTGCGAAAGACTTCGACATCTGCTGCAGGTAGGTCTGGACCACAGATCATTGTCAGCCATCACCAGCATAGCGTGTTACGACTAATGATGGCAGCCATCGCTGTCAAGGTACTGTTTGACGAACCTTTGTCCGTCACACTGTGGAGGCGTCAGTATGGAGAGGAACCACTGCGGCGGTTCTTGCTGGGTTCACCAACCTTCTGCTTCCTCGCGCGACAAGCATAACATGCGGAAGTACTTCTTGGGACTGAGCTGGGTCCGGATTCACTGGATCTGGGCTGTACCATATTCTCAAGTCATAGTCACATCCATGAAGCAACGACGCTCTTTTCGACCAACTTCATGGCAGGAGCACTGGGAGGCCCACCTGCTTTGCGAATGTCGAAATGGCCAGGAAGTATTGACAAAAGTCTGCAAAGGATGATGTGACGAAGACAATCAATGGCTTCTACATTCTGTCTGTAGATTCTTCAAATATCGACCTGCTTCATGCCAAGCAAACACGTTCAGTCTCATCGGCCCAAAGTTTGGCCGAAATCCGTCGGACCAATTTTTAAGCGACGAGCTTCAACCTCTCTACAAGTACTCCGTACATACAAGCATATTATGTCTTTGGGGCTATACCTTGGGAAAATTCGCCGAAGATACATGCTTCGAGTGACCCCGGAAGGAGAGAAATCATCACTCTAGATTGCGCCGAGTGCTGCAGATAAGTCAAATCGTCGTCAGCTTCTTCACCCCGAGTTTACAGTCTCCAGCTTGGGTGCTGCTGAATGCTAGACTCAGCCACTCGTGGGAAAGCCTCTTTTATTTTGTGAGGCTGTGCGGGCCTGACCATCTGTAAAGTGAGATACCCAACAATTTGATTCTTCGGACGGCAGTCTAGGAATTTCTCCATGCCTTTGAAGAGGGGAGTTGATCTGTAGGATCAAAGGATGAATCCTTCTCCAGATCCTTCAGTAAGCGGCCGCATACTCAGCCGCAAGAGGCTCGTGCTGGACTCTAACATGTGCCACCTGCACCGAAACTCGGCTGACACAGCAACCGGGGTTGGGCACAGATCCTGATAGGGTCCAAGCGGGGCGAGAGATCGCAATGGACCCCCGTCGAGACCCCTGGGAGACTCGTCTGGTTGCCCCTAAACTATTAGCCAAGTACAGCCACCATCGATATATTTGTTTGTCAGCTCCGAATCTGTGTCCATGAGCGCCACTGACTCTTACAGTACAAGCGGTGTGCACATCATTCTTTTAGCCCTCAGATTGAGTTTCGCCTCGCTAAATCTTTGTTTACTTTGGGCGAAAGTTGCCAAAGGACTCGAAGGATTGTTGAGCTAAGAATCCTTGTCGCCCCTGCAAACGTTTCTATTTACTATAAGTAGAGAGCATAATATCTCACTGCCGCAATTATCTCGACCTATACACAAAGTTCGGACTAGACTTCAGGGGAGTTTTTCATACTTTTGAACGTTTGCGTCTTTTCGAAATGAGAACCCGACATTGAGTCTGCCCAAGAGCTCTTGAATCCTCCATTGTTGTTTTATAATCTGTTCTGACAATACTCGATCATCTTGAATTTCTCATCGTTACATCACAGTCATGATGAAATCCTCTCTGGTGGCTGTTCTCGGTCTGGCGACCATGGGGCTGGCCGCTGACGGGTTTGTCAAGATGAATCTGCATAGGGACCCGATGCAGCAAAGCAAGAGTATGTTGGCGCGCAGACAGGCTGATACACTCGAAGAAGACGTCACTCTGGCTATACAAGGGTCAGCTTACTGGTTGGATCTCACCATTGGGACACCGCCTCAAAAGTTCAAGCTCCAACTCGACACGGGCAGCAGTGACCTTTGGGTCCCTGCGGCGAATGCAACCGCTTGCGTCAGGCACCACCGCACCAGTTGTCCAGGCGGTGCGTTCAATGTCAACAAATCGACCACGGCTGAAATCACCATCCCGTGGCAATGGGAAGTAGCGTACGGAGATGGGACCGCCGACGGCGGCGACTACTTCACCGATGTTGTGGTCATCGGCAACGACACAATCGAGGCTGGTGTCATGCAGCTCGGCCTGGCCATGATCACTGTCGATGGTCCCGTTGTCCAGAATGACGGCCATGGTCTTGTCGGAGTCGGGTACTCCAGCTTACAGTCGGGTGTGATGACTGGCATATTCGAGGCAGACAAGGCGCCACCGACCCTTCCCGGAGCGCTGGTAAAGGCCGGCGCCATCGACCGAGAAGCCTACAGCCTGTACCTGAACGACTTTCAAAGTGGCGAGGGTGCGGTGCTGTTTGGAGGCGTGGACTCTAGCAAGTACACCGGCGAACTCGTGGCTCTCCCCATCCTTCCCACGCCAGACAATTTCTCGGACTACACGCGCTTTGAGATTGCTTTGACCGGAATCTCTCTGACTGACGCGAATGGGACACATAAACTGACAGACGATGACTTTGCCGTGTCCGCGCTCATCGACAGTGGCACCGTCTCCCAGACGCTCCCGAAGTCGGTCTACAATGCAATCCTCGCGGGGCTCGGGGCCAGCAACGACCCTTACTTTGGTGTGCCGGCCGTCCCTTGCGTGTATGGGGACGCGAACATCTACATTACATATAGTTTTGGAGGTCCAGGTGGCCCCTCGATCGACGTACAACTGTCGGAACTACTTGGCCCCGGGCAACCCGACACGACGTTTTACGAAGATGGCACCCCGGCCTGCCCTGTTTTCATACTGGAGGAAACCGAGGAACTCGGTTACATCTTGGGCGACTCGTTCATGCGTTCGGGGTATTTTGTCTACGATCTCGAGAACAACATGATGGCCATTGCGCAGGCTCGTCTCAACTCGACCGAACCCGAGAAGATCGTCGCCTTCTCCAGCGGAACGGGTATCCCCGGAGCGACTTCGACAAACACATTCACAGATGTACCGACGCCGAGTGCCGGTGGCGCTGAGCAGCCGGGAGCGAAGACCACTGCCGCAGCTTCAGCGACTGCCACTTCACGTGTGCCTATAGGGTAAGTCCCACATCTTGTTTGGATCGATGGCATCTCGGCTAACTTGTGCAAATAGTTCTCCAACTTTCGCCCTTGGTAGCGTAACCAGCGAGCTCGGTGCTTCAAAGACAGGCTCCTCATCATCGGGCAAACAGAATTCGGCGTCAAGTACTCTTGTGTCCACATGGGCTGCAGTCGCCGGTGTTGTCATGAGTTTACTAGTTATTTTTTAGATGCTGTGGATACCAATAATGTATTCTGATACAATATCTTTATGTCCTATCAATCATGTCCTTTCCTATTGACCAAGTTATTTCACATCCTTGATAACCAATAACGAACGACCCGAAGAGACCCTACATCATGTTTGGCTGGCCCTCAATGTAGATCCAATATAGGTCCGTTGTCTCATGTCATGGGCATGTCAAAGCTGGGGTATTCCTCTCGGGCCAATCTCGACACGTTTCTTCAATTCAGACTCGGTCGTCCCTCCAGAAGATAATCGCCGTATATAGTCCTCGGGGTCAAAGTCGACGCCGATCGGGTTTTCCGCGAACTCCTTGGACTCCATGAACTCGGTCGCGGCTTCGGACGTGTCAAAGTTGTCGACCTGGGTTTCGAGCATGTTTCCGTCGGGGTCTTTGTAGTAGATGGATGTCGTCGGCCCATGGTTCACACACCACACTGGTTCGATGTTGCTACCGCCCCTTTGTCGTTTGCGCTGTCGGTACGACAGCAGAAGATCGGACAGAGAGTCGAAGGTGAATGCAATGTGTTCGAGTCCACAAGAATTCACATTCCTATCTTGGGTGTCTGGCATGGCCACGAGGGCGATGCGATGATGTTCGTCGTCGTAGGTGATGAATGCCAGGAAGTCGTTGGCGTGGACCACCTCGGCCCCCAGGAACGCCGTGTAGAATTCCACCATGGCACGGAACTTGTTGGTCCGCAAGACGACGTGGGCGAGGCGAGATGGGCTCATCACTTTCGTCGCAGGGGCGTCATAATCGATCTTCTTCTCGGCGGCCATGACGAGTCTGCATCAAGGGACAGACGGACGGAATTTGCCTCGAGGCTGAATAGGTTGGGTAGGTAGACGTCTACTCTGCTCATGGTTGTCAGATGGCTGAGGTATAGGCGCTCCCTCAATGTGTCCGAGAGACCTCGCTTCACCCCGCTTTTGAAGACTTGGCCCATGGACGTTTGGATTGGTTGATCTACGAAAGGAGTTTACCGAGCCTTTGAATAAAAAGGAAGACGTCAGGCCGGTAGTCTGCACCAGTCTAGACCCCCGAGTTGTAAGCGTTCAATTAGCCGAACAAGTTCACGGGGATTGGGTTTGTCGAGGGAGAAAAGGTCTATCACAAAGTATTTCTTCAAGTAGTACTTTTAGTGCTCAGTAAACCCCATGGGGGGGGGGGGGGTAGAAGGTGGGTCGCTGAATTCCCTATGCATGTGAAGGGACCCGATTTCTTGATAATCTACCTGTTACACCACTCTCTGACTGCCCTTCTTGAGCTTTTTGAAGACCGCCTTGTTGCTGCTTACATCAAGAATGCGCCCTACTGAAGAAATTTGGCCGATCGAGGAGGAAGCGAGTTCAGGAGTGTCTCCTTGTTCATCTCGAAATACTCCTCCAACGTCGTCATTTTGACTCCATAGTTTTGTTTCAACCCTTGGACGTCGATCTGACGCGGGATGCGGTTCGCCAGTTCTTCAAAGGTCTGGAAAAACTCGGTGTTTTTGGTTTCTTCCTTTTCGGCCGGCGTGCGCTTGTGGAGTTTGACATCGATCCCGCTCACGCGGGCCAGGATGTCACGCACCTCCTGGGCTGACAGGTTTTCACTGGCGATGTCGATTTCGTGGCCGCCGAACTTGTTCGGGTTCAGGAGCGCGGCCGCCGTGTACCTACCCACGTCGTACCCGTCCAGGTAAGGCATGGTCCTGTCGTCGTTCAACGAGGTCACGAGCGTCGCCGACTTGGGGAGCCGGGGAAATGTATGCGAGTGGTTCGAAGTCGGCAGCAAGTAGTCGTGGTCCAACACCGGTGGACGGAGGATCGTGTAGCTTTTGACACCGCTCTCTCGGACGGCCGCCTCCACCTCGGCCTTGGAGGTGTAGTAGGCGCCCAGGAATGGATGGACCGCTGCGGCCGTGGCGACTTGCGAACTCATCTCCATCGTCCTGTAGGTCGACGAGAGAACGATGCTGGTGAGGTCGTTGGCCCCAGCCCCGGCCTTGGATGCCTTTATGACGGCATCCGCTTGCGCCCTCGCCGCCCCAGGTTCAAAGATGGTCAGGTTGAGAAACATGCCGGCACATCCCGCCGCCGCAGCTCGGAATGCCGCGTCCGGCTCTTCATGCGTGCCTTGGAACAAAACGACGCCTTTGTCCTTGAGGGCGACGGCTTTCGGAGAGGTCGGGTCCCGAACCACGGCGTGGACTTTCGCTCCGGCGGCGAGCAGTTCGGAAACCACTGCACCACCCTGGATGCCTGTGGCTCCAGTGACAAGATAGGTAGACATTGTGTTTGTGTAATGGAAGAAGTGAGTGCTTTTGTTGTGAAGTGTGTCTTGACTTAAAGGTTTGTCTTGGTGAGGTACACGCCCACTATATATGTTTCCTCGTCGCCGCTGACTAGTTCACATGGTCCGGGATCTACGCCAAAGAGCCATTACAAATCGACATGCGTTTAAGGGAAGCAGACACGACACTAACTCCGAGAACAATGGTCTGATGCGGCATTGCTCGTCAAAGCAGTGATCATGTTCGAGTTGAAGTGCAGGCTCCCCCCACTTCTCTTGATCTCAAGGTGGAAGGCGAAGGAAGAGGACCCACAATGATCTCGTTTGCCCCTTTGGGAAAGGGTCATACCATGCGGAAAGGATCTCGGCGTCTTGAACCAGTGTCATTGTTACTGTTCATGACAACGGTATTGTGAGCGAGACGACTGGAATACGGGAGCATTCAGATCCGCGGATATAATATGACTAGAAGCTTGATAGTGGCTGATAAATGCTTATGAAGCAGGTATGTTTTCACAGGATATAGTATATACAGTCCGACTGCCCAACGTATGTAATCTTATTTGGCTGCAAGAAGATTGCTTGCCAAATCTTTACCAGGGTCGTTGCTACTGGTGCTGGCAGGATATAAATCTGAACTCTGAAGTTGATCACCTCGGAACCACTCGACCAACCGCTGCCCGGCTGGCGCGTCACCGGTGTAAGGGTAGCCACAGGCCGCGGCCGGGAAATCCATATACCTCCATAGAGATTTGTCCCCAGTTTGTTCAATGTGTTCACAGATCGCCCAGCAGTCATTCTGAGCGCGTCGACGTGTCCACCAGCAGTCCTCGGCGCACAGGAGGGCAAGCCAGTACGATACAAGCAAGAGGGCTCGCGTATCGAGAGAGTTGAGGAGATGAAGAAATTGTGAAGAAATGACCTCCACGAACTGCATGTACTGTAGGAGGGCCACTTCATTTTCGGGAACAATAGGTAAGAGGCGGCACAGTCTGCGAAGAACCTTGTGGTGGGAGTTGGTCAAGGGGCCAGAAGTTTCACAAACCCCGAAAATGGTAGCGAACTCATCTGGGAGACCGTCGGTGGCCGCGGTGCCCGGTAGCCCGTCGTCTAGTAGGTGCAGAACAGTTTCCGCTGTTGGTTCCAAGGTGTTGATCCACATGCTGTCCTGCACGTTGGATTTAGATTTGAACAATGTCAAGATCGAGCCGAGACCAAGTTGGCTGCCGAGCCAGGAGAAGGGCTTCCGGCGATCTTTCAAGGGTACTTGGAAATCGTCTTCCAGATCGGCAAAGGAGATGGATCCCAGAAACATCGAGGTCGTGATGGCGGCGTCGACTTTGTCTACCTGCTGCATTTCTAGGCACCGCCTTAAGCCGGAGCAGGCTTGCATTGAATGATATGTTTCACTCAGGCATCGGTCTCGCGGTGATTTTAAATGATACCTGTAATGACACCCCGACGCCGCAAGGACAGAGTGCATGGCAAGTGGCTCCTGTTGTGTGTTTATGCGGTCAGCCTGACCTGGACCTTGAACAAGCTTCTTATGTCTCGTTTGTCATTCAGTGGGAGACTAGACCTACCTCTACAGCGATGTAGACGACATTCTGGGCGGCCATTCCCCAGCTGGACAGTGGCATCATGGTCTTCACGACCGACTCGATGAAATAGTTGAACAAGTTCGAATCAAGATTAGGGAACCAATTCAAGGGAACCTTTTTGCGGAGATCCCGGTCTGCTTGAGGCGACACTAGCAGGGTGTATGTACATTTCGCGCCGTGCTTGACACAGTTCTGACATGTCGGCGTTTGTTCATCGCACTCCTCATGATCAGCAAGTAATGACCCTGCAATCGCCACTCGAGTCGTCCACTTACCTTGATTCGGCGTCTCTTGCATGTCAAGCATCCCTTTTGCGACTTGTGATGCAGTTTTCGACGCTTGTAATTCTGGACGCGGCCGCTGGAAGATCGATCTCCAGGGAATGACAAGACTTGAAATCGACCTCCCTGATTATTTGCCATGTCTAGTACGCTATCATCGGCTCGAATGGATGGCGTGAATGGTAGTGGGATAGTCTCAAGGTCTTTCGTCGAGAATGGTAAACGAGGTTGATGGTTGGAATGGAGAATATAATGATTGATCCGGAGTTTTCATCTGGGGGTTTGAACAGTGGATCCATCCATCATTCTTTCTCGTTTACCTCTTTGGACTTGGTCCGCTTCGGCCGAGGCCAACTACAGTACAATATTGATTCACACTGGGCCCCAAGATCTTTCTTACTAATTCAAATCCCGGACCGTGGCAGGACAACATTAATAATCTCACTCCTCTCAATCGCAATTAATCCACTACTTGCTGGAGGGAAAAGACGCGGGGGCCACAGGCAATGCTCAAAATCCCAAACTTGTTCTCAGCGGGCTTGCGCGCAAAAGTAATCATAATGTCATTGCCGCGACATGGAAAAATAAGGTCTGCATGATTTCAGTAAGAATCTCTATCGAACCAGCCATTTGATTTGCCCGCCTTGTACAACGTCTTCAATTTATCCCCTCCCTCGAGCTCGTAAAACTGGGATATCTCGCCCAAGTTATCCAGCATCCTCAACAGACCGAGAAAGATCAAATCGACATAACACGGTGTCTGATTGTGGAGAAACGGGCCGCCGTTCTTCTCGTACGCCTGACCCAGTTCCTTGATTACAGGAGCGACTGTCCCAACACACTCCCTTGCTCCCTTGGCGAACTCGTCCAGCTTCATGCCCAATCGCTTCTCGCGCGCCTCGATAAAATATGCCTGACTGGGCGGGTTGAGGAGGACTTTCGGCACGAGAGGAGTAAATATAGGTCGGATGGTGTTGGTGAACTTGACCACCAGTTCCTCGATGTGTGCTTGGTCCGGTAGGTCGAAATTGAGTGACGGCTGCGGGTAGAGGTGCTCCAGCTTTTCAGCAACTGCTCGCGAACCCTGCAGGTATGAACCATCGGGGAGTCGGACGGCCGGAGAGGTGTAGGCAGGTCCTGCTTCGTTCGGGGCAAGCCCGCTGGAAGAAACGCAGAACAGCAAGTCAGTCAAAATGATAAATGATAGTGAGTACTTTCCAGCAAGGCGAGGGAGTGATGGTGAGAACATATCGAGTCAGAATGTTCAATGTTCACAACCCTCCAAGAGTCGACAAGCACCAGGTATGGTGAACCCAACCGGTCGATAGAGGATGTCTTACGTTCTCCCCAGCTTGACCCTCAAGTCAGGATACTCGGTCCACTCCGTCTCATACGGAATCTTCTTGTAGTTGAGGACCAGTCGTGCTATGCGTCGGCGTCAACATGGTGTGTGGAGTGGAGGAGAGAACATTTCACCGGTGGAAATCTTACCTTTCAATGCATTATAGCTCCAGCTCTTACCTTGTCTGGAGGGCAGGTCATATAGAATAATTGTGTCTGACATGTCGGTTCGTTGAATGGTAATGGTCAGATGCTCAGGTTGGCCCTGTCCCCAGTTCAAGAGCCCTTTCTTTCCCTATATCACCATGAGAGTACTCCCAAGATGGCTCAAACGGAGCAACTCGACGATGTCGGCTTCTCCAACTTTAGGAACTACGTAAGAGCTTCGATCATCGTAGAGTCGAGCTTGTGTATGGGTGTTGATGCTCATGCCAAGACTGACCCACGTCCGGCACGAAGAGCGATGATAGAATTCGACACCACTGATCTTGAAATGTCTCGTTGTTTCGCTTCTTTGACTCGATAGAAATCCTATAACCTAGTGAGGAAGTCCATTAGATGTTGTAATCTCTTGAAGCGGTCAAGAACACTCCTATACGAGGAACAAAACTTCAAGGCTTGCTGATATCTTCAAGAGGACCCTTCGAGGCGTGAGAAACGATGCTCTTCCCACACATACATGGAAACCTAAGCGAAAAGTTCTGCTATTGGATAGTCTGGCAAGCTGCAGAGTCTGTGAGTCCATGAAAAATCTCGAGGCGGATCACCGTTGGTCATCTTGATCAACAATGAAAGCGATTGGCGATGATCGCTGAACACCGGCACGCATGCCGACTTTCTCGTGACCCCGCTATGGGATGGGATGCGACATAGTTTTGCTTTCAGACGCAGGACGGATCTGGTAATTGCTCGTGTGATCTCTCCGATGCCGCTGAACTCCTCGTCGGTGCTATGGACAAAAAGTGAGAGAATTATCGAGTAGTGTGTCCACGCTTCCATCGGCGTTCGATTTCGTTGTATGAGTCAGAACCTGAGGGCATCTGCATTGGAAAAGACTTCAATCTGAGCTTCGGCTCCGTGCCGGCGGTGTCTCAAGCTTTCATCCAAGATCTCTCTTCTAAGGGCCTTTCATCCTTTATCCAATTGTTGATGGAGCATAGACGGCTTCAAATCGTGCGACTTGACAACTACATAGTCAAATCAGTTTACAAATACGCCTTTCTGGGATCGCCTCCCCGTGATGAAAGGACGAGAAGTCCACGACGGGCCTTCTTCCCAGCCCAGAAAAGATGCCAGTGGCAGCGATGACGAGAAATGCCGGATATCACCATTACCTGCGGTGCTGGAGAAGCAAACAAGGACGGATGTGCAGGATACACCTTCCACCATACCGCCCCAGGCCACGAACATTCCTCATATCGACGTGGAGTCTGGCTCAGAGACAGACGCGCAGTCCCTCATAGTTCCTCGGGGGTCCAGAAGAGGTCTCTTCGCCACTGTAACGGTTCTTGCCGAAGTCCGAAACCCATATCTCTATTCAAAGAGCAGAAAATGGTTCATCACGTTCGTGGTGGCTTTTGCTGCGGCTGCCACCTCGCTTGGGAGCGCCATCATTTATCGTGAGCACACATCGGAGGAATCCAGACACCATTCTTGACTCAGTTGCTGACTTTCTTTGCTAGCTGCCCTGGCAGAGACAGCTCGGGACCTCCATGCCAGTCCCACGGTGACCAACCTCTCCGTCGCTCTGTACATGCTCAGCATTTCGTTTTGCCCACTCTGGTGGTCGACCTTGAGCGAAACAGCCGGACGCCGGACAACCTATCTGGTTTCATTGTTCTTTTTTGTCCTCTTCGCCATACTTTCGGCCACAGCCAAGTCGATTGGCGTATTTGTTGCGATGCGTATGCTCTCTGGTGGTGCTGGTGCATCGGTTCAGGCAGTCGGGGCTGGTACCTTGGCCGACATCTGGGAACCTTTCGAAAGAGGCAAGGCCATGGGTCGTTTCTATCTAGGGCCCCTATGTGGCCCGCTCCTGGCTCCTATAATTGGAGGGTAAGTCATGAGATGGTTGAAGAGCTCTCCTATGGTCATCTGCTTATGCCTGTTGACATTGGAGGTATTAAATGCTGACGTTGATAAATCCAGGCTCCTGGCTGCGCGTTGGGGCTGGAGGAGCACGCAGTGGTTCCTCGTCATCTATGGTGGAATTAGTCTCGTGTTCCTTACCTTTGCACTGCCCGAAACAGTCAAGATGCACGACGATCCTCAAGCTGAGGTTGCTTCGGAGCGAGACACGATACCAATCGTCTCACGAACCCGCTTCCGAACGAAACGATTCCTTCGCCTGTCTCGCCAGGTACTGTTCGACCCACTGAAGATGGTCATGCTGCTTCGCCACCTTCCAATCCTCTTTACCGCCTACTGGGCTTCCCTCGCATTCGGCACGTTGTACATTGTCAATATTTCTATGCAAGAAGCCTTTGCCAAGTCTCCTTACAATTTCTCGGTGTCCCAGGTTGGTCTGACATATATCCCAGCTGGCGTTGGGTTTATGGTATCGGCCCTGTTTGCTGGAAGATGGGCCGATTATGTTATGGCGAGACAAGCAAAGAGAAAGAAGAGGTATGACGAAAGCGGCAAGTTGGTCTTGCGACCTGAAGATCGTATGATGGAGAATGCTTGGATAGCTGCCATTGCCTTTCCTGTAGCATTGCTTTGGTATGGCTGGAGCGTCGACCAGGGGGTTTTCTGGGTAGTACCGGTACGATGTCTTGTTGTCTTCTTCCTGTTGAAAGACCAAATCTGACGATCGATTCCTACAGTTACTGGCATCTTTGATCTTTGGCCTTTCTGCAATGCTCATCTTCGGCCTGGCTGTTACGATGCTGACCGAGTTCATCCCTCGCAAGCCTAGTAATGGCGTCGCAGTGGCCAACTTCCTCCGCAATATCTTCTCGTGCATTGGCACTATTCTGGGGGATCCGTTGATCCACGCCGAAGGGACAGGATGGATGTTCACAGGGTTGGCAATCCTTGTTAGCACGGGGACTTTGGTCATTTGGTGGATGAGGGCGAAAGGTGCCCAGTGGCGCAAGGAGAATGAAGGGAAAGTTGGATAATCAATGCGACAGGATGAAACTTATATCCCGCTCCTCATTGCTTTAGGTTCCAGGACGTCTTGCACCAACTAGTACATGCCAACAACTGCATTGACCTGATATGAAGTGATGCGGGTTTGGCATGTCTGAAAAGATGCTGGCATTTGGGAGCTAGATTGACTGGCTACTTGAGACGGTCCTGAAGTGGTTGAACTGCTATCATACGCCGACCTACCTTGTGCAAACATTGACCGCAGATGCAAAGTTCTTCCTCTTCAGATTTGACCTGGGTTTGACTCCGTGGAGTCGCACACGTGCGCGCAACGGAGGACCCAAGATCGGGTATTTTTGAAATATCTCCTTCCGGCTCTTGTTCCACCGTTATTGTAGAGAGAGATTTGTAATCTGGTCGTTGTTCCCACGGTCCACGTAAAGAAGCAGGGGAGTCGTGTCATCAACGAGTGCGCCGGGATTGCTTCAAGCCCGAACTAGAGGAGGCAATGCTGCGGACAGGAGAGAAGAATTCAGGTGCGCAGAGCGGTGGTCGCCATAAATTGAGCATTGCGTTGGTAGTAATAGCAAGTGAATCGCGCGAATAGTGCCGTCGCAGGTTCCAGGGGTCGAGAGTTTACGACGTGAGAACTATGATCGTCGACATACAGTTGTTTCGATCTAGAATGACAGATCGAAGGGAAGTTGGAAACATAAAGATACAGCATCATCGAAGGAAGAATGGTCAATCGAAACATCGCAGGCGTTGGGAATGATCCCTTGCGGTACGGAATATCTTTATACCGACGGTAGTCTCCTGCTTACTCATAATCTCGCTTCCCCCTTTCCTTGTGATGTTCAATGTCTTCCTCCTGACTACGATCCGATGCATCAGTCCTCTGCTTGCATGATCTACCATTGTCTTCTATGAAATATGTCTGAACGTTCTATCGCTATAGTCTGGCTTATTCTTGTCTGTACATCGAACTGAATCATCTGAATCCCCAAACAGCAATTCACCCCGGAACTCCGAACCATGGTCTCTTTTCATCATACTGGGCCAGAGACTACTTACGAACGACTTCTTGATCCTCTGCCACAGCCGTCCCTTCTTGTTGCTCCGACTTGTTGAATTTACGTATAACCTGCAACGTGGCGTAGTAACTAAATGGCAGGGCGAAGAACCAAAGCCCAAAATTGATACTAGCAGTGGCAATCAATGCGGTGGGAACAGCCTGCACCCCGAACCCTACTGCCACGCCAGCAGTCTCTATTCCGCGAAGCAGAGAGCTGTACCGAATCTGGTCACCTGGGGAATCTGACAGGTTACTGATGCACCAGTAAATATAGTTCTCTACCATCCCAAGGCTGATGCGCTCGAACAGATACAGACCGAAACCACGGCCAAAGGTCTTCTGGTCACCCCAATCAAGCACTGGCTCCGTGTGACGGTATTCATTTTGGATAATGACCGCCCAAATCCATGTCGCGCTGTTGAGCAGAGCGATCAAGGTGTATGTAACAATGGCGCGTGTCTGCCGACTTTTGCTCCATGGGAGATCTACAAGTGAGCCAGTGAGCCATGTTGCTAACGTCCCCACGACAGCAGACATGAAGCTGCCTAGCGCTCGAGACCGCACCGTGAAGTATGTCGCGAGATATGTCCCGGGATACGCTTGAATCCACCCAAAATACCAGAAGAGTGGTGTCAGCAGAAGGATTGGCTTGCTCCTGATCAAACGCCACATCTGCTTGAGTTCGGTTCTCCAGGCAATTCCCCTGGGTGCATAGATGCGAGTGCCATCATCTCTCCTGACCTTCTCTGGGTTCGACAGCAGAAGTCCAAAGAAAAACCCTAGGCACTGAATGGCGATGAAGGCAAGATATGTCTGATAACCGACCTTGCCACGCTGGTTCATCTTGTGATTTATCCCGAGAGAAACCGCTCCCCCTATGATATTGCCAAAGTTACGGAAAGTGAACCAAGTGGCGATGTATCGACCTCGTTTATGTTGCTCTGGGTACCCTGTGGCAATGGCACCTTCAACGCTCCAGAAGAAGCCTGCACTGATCCCACAGGCCACAGCGCCAAAGTACACGAACCAAGTTGCACCTGTACGGTTGTTGACGTATAATCCGGCCGCGTAAAGTGGATAGCCCAGGGCTCCGACAGCGAGCGTCCAACGGAACCCAATCAAGTTGGTCAGCCAGGGTCCTGCAAAACAAGTCACTGTCATGAAGGCATATAGAAGAGCGTTGGCTGCGTTGACAAGGTCAGGACTCTGAGAGCCGCCCACGCCCAGCCCATTCATGGCACTCCAAATGCCTGGCGCGCAGAATGCGCATGTCCCCACAACGAGAATTTGAAAGAGAGTCGTGCGATAGATAGAATACCGGCTCCGGTGCAAAGGTGGTTCGGCTGACTGTTGCGGACGGGGAGACGGAGGGCTTGATATTTCCTGGTCCCCAATATCCAAGACTTCCTTTCCATCGACTGGAAGTGTCGACATCTTGAGGGCAGATCTTGACTGAAGTCAGAGCTGGAGTATGCTCACTAACACAGAGTGAGAGTTTCCAGGCTACTACAAGAATACTGGAAGAGACAGAGGAAGTACCAAAATGAGAGGATAGGGAAGAAGATGCAGATTTATCAAAGTGTCCATCGAAGCCCTTCGAGGTTTCTGATTGTCTCGAAAAGCTAAATTGTGAGTACAGGCACAACTATCAGTACCAAGGAAGCACGCAAGCGAGCACGCAAACGAGCATTGATGTGATAACAGATGGCTGTTACCACTCTACCTATTTCGACATGAGCCAAGTCTGCCTAGACCAAGGACAAGAGACTTTTACTGGTGACCTGCTCCTTGGAACTGTGCTATTTGCACATTTGAATTCTCACTGTTTACCATTGGTTCTGATACTTATCATATCACTGTACCAAGGCACCCGAACTCGACCAATGGATGTACTCTCCCTTGAGTGACGGTTCATGCAAGACTGCTGACTCGACAGCCCTTCCATAAGTGGGACTTTCGCGATATTGGAACAAGATGACACCATATTGTACATGCCAGCGGAGAAGTCCTATGAGTACTTCTACCCTGCCTCGGCTTCCCCTCAAGTCGACACTCATAAACCCAACACTCGTTGTCAAACAGAATCACGACTTGTTATTGCCTTATTTGTACGCGATTGCCCAAGATTCCAGCCCCGGTGGACAGAAGGCGATTTTCACAGGCGACCGGAAAAGTCTCATACCATTCATCGCTTCGAGTGGCAATATCTGTCTGATTTCGTTAGAATAGCGATGACAGCCTCTGTGCAACATCTAGCGGGGCACTCCCTTAAGCTCGACAGTGCATCGTCACCTCTCTTGGCCTTCGAATCATTTGATCTGCCATCGACGAACCAACGTATCTTGGGAGCACCACATCCTCCCAACACGGTTATCCCACTAGCATTACGACCATCTATTCACGACAATGCGGAGGTGTCTCTGGACACGGTAGTTGATACCATAAAGTCACTCCAAGCCCAGGACGGTCTTCTGACCAAGAAACTCGCTCGTCACGGCACCCTGCTCTTCCGCGGCCTTCCCATTCACAACGCACAGGACTTTAGCAAGTTTGCCCACGCCTTTGGGTACAAGCCCCATGAGATTATAGGAATCGTCGTGGACAGGCCACTGCTTGCACCCAACGTAGCGCCTGCCAACGAGGCGCCTAAGGAAGTCTTGATATACAATCACAATGAATCACCACAGGTGCCTCATGCTCCTGAATACATCTTCTTCTACAGCCATCGTGCCCCAGCCAAGGGTGGAGAGACCCCAGTTTCATCCTCTCTGGAATTATTCGCCCGTGCCCAACAGGAGATTCCCGAATTCATATCCGAGCTTGTCCAGAAGGGAGTTCTCAGCAAGGTCACCTACAAGGTCAACAAGCAGTATGAAGGAGGCTCCACTCTTCGACAGGCATTCGGCAAGGAGATCAAGGACGGCGACAACGAAGCTACTAGGAGGGCTAAGGTCGAGGCTCAAATAGCCCGCTATGGAAGAGGTAAACACACAACCTGGGAATGGGTCGACGATGATACACTGGTCTTGACGCACCGGCTTCCTGCCGTCCGTACCCAACCAGACACCAAGCTCCCAACACTATTCACCGGATTAGCGTCGTACTATAAGAACGGCCAGGTCAACAAAGGGGCTAGGAAGAATATCGTTACCCAGCTTTTCGGGGATGGCACACCAATCCCAGAGAGATACTTGGCCCATCTTGCCAAGTTAACGGACGAACTGAGGGTCCTCCACAAGTGGCAGCGAGGCGACGTGCTTGTGTATGACAACATCATTGCGCAACATGGCCGACAACCGTGGGAAGGCGAGCAAGAGGATCGCGTCGTTATGGCTAGCCTCTTTGACGGGAACGTTCCTGGGGCATATGTAGATGAAGATTGGGCGCAAGTTGTGCAAGCTCTCGACGGATGATGCTGTTTATTTATGGCAGAGGATGCAAGGATCTATCTTACTAGGCATCATTCAACGCTTCAGACGCATTGATGTTACCAAGAGATGCTTCTATTTGATATACAAGATCAACCATATGAACAAATGTTGTGTACCATCAGTTACCTGCCTGTTTATTGCCTGATCCGTTGATGTTTCAGTAGCGATTGTTGTCCAAACATGCTATTATACTCTCGTCATATTTCTCTGGTCATTCAGTCATGACTAGCTCGATGCTTCTGCTGTGTCGGGGTCTCCCTTACGACCAAAGGAGTCGTGAACAAGCATCATTGTCATGTCTCGGAGAGCAGGATAGCTTTCCACGATAGGCCAGATGATACAAGCCAGGGCACTGAAGAAGATCCACATCAGACTCACGACGACCCAACCTTCGAACGCTGCTTTGGTGAAGATCCATCCCGTGCCGTAAAAGGTGAAGGGGAACAGAATGATGGCGACGACAAAGAAGACCGCGCAGCTCCAATAAGCCAGCCGCCGGGCCTTGTGGTACGACTTGAAGTCCAGAGGCTCGATGTGGTTTGTGGTGAGATAGTCGACCACATCATTGCCCGTAGTAGGAGCCGCCGCCACAATTTCTGAAGGTGAAGTACTCGTGGCCGTTGTCATCTTGTTGGTGGTCATATTGGTCGGTGGATGATCAGGGGCCGTTGTCGGCTCTGTCTTGTCACTGCTGGTGGTGGTGGTGGTAGGATCAGGAGTTAGAGCTACCACGTCTCCGGCGACCATCACTTCCTGTCCGCCAAGCACCGCGGTCCCTCGAATCTTTTCCACGCGGGCAACGTGTGCAGGATCGGTCGAGGTGTATTTGTACGGAAAGAAGATCGACAGGGCAACGACCGCAACTGCGCCGGTGCCGCAGGCTGTGGCACTTCCGGCCAGGGCGTTGGTCAAGTCGCCCGTGGTGACCGCAGTGATGGATCCGGACCTGATGTGTGTGGTCACAAACCAGGCGATCAGTCCCGACGGTGAGGCGATCAAAGGAGCGCCGATAGCAGCAATCGTCGAAACCCTCGTCGGAAACAGGACGATAAACCCAAGTGGGATGCCACCGCCTCCGACGAGAACGCCGCCGGCGGTGATGATCCACGTGATGTCGATGCCACTGGCACTCAGTCCACAGCAGAAGGCGGCCAAGAGCAGAGAATAGACCACGATGCCGTAGTGTGCCTGCTTGACCAGTCTCGAGGACGACGCCGATGGATTGATGTAGAGCTTGTATACGTCAAACGTCCAGAGGGATGAGACTGCGATGAGCTCGGCCGACGCGGCAGACGTGACGGCCATGAACAGCAACAGCAGCATCAAGGCGGCTCCATTCTTGCCCATGAGTGCAATCGCAGTGGCAGGGGCTGAAAATCCACCGCCGACCTGAGCAGGCGTCAGAGGGTTGGGATATGTCGGAAACGATGGCGAGCCGGTCAAAGCCACGGCACCCAGTCCCATGGCCGTAGCGAACGCGTACGGTATACCGTACCATGCGAGCTAGCTTCATGTTAGCATAAATCAAATGGGCCGCAGAAGAGTAGTACAAACTTACACCACCTAACAGATATGCCTTGACACTGGTTTCAGGCTTCGAAGCAATGGCTCGTTGCCAATACGCCTGATCCATCCACACTGTCGAAAAGCTGCCCAGGAAAATCAGGACTGCGAACTTGATTCCGGTCGTCGATCGAAATGTGAGCCACGAGCCATCCCGGTTCCCTGCAAGCGGAGTAGCTTTCGAAGCATCGACCAACAAATCGTAAACTCGCCCCGGGCTGCCAGCGTAGTCGTCCGAAGTGTATAACGTAAAGGCAAAGATGAAGATGGCCACAAAGAGGATCACAGTGTGGAGATAATCGGCGACAAAAGTGCTTCGAAGACCTCCTTGGATGACATATGCCGCCACGGCGATTGGGATCTGGCATCACACCAGTCCATGTTAGCGTACTGTATATCCCACTTTTCCCGTACACAACAACTCCTTACAATGAAACACGCTGCGTAGACGTTTACTCCAGATAGTCCCGCTAGAACCTGTGATCCGCCGAGCACCAAGGTGGCACCGACGACTGTATGTAGTGTGGGGTTAGTGTCGATATGCTTGAATGGAGATATCGATGATCTCGACAAATAAACACTCACACATGTTGACGACCCAGCCAAAGAAGGTGAAGATGCCATGAGCCACTGAGCCACGAGTTAGTGCACCAGCCAGGATTACCAAACGAGCGGCACACGTACCTTTACCGTGGCGTGAGAGCACAATTTCTGGAAACGTGTGCGCCCCTGGAACGTCTCTTTTCACTCGAAGTGAGAGTAGTGCAAACAGAATGACCTGCGACGAGCCGAGAGCCGCGTACCACATCGGGCCAGAGATGCCAAAGCTGTATGCGAAAGTGGAGCTGGTCAAGAGGGTAGCAGACCACGTCCAAGCCGAGACGATGCCCGCGACGATGAGACCCGGCTTGACGTTCCGCGACGCCGTGTTGAACTCCTCGGACTGTTTGGTCGAAAAGGCAAAGTATCGGTTCTGGAACTTGGTGGTGAGGATCATGATGAGACTAAAAGCCGCGCCGATCCCTGCGATAATGCCATACCCGACCCCGGGGCTGAGCACTCTCAACTCAGGGCCGACCGAGTACGTTGACATGATGATGTCTGACACAACTGCGATTCTTCAAGAACGGAACAAATGGTATGTCGAAGACTTGACCGCCTCTGTCGTTGTCGTATCGACCCATGTTTATATATCTGTACATCACAATGTTCGAGAGATAAGACATCTTTAGGTATTTGGTTTGTTTGAATCCCACTGGGGTCTCAAAGATAAGGGATTCGGGCTGGAGATTCCAAAGTCGTTGATTTAATCAACGTATCGATGCTATCGCTATCTAGCAGTGCATCAACTATATTGAAAGGTCGAGTTGCCGTCGGTACGGAAGAAAGGCCCAGGCGTCTTTCGACAACGTTGCCGCAGTTGAGAAGTTCAACGGCGCCTACGCTAAGGAGTTGCCCGCCACCGATCACGGCGGCTATCCAACGTTCTTGGAGGAACAGAGCACGTAGGCGCCGTTGATAACTGTTTTAGGGGCGCTGAGTTTGAACTTGCGGCTTATCACTCAGGGTATACCGCGTATCGTAGACAATTTATCAGGCCCAACAGGTTGTATGTTGCCGCCGTTGATTAGCCCCCAGCCTCGACTTCTTCCAGAATGATAATGCGCAGTCAGTCTTGCACAGCCAGAGGCCTAGATAAGTGCAGAGCACTGGACGGACTGGGTGGTGTAGGAGATAAAGAATGCACCGCCTTGGGCGTGTCACTGATCGGGAATGGTGAAGGTAAACATCGTTTTGCTAGTTCATCTGTCGTCGCCAGCTTCGTAGCCGCGGTTACCTCTCCAAATGAAGAAAGACTTTAGAAAGTCCATAAAAAGGGTGGCATGTCGCACTCGAAGAGCAATAGTATTTCCTTCTATCAACTGATCGGTAGGCTCCCCAATGGCTTCAAGTTGGGAAAAACTTGCTTCCAAGAAGCGAGATTCCATTCTGGCTGCTATTCCTCTAGAATGGCGACTACCACAACCGCTTCCTACCCCCGAAGCCCAGAAAGTCGTTGCTGGGTCGTATGTTCGGCAGTTTTTGTCCGCTCGAGAGGTTGAAATCACCGAAAACGACGCGGTGACCATCACTGAGCATACGACGAGCGGTAAATGGAAGGCAACAGAAGTCGTGACAGCCTTTTGCCACAGAGCAGCTCTCGCACACCAACTGGTCCGTAGCATCTCAACGTGATAGAACAAATGATCAAGTCGATGCTGACCGGCCGATGTGTAGACAAATTGCCTTCACGAGATCTTCTTCGAGCAAGCAATCGAGCATGCCAAACGACTTGACTCTGCATTTGCGGCCGGGAACGGTCCTATCGGTCCTCTCCACGGGCTTCCCGTCAGCTTCAAAGATCAGTTCCATGTTAAGGGCGTGGAGACGACCATGGGCTATGTTGGCTGGATCGATACATTTGAAGGCCTCAAGGGAACCGGGAAAGAGAAGAATGTCGATAGCGAATTGGTCCGAGAAGCCAAAGCATTAGGAGCAGTGCCTTTCTGCAAAACGAGCTTGCCTCACACAGTAATGAGCGGAATTACCTGGAACAACATCGTGGGCTTCACGTTGAATCCACACAATCGTCTTCTTAGCTGTGGTGGCAGCTCGGGAGGTGAAGGAGCCCTCATTGGCATGCGTGGAAGCCCGATCGAATTTGGAACGGATATTGGTGGGAGTATCAGGTCAGTCTCATCGTGGGACCTTGGAGTTCAGACATATTTCAACTGACTGAACTCAAAGGATACCATCCGCCTTCAATGGGCTGTACGGTATCAGACCATCGTTTGGTCGTTTGCCATACGCAGGAGCGGCCAACAGCATGCCGGGTCAAAATACGATTCCCTCAGTTTGTGGACCACTGGCAACCTCGCTTGGAAGTTTGAAGTTGATGCTTCAAGCCATTTTGAGTCAGGAACCATGGCAGCACGATCCTGCAGTTGTGGAATTACCTTGGAGGGACGACCTTTACACGCCGCTGTCCGCATTTGGCGCCAAGTTGACATTTGGGCTTCTCCCTACTGATGGGCTTGTTAATCCCCAGCCAGCAATTAGGCGTGCCTTTGAGACAGTGAAAGACCTCATCATTTCAATGGGCCACGAGGTGGTGGAATGGAAACCTCCTTCCCAGCAAAATTTAGTGAAACTCGCAGTAAGTCCTCACGGCCACCAAAACTTGATGTGTTCTCCATACTGAAAAGGGCCACAGCTTGAGGTTTTCACTGCTGACGCAGGCCTTGATATCTGGCATCACATTGGGCTTTCCGGTGAAACTCTTGCAAGTGACGTTGCAGCGTTGTACGGAAAAGAGCCCGGCACGCCGAAGACAGTCGACAAGATGTGGGAGGCCAATCTGCGTCTTCGACAATACCAGAAGGAGTACATGGATTACTGGAACAGCACTGCCACCATGACTAAGTCAGGAAGACCTGTTGATGCCGTTTTGACGCCGGTGTCAGCCGTACCAGCATTTCAATTTGGCAAATCAATTCCGATCGGTGGGTTCTGCTTTCATGAGCTGACGTTGCTGGAGCTGAGATGAGCATAGGGTACACGCCATGGGTCAACGCACTGGACTATACGTCGGTCGTATTTCCCGTGACCAAGGTCGACAAAAATATTGACACTTTCGACGACCAATATCGGCCGATAAATGAAGCAGACAAGCAGGCGTGGCAAGAGAGTACGTGTCCTTCTGGCGTCGACAGATGTTTCAAGTCGCTGACAACTGATTCTTAGATGATCCCGAGCTTGAACACGGCACACCTGTTGGCCTGCAACTTGTGGGGCGGAGACTCCAAGAAGAAAAGATTCTGGGTCTGGTAGACTTGATTTCAACGTCACTAGCTGCTAAACAGAAGATCATGTAGTCGGCATGTGGCTTGCAAGAGATATGCTAGCATGCCACTCAAAGCAACAAAAGCCGAGTACCTAGTTGATTCATAGCGGCGACCCAACTACATATCTCTCTGCCTCCTGGCTGCGATGCTCGAGTCTTCCAACACTCCTCTAGGATTTCCAGTGTCCACATTGTCATGACCAGGGGATGCGTGCCTTCTTCAAATGGCGGAAATAGTGCACGGAAGCGTGAATACTCTGATTCCAAGGCCAGACAACCCGCTACACAGTATGGCCAAGAGGGGATGTTATGCGCCGAGTAAGTGCGCATGTACTCGAGTGCGGCCAATGTCTGAAGGACAGAGTTTCGAATTTCGGGTATGTTAGGGAAGTACCCCGAGACGACGACGTGAAGGAATACAAGGGCAGCATGGATAAATGTGCTGGTAATCATTCGGAATTCTTCGTCCCGTGATAAACCTGCCGATGCTGAAGATGACGGAGTTGAAGTGGAATTGGTGCCCAGAGTGCCGCCATTAGGTATGGAAAACGAAGTTGAGGATGGCATCGATGATGATCGTCGTAGAGGACGAGCACATCGCGCGGCACCATCTTGGAGTTTCCTCTCAATCAAGGCTGCACGGCGGTTAAGTTCCCGTAGACTGAGTGTGCCAGCCTGTGAGGCTTTCTGTTTCCAGTCCTTCAGGACAGCGATTTCGAGAATGGTGAGGAGAACCCAGTCCTCGCACCCACGCAGGTCCCTGAGCTTGTCCTTCTCGGGCTGATAGATAGCTCTGATGCGGCCAATAGCTTGAGCCGATTGCGGAGTCATTCCGAAGGTGGCGGTAGCACAGACAAAGACGTAAGTATACCAATCAAGGAAAAAGGTGAAAGCAGACTGTTCGCTGTCAGAGAGGAGGTGGACGGGGATATCGGTTCGGATAGAGTCGTCAAACCCTTCAGACGGGGATGCTGGTATAGGCGTTGTATTTCCTTTGCCTGGGATGATTGAGTTCGAGGCAACATCAAGAGTTGACAGAAGAGCGCTGGCGGCGTCGAGATGCATTGTCCAATCGCTGACCCCAAAACCTCTCCTGGGAATCCAGAGCTATGTAAATATGAAAATTTCAGATTAGTTTCAGGTTCTGAATGTAAAACAAATGCAGAGAAGCCTTGACAGGTGAAAGCGAATTCGGGGTGAGAATGGGTTAGGAGAAATAGGAGCTACAAACCTCAAAAAATATGAGGTGAATGATACACACGAGCGCCTCAACCCCGGCTGCCATCTGACTAGCACCTGTCTTTGTGGCCAACTGGTCGAGATGGTCGCGCAGATCAGCCACACTTTGCAGATGCTGCATCTCCAGGTCGTGGTAAGGTTGGGGAACATCAGTAAGCGGTCCAAGGAGGAATTGTGCTTTGTCACACGCACTCAGACAAACGACCGCGGTGTATAGGGGTCGGATGCGTAGAAACAGGTTGAGAAGCCACCCTCGACCATTGTCTGCTGCCGAGTATTTGAAGAAGGGAGCAACACGTGGAAAAATGTGATCTAAGTAATACATAATCAGGTTGAGTTCGGATTCGGTAAACGAGATGGGCGCAAAGGAAGGAGGGCTAGGGTCAGTGCTGCATCGATTCGATATGTATGTCGAGTTAGAATAGAGCAAGCCGAGATTGCTTCTTCTAGGCTCATGAGACTTTCTGATCGCAAGACAGCAATCTCGATCGTATGGAGGTGTGGTGCGTTGTAGCCGCTGGGAAGATCTGTCCAGCATCAAGATTGAGCTCCGCTGGGTCCATGATGATGAATCTGGCGACGGGGATTCCACGAAAGACCGACCAGTTGCAGCCCCTGAGCTAGAGTCATAGTTGCAGAGAGAGTCGTTATTGGCAGCGGTGGTTTTGCACCTTCGAGTGCGCCGTAGTCTGTAACTCTCCTTGATGCGTCGCTGGAGGGTGCCCATCATGTTCTTCTCGGTTGGACCGCCATCCATCCAAACCGGCTTTGCATCATAGCCGTAGAATGTTATCGAACGTAATCTACAAGATGAGCAGGCCGGGCGGGCCTCGTCGCACTTCTTTTTGCGAGCCCTGCATGTCCAGCAGCCGCTGGTCTTGCGGGGCATTGTTTCAGATGAGACGTTTGGCCATCCCTCGTGCAATGATCAAGCGAGGCTGCATCGGGATCGAGTCCGCGCTTTAGAATAACACTGACTGCTTGGCCTCAACAACTTCCAGGTAGGGCGTGCAGGTTGAACTGAAGAGACTCCTGGTCGTTGTTGCAGGGCATCACTGAGAACGAAAACAATATGTACCTCGTACCTCGGACTCTTATCGGGAGATTGATTAGTGAGTCTGACCTGATTGGTTGAATGGATGACCAAGGGTGGTTTGACCTTCGTGTTCGTATTCGTACCGACAATATTGAAGGCATTGATGTATGAACGAGTCTAAGCCTAGGTACTTATGCGTCGTTGTATTTCCAACTTTCGTAGGGAGGAATAGGAACAAGTTAAGACAAATTCAAGTTTGCAAAGAATTCCGAGTAATCCTGGCAATACACCAGGTAAGACAGCTGCGACGTGGACGTCTGGGTGTACAGAAGCCTCATGTTATGGTCGAACATTCAGGAAACGTGTCATGAGTCAGTGCTTTTCGATGCTCAGGGTCATCTCTGATCTGGACTTGGACCTTGAGAAACAAGTATTGGGAAATAGGACGATCTGGAGCTGGTTTCTCGCCGAGCTGCCAAACGCGCTATCTGCAAACATAGCTTCAGAACAAATCTATCTCTAATATACAAACATCAATATATACATAGTTGCGGAGTACACACCTTGAAACCCAGAAGTCAAAGATATTGTACTCGAATCTGATTGCCTCGTCCACAAAGACGATCGCATAAATAGGTCATGGCGCAGCACATGAAAACGGTCTCAATCCATAAAAGTGCTTGGTCCTTCCTGGGGGCCTAGTCATAATTGGCTCATGATCTGGAAGCATCTTTTTGACTCTGAGAACTGGCGCTCATGACCGGTTGGTAGGTCGGAAGAACCTGCTTTAACTGCTCTTTCTGCTTCATCTTGCCATAGCCGTAGACAAGGCCACTGAAGAAGCCCAGCAGAATAGCCGAGATACTGCCAAATGTGACAGGAGCATCGAAAAAGACGATGCCGCTGATGGCAAGAGGAAGCTTGTTCAGATAACCAACAAACGAGTACGTTGTGGATGAGGTTTTGCGAATGCACCAGGCAGAAGAGTACGAGATGAAGATGGCGCCCAGACCAGAGTAGAACATGCCAATCATGATATTGTTCCGTGACTCGGCGGGGAAATTCTTCGCAAAGTTGGCCGCAGACCAGTCCTCGGTGATCAGAGAGCAGATAATCATTATGGGGAGGGAGAGCAGGTTGTTATAGAACATGGCTGTGGTATAACGGTTAATTTGCGTTCACAAGTCTGGCGTTGGATATCATGGAGCAATAACAACTTACTATCCCAATCTTTGAAGTTCAGTGAGGTGATGAACTTGCGCGTGCCCAGAACATACGACGCAGTGCAGAAGACGTTTAGCCCCATCCAGAAATAGCCGGCGTTCAAGGTCGAAATGGCAGCGGTGGTTTCGACCGAATGTCCGACGCCCTGCAGTGCAGCTTGTATATCTGCCCATGCAGCAACAATAGAGCTGAGCACCATGAAGCCGAACGATAGCAAAAGTAGTGGAGTAACGCTGCCGCCAAACCATAGGACCTCACCATAAGCAATGACGATGATGGTTAAATTCTTGAAAATCGTGTAGACTGGAACCGATAGAAATTGAAGCGCCTTGGTGCTGGTGTAAATCATGCCGACGAAGACGACGGACACGGGGAGCCCTGATCCAGTATTAGCACGAGCCGTTCACTGGCTGCGGCGGACATACATTTCTTGACCTTGCTGCTCTCCAAGGCAGCCAGCTTTGGAATCATGCCCATGTTTTTCAAAACCAGGATTGCAGCCGTGCAGATCATGGACTACCGAGAATGTATCAGCCGAAGGACCTTGACATAGTCGCAGAGTGACCTACCTGAATGGCCAGATACAAGAAATTCAAGCTCCACGATGAGCCGGAAACGACATATTTGTTGACAACCGTCATACTGATCGATGAAAAACAGTAGGCCAGAACAGCAGCACCAGGATTGTTCTCGAGTTGCGAGAGTGCACTACCCTTGCTGCCATTGTCGCCCGGTGGCTGATGGGGCGCAGGCTCCGAGAGGAACTTCTCCCGTTCACTAAACTCCTTGTCTTTCATTTTGCTGATATCTCTTGTCTCTGGATTCTCGTTGTTCTTGTCTGGCATCACCGTCTCATTGTTGTATCGAAAGATTCAAAAAGCGATGCTTCGGAGAGGGTTTTGGACGAGACGAAAAGCTGGCGACCCTCGGGGGTGCTGTGCAGTCGGGATATGTGATCGACTCGAAGGAATTAGGGCCGATAACTGAGACACCGCTCCGTGCCCTCTACTGTAAGTTAAAAGTGTCTAAAGACTGAACCGGCCAAAAAAAGAAACCGACGCTGAGACACGAAAAAGATCGAGTGCGATGTAAGGGCGACGCGTTTAATTGCGCTAGACATGAAAATTACCGAGATAGGCTTAGACGCTACGGCGAGGCAGAGACGCCTGTTTGACCCCTTTAATTGCATGCAACGCGGCCAAGGATCATAATCGTCCTTTTCACATGAACAACGATTGTTAGCGGTCTCCTTCGAAGCACAGGGTGTCCGTAATGTTTCACAGAGTCCATCTCCAGCTCTCAGCCCCGTTGAAAACAGCCCGTTCGTTGTCAGCTGCGCGGTTATAGCTGGAAAGTTTAGCCCAAGCTGCAATGCTCGTGATTATCAAGCACGCCTGAAGAGCCATCGTGACGCCCAATCCTGTGGTGTACGTTGGGGCTTCCTTCTGGAGGTATATCGTGCTGCCTAGCAAGCCGCCAATTGTCCCCCCGGCAATGTTAAGGACGGAGGCAACGGATCGTTTGGATGATCCTACGACATTGTTTTGCCCGAAGATCAGGATAGCTGAATTGTTAGATTGACACGCCGCAATCGCTAAACATGTGCCTGCATATCGAGTCTCAGGAGAGAGATTGAGCTGGGAGATCACTTGACGATTGTCAGCCTAAAGCCCCGACGAACCGAAGGATCAATGAGAAGACTTACTGGCGAGGCCAACAATGCCTATGCAGCCTTGTATGATGACAAGGGGAAGTCGACGCTGCATTCGATCGGCAAAGTACGAACTCAGGAGCAGGAACCCAACTGCAACCAGATACGGCGGAGCACTATACAAGTTTGCTTGAAGGCCAGAGTATCCGAGTCCCTGTTTTGATGGTTTTTATTAGGCTGGACAGACTCGACGGTTCGTGGTCAACTTACCACCAATATAGATGGCACGTAAAAGGCCAGACCATACACCATGCAGACGTTGCACAGATACATGAACGTGACGAGCCAGATGGTCCAGTCTCCGAATGATCAGCGACGTGTGCAGGATGAACTTAATTGCCAGCTCACCTTTCAAATCTTTGAGATTCTTGAGAGTGACTTGTGAAGTTGCCGCATCACCCCTGTCCTCGTTCAACTCTTGCATACGTATCTCTCTCTCCCGCTGCGAGAGGAAAGTGGCTCTGTCGGGGAAATCAACGATGAAAAAGTAGGTTGGTATGGCAAATGCTGCAGTTACTGCCCCCTCGATCTGACACATGTGAGCTGAAAGGTCCTACTAAATGCGAGTAGAGAACTTACTGTGAAGATCCACCTCCAGCCAAGCCATCCGGCATGACCTTCCAGCAATGCAAGCGCGTAGGCTAACACTCCTGCAAAAGAGCTTGCCACCAGACCAATGCTGTAAAGGATGGCGAGCATCTTGTGAGCTTCGTACCGAACATACCAGCTGGAAATCAGGTAGATGCATGCCGGGAAAATGCTGGCCTCGAAGGCTCCGACCAAGACACGACAAAAGGCGAGAACACCCCAGTGTTTGGTATGGCCTTGCGCTAGCGTACTCACGCCCAAAGCAAGCATCAAGAATGCCAGAGTCTTCGCAACTCCGAACTTGACGAGAGCCATATTTCCTGGTAATTCGGCTCTTTCGTTGGTGTGAGAAATCCAGGCCGTTGATGTGGAGCGACGAACGAGACTTACATCATATAAGCCGGAAAGAAGACAAGCAGGCACACAGAATACGGAGCACTTCCATGCATGCTCAAATCCTCGGTCATTCCAACGACCTTGGCCTAGTAGACGGTCAGATATCCACAATTGACTCTTATAGGGCTGGGTGGTACAAGCAGACCTGCCCAATATTGACTCGATCGATAACCGAGAATGAGTACACTATAGCCAACATGGGTATCAGGTGAATAGAAATCCTCCTTGAGAGTCTGCGTTTCTCCGAGTCACCAACAGGGATGCCCTTATCCGGAATGTCACCCCCTTTGTCCGTCGACATCATCTCATGATGCTCTGTCGCAATAATCTCGGCCTTGTCAGCCACTGCGTTGATTGTACTGCTCATGTTTGGAAGGTGAGGGAGAACGAGAACAGCCCAGCATGCGACACGGAGAAGTTGACGAGAGAGAATGCCCGCAGACATATACTTGACCTAAGATAGAGGTACCTCCTCTGCACCATTTCTCCAACATCGCCGAGGATCATGGACTCAGTCGACTCTTGGCCAACTTGTGACTGATGTTATGTTTTCCTTCGCTGACAGCATATTTGGAGCACCAAGATGGCCCTTCTAGACAGTTGCAGCACCGGTCAAGGCAAACAATACGTGCAGTTTCATAGCCTAGAGTTGGGGATCCCCACGAAAATAGGTTGATACTCGTGGGGTCGAGAATCACAACGTCCGTGCCAAGGTACATGTACACCCTGCCTGCATCACTGTTTTCCAACGAAAGGAATGATCATCACATTGCCAAGCTCTGTTCTCGACTTCGAGGCCCCCATCTCATGCTGAGTTACCCCACATACCCTTTTTGCGGAAACGGTCTGGGGAAGCCTATGTCGAATATGTAACTGCGTGAAGCAAGAGAGAAACGCCTGGTGGATTTGAGATTTTGGTCCATCGACGGTGAAATTAGGAGACGAGAACGAAAGTGGGAGAGATATAGGTGGAGGAGGAAAGAGACTTTGGAGAAACCAGTGGCTTGTCAAAAGAACCGACCCCCAGGGGCATCGGCCGAATACCCCACAAGATGATCGCTTCTGAGATTTGTAGGCTTCCCTCCACATTCTCACTCCTAAGGTATCATTGCCAGCCTGCTTGAAATGGTCCAAGCCAGGAGTATAATGAACATCACCTTGCAACACCACATGTTATGTGTTGCCACGTTGCCTTACGGCATACAATGATGAAAGAGCATGGTGGGAGGGTTCACGTAAGTCACAGAGAAGGGGAGGATGCATCGACAGCACGGCTGCAAAGAATCCAGATTGACTCGTCACATTTTGTCCACCATATCTACATGAAATGTATCACCCTTGTCAGGCGGACAGCCATGCTTTGATATTCTCAAAATGTCACTCGAACAGTCTTAGTCTTGGCTGCTATACTTGTCTTCTCTCCTTGAACCTGTTGTTCAGTACCATCGACTGAGATAGTCTTGATGCCCTTGTTCACTATCTGAAGCGACCAATCCGCCGGCACAGACCCCTTCACCACCTCGACAACAATATCATCTTTGGATCCTGCAACCTTGAGAGAAACAGCGATCTCCCCCGGCCGATCGTGAGAAGCTATATCAACGGTCTTATTCAAATCATCGGTATGGTTGACCATTAGATTGAAGCCATTGCTCCAGTCATACACCGTCTGACCATTGCTCTGTCCGGTGACAATAGCCGACCCTGGCCGCAGAAACACAGGAATTGAGAAGTAATCGTGCTTCTCGGTAACATAGCCAGGTCCATTGCGAATTTTCCCATCTATCAGGCCATACCACTGTCCTTTCGGGAGGTAGAAGGTTACGTCGCCTTCGTTGTTGAACACGGGGGCAACGAGGAGATTGTCACCCATGAAGTATTGGGTGTCCAAAAACCAGGAGATCGGGTCTTCGGGATATTCCAGGAATGACGCTCTTAGCATCGGCACACCGGTCTGGTGCGTCTGTAGGGCTTGCGAAAACAGGTACGGCATAAGAGACTGCTTGAGCGTCACAAACTTCTGCAACACCTTGTCCGCTTCGCCAGAGTCATCAATCAGCCAGGGAGCTCGGAAACTACCGCTTCCGTGCAGTCGAGAATGACTGGAAAGCAGGCCAAACGCAATCCATCTCTTGAAGAGGCCAGGATCCGGCTTGCCCTCGAAGCCACCAATATCGTGTGCCCAGTAGCCGAAGCCCGAGAGGGCAAGGCTGAGTCCACCTCGGAGTGTCTCAGCCATGGCCTCGTATGTGCTGTAGGGATCGCCGCCCCAGTGAACAGGGAATTGCTGACATCCCGCAGTCGCTGATCGTGCGAACAAGGTGGCCTTGTGCTTGCCGAAGTTCCGCTCCAGCACCTCAAAAGTCACCTTGTTGTAGAGGTAGGCATAGTAGTTGTGCATTCTACCGGGGTCGGAGCCATCAAAGTACACGACATCGCCGGTAGGAATTCGCTCGCCAAAGTCCGTCTTGAACGAGTCGACTCCCATGTCAATCAACTTCTGGAGCTTGTTCTGGTACCAGACGCAAGCTTCAGGGTTTGTGAAATCGACGAACCCCATGCCGGCTTGCCAGAAGTCATATTGCCAGACGCTGCCGTCACCACGCTTCAGAAAGTATCCCTTTTCGGCACCCTCGTCGAAGATCTTGCTTTCCTGCGCGATGTAAGGATTGATCCATACACACACGTGCAAGCCTCGATCATTCTTCATCCGCGAAAGCTGCCCCGTCGCGTCGGGGAACATGTCTTGGTCGAACTCGAAATCGCACCACTCGAATCCACGCATCCAGAAGCAGTCGAAATGGAAGACGCTGAGAGGGATATTACGCTGTTTCATGCCATCAAGGAACGTTGTTACTGTCTTCTCGTCATACTCCGTTGTGAAGCTGGTTGACATCCACAGTCCGAATGTCCACGCCGGAGGTAGTGCTGGCTTACCCGTAATGAGGGCATACTTTTCCAGGACGGATTTTGGATGCGGTCCGTAGATCACGTATATCGAGAGTGTCTCACCAGGGACGGCGATGTTGACTCTTGTCGTCCGCTCGGATTGGACTTCCAGAGAGACAAGTGCGGACGTGGGGATAAAGACACCGTAGCCTCGGGAGCTCAAGAAGAACGGGATGTTCTTGTAAGTAAGCTCAGAACCGGTGCCACCGTCGTCGTTCCAGAGTTCGATGGACTGGCCATTCTTTTGTAGCGGGCCGAATCGTTCGCCGAGACCGTAGAACTTCTCGCCAACGCTGACTTGGAGTTGATATGTGGTCCACCGCTCACCTCGGTTGGGGTTGGTGTAGTTTGCTTTCGGATGGAGCGCGGTGGTGCCCTTCTTAACATAGCCTACTGAGCGCCAACCCAGCTTGGTGAGGAGTCGGTCTTTGGCAGTAAAGTCAATGTTAAAGGACTTTGGTTGAGTGTCAACTCTGGCGCCAACGCTCTCCGTCTCCAAAGACAAGCTGGTTGCGTCCTTGCATATGCGTGGTTGCTGTGAAGGTGATATCTGGCCCAGCCACATTAGCAGTGCTCTAACTTGACCTGGAGTCAAGACGCTTACCTTGCCATCAGGGAACAATTCGAAATGCGGACCTTGTGTGATGGCTTTGGTGCCCTTCCAATGCGTCGAAGAGAGGTAGAGAACATCATCGATGGGAGAGCTAATATGATGTGTCAATGTAGGATTGTTGAGGATGTCACCTCGAAAATTGATCGGTTTAGAACATGTCACAAAATGTAGACTATCGTCTCGTGCTTCAGCCTTGACAACCTCGACCGCCCAATCTATGATTGTGTCGGCAGACGGGTGCCAGCAGCCGTGTGAGAACTTCACCATGTTTGAAGCGGCCACTGAATGAAGGAACTCGTCGTAACCAAACGGAGCGGAAGTCTGGCTTCTTTAGACTCACTGGTTTGAGGCTGACTGTACCCAGTCGACGTCTATGAGGTTACTATAACGTCAGGAGAGAGTGGATCAAGACTTTGCTGGACACGTGTATAGCCTCTCAAACAGCCAGACATGGAAGGAGGAAAAGGGACTAATACCCGGATGGGTCAGGGTACCAGACAGCTGGGTGTGATACTCCGTATCGTACCTGCATATTAGCCGAGATATAAGTGAGTATACAGGAGAAAGCACCGGGGATCCAGAATTTGTGTATTCTCAGAGTGAGATCTCAAGGAAAAGCGAGAATAAGAGACGGATAAACGGGATATCGGATATCAAAGCGTTGGCTGCAGAGAGATTTCCTTTGCGCACAGAATAGCAATTGTGGAAAACATCATTTTGCCTGAATTCGAAACAAGAACTTCTAGCAGAGATCAATGGAGTCTTTCCATCCCTAGGACGGACAGAAAAAGTAATCGAGACCGCGGAAGAGGTGAAAATATTGCGTGACAAGGCTGGACGGCGAGGTCGACAGTCAGCCTTGCTAACAACTTCCAAAGGCTTAACTACTTCTAGTCTCTTGGCAGCCTTGGCCTTGTATCGACACGGATCGTTGCTTCCTGCTGTCCTATACAGTTCTTCCTGCATACTTTGCTTCGACATATCGAGGCTATTCGGGAGTGCATAACCACGTCCATTCTGAGAAGCACGAGCTGTGGACTTTTGTATGGGATGATATGGGTTGACATCCTCTCACGCGCGAGTCAAACGCGACACCTCAGTTACCTATGGACCCTGAGCGGAGGATTCTGAATCGAATCCACTCCACCCGAGGTTTTCGTTCACCGCAGAAATGACTCGTACGTATTGTAGATGGTTGGCCCTTGCTTACGAAGAGCGAATAATACTCGATCACCGCCGTACTAATCTTCTCTCGTCATTCCATTATGCCAAGTCCTCAGACATCAACTGACTCTCAAAGCACTCGAGGCCCAAGAACCAAGACGGTGGATCTTTTCTCCACGGTTTTTCCCATCTAGCAGCACCCAGAGCCCGGTTGCCATTGCGAAGACTCCAACCACAGTCACTGCGGTTAATATACTTGATGGAGTCTGCAATTAACCCGTGGGATTGCCACTTTTGTCGCAAAACGTGGGCGGACTCCATATGGAGACGAACCATGTGTCATTCCGAGTTGCTGTTTTGTTCTCTGTATATATAAAAGTGCTTGCACGTCAAGGGACTACTCTGGAGAGGGTCAGAATTGATATCTCATCCTCGCCAGATACATACACCTACCACCATGTCTACTAAGCAGGCTGTAAACCTTTACACCTGGGGTTGCGCCCTTTTCGCAGCTGTAAGCATCAGCCGCCGCCGACAACAACTATGATAGAACATCACTGATCTGAAGTCCTCTGTAGGTTGGTTCTCTGCTTTACGGTATCGACTCTGGTATTGTTTCGACCACCATCTCACACCCGAGTTTCCTCGAGTACTTCGCTCCCTTCAACCCGAGCATCAAAGGTGCCGTTGTCAGCACCTTCGGAGCCGGCTCTGTCTTTGGCGTCTGGTTTTCCTCTTGGAGTGCCGACTATTATGGGCGCAAAATTACCATCATGATTGCTGCGGTCATTGCCCTCGTGGCTGGCATCATTCAGGCAGCTTCGGTCCATGTTGGTATGCTCATTGCTGGCCGCATCATCGGTGGTTTCGCCGTTGGCATGATGAACATGACAATCCCCATCTACAACAGTGAGATTGCACCGCCTTCGAAGCGTGGGATGATCTCGGGCCTCCACGGTCAGTTCGTGGGGTTTGGGTTTGCTGCTGCCAACTGGATTGGATTTGCCTGTTCGTACGCCTCGGGTGACTTCCAATGGAGATTTCCACTAGCCTTCCGTATGTTCTGTCTCAATGATTCCTGTTCAGCCACTGACAGGTGCAGAATGTCTTCCTGCCATCATTATCCTGATCGGAATCTTTTGGCTGCCTTACTCTCCTCGATGGCTGCTAGAACAAGAGCGCGACGAAGAGGCCTACGCAGTCATCAAGCGTCTTCATGGAAATGTTGGCGCTGACGAGTCTTTCTTCCGAGCCGAATTCGTTCAGATGCGTGACCAATTACGATTTGAGAAGAGTGTCAGCATCTCCAGCTGGAAGGTCCTGTTCTCGACACCCAGCAACCGGAAGCGTCTGTTCCTTGCCATCAGCGTTCAAGCTTTCACCCAGTTGTCAGGTATCAATGTCATCAACTACTACCAGACCGATCTGTACAAGGGTCTCGGCATGCATGGACACATGGTTACTCTTCTTGCCGGGTAAGAAATACTCTATTGTGTCATTTGCGCATTGGTTAACTGTCTGATTAGTGTCTACGGCTTAGTGGGGCCTCTTGCCAACATCATCTGCTTGTACTTTGTCGACAGTTGGGGCAGAAAAAAGACCTTGTGGATTACCGGCATCATCATGACCCTGGACATGGCTCTCGTTATGGGCTTGACTGGAGGTTATGGTCAATCCGACAACAAAATTGCCCAAGGATGGACGATTGCATTCATATTCTGCTTCTCAATCATGTGAGTACTTTCCTCAGAATATTGCTTCAATTGGCTGACTCTTCATCTAGCTATTCCCTCGGTTATAACTCCATCCACTACATTTACGTCCCTGAGATCATGACCATGGCTATCCGAGCCAAGGGCACTGCCCTCTCGGTCATATGTAATGTCCTCATCAACATTGTCTTCAACCAGGTATCGCCAATTGCCTTCGCCGATGTCGGTTACAAGTACTACTCACTGTTCGTCTGCACGAACATTGTCGGCGCCATAGTTGTTTTCTTCACGTTTGTGGAGACCAAGGGCAAATCTTTGGAAGAGCTCGCGGCGATTTTCGGTGACGAGGTCATTGTACCCTCCCTCGCAGCTACTCAGGAGAAGATGGAAACGATACCAGATGAGCGCGTCGAGGAGATCAAGGAGAACGACAAGACTAATTGAGTGATTTCTACCGTGGCTTCATGTCCCCATTTCCACTCATCGGAGGAATGATGCAATCATGTGAATCAAGCGTCAGCGGATTATCAATGGGAGCGAGACACCGAATGAGTTGGCCTCTGCGATTATTTCGTTGAATGAGTATAAATCCCGTCGGCAAAATTAAAACAAGTCCTGTAACAAGGGCCCCTGTCAAAATTAATTCTACACGGAATTGTGCTAGCCTATTTCTGGTACCTCTTTGAACAGTTCCAAATGACTGAGGCTTTCACACATACTCGCTCTTGAACTGATCCCAATCGTGCACACAGTACGTCGCCAGTTGGATCTAGGTCACGCAATTTCATGGTTAACATCCTGACTTATGCATCCTCCAGTCTCCATAGGGACCGATAAGCGAAGTCCTGGGCATTAACGTGGCTGGGTAGAATCACTACTGCTCTTGTTTGTACAATTGGCATGATACCTCGAGCGGAGTGCGCATTCTAAGTTACGCACCACTCACCCGGCCCGATGCGGCAGGCGTATTCGATTCTGTGCCTAGGCCCACAGTTGAACAAAGAGACATTTTAAGCTGCCACGAGGCGGGGAGTATTGAGTTAATACTTGAGGCTCAAAATCAGCAGCCCTCCATAGAGTTGTCGAGGCCCTCACGCTAAATCCTATGGGACCTTATTGAAAATTTGTTGTTGACATAAAATGCATGTGGTTTATTGACAAAAGTGGTCCGTGAACTCCGTGTCATCTGCCACTTGTGCTCGTGCGGTGAAACGACCAAGATCTGCGTGGCGTTCGGGACACCCGGACTCGGATTCTAGACACAAACTCTCACTCTTTTACACAATCAGGATGGTCTGGACTTGGTCCGACTATCTTGCCCGGGCGACGAGGAAAAAGAATTGGCAGAGATTAGCAGCAACATCAGCCGCCGTCCATTTCCGCTACCACTACTCTCCACTATGGAGTGAAGATAGACAAAATAACTAGCGAGTTCTTTTTGAGAGGAACATCGCTAGTATGCGTATTGACAACGCGTGAAATCCGATCTCTGTGACGGCAGGGAAAGCCCCTCGATATGACTACATTCACCCTCAGGATATGCATACATAATATCATTTCGATATGTTGTTTAGGAGGCGGACCCTTTGTCGGTAGAGAAGCTAAATTCTGAAGACCAGTCTGTTGTTGCAACACGATTGTGGATCGAGTTTCTTCGTTCGCCGCCGCTTGTTGAGACTGTTCTTGGTTCAATTGGCTTGGAGTGTATCACAAGCTCAACAACCTGTTCGTCCTCGATAATTGACAGATGGCGTACAGCAAAATATTTAGCATAGGTCAATGCTGAGTAGTACCTGTAATAGCATTAGTCGCTTGTCAACGAGGGATGTTTCTGGCACACAGAGACTTACACCGAGACAATATTCATGAACCGGAGCACAAATTTATATGGCATATAACAAAAAATGACAACTTTTCGAGAGACCATCTCTCCCTTTTTGCGCAAAATAACCTGAGAATAACCAGTCAGTACGTGTGAGAGCTCGGTATCCAGATCCGATGCTGACTTACCTCGTTGAAGAACATGGCGATAGAAAAATACATGCCCATAATGATTCCAGTCATTATGCCCGTGAATTCTGGTTCAATCATAAATGCCAGTACCAGAAGAATAGGGCCAATAACATATAGCATTGTACAGTAAAGCTGTAGAGGCGAGCGAATTGGTTAGCGCTAGCCTCAGAGAAGAGTACAATGAGAAGTCACATACCTCTTGGAAAGTGTAAACCTTGTCGCCAATTGAGTAAATACCCAAGTTCCAATCGAAAAGGATATGTTTCAGGCTGTCCCACACCCGATAGAGAAAGAAGAAGTTCCACCGATAGAATCGTTGTTTATAGACCGTCATTTCACCAAAGCCACCTCTTGCACCGGCACCGACAAAGAGTCCCGAGGGGACTTCGGTTTCGACAAGAACGGAGGAACACATGAGAATTCTTCCTCCAAGACTGCGGCAAACCAGTCCAAAATACCAATCTTCGGAAATCTTGAAGCCCGGATGATGTCGAAAACATTTGAGGATGAAGTCGCGATCCCATAGCGCAATTGCTCCATGGGCGAAGGTGGCAGTTCCCCAGGTTGCCATCCACTTACGGGCCATACCGGATAATTTGTACTCCATATCCTGGAGTTGCTGGACCAGGCTTCCTTTGGTACCATCAGGACCGACAGCCTTGATGGTGTACCCTACGCACTTCACCAACCCCTTTCCGTCGCCGCGCTGTATCCGTTCGGACACGATTGGAAACCCGGGCGGAAGGGCACAATCGTCGTCAATCATCAACACGTACTGAAATCTGTGTGCCGCGTAGACTCCCACAAATTGGGCCACGATCTTGGAGCCGACGGGAACCCAGACATGGTTGACACCGTATAGTCGACATACATCCTCCGTGTTATCCAAGGGGGTTGGGCTGTTTCCGTTGGCGACCACGAATATGTTCTCCGGAGGGAAGATCTGCAGGGCGGCTTCGAGAGTACGCCCAATGATCTCGGCAGATTTGTAACAAGCAATAATCAACGCCGTGCTGCTGTTTTTCTCTAGAATAGCTGGAAGCTCCTCTGGCCGTGGTGGCACTGGATCAGGCTCGTATCGTACAAACAAGGTGCCAATGGCATAACTGGATGAGTCTGTGAGTACGGCAATCCATAAAAAGAGGTGGATCGAGATGAGACTCACAAAAAAGCGATGGCGATGAAGATAGCACAACCGCCCTTGACAACCAATTTATATTCCATTGCCCACCTATTTCACCCTCGTTAGCAACCGAGAACGCAGAAGCAAAAGATCAAGAAAAGGATGAAACTGTACCATAACCAATAAACAGTCCCCTTCCATAACGGAACTCCCACGAAGAAAAAATAGATTATGCAAGCCAGCAAAAGATAAATTGAGTACTGAAAAAGTATTTGGGCAACTTTGCCCCTTTTCTTTCCCCGGAATTTAACTCGTTTCGAATTATAATACCTGTCCAGACTCCGGATGCTAGCGCGACTGGGGTTTCTCTGAGTGTTGATATCGCCACTTGGCTCCTCGACGACTTGGTCGTTCACAATGGTGGCAACTTGAGGCAGGGCGTTGATGTTGGAGTCGCCGGCGAACGGGCTTGGAGTGATGATAGCATTCCGGACATCGGGTAACGGTAACTTTGGATCCAAGGACGAAATCGTTGACCAGGGTAATGAGCTCGAACGTGGTCGTTGAACGTCGAGCATCCGGCCACCGTCAGCGAGGACAGCATTTTCAGGGATGGGTATTGTGGTCAGTGGAAGCGACAGGCGCCTCGGGCTCCCGGGGCTGAAACTGGGAGGCGGCTTCGTATCGCTACCTCCCAGTCGCCTAGACTCCTCGCGGCGAGAGCCGGCTTCCAAATCTATCCAGTCTTGCCAGTCAACAGAGCTCACCCCGTGTTGCCCATGGTCCATTGCGATATCTTTGTACGCCGGTATGAAGTCTTGAAGTCAACGAAGCTAGTATCCTATCTAGCTGAAAGAGAAAAGGGTCCTATTAATGAAGCATGACGACATGATGGGCATCGAGGCTGGGATTTGGCTCGTCGCCTCGACAATAACAATTAGCCAGTAACGTGAATGGTGTGAGGACCCGTGGTCACTAGTCTAAAGACCCGAGAAGGGCCTCGACTTTGTGCAAGGTAGCCATATTTTGGATATTGAAAACCAACGCCCCACCTCCCAATAGCCTCCCATACATCTGCTATTGTAGGTATCAATCTTGCCTCTGGAACAGCCCTTGTCGGCCCAGGGATGCATGCTGAACTTTAACACTGAGTCGAACATGAGGCCCTGACAAGGTCTTCCGCAATGTCGCACATTCTGTGCCAGATAGATACATGACACAATACTCGGGATTTGGTATGGAAACTCCAATTTGGGCTAGCCTGACGTGGCGCATTTCGTGCTCGGACCACAATTCACTGAATCAATCCCTTCGGCAAGGACGACGGATCATCTAACGGCTGTCACTGATCCTGCTAAACCATCACTAGCAAAACCTGCAGCCACCAAAGGAAGGGCTACGGAGACCGACACCACAATAATCTACGAACTGGGCCCGGTATGGTTCATTGGCGTTTGCGAGAACACGAGCACGAGCCTCATCTTGAACAAAGATCAGCCAAGGGCTCAGTGCACAGACAAGTGCACTCAAGCGAAGGTTCGTGCCCGAAACTCCCATTTGCGCCATCAAAGTAATCTGGAACTACAAGACTGGGCGGACTATCACATCGGGCCTTGATAGTCCAATAGATCCCATGTCAAGGATTTGCACGGCCTCAACAATGCAAGTCATGTTGGCGTGGTTTTCTGCTCACCGGAATCAATGACGACAATTCAGTGACGACAAGGGATTGCCACGTACTGCCTAGGCATTTAATCAGAAACTCCATATAGGGAAGCGAAGGCGCAATTGACTAAAGTCTCGTGTCTCAATCAAAGATATTCTAGAATTCCTCCTAAAACGGCTTCTCCCGCTAATTAGCGGCGATGTTATCTTTCTTCGTGGTCGTCTTTACGTTGCTGCACATTCAGAGTCACGCGTCGCGACTCCCCGAACGACGAAGCCACCTTTACCCAAGAGCACCGTCTTCAAATTGCGATGTGTATGTTGTCTCTGGCCAGGACACTAAATTCGAGAACTATGCGTTCACCGACTTTCGCTCACTGAGCAACTACAGTATCAGCGAGCCGCCCTCGGTTACGGACGCGGATAATCAGGGCGAGGAGAATATTACCTCACCATACTTCGCTCAGCCACCATTCTCGGACCAGTGGACGATTCGACGCGGCATCAGAAATGCAGAGTCGGACGTCCCAATGATCTACTCGGCCAGCAATGCGTATATCTCCAAGGACCCTTCGGACAGCTCTCAGACATACTTGACGCTGCGCACTACTCGAGTACAAGACTTTCAGAGCGTCGTCCAGCTCGTCAGCAATCCAAAACTCTTGCACGCGAGCATGCGGACGCGAATGAAGATACTTCCAGATGGCAAAGACAGGGACGGAGTTGCCAAAGGTGCGGTGGTTGGCTTCTTCACCTACGAGGCTGATACCCAGGAGACCGACATCGAGATTCTCACCCAAGATCCGTCAACTACTGTCGAACTCTCAACCCAGCCCGCATCTTCAGATACTCCGGGAGCAGATGCCAGTGTCAAGATCCCAAATGGAAAGAAGTGGACAGATTGGGTCGATTATCGACTTGACTGGTTTGCAGGCAAGAACGTTTGGTATATGGACGGCGAAATGATGTACAATACCACCAAAAGTGTTCCCACCGTGCCGAGCAACCTCATGTTCAACCTGTGGAGTAATGGTCAGTCGTTCTCCGGCAAGATGCGTGTTGGGAGAGAGGTGTATGTTGCCGTACAGTGGATTGAGATTGCGTACAATCTGGATGGTCAAGGCCAGAGCTCGAACGGGACCAGCGGCCAGACCCAATGCTCGGTGGATTCGGGCAAAACAAAGGGTTCTCCGGAAGTGATAAAGAACTCCAGTGCCAAGCGCAGCGCGGTAAGCAGGGTCCTGAAGATAGCCAACAGCATCGTGTTCGCTTTGATCGCTTGGTATTGTATCTGACATTTTGGAATAGTCGTTCTCCATTTATTGACATGATTGTTGCATTGATAGACGGAAAAGCAATGTACTTGTACTGGTTGTACGTGTTTCTTATCGTGCCTGGAGGGCACGGAACAAGATTGTTATAGATTGTTGAACTCTTAAGAATCATTATTGATCATAGACCGTACGATATCATGACTTCTATAGTGACGCAAAATGGTAAAGGTTCTAATGGAATATACTTGAAGTATGCAATCCACCACAACCAGCAGAAGCAGATCCGTCACACCGTATGGTCAGGCCGGCCGCCAAATGCCTTTTTTTCCCTATACGATGGCGTCTGTCTTCCTGCAGGAGCTGGAAAGGTTGTCCGGAACTCTGGATGGCATGTTTTTAGGGCCTTGCGCGGAGGCGCTATTCCATGACTATTTCATAGCATGCACAGAGCAGTTCCAGATATTGTATGCTGGACTGCACCACAGATCTTGTTTCGGCGACAGTATGCACTACTTCCTGCGGAGAAACAAATGCCTTTTTCTGAACTAGCCCATGGTCCTCGACCAGGCATCTTAACGGACTTTTGAATGTAAATGGCGAATATATCGCTGGCATTCCAGGATTGTTGTCCAACTCTCATGAAATTATTAATGAGTGGTGTAGGCCAAGTGTTGATATACAGACCATGTTACGGCATCGGCCAAATTACGGCTCGTGGCTTGTCCATGGTTAAAGGTTGTCAAAGTGCAGAAGACGGCAGTTGGCCAAAGGCTTCCAAGAGTAAAGTTTCATGGAAAAGAACAAGGACATAACACTGACCACCGGCGCCTGCTACGTTAGCTGCATTGAAGTCTATTGCTGACCAGGCCGAAATGTGCATCAAGGAGAGATTAAAGATGCATGCCAAATTCCAGGCTTTACACCAAGCCATCAGGATAAAAGCCATGTACCTTGAATATCGCTGCCTACGGATAGCGCCATTCCATGTGGTGAAAGGATATCTGCCAAGTAATCGCTGACTACGGAGCTCGTTGAATACTCGGACTGGAACATCATGTGGTGCTGGATGAACACTGCAGCGTGAGCACTCGGTAGAAGCTTTACCTCCTGCATAAGCTCGGTAACATTGTCGGCAGGATCCGCCATGGCTTCATCCCTAGGCTTGGCCGACCAGGCTTAACGGAACGCGGAGCTCGAGTCCATCTGGCCTATCTGTATGTACGGAGCTAGCCCGGCAGAGACTCGACAAATCTCTCGATTAACTTCATGAATCATTACTCTTGGGTTCACGATTCCCCGGGTTTCCCATTAGACTGTGGATTGGGCGAACTCTATAGAACGATAAGGAGCCAACGGACGGAGCACTGATTCTTGACAAGTATCAGGAAGGAGGCTCTTGGACCATTGATTCGTCAATTCCTGCTCTCTGTGATACTGTTGCAAACCCTGGATCGCTCACTTCTGACGTTTGTGTGCGAATATCTATCTATCTCGAGAGGGTTAACCACTTTCTGAAAAGTAGACAAACTAGATCTCCAGAAGACTGAATACACAGAGAAGAACATGAGATGAATTGCAACGCTGACGGGTCCGACCTTGACCACGATAATGGTGATGTACTACTATGCGAAGACTCGCAGGAATATTACCACGTGGCGAACAAGGAGGATTGCGGTTTCTGGCAGTTTGAGGGGCTGTCCCGTTTAGCTGGCTGTTGCGAACTCGCCGTTTAACCGAGATACACACCTTCAGGCTTCAATGAACTGCAGGAATCCATTTCTTAAAACCATTCAAAAGTACTGCGTGGCCATTCTTCTAGATCCAGGACTACAGTTGCCCACTGGAAAATTACCAAGGAAAGCTAAGAGACGAAAAGAAGGGAGAGGCCCGTGTACCCTCAATCAAGCTTCAGTCAAGGGGGAAGTGCGTACACACTAGTCTCGTGTTCAAGATGAGAGATTCTTAGGGGTCGCGTTGACTTTGAAGGCGTCACACAACACCTCACGCAACACTAGACTGAGAATATCACAGGTCAAGCAAGGAAAATCGGCACAAATGGCACCGATGCAACCACGTACTGCTCCTGTTGCCCCTCCACACCTCGTTCCAGGGTCCAACGAGCGATAGCTGCCATGCGACCGGCCTCGTGCTCCTGCTGGAGCGATACAACGCCGCGGTGCATCATATCCCTTCGAACTATAAGCCTAATATCCTAGACGGGAGCCACTCCAGGTAAAGCCTACAGCAACAACTGGGCGATCCGGGAGAAGATACACCGTGCAGCATGGCTAATAAGCAAGGTTACTTCGGTCCAAATGAAGCGAATGCGACGTTGCTGCCGGACATATACCCAAAAGGGGAGGTAAGGGCGGAGAAGTTGGGGTGCGGAGGTCACACCCCGGCCCCCGGTGGCCAACCTATCGCTTACCCACCCAGAGATCAGATTTCCACGAGAGCGTGTCATTCAGGGATTAAATAGGATCGGCATGTCCCAACCGTCCAACTCTTTCTTTTTCGCTCCCATCGTCTACTGCACTCTCCCAGTAACATCGCCGCCATGAGTAACGTCGTCTCAGAGAAGCCGACCTCGATCTCGGAGGTCGAGGCGCACCACACCAAGCATGACCCTATCCAGGATGTTGTCGAGAAGGTCGACTACGACAGGTCGGGCGCTATCGATGCTGAAAATATCGAGCACCAGATGAGTGTGCTGCAGGCTGTTCGAGCCTATCCCGCTGCCAGTTGGTGGGCATTCGTCATGTCTGCCACCATTGTGAGTCCCTGCACGAGTCTGGCAATGCCATTTCCCTAATCGTCAACAGATCATGGAGTCATACTGCGTCTTCCTGATGGGCAACTTTATAGCAACTAAGAAATTTGCGGAGAACTATGGTAAATTCAACGTCGAAAAGGACAAATGGTACATCACAGCTCCCTGGCAGTCAGCGTTTCAGTGCGGTGGACCAGTTGGCGCTTTCATCGGCGTCTTCCTCGCAGGTCCCATTACCAGCTGGATCGGATACCGATGGGCCACCATTGGAGGGCTTATGTTCCTGAATGGTTTTATCTTTGTCTTCTATTTCGGAAACTCCCTGGGAGTACTGCTGTTGTCCCAGCTTCTCGAAGGCATCCCTTGGGGTATCTTCATCGCAAATGCACCCGCCTACTGCAGTGAAATTGTGCCACTGAGGCTGAGAGCTCCCGCTACGCAGATGTTGCAGATGTTTTGGGCCATCGGCTCCATCATTGTTGGCGGCATCACCTATCACTACCAATCCATGGACAACGACAAAGCCTACAGGTTCGTGCGCCACCACAGCTCCAGAAGAGCACTGCTAACACCATTGCTAGAGTTCCGATCGCCCTTCAATGGATGTTCCCTACGCCTCTTGCCATACTTCTCTTCCTGGCACCCGAATCACCCTGGTGGCTGGTGCGGAAGGGACGTCTCGCCGAGGCAGAGAAATCCGTCATCCGTCTTGGACGTCGGAGCGCTAATGACAATCCCTCCGACTCAGTCGCAATGATGCGCCGAACTATTGAGCTTGAGAAGACCGAGAAGAAACCCAATCTCATCGAACTGTGGAAAGGCACCGATCGCTACCGCACGCTCATCGTCTGTGGTGTCTATGCGGCTCAAAATTTGACTGGTAACTTGATTGCCAACCAGGCGGTTTACTTTTTCCAACGTAAGTACTTGACCTCTTGCAACATCAGCATCGACTAATACTGATACAGAGGCTGGCATGTCCGACCAAACTGCATTCGCTCTCGGTCTCATTACCTCTGCTCTCCAGTGGATCATGGTTATGCTATCTTGGGTCCTTACAACCTACCTAGGCCGACGAACGATCTACGTCTGGGGTTCTTTTATCAACTGTGCCTTCCTGGTTGCTCTTGGTATCGCGGGCTCAATTAACGGCGGCAAGCCGGCTACCCAGGCGACAGCATCACTTGGCCTGATCGTGTCTGTCCTGTTCTGTTTGGGACCTGCCCCTGCATCATGGGTCATTATTGGAGAAACATCCTCCATCCGCCTCAGGCCATTGACAACTGGTGTCGGACGTGGTGCCTACTACGCAGTCAACATTCCTTGTATCTTCCTGTCCAGCTACATGCTCAACCCCGACCAAGGAAACCTAGGTGGTAAATGTGGCTACGTCTGGGCGGGTACTGCGTTTGTCTGCACGGTCATGGCTTGGATCTGGATCCCAGAGATGAAACACCGATCTTACCGCGAGATTGACATTTTGTTCAAACGCCGTGTCCAGGCTCGAAAGTGGAAGAGAACTGTCGTCGACATCAATGATGATGAGTAGATTGGGATACTTTTCGAGAGTGGTGCCTCAGAGAAGGGTACTTAGCTTCTCGCTTTGGCAAACACGCTATATCATTACAGCACAGCTTCTCCCTTCTTGAACGTTCTGGGCGCTGTTTTGGTGAAGAGACAAATACCAGGCCAGGTGATAAGCGACTATAACAGTTGACCCAGAGAAGGTCGTTCAATGGTTTAATTACATTACTTCATGATAACCGCGCAATGGAAGTAGGCGATTGACGGAGCCGCCACCAGTATCAAATACCAGTTCACACTAATATATCCGCCTTTTGCATCACTTGAACCTCGTACATGGTACACCTCTTCGTCGCCCACATCTCACTCGCGGAGAAGCGAAGAGTAAGTTGTACTCTACAGAGTGCTCTGCCGAGATATGGATAAATTTACTATTTTCTTGCCGAGGCAGCATAGCATTACACCACCGTCGGAGTCTGCTATCAGAACAGATCGTAACTGTTCACGCTACGGCCAAACACTCCGATCTCGCGATGAGACTCCCGAGTCTTCCAATATGCGCTCCCGGTCAGTGGGGAAAAGATGAAGTGACCATTTAAAGCGGCAGGATACTTGCCTCTGGGCAGCCTTGGCCTCTTGACTACACAGGGAAGTTTTCCGATCTCTTTGACATAAGAATGTAGCAGGGCGTTGACTCAACAGTGTCAAGTCTCGCAAAAGTTCCGAGAAAAGATAACAGGTGGACGACTCCATCTCACAGTCCTGCATTCATTCAATGGTACCACTGTGGCAACTTCATAGCGAAGCGCGTTTCCTTCCAAGTTATCATGGAGTTATCGATCCGTCAATCGGCTGCAAGAAATGCAGGGGAACAGTCGACACAGACGAGTGAAGAGAATGGCCAAGTCTCGCAGGCGAACGAGGTTCCTGCTCGGCAACTGAGTCCAGTCGATGGAGGCTGGCCTGCCTGGACCGTACTCATTGCGGGCTTCATTTTTGAGGCTTTACTATGGGGTCAGTATAACCATGTTTCCTATCCCAAGCTGCCTTTTTCCTGCTCAAATGAAGCTCATATTCTTCGCCGCAGGGTTTCCAACCTCTTTTGGTGTCTTCCAGAACTATTATTCCAAGTTGCCAGAATTTGAGAATGCGAATATCTCAGTAATCGGGACAATGGCACAAGGGCTTTATTACCTCGGGGCTCCTCTCGCCGCCATGGCAACCAAACTGTTTCCGAAGCACCAAAAGCATCAGATATGGATAGGCTGGCCCTTCTGTGTCTTTGGACTATTGGCGGCATCCTTTGCAAATACTTTTGGTCAACTTGTCGCCACTCAAGGTGTCATGTATGGCTTCGGCTTCGTCACTCTTTCCTACCCGATTATCAGTATGTTGAATGAGTGGTGGGTTGCTCGAAAGGGAATGGCGTTTGGTTCAATTTCGAGCGCCTCGGGCTTAGCGGGTATAGCGATGCCCTTTATTATCGAGTCGTTGCTGCAGAAATACGGCTACCGGACTACATTACGAGCCTCAGCAGTCGGAATCGCCGTGCTGACTGGCCCCTTGATACCATTTCTCAGAGGCCGCTTGCCGCCTACAGAGACAAGTGTCTTGGCCAGAACGAACTGGTCATTTCTGGGAAAGCCATTGTTCTGGATCTATAGCATTTCAACGTTGGTTCAGGGTCTTGGCTTTTTCTTCCCGGCGATCTACCTCCCGTCCTACGCCACAGCAATCGGCCTGAACTCGACGCAGGGAGCTTTACTTCTGGCAGTAATGTGTATTGCACAAGTTCTAGGCCAATTCGCCTTTGGTTACCTGTCAGACAAGAAGATCCCGGTAAGCATTCTTGCTATAGTCTGCTCCCTCATGTCGACAGTTGCTACCCTGGCTATCTGGGGCAATGCGAAGTCCGAGCCCCTACTACTCTTGTTCAGCTTGATATACGGCTTTTTCAGCTATGGTTTTGGCACAATGCGTGTTGCCATGGGCACCGAAGTATGCAACGACCCGTCATCAGCCGTGGCCACTTATGCAATCTTTGTGTTTTTACAGGGAGTTGGAAATGTTCTTGTTGGGCCAATCAGTGCTGCTTTGTTATCCAGAGATATTATTGTCGACTTATATGCAGCCTTGGGATATAGATCTCTTGTGATATTCATTGGCTCCTGCATGTTCGGCAGTGGATTGATCATTTGTTTGCGCTATCTTTCTCCTATGAAGAGAGAATTCTAGCCCTCAAACCAAGCCCTCAAACCACGACAGAGGCAAGTTTCAGTATGCGCGCGAGCGACGCGGAAAGCGAGCCCACCTTGAACCAAGGTTTGAGCGATGGTCGGCGAAGGACCCAAACCTTGAATAGTCTGCACCAAATTAAGGAGGATGGCAATGCGGGCAACGACTTCCTTCAGACATGCCGAATGCTGACTCCTGCGGCACGTTTGAGAGAATGATATAACTCCTTGTCCAGATGCTGGAGTTGTGGTAGTACGGCTTCCAAAGGAGAGTCGCACTTCAAACACGCATGCCGCTTTGGATCACGTTTTAACTGATGAAGCTTCGTTGGCATCAAAAGTACGCACTACTTCAAGTTTCCGAATTCTTCCTCACTACCCCGCATTCAGGTTCGAACATGCTTTACTATCACCAGGATGATTCACCAAGTCTACCGCTGCAAAAGGCAACTTCTTAGGATATCCGCTGCCAGTCTGACAGTGGAGCAAGGCCTCGACTCAATGCCTTCTCTATACGATGATGTCGTTATCTCAGGTCCGGATCACGTACGACTTCTCAGTGTCGCGCCTTCAGCTGAATTTGACGACCCCCTCATCTGCACGCTCTCTGTTGCGTCTCTTGCTGAAGTCAATGGCAGTTACATCACTTTGTCGTACTGTTGGGGCTCCACCGATCGTGGTAGTCTGGTTCAAGTCAATGGGGTCCCGTACTATATTACCAAGGAACTCGCTCTCGCCTTGCGAAGTATTCGGGCAATGGAAATCGCTCAGCCGATATGGGTTGATCAGCTGAGCATCAGTCAAGTCGACGACAGGGAAAAATCCCAGCAGCTATTGTTGATGACCCAAATATTTTCAAATGCTTCAACGTGCATATGCTACCTTGGGGAAGACAATGGCCAAGTGGATCAGGCGATCGAGTATATGGAAATGGCTCTCGAAAAGATTAAATCCCTGCCTTTAGATCACCAACGACAGACGACACTGCCTCAGGAGATAAGCGATCTCTTCTACAACGCTCCAGGCAAGACAGCCTTTATGAGTCTAGCGAACAGACGGTACTTCCGGAGAAGATGGATCGTACAGGAGACTGTGCTTTCTCAGGATCCATCCGGGGTTTGCGGACATAGATTTTTTTCGATGGAAGCATTTTTCTTCGTCCTCGCATTCACGGAAACAGCAGAATCAGATCGAATACTCCGCCGGCCTGTATCGGCAAACTTTGACGATCAACGGTTTGACGAATCGCCAGCGCTCAGCCACCACTACCTCCGAAATCAGTTTGGACAGGGGGCTCGATTTTTCAAGCCACTCCTCATCTTCACGGTAGATGCTGGCGTGACAGACTTACGTGACCTGTTCTTTGCAATCCATGGCCTCGCCCTCGACAGCGATGAATTTCCAAATCCCGACTATTCCTGGGATGTGGGTAGAACATTTCGAGAATTTACCATTGGCTTCGTAAATCAAGGATTTGGCTTATGGTGTTTGCAGCAAGCACATCGAAATCATTATCCTGATATGCCGTCCTGGGTTCCTGACTGGAGTAGCATCATTCGATGGGCCCAGATAGCCCTCGTACCCGGTCCAAACTTCAAATCGGTCATGAAAGTCGACTCAGACTCCAAACTCTTGGAACTCTCCTGCCTGAAACTCACCAATATCGTCCAATGCACATCCTCAATTGATGTCACAGTATCGGACGACGCAGCTACCTTCTCGTTGCAGGCTCTCAGCTCTCTCGAGCTCTTATTCAGCAAGTTCACGCCTGAACAAAAACCCGATGATATCCTCAAGCGGCTTGCAACTGTAGTCATGAAGTTTACACATGAAGATTACTCTGAAGACGCATCGATGCTAACTGGCCGCATCCTGGCCACTGCTGCCTACCATCAAGATCATACGGCCAAGCTCATTGAAGAAAATTCGACTCCGTTCTTGATCGTCAAGCTTGTTTTCGAACGTTTTCAAGTCGTTCTGACATCTTCCAATTTGATCTGTGTAGCGCCATTGGAGGTAAAAGAGGGAGATGAGCTGATTTTGCCGGAGGGAGCTGAAGCCGCTATTGCAATTCGGCATGTTGAACCTGGTAAATACAAGTATATCGGAATGGCTTGGATTGAAAATTTACACCCAAGCTCTGAAGAGCCGGTGGATGGTGGCGATGGCACAGAAGCCAATACTGTGCTACAAGACCCTGACGAGAAAGACGTAAAGAAGTATGAGAAGATACTACTAGCATGAGAGTTGAATGCACCTTACACCGGGCTATATCAGCAGACACTCTAACAAATATTCTCTCCACCCTACGTTAAGGAACCAACAGATGCTAGACCTGGCTCATATCATATCTGCACGACCTCAAAAAGCTTCTGATAAACGGTCTTGTCTGCACAGATTAGATAACCCTAGTTTTTTCACGTCGAATTCGAATTGTCTGCACAGGTCCATGGAGAAGACCCGCCATTTGCTGCCAACGAGTTTTTGATATCGATCACGGATCCATAGGTTCCTCCAATCATCAAAAAGAAACCGGACACGATCACAAAGGAACTCCAAGCCACCATAGCATACCACTTGACCGTTCTTTTACTGCGCCAGTTGTCGTATAGCCACATGGCGCCCATTGGTTGGAAGCACATTAGTGTGCCGAGGAGTGCACCGATAAGCGAGACTAGACTCCCAAAGACAGGAATTGCACTCGCGATGATGTATGAGACAATTGTCGTGGCGAATGTGCATCCCAACCAGGTGGCCCAATGCCGGAAAGTAGGGTCGGTAAGATGATAGGACCCTCGTAACATGCGGACAAAAACATATTTTGCAGCGATCTGGGGAAGAGTGATTAGCCCATCTTGAATAGTCGTCCCAACGGCAGCTACTTACGTGAACGAATAGGAGAGTGCTGACGCAGAGACCCGGCAAAGCTAAGCCATAGCAGACCTTCTTCAAAAGGACCCCCGCCGACCCAAGTGCCGGCGATGCGACAAAGCTTCCACAGTAGTAGTACACCACAACACCAATCACGATATAAGTGGTGGCCACGATGGACTGGCAGAGTAAAAGTGATTTGGTGTAGTCCTCCGGTACACGCATCTCGGATGCGATCTGAAAGAAGGCAGGTGTACCTGCCCAAGCGAAAACGATGGAAGAGCATGCGGATATTGCTGCCTCGAAGCTCGGGTCGTTGACACCTTTCCAGTTGGACTTGAAAGGCCCAGGCGGGGCAGCGGCGGGTTTATCTTGCACACCCACAGCAACCGTCAGAGTGAAAACTATTGATGTATTGTCAGATAGTGCCCAACCGGAAGTTTCAGTACGTGACTTACTTGCGGTCAAAATCGAGGTCGCACCAACCCAAGCCAACCACGAGACCTCGTGGAGAGTCTGGATGCTTCCGAGAACAAAGCCAATAATGGCAGCCACAACGACAAAGACGGCGGTACAAGTTCCGTGGGTCGATATGGCGTTGAGTGAAATTGATATCCCCAGCATACCGGCCCCAGCAACGAAGATCCAGACTATTCACAGGTCAACATCAAGAGTACACTTGATACCACGGACAGGGTGAGACTCACACAAGACGAATACAACGTAAAAGAATTCTCGCCCGGCTCTACCAAAAAGCTTGTACCCAACATCGTCGATTCCGTAAACTGACGGATGGTTTTTCTTGAAGACACCGATAACGTAGTTTGACCATGTTGTAATCACCCCGATCGATATCACCACGACCAGGCCTGGTCCCATCCCTAAGGTGTCTAGGACTTGGGGGATGGATAGGACACCCAAGCCAATCTGCGTCTTGACCATCAAAATGGCAGTCCCAAGCCATCCCACCTAGAGAAAGTCAGTGAGGACCTTGACATTTCCAGGACTCTGGATAGCAAACATTTCGATAGTTGGGTCCGTCCTCCTTGATCTCACCAAAGATGTCGTCGACGACCGAAATGCGACGTCCTTGTAAAGACATTCGCCTCTGACCGGCAGGGATGACCTGATAGATCGAGCCCCGCCTGGTCTCCGAGGGATCAAAGCCCGAAGAAGCGAAATTCAAGGAATGGGCCTCTCCTCCATCGTCACGGACACCTTTCTCTGGATCTTTGGTATCTTTGGTCGCCATGTTGGAGTGATGTGAAAGTAGATACTGGAGATTGGTAAAGCTCAACAAAGTCCCGGTTTTCCTTGAATGAAGGAAGTTCAAAAACTAAGACGAGCGGGCGAAGCAGCTATTTGAAGATACCTTCGAGCTGGCCTGCGAGGTCGGCCATAATTGCCAGCTAGAAGTCCATTTAGCTAATCATATAGTAATGATTTGTAGCGATCTCCCGATACCCCTCTGCCAAGTTGATAAGATCTAAGGGTATCTAGGAATGGGCAGCACCAATTGGTTCGGCCCTCAGATAGACACTGCAGGTAGGGAACCTTCGAGGAAATGAAATCGAGCCTTAATTCGTCGAGCAAAGGCCGTGAAGCAATATCAGACTCGTAGGCCGAAGCTTGCAGCCAATTATTCACGTGCCCGCCATCAGCTCGGCTCGGAATGCATATCCACGGAAGGATAAAGTATGCGTGCATCAGGACTCTTTGGCGACAGAAGGAATTACCAAATCGATTTTTTGAGACTAGTTTTATCTTCTGCCTGGTCGACATACGCCTTGCTTGGACCGACGTTTCCACGCGTTGGTTATTGAGATGGGGACCGGTAGCAGACAAGAGGAGCGCAATAAACGAAGGAAGTGTGGTTGCTATGAGGCCCAGATTGTTTCAGAGTTTACTTTGGAAGGCTGATCTAGTGGTCTTAGCGGCACCATGACGCGAATTCCCGAGCGGGTCAGAGCAATGAAGCCGACGTACCGTTGAATGGGCAAAAAATGCTCGAAGATCGAAGGCTGCATCACCTGCGCCTCCCTCGAGATGTCGAGCCGATTGTACACTCGCTCATGGCTCGGTTAATAGTTTCGTTGATCTTATCTTGCGTCGCACGACTTTGCTCCGAAGGTACTCCGTAGCAGCCCTTGCATTGCGATAACAAATGGCGGTGATATGTCGCTCGACGCTGTAGATCTCAGAGGGTCCTTATCGACCGGCTCAGCCCTACAAGTACCAGATCGACAAGCTCAACCCCATTGTCGATGACATCAGGCTCGGTAACCTTGGGATTTAGTAAGGCGATCCTGGTGTTTAGCATTCTATTAGGCCTGTCTAGAAAAAAACACATTCTGACTGATGCATTGGCAGATAAATCCAATTTTACCAATCCACAGATCTCGCACCTGGTTGAGAAGATAACAGTGTCTCTACATCTTTTGACCTCCCAGCCTGTGCACTCGTCTGGACATCAAGACTCTGCAGTTTTGCAAACAAGCTCGGTCCGTACCTCTCGTAGGTTCGGACCAGGCCACCCTCACTTAACAACTGCTCCTGAATCCGTTCTAGGCCAAAGTTGAAACTCTTGCCCTCACAACGGATTTCCCTGTTCTTGATATCAATGATTATCTCCTTTTCCTCTTGCGCAACCTCGAAAAAGCTGTCGTCCTGCAGTTTAATACCCATGAGACCGTTGTTGACTTGGTTCCGCTGATAGATGAAGGCGAACGATTTGGCAATGACTGCTTCGATACCGGCCCACATCAACGCCTTCGGAGCCTGCTCTCTCGACGACCCACATCCAAAGCTCTCCTCGGCGACAAGGACGTTGCAACCTGCTTGAGCAAGGTCATAAAACTCGGGACGAGTATAGCAGAACGCACCACGGGCCACCTCGTCCTGCGAAAGGTGCGAATGGCACTTGTCTGTCGGGATGATACTATCAGTGTCGACATTGGCGCCGAATCGCTGGATGCGGCCTTGAATAATGTCTGGTAGTCTGCTTGCTTCGTTCTCTGGAAGGATCTTTGTATCGTAGTCATCCGTGTAACTTGACACGAAGGAAGCTGGAACTTGAGGTTCACTATAGATTGGAGATGACCGCGAGCGACTTCTATAGTGTGCTCGGAGTTCGTCAAACTCGTTCATGTCAACCGCCGAGAGAATTTCAGTTGGATTCTGAAGTGACATGGAAAAGCTGGAAATGGCTACTGTGGCAGCGGAAGCAATGTTGGCGAACGAGCCCGGCCCCATTCGGTCGCGATAGTTTCGGTTCTGCGAAGACAGCCATACTTCTCCCTCGCCTGCCTTGTCGACACCCATGCCAACACAATAGCTGCATCCCGGGGCGCCAATCTGGAATCCGGCATTCTCATACTGCTCCAACAACTTCAGTTGCATCAGACGATTGACTATAGAGGTCGAACCAGGAGTGACGCGTCGTAGACCTCGTTTGACAGGTTTGTACCCTCGTGCCAGAGCTTCCCGAAGCACGAGAGCAGCCAGTATTAGATCTTCCTCTGTGGTCGTGCACGCGCCAATAAACACACCATCCAACTGGGAAAGCCGGTCTTGTGTCTCTGGAATAGGTACGACATTATCCGGGCTTGGATAAAGCGCGACGAAGTGGTCGAGTCTTGCGAGATCAACGTCATATGTCGCTACATATGGGGCATCGACATCAGGGCGAAAGTACACGCTGTTCGATCTATGACGTGGATCGCGTCGGGACTTGACATAATCCAAGGTGATGCCGTCTGGTACGACACATGCGCCAATCCCACCAAACTCCGTGGTCATGTTTGCAATCGCAAACCTCGCATCACTCGATAGGTATTGTAGCCCTTGACCAGTGTATTCGACCAGCCGTCCAGCCGCAACCGTGTTCCTCTTCAGTTGTCTCATGACTCCCAGGATCACGTCTTTGCCTCCGATACCAAGTGGAGGCTCGTTGATGAAGTTAATCCGGACCACCTCTGGAACCTCAAGGTATGTCTCACCCGTAATGAGTTGCAAGACCATATCCGTAATGCCAACACCGATCGCAAGGCTACCCAAGGCACCGGCCGAGGAAGTGTGTGAGTCAGCCCCGAAAACTAGCATCCCAGGCTGGCAGCGTGAGCGGTAGAACTCCGTATGCATAATCGTTGTGTTGTGGCCGGCATAGTTGTCCCCCAGATCCAATTCTTCGGCAATGCGATCACATGCGTCAATCAGGGATCTCTCGTATGGCCTGTCGTTCACTCTGGGGTCGACAACGTGGTCACCTGCGAGCCAGAATCTGTCTTTTCGCTTGAACCCAGGCCTGCCCATGCGCTCATAGCTCTTATTCATGCCAAACCATGCAACTTCGGAAGCCAAGAACCAGTCCGGAC